TTCTCGTAGGCATATATACAGTTCAACAGGGAAGGTCGGTCAATGGCCAGTGACGTTCATCGCGCTCATCGTACAATAGTATTTTTTTAAGAAATAAAATTAAAGTTGATTAGAAGAAACTAAAAAATTACATTTGAAGAAAAGGGAAAAAATTTCGTAAAATTTTATTAATATATTTTTATGCAAATAAAATTCGAAATCATAGAAATTTAAATATTTTTTTTTTTATGAGAGTCAAAAATAATATTAATTTTATCTTTGCAAAGATCTCTTTACGCCGAGAGAAATAAAGGAACTTTTTAATGTGCCTAAAAATAAAAATTTATCTCGATTTAATAATCAGAATTGTCTTTTTCCGAACAAGGACCACGCGTGTAGGAAGGACTCGAAATATTTAATCTCTTAAGCTCGTTCTTTTAAAATGATCGCACGCTGCTTGAATTTGCGACTCTAATGAACGAAAATAATCACGTTGATGAGCCGTCGACACTGTCAAAATTATCCCCTGACAACATCTTAATCCACCAGGTATATATATGCCAAAAAGGTTTTCGATGCGAATTTTGTAACAGATTGCGAACAAAACAGTTTTCATTCGTTCTTTTATAAGCAACCCGCACTTAATCAAAATCATTTCTTATCCCTCCGGAGAATTTTAAAATCCTTTAAGAAATTCTGTTCTCTAATTATCTTTGACTCGTAAAATTTTTTTAAAGTAAAAAAATAAAAAGGAAAAAAAACTAATAATAAAAATTTTCAAAAAAAAAAAAAAAAATTATGGAGGAAAAAAATATTTTTTTGAAATAATGTTAATAAGGAAATTTTTGAATGATTTCAAAATAAAATGTAGCGTGCGCGAAGCTGTATAAACATTATGTAACAGCTACTGTCCACGAAGGTGACTAACCCATTATTTGCCAGAACGCGTGCATATATACTTTATCTTTTGAACCACGCGAGTCGTTGTTTCATGGTCTGGTCGTGTTATAACAACACAAGTGTGTTATATCATGAATAGTTCGCAAATATTTTATCTTCTTCCGCATTTGGAAAATTTTTCAAAATTTGTCGCGAGAGAAAAGAATTTTTTTTTTTTTTCAAAAAGGTCAAATTTCGAAATAACGAAATTTTTCTATCGGTTTCGTTTAAAATAGTATCTTCAAAATTAATTAATACGCGTTACAATTATTACCCTGAAAAAAAATTCATTCAAATAATCGTTTATTTAATTAAAATAAAAATTATTTGGTTCAAGTAAATATTTATTTGATAATAGTCAACCGATTATTTGGATCAAATAATTTTTTTTTTTTTAGTGTAACAGTTAATTAATTGATTCTTTAAATCAAATAAATATTTTTTTCAGTTTATCTATTTTGTTTAGAGTCCAAATTCAGGACTATTGTCAAATAACGATGAATAAATTTTGTTTTTTAAAAATTTTGCAAAAAAGAAAAAAATGAGAGGCAAACGTGGGTTTTGAAAGAATGCTATATATGAAATATATATTTACGTGTCATATAATGATAGTTTACCAATGGATATATGACAGTGAACGATATACAAACTGCGTGCATTACCACTTGCCGACTGTTGCAAGATCTTTGATCCATATTGCTCGATCAAACCGCGTGGGCAAACCACTAAGTCTATTTTTAATATTCAAATCTTGTTGTAATTAAAGTGATTGGACCTTAATCGTATTACATTCCCGTGAAAAATATATCAATAGGGTCTAATATTAAATAAATAATAAATATATCAAAAATTTTTATTAATTTTCTCGAAAAAAAACAATTAAAACGCACTTTGGTAGTAAAAATTAAATTATAAATCATTTTCAAAAATTATATTATAAAAATAATTTAAATTATAAAAATTATATTTTCGATTCAAAAATTAATGTGGGGAAATTACTGAATGAAATTATAAAAATAAAACGAATATAATTGAAACTTGGAACATCTGTTGGAGAATATTATCATCTTTTTCAGTGTCAATAACATTTAGTCACTTTTTTTTATCGACCTTTGTCTGCTTTAATTTCTCCTGTCAATTTTAACTTAGCGTATATAATCTCGTAATGTCAAGAACCTCTATGAAGATTTCCCTGCGAAAAATTGTGATTTTTTTCTTATTTTTTATTTTTAATATTCAATTTTCTGTTAAAGGTTAAAAAGAGAATAAAATAATTTTTTTTTTTTTGAAAGGATTGAAATTCTTTAATTTTTAGAAGATTATAATCAACCACGTGCTAAATCATATTAGATAACTTATTTTCAATAACTTTTTTTTATGTCAAATATTCGACCCGGAAATAAATATTTATAATTTTCGATTATTCAAATAATATTTTGCGTCAAGTAAATCAGTCTTTAATCTCAAATTACGATCTTCTTCTAATTCTCAGTACGAAAAATAGCAAATTCCAAGGACACCATTTAATCCGATTATATGTTATTCTAGAAATTTAATTTATAATTCGATTTTCAAGTAGCTATATACTTCTGATAAAATACAATGTTGAATTTCATTGTTATTCTAATTTTTATATTTTCTTTGGACAGATAATTTTTATTTTTACAGTATTTATATAATAATAAATGGAGAAAATATGTAAATCTAATCTATATATATAAAAATTTTGAAAAAGTTTGAAAAAATATTTTTGAAACTTTACTGAATAAAAATAATAATAAATAATTTAAAAAAATTGATCCGTATTTTTTCGTTTAAATATTGTGACAAACTGTATACGTCATTTATATAAGAAAAGAATTTTTTTTCTGGTCCAAGTCACTTGCAAGTGAACAAAAGAAATTTCTTTTTTTTTTAATCGTTAAAAGATGAGGCAAAAAAAAAGACAACATTTTTACACGTCATTCGTCACACATTGCACGCGATGATAACTTTCAGTTCGATTAAAGCCAAATTCAATGGGGAATAAGGTCTTTGGCCCCTGCGGCACACCCCAGTATTAAGGCCAAAGACAGCACACGTCATCGATGCTGGAAATTTCGCTTACAAAACCAGAATTTCTCTCTCTAATCCTCATTAAATATTTAAATAACAAAAAAAAAAAGAAAAAACTTGCGAATTTTTGTTTCTTAATATGTGACTCTTTTTTTCTCTGTTTGTTCACCACGTCACATTTTTGCAGAATGAGTCAAAAAAATTATTATATAGGTGCCTTTTAATCGTTAAATGACCTATTAAATTTTTTAATGACAACACGTGTGGTCTACGTTTCGTCTTATTACCATTAGAGTCCAGACAATATAAATCATTTACATACTCTCGTAAACTTTTAACTTTTCAACCCCGCTGAGAAATTAATGATTTTCTTCCTTTATTTTTATGTTGGCGTAATTTTTTTTTTAAAACTGTATTTAATTTTTATCTAGGTTTTGAGATAAAGAAAATTATTTTTTATAAATAATTGGTTGTTACAATTATAAATATATTAGTTATTAATAATAAAAATAATAATAGTAATAAAAATAGTAATAAAAATAATAACAATAATAGTAATAATAGTAATAATATTATAATATTATTATTTAATTATTTTAAATAGAAAAATTATTAAAATGATTCAGCAAATCTTTGATTTATTCAAATAGTCAATGAATTTAATTTTGCCCTCCCTCCGAACTGTCTTTTTGACATAATTTATATTGTTTCTCTAATTTCCATGTAGCCTGATTCTAATTGATTCCAATTGATATTTGCTGATAATGTTTATTTATGTTATTAATTTGACCTAATTTGGATTATTTAGGAATTTTTAATTTTCGAGATAATAATTTAAAAAAAAAAAAAAAAATTAAATAAAAATTCATTCATTTTTGAAAAATATATATAATTTTAAAATGAAGACATTTTGCGCAATGTACTCGCGAATTTTAGTTCAAATGGTTTATTTGTGGAAATTACTTTAAACGTTTGAAAGTATGTGAAATAATAAATATTTTTCTCTAATGCTTCCCCAACGTTTGTTTGCTAGAAAAAAAATGTGGTGCAAATTAGAGAAATCAGTGCGCTGTAAAATAGTGTAGAGGAAAGTATTGTGTGTGGCAGTAGATCTTAGTTGTTGTTTTTTATCATTCGCCTCGTTACAGACTTCATTCGTCGTGACTCAATTTTTATATATGAATTATTTTCTTTCTTGACAAACTAATAATGAAAAAAAAATTGTATTCTAGATTAATAAAAATCAATTTAATTCAATAATTTTTCCAATTAAAATAAAATACATTTCCAACGAGAAATTAATTTATTTAGAAATTTATATTATAAATATTTATAATTTCATTGTTAATTATTTAATTTATTTCTTTTAATTTATAATTATATAATTTTTTGGAATGTATTAAATTAGAGGAAGATTATGAAAGAAAGAAAAAATTATAAAGAATTTTAAAAGTGGCAATTTGCGACAATTATCAATAGTGTCAGTTTAATGATAGTTATAAACAGAGAATATCTATAATTGCACTTTACAATGTTTAAAGTAAATTTACCAACTATAGGCTAAAGTTATTAAAGTTCCAGAGGGTGTGACCAAATGGTCATTTATCGAGCTGATAATATTAGTAATTATATTCCTCAAGCAATTATCTTATCTTCTTCATGTAGACATTTTTCTCATTTACTTTCCATTCCCTCAAGTGCATACATTTCCAATCCTTATACTGTACTCCCGATAGAATCTTGACGCTTCAAGATCAAATTTAATTACATTTGAATTTAGACAAACAGATAAATTGTAAAATTTACAATAAAGTTTGTAATTACCTTTATAGGATACACTGATTATATTAAAAAGATATCAGAGGCAAATAATTAATATTAAAGATTCTTCTTCTATTTTATCATCAAAGAATTATTTTCATTTTTTTAAAGTTATTTAATGAAATAATTTTAATGAATTAATTTAAATAAATTATTAATAATAATTATTAAAATTCTTGTATGTAATAATTGCAAAATAACATTACCTAACTCGAAATGGAAATATCCAGAAAAATTATCTTGATTATTATTTTACACTTAAAAACACTGATAAATATTTAAGGAAACACTTGATTAAATCCACTGAAATAACCTTAGTTATAATTAACAATTATTTTTACACTGAGCAGGAAAATATATATAAGAAATAAAATGAAAGTAACTATATCAAACCTCCCATAAATTCCAATTGTTTTGCAATTAATCGAAATCTAGAATCAAATTTTGTTTTCCTCTTTAATGAAATTTTAGAAAAAAATTTAAATTTTCTTTATCAGAAATCAAACTACTACTATTATTGTTATTATTGAATTAAGAAATTAATTTTTTATTTATGGCAATAAACTTGTAGAAAAATAAAAAACGAAGAATTTGATTTTAAAATGAAGTTTAAGGGTTGTACTTGGACGCGCGAGTTGGAAATATTTAATAAGACCGACAATTGTCATTTTTTATTATAGTTGTAATTTGGAAAAATTTGTTTTTATTAGCGAATAAAACGTCTTATCAGTTTGAGTGTGCACAGAGTACTGAACAAGAACGATCCAACCTCACTCTTTACTTGACTTGGAGAACAGGTGCTCCAGCTTCTGTTTGATTCAACATTGAATAAAAATATTTTTTTTTCAAATTAAAAAAAAAATGGTGTTTTTCAATCTTTAATTTAAAACAAAATTGTTTTTGCAAATTGAAAAAGAAAATAAAAATTTTTCTGATGAGAATCAGGAAATTAATTTTCTTTTAAATGTAAATAATATTATTATCATTGAATATAGAAATATTAAACTGTCAAGATTGTTAGCAAAACGTATTAATCTTTTAAAAAATAATTGGACAGAACTGATTGGCGATTAGTAAACGATTAGGTTTCTGATTTAATCAGGAAATTAGTTGGAAGTTATCACTCAATCAATTTTGACGTAGAAACACACTCTATTTTTGCAATAATATGCATGAGTGTCTGTTGATGATAATATTGAAGATGATCTGCCACATGTCTTGTATATATTGTATATATAAAAGCCAGACGAGAGAAGATTGAAAAGGAACCATCCTTGTACCTTATTTTCATTTTTTTCGTAGACAGAAAACGAAACGCGTTGAGAATCCAAATAAGACAATTATAGTGCCTAAAAAAAACAAAATAAACGTATTAAAAATATGATAAAACTATAATAAAACATGCATGGAATAAAAAATCGTATCAGAATGACTGAATTCTTATTTGTCTTTCATTTATTATTCTATTTATTTTTATTTTTTTTGGAATTTAGAAATAAAATAAAAATGTAATAAAAGTAAATTTACTAAAAGATAATAATTAATTCTTGATACTTAACAAAAACTTTATACCAAATGTGAATGTTACCATGAACTGGAAATCATGCATGAGAAATTTTAATATAAGTATGAGAGAACGTGACAGCTTCAGTAGTAGCGTAGAATCGTTTTAACAAATAATTGCCCACCTTAGTCAAATTAATAAAAACAGAATCGCGAGAAGAGCGATGAATGTGTATAGGATCCAAGCAAGTCGAGAGATTTCTTTTTTTTTCAAAGTCGACGGGTGGTAGACGCCTGTATCACCCCTGAGGTCAATTCACGTCAAGTTATTCAACTTCAAGTGTGAAGCAACAGCTATTAAGTGAAGCAAAAATTTCACACAACAGTATACTTATAATCACATATTAATTTACAACAATTCGCCAGTGTGTGTATATATATAAAATCAGTTGAATTATATCACAAAAGTCAAAATATCCTGAAAGAATAAATTTATTATTATTATTTTCATTTTTATTCAAAGTAAAAATTGTATTTTACTAATTAGTAATTTAAAAATGTACCTTTCTGTTTATGTCTCTTGTTTTCAATAAAAATGATGTTTACAGCTAGTAGTGAATTCTCGAACATTGTCCAAAAGTGGTGAACAAACGTGATCGTCACTGGTAGACAAAAAAAGAAATTTATAGCTGAAAGAGTGAACGGTCCGCGCGTATCAATGAAAGCTTGGATCCTGCAAAAAAAATTCCCCCCCCCCCCCTTAAATAAGCAATGACTTGTCTTTTTTAAAAAAAAAATTCTAAAGAACACGGCATGTTTCCTTTCGTTTTTTTTTCATTCTTCCCTTTACGTGGAATTAAAACGAATTTATTAGAAAATCAATTGTTTTCGAAATTAATTAATTGAAAAATTGTACAATATTCTGTAAAATAAAAATAATATTAGAGGATAATTTTTGAAAATTAAAACTAAAATAATTTTACGTGAATTTTTTTTTATTTATTATTCAATACATTTTTTTTCTCATTTTAGGCGTGTATATAAATAAAAAGTCACAAAATCTACAACGCACAAAAATCGTGTACTCACAAAAATACAGTAAAAAAAGTCCTTTGTGCCTTACACTTAAAATTGTGTAAAGAATATCTATCATCTATCCTTCTATGTTTTTTTTTTTTTTTTGCGTTAAAAAAGAATCACAAAGTGTATATGAAATCTCTGATATGTGGCCATAAAAATACTGATATCTCATTGTCGCTAAAAAGTGAAGCGGAAATTTGTTCAATTTTTCGGTTTTTTTTTCTCTTTTTATATATATATTTTTAGATCCCCTTCACTTACGTGTATAATAATAAAGGCAGAGAGAGGCTCTTTTTTTATAGATATTTTTTTAACATATAGCTATTTTTTACAAAGTCCTGCACCGTCGTATCCACCACCGATAGCGACTTAATCTCTATTTTTTTTTTTTTAATTATTTACAATATTAAATAGTTTTTTTTTTCAAAATTGAAACAGATCCTTCATTTAGAGAGCTGGTTCCTGGAACAATTAGCTCTTGAAATTTTTTTTTTGTAAATTAAAAACTATAACACATTGAGTATTTTCGTTCAAGTTTTAAACTAAAGAAACTGAGCAAGAATTCGTGAATTTTCTTTTACCTTTGGCAGCAAATTAAAAACTAAATTTAAAAACAAAAAAAAAATTATTTTTAATTATTGTAAAAATGGAATTTTTTTAAGTGCTATAAATAAAAAAAATGACGTTACCAACATTTAAAGCCGTGTGCTTTAATTACAAGTGCTGGATTGCATGTCAACAACATTGCCATTTTCATTATTGTATTTCACAAATTTTCTAATAATATAATTTGTAATTTAAAAATGATCTGCTGTTATTAAATATACATGTACACATGCACACACATTTTCACGCGTTCATTATTTCTATTATGCTTAATTTGTGCCTGTGAAAATGAATTTTCACTAATAAAAATATGTCTTTTCAAACTTATAAAATGAGTATAGTGCGCAAATAACAAGAGAGTTGCAAATATGTTATTTTTGCATTCTTCAAAGTAGTTTTTTCATTACAAAACTTTAACAATATTTGCATTGTTCTCAAATTCAAATTAAAGTCAAATTTTGTTTGAATTAACGTTAATTATTTAATTTTATCAATGAGAACTATCTTTTTTTCTCAAAAAACTATAAAAAATTATTTTATAATTTGTAAAACTTGTTTTATTAAATAAATTAAAAATCAAGTTTCTGAGAAAAATATTGATTTAAAAATCAAAATTTACTATTTAATTGTAACAATCTCGTATTTCAAAACAAGATTATTTTATAAAAAAGCTTCTCTTTATAATTGACAAGATTTCTTGAGTTATAAATTTGTCAAATGCAATATATATTTCTAGATTTTCTTCCAACTTTGGTTTATATAAGACACTGAGCATCGTTGCAATATAAATTGTTCGATAATATTGATTATTTTAAAAGCTTCGCAATTAAAAATAATTTAATTAATTATTTAATAACTAAAATTCCCATGGCATGTCCATACTTTTTTAAAAAAAGAAGAAAAAAGAAGAGATCAATACATTAAGTCTTATTCAATATAATCACTCGAATTATTTCCAAAATAAAAATAATTAAAAGCAACATGATCATGATGAACAACTTATCATTTATCATAACTAAATGTATAATTTAAAAACTAATGTGAATTATTATTTATCATTCGCAATAATTAAATGTATTTGAAAATGGAACAAAAGTTCCCTGAGTATATAAACATTTCCTTGGCAAGAGATTATTAAATAACAAATAAATGTAGTCAAAATTTACTTAAAAATTAAAAAAAAAACTAACACTTTTAAAAAGTATTAAAATTTGTAAATAATAATTAAATTATTAAAACTAAATACGTATTAATCCATTGACTTTTCTATTTTACAGATATACCAAAGGAACTGAAATCTATTAATTGGAGAAAAATAATAATGGTGAGTAAATTTTTCTATTTCTTAAAATATATAGATAAAAGTCAAATGGTTTAATACTATTTAAATTAAAATATATCTATTTTAATTAAAAAAAAATTCTTGATTTAAATTTCATTTACGAGAAAATTAGTTTATCTATGAACACAACCTGGTTATTGTTACACGGAAGTCTCTGAATTAAGCCTGAGAAGAAATTTGTTAGACTTAGGATGAGCGAGTTGCTCAGTGAGATTAAAATGTGGCAATCGTTGAACCGTACAAAGTAATGCAACTTCACCCTGTCGCAATTGAAATTCACATCCATCAGTGATTAGCCGTGAGGGTAATTCACCCTCACAAACTAAAGCCCAATGTTGTGATTTTCTTTGTCGTTCTTTTTCGTGCGAAAGCACTGGACTTGAGGTGAAAAATGGTTCTAAAAAGGCTTTTGGTGCCGCGTCCTGCGCTAAACATCGTGCGAGTCGCGCAAGAATTGCCTCAACCGAATGACGTGGTTGTTGTCGCGTTACTCTCAGGTACTTTTGCAATGATCTTGCCATTGAGGGAAATACAGCTTGCGCAGCTTCCATTGGATCCATTGGACCTGGATTTGGCGCTGAATCAGCGTCCGAATGTAAACGTTTAATATGAGCAAAGGCCTCCTCCGCAGCTGTAATGAGACGTGCTTTTCTCTTTCGTACACGCCTCTCGTAATCGTGTTCCTCATAAAATCTCTCATTATGACTTGAATCCCTACGTCGTGCCTGTGCAGCAAGAACAGCACGATCGCCTCCATTCCCACTGCGATTTTGTCCACCGCTCGTCACAGTTCCATCTACATCGTAGAATTTAAAACTCGATTGTTTCCTACCTGATTTTGAAACTGGCAATCGATCCAAATAGGGATTATAGATTGAGAACTCGGTGTAATATTTCTCCAAAGCCCAAACAGCCGCTCGTTGTATTGACAATTGTCCAATTGCATAGGATCTTGATTCTCCGTCTGGAGATCTTACCACCTGAAAAAATTTAATTATTCAATTCAGTGAGCAATGATTCAATTTATTTAGTTTACATACCTTGAGATAATACATTGGTTGTAATTGACGAATCTCAATTAAAAGAACAGCAATGTAGTGAATAAATAGTAGCGTATCGGAAAATGTACTCGCATAGGCCACCAAATTTTTGTAACCCGATAACTCCCCATTGGAAACACTTTTTGCAATCTCTGTTAACTAGAAATTTAAAAAAAAATTGTTAATCAACGTTAAATAATTTCAAAGAAATAGTTGTTTTTTTCATTTACCTGTACAATATAAAATAACCAGTAAGTACAAATGCACAGCATGGTTAAAACAAGAACCCCAGCTCTAAAGAGATAAACTCTTGGCATTGTTGCATATCTAGGCCGTAAAAAAACTGCCCATGTTCCTATGCCTAATAAAACTAATTTAAACGTTAATCCAAGAAGTTGTCCTTTACATTCGGCATTACAGGCGAGCAGCTCTAATTTTTTCTCCACTGGTAGAACGGATAAATGTTCAGGTAAAAATGCTACTTTTGGCAGTATAACCATAGCAATAGGACTTAAAAAGGCGCTTATTCCAAGGAACATTGCTACCATCATGCCCACATATCGATGGCATTTGAAACCAAATGAACTTTCCATATCATTTGGCCAATGACTGACATCTTCTGTTGATTCTGATCTATCAGAAGTATTTCCCGTGACAGCAGTTGTATTTTCTCCCCAATTTTCATCCTGGGGTAGGATTTGCACCTCAATTACTTCCTGACCCATGTTATCGACACTTTCACCACGTATATTGACAGTCGTTTGAAATGGGGCCATATCATTCGTATCCAAATTAAGGCGGTCTTTCCTTTGACCTCGATTACTTTTACTGAAATTAATTTTCAAAATTAGTCCTCTTATCTACAAATAATTCCCCTTTGTTTAAAAACTAGTTACAAAATTACAAATTGGTTTTTTTATTGACATTTTTTAAACTATAAATACCAAAGACCTATATCTTATATATAGAATTTGCTTTCATATAAAATTCGCACAATCAATTACAGTTCAATCAATTGTGTTAATATAGAACTTGAGCCATTAATAATTAATTAACAAAGACATAGTTATATCCTTATTATAGAGGTGAAACAGACAATGTAATATGTTGAGAAAAGAGGCTCAAGGAAAAAAAAACAATTAATACCTTGTGTTTCGATGTGAGTTGTGTCGATGATGAGATTTGTTGCTATGCGTGCGATGATGATGATGTTTTTGAGAACCTTTGCTATGAAGGCTATGGCTATGCTCACTAGCCCCTGATTTTATACTCTCTGTCTCCATAACCTGGCACAGGCTATCGCCCAAAATTTACCCAAAACAAGCATTCCCTTCTTTTGGACATTGGCAAACTACATCCACGCAGACATTTCGTATTTTTCAATAGGTTATAAACCTCGTGGATAATTTAGATAGCACGCTATCCATTGCGTGCCTTCTCGATCCTTTCAATTCTCATTATTGTATCCCACGCTCTTCGCATCATATTCTTGATAGAAATGTCATCCGTATAAATCCTTTTTATTGGCACTTCACTTAAATATTGTTGGTGAACTTTACTTTTTATTAAAAAACCAAATGTCATTGACAAATTTTATAAAAAACGACGCCGACACGCCTAGCGTTTATCATTTTCTACCCCTTTTTTAACTATATCCCTCTTTTCATTCCGTCTTATTACACATTCTCTCTCTCTTTCTCTCTTCTCTTTGTCTGTCTTCGTCTTCTGACTTCTGCATTCCGTTCCCAAAAGCAGAGCCAAAAGTCTCGTCACCAGCTATGAACTACGAAATAAATCCACGTATCTTATTGTAATGAACGATTATTCGTAGTTTTTTACATACCCAACCCTGCTCCACAAATTAGCCAATCAGCTGTCGGATAAAATTACGCGCGAAAGTTTAAACCAATTTTAAATATAACAACAAATATTTTATAACCAAATTGATGATGCTTTAAAATTACACAAACAATAAATAGATTCAATGTTTAAAACAAAATTGAATCTATTTAATTATTAAATTTTATTTCAAACATTTGAAACACACTGACATGCGCAGAAAGTCATTCAAGATGGCCGATTGTTGTTGATGCGTTAAGGTTAGAACATGTGCTCGTCAAAAAAATTATAAACATTTAAGTATTTTAATTGTTTAAAAACAATAAATTAATCATTTAAAAAGTGAAATTAGTGAATAAAATGTCGGAGAAGCAAAAAGTGTTAATTTGTGGTGATGTAGAAGGACAATTTAAATTTTTATTCAACAAAGTTGATACTATAAACAAAAAGAATGGTCCTTTCGATTTTCTTCTATGTGTGGGTAATTTTTTTGGTGAAAATAATATTGAATTAGAACCATATAAAAATGGAAGTAAATCAATTCCGGTGCCAACTTATATTATTGGTCCAAATCGTCAATCTGACGTAAAACATTATCCAGATCTTAATGGTTGTGAGATCTGTCAAAATCTCACATATCTTGGAAGACGAGGACTTTATAATGCAAGTTCAGGATTAAAAATTGCCTATCTTAGCGGTATTGAGGAAAGTTCTTCAGAAATGAAAGACTACTCTTTTAACGCAAAAGATGTTACAGATGTTAGAAATACATGTTTAAAAGGACAACCAAGTTATCGTGGTGTTGATTTTCTATTGACATCACCGTGGCCTGAAGGAATTACAAATTTAGATCCTAAACAACCGGAAATTAAATATAAAGGATCAAAACTTATTGCCTGGTTATCAACACATATAAAACCAAGATATCATCTTTGTGGCTTGGAAAATATTCATTATGAAAGACCGCCTTATAGGTATAATTTCTTTTCTTTCTATTTAGATTTTTATTATAATTGACACTAATTTATTTTTTTTTTTATTCCAGAAATCAAAGTAAAACGGAGGATAATATGGAAATAGCAACTAGATTTATGTCATTGGCTACAGTACGAAATAAGACACAAAAATGGCTTTATGCACTGAATCTCACTCCGGTTGATCGAAGTCGATTATCGGAATTAATAATTAAAACCACAGATGAAACATCATCTCCGTATTCGAAATCAATGTTGAGTCCAGATCCATTTAATCAAAATAAATCATCAGAAATGAAAAGTACACAATTTTTCTTTGATATGGATTCTTCAAATGAGAAAAGAAAAAATAAAAAATCTGATCAACCGAACAAAAAGGCTAAATTTGAATTCGATCAAGCAAAATGTTGGTTTTGTCTTTCAAGTCCAGAAGTTTCGAAGCATTTAGTTATTTCTGTTGGTACTGATATTTATTTAGCTCTCGCTAAAGGCGGAGTAGTCGATGATCATTTTTTAATATTACCAGTTACACATCATCAAAGTTTATCAATATTGCCCGATAATGTAGAAAAAGAAATGAAACTTTACAAAGAAGCCGTGAGAAAATATTACGCAAACACTGATCGTGTACCTGTATTTTTTGAAAGAAATTTCAAAACTTCACATTGTCAACTTCAAGCAATTCCTGTGCATAAAAATCAAGCATCTTCATTGAAAGAAGCATTTGAGGTAAATTTAAATTATAAGTATTAAATCATGTATAATTTTTATTAATAACTAATTTAATATTTTTAACAGGAAATGGCAGAGTGCAATAATTTTTCATTAACGGAAATACCAAGAAATTCACAATTGCAACAAATTGCTCAACCAGGAATGCTTTATTTCTATGTAGAATTGCCAGATGGAGAAAAATTATATCATAGAATTAAAAAAGATTTTCCATTACAATTTGGTAGAGAAGTGTTGGTTAGTGATAGAATTTTAGATCTTAATGATCGTGCTGATTGGCGAGATTGTCAAATGGATAAGAATGAGGAAACTGAATTGTCAATGAAAATTAGAAAAGCCTTTCAACCATTCGATGTTGATGTGTGAGCTGATTTTAATGAATTGTAAATAATCAAGATTTATTTTCCCTAAAGAATTGTATTTTTTATGATGAAATAGAATATTTAATTTTAGAAGAAACGATTCTTTTAGAATTCATCATTTTTGAAAATTATAGTATTTTTTACAAAAAGGTATTTTACTTTAATTTAAAAAATTATTTTGATACAATCATCTATCTGTAAATATTTATTATATTTTTTTTTTGAAATTAAATTTAAAAGTCCCGCCAATGTAAAAAAAAAATAATAATTCGTGGTTATGTCACACGAATTGTTTTTGGTTTAACAGTATATAGTTTGTTGCCCGTTTGGCAGAATTTTGAGTTTTGCAATGTATTTTTTAATTCGTTAAACTATTTAAAAAATGATAAATTATATACAAAAAAAAGTATTACAAATTAACAGAGAGATGAAATAATCTATTTCTATTACGCATGTTCTTCTTGGGGTGAACTAAAATATTTTTCTCCGGTCGCTCCGGCGAAATGGAAATTTTATTGAATTTTAATTTACTATTTTTCAAAACTAACATGTATTAAAAGAAAGTTAATAATTTTTCAATTGTTTCAACGAATTGTCTCCGTCTTTGAAATATATAACAATAGAAAAGTACTGATGAGCAACGAAAGTATTTATAACCTTCAAATTGTTTCCAGAAAATGCAAGCTTTTTTATTTTGGTATGTTTAAAATTAATTTTACCTTTTAAAAAAAAAATGCAGAAAAGTAATAATTTAAATTAACATTTATAGTAATAAATTAATGTAGGAAAATTTAAATTAATTATTTCATTTTTGAAAATATTTAATTCTTGTCAATTTTTAAAAAGTTATGATAATTTTTTAAAAATTAAAAAAATTTACACCTGTTATTTCATTTTGTTAGTCTATAAATAATTTCAGCAATTTGTAAAAGCTTGCGTATATTTGGAACTTGTTGAGACTATTTTGGAGCACAAAAGGAATAGCAATGGCTGATGAGATTGAGTTTAATAATAAATATAAAAGAAGCAAAATTCTATCTTCCAACGATGTAACCGGAAGATTTTCCTCTAAATCTAATAGTGGAAACTAGTTTCATTAACGATCATGTTCAAGCGAATTTTATATATTAACATTGCCACTATTGGCTCGAAAATTTGTGGATTTATAGCACCGCTACTTATTCCACCTTTGCATATTGCTTTTCTATACTATTTCTGGCAAGATTTTGCTCGAGATGTCGATAAGCAATATTGTTCTTGTTCTTGTTGGGATACTGTTTTCAAAGGTAAAATTTTTTACATTTTCAAGCAACTCAATTTCATTTTTTCAGGACAAATTATAGAATTCTAATAATTTATTATTTTAGGTTCATATGAATCGGGAATTGCTTCTTATAAACATATGTACTTTAATGCAACATCGAATACATTAAAAATATGGATATCAATTGTTTTTGGAGTAATTGTATTCTATGAAACGGTCAAGTATTTAACATGGTTGGCATTCCAAAATCGTCTTCGTACAAGTATGTTCATTCTCTTCCTGTCTGCTGTCTTCTCACATTATTATTCCTGGTGGGTCTACATTAATTATTGGAATGATGATTTTTATTCTCAATGGTACCATCAATTATTTTTCTCCATCACGGAACTGATATCAACAATACTTGTGATACATTTGGCTGATGATAAAAATCCTGTAACACATCGTATAGCATTTGGAATTAGTGCTATTGCACTTATGCATATTCTTGCTGGAGGATGGGATCAATTTGTCACAAATGTTGTCAGGGGAGAAGGATACGCGCATCAGGTGAATTTTCTGATTATTTTTTTTTAAATAATGTAATTAGAAACGATTTCTTTCTTTTTCTTTGGAGAATTTTCCTATTTTTAAAAATTATCTCAACGATCTTTTTCCTCCTCTCTTTTTTAGAAATAATCTTAATTTTTTTTTATATTGCTTGATCTTTTTTCAATTATATTAATAAATATGAAAATATTGTGATATTAACTTATTCAATATTTTCAATTTGAAAATAGTCTTTTTTATAATTATTAGAGAAAAAGTAGCGCAGAAAAATATTTTTACAATAGAATTAGTAAATGTTAATTATTGTAGGTCGTTCGCGATCTTGGCTTCATGATTCCCGATATTCTGCATGTAATTATACCTTTATGGTCATTGCGATGGAGATCTATCTACAGTCTTCCCGGAGCTGGTTTGAAAGATCCTAATATCAAACGCGATCTTACTTTCATGTTAGGAATGGTTCTTATCGGTTTACTTATTTGTGCAATTTTATAATTTTATTTTTTTTCAAATTTTACTTTCGAGTGCAAAAAATAATTTTTTATTGCGAAAATATAAACGAAATAAGTAACAAAAAGAATATAATTATTAAAATATGGACGTTAAATTTCGGAAAATTGAAATTTTCCTTTTGAATAAAAATATTAGTACGTTTCCCTTTAGAGAACAAAAATGTAACTGTTAGATATCACTTTAGTCAACATACATATATGTATTTTATGAATAAGATAGGAACTGAAAGTTTTAAACAAAATCGTAGAATGAACTCAAGACAACGTAACAGTATTTTTAGGAATATAGTTGTTCGTATAGTTGTTAAGAAACTATAGAGATATCAAAATGTTAGTAGTTCAGTAATCGTTGGTATTTAACAACCCCCCCCACCCTCTCTCCCCCTCTATCATATCATTTTCACTATTTGTAGTACGTATATACATTTTATAATTATAGTAGAATAACTTTTTATAATCGCGATTTTTTCTATTATTGTTACAATGGAGAAAAATAGTTTTTGACATTTTACTGGTTAAGAAATTGTTTTTTCTCGGTACGTAATAACTAAAAAGTGGAAGTTAAATATATAATTTTTTAATAAGACTGAGAATAACATTTTAAAACTGACTAAGGAGAAAGTATCAAATGCTACTAAAAATCAAAAAAAAAAAAAAAAAAAAAAATGTTTTTATAAATCAAACGAAAAAAATTAAACTTGTGATTATTAAAAAATGTAAAGTGCCTATAAATATTTCAATTTTTAACTAATGTGTACTTTGGTATACGAAGAATAATTCAATGTAGGCACTATTAATGAAAGAATTTCATTGTTATTTATTATTAGTTGATAATATTGTTATTAATTCAATGAATAATTTATTTCATTTCTAGTCAACTTTTTAATAAAATTACAGACAATATTTTTTAAGTTTCTTATATATGGAAAAATATTGAGTAATTGTAATCCAATATCAAATTACGTCCATTTAAGTGAGAATCATTGTATCGCAAATATCATTATTATTACATATACTCAACACAAAAAAAACACGTGTACTGTAACACAATAATATCAATCGAATTCTAAAAAAAATTTGTCAGAAAAATTCGCAACGTTTTTGATTAACAAAAAATAAGTAAATAAAATTTTTTTTGCTTATTTTAAATATTTATTTATCAATAAAATTTATATTCATTAAAAATATTTATAAATAATTAGTATTTAGTATATTTTCTGATAAAAAATTGATAAATAAATATTTAATAAAGAAATAAACTGTTTTGTCTCCTTTCTTTTTTGTTAATCAAAATTTTGCGAATTTTTCGAATAATCGTAAAAATAAAATTCGTCAAAATTCAAAAGTAGAAAATATAATCGACACTTCGCTCAAATTTGTTTCTTTGAATATTTCGTTTTTAAAAACTATCAGGACTTAAATAATTGAGAAGTAGACTAATTCTGAATTTTGTTAATTTTGTTACTAATTTTGTACAAGATACAATTGTTAAAATTAATATACATTGTTAATCTTCCGATTTTTCAGTTATTATTGTGAAAAATGAGGAAGGCTAAATTAGCAAGTGTAATAGACAAATAAAAAGAGTAATAATTCCCAAAAAAAGGTTATTTTTCATATAAATTAGAATAGAGGAAATATTTTATTTTATATGATCTTTTTCTTTCTTCTTTCTAAATTATACAAAATTTATATAATTTTAAGATTTTTATAATATTTAGTTATTAAAATTGTATAATTTTAAGATTTTTATAATATTTAGTTATTAAAATTGTATAATTTTTATTTATTGTAATTTTTCAAATATTTGATTTTTGTTTAGGAATGTTTCTGTGATTATTAATTTATTGTATCATCGAATGAGAGAATTTAAGGGAAAATTTATTGCGAAAGGCGCAGGCTTCAAATCGATTCCATCACCCACCTCACACCCCTAAAGAAAATGTACCGAGTTTGTCGACTCGGGGGTGATACGACAAGTGATCAAAGCAAATATGGCGCTAGATTTTGCTGCCACTTATAAAGTTCTTGTTCTCGGGGACTCTAATGTGGGAAAAACTTGTATTGTCCATCGATATTGTGATGAACGTTATTATGACACCTACATATCTACAATTGGTGAGTTTTTTTTCTATTAAAATTGATTAATTTATCTATAATTATTTCATTCTCATATATACTTTAAAATTATATTACTTTTTGAGCTGCACGTACACTTCATTATTGTTGATAGCTACATAGTGTAATTATTATTTATTTTTAAAAAATACTTAAAAGTATTTTTTAAACTTTAAATAAATTGTATTTTCTAATTTTTAATTTAAAGACATTTTTTTATTTTAATTACGAAAATTGATTGCTTTGTAATTTTATAGTAATTATTTTCATGTGACTTAATAATATTATTTTCTTTAATGACGTGAATTGAAAAAAATTAATTAAATTATTTTAATAGGAATATAAAGAATTTTCATTGTTTCTATTATGTATTTCACAAAGTTCAGATTTATTTAAAGAAAGGTTAGAGGTAGTTACCAGTATTTATTAATGTTGAAAAGTAAAAATAGATGAACCTATGATTCGAGTCAAAGGTTCACTGTATATTTTTTTTATAAATTAAAATGTAAAAGAATATTATATACAATAGAATTTTTTTTATCATTTAAATCTATTTTTTTCAATTAAATTTATTTGAAACATATTAATATTTATTTGATAATAATTAATACGTAGATTTTGAAATAATAATTTTTTATTTTATTCCACAGGTATCGATTTCAAACAAAAAATCATCAATCTTGATGGAACTCCGATAAAACTTCAAATTTGGTGAGAGAGTCTATATTTTTTTTTATAAATAGCCATAATATTTTTTTCTATTGTTATCATTTATTTATTTATATTTATTAATTAATCATAAAAAATGTCATCACATTAGAACGTCAAATTTATGTCACTTATATTTTTTTAAAATTAGATTTATAAATTAATAAAATTATTTAAAATGTATTGAAAATATTTAAATTCTTTACTTAAAATTAAATAACTTTTTAATGAAAGATATGAGATGCTTCATATTTTTTGCAGCTAGATGTCGCATTCTTATTGATATTAGTAATATTCCTCTCGAAAGTGGTAAAATTTTCCAACGATTACTATATAAGACTGTTTAAAATTAATGACTTACAGAGAGTCCGGTACTGCTCAGGAAATCGTTAGTTGATTCTCTGTCTGGAGATATTCCCCAGGTGTTGCTCCAGCCTCGAGGGATATCTTTGTCCAAAGTTGCGTTTTTCTATAATGTTGCTTGTTGACTGAGATAAGTTCTCCTGTGATGATCCTCTCTCGTTGAATAAACGAGTTTGTTGTGATGTCCTGGAATTCGACGTTTTACAGCAACAAAGAAATTCGTGATGATAGAGTAATTTATCTAACAAAAAAAAATAACGAGTTGTATTATCACTTCTTCGTTTACTGTGGCAGTAATAATGACTTTTTTGTAACTATTGGAAATTTCTTTAAATTTAATTAATTTATAAGAATAAAAAAATAAAAAATTGTTTAATTCGTTTAAATAAAAATTTAATTAAATATTTACAAATATAATATATAAATGGTAAATTTAATACAAATGAAAATTAAATTAAAAAATAAATATTGAAAAGAAATGGAAATTTTTACTTACCACAAAAAGTTGATAGAACGATTAATTTTTTAAGGGACACTGCCGGCCAAGAAAGATTTAGGACATTAACAACAGCTTATTATCGTGGTGCAATGGGAATTCTTTTAATGTACGATGTCACCAGTCTTGAAAGTTTTAATCATCTATCTTATTGGCTTCGCAATATTCAAGAGGTAATAATTTTCAAATAATTACATTTTATATAAAAAAAAAAAAATATTTTTAATGTAAAATTACTATATCAAATTGTATAGAACGCATCTCCAGACGTCGTTAAAGTTCTTGCAGCCAATAAATGTGATGCTACGTTAAATAGAGTAGTTGAAGCAGAAAGGGGACAAAAAATAGCTGAAAATTTTGATATGCCTTTTTTTGAAGTTTCCTGTAAAGAAAATGTTAATATTGAAGAGGCTTTTCTTACATTGGCGAGAAGAATACGAGAGCAACGAGGACGAAGGGTGATACAAAAAAAATAATTAATTTTTCTTATAAGTTTACTATATTTTTTAAAAATAATTTTCATAGAAAAGAATTAAAATAATGAACTAATAAACAAATATTTATTCAGGCAAGTTTATTCGAGGCTTCAGAAAGAGAGGATGCCAACAGTATAATAAAAGCCCAATCACCATCACAGCAAAGTGACTCCTGGAAATGCTCTTGTTAGCCAAATTGATAATAATTCATGAATTTAAGGAAAATTTCCTTCACTGCAAATTCATCGAAGCTCACAAAAAAGTCAATTTAAAATGATTGACCTTTTTTAATATGTGCAAAAAATAGAAAATTTTTTATATATTATTCTCTATATATATGGTGTTTTAAGAAAAAAAATCCAAATCGACAAAAAAAATATTCTGCACAACATAGAATCATATACAAAATTCTAAAATTCACATTTTGAAATCATCCCATTCATTTTTTATTTTAAAATGAAAATGTCTAAAATCTGGAAACGAGAGGAATATATAGATTTAAACCACAATTTTTAATGTATAAAATAATTGGAGTGCACAAAAAAAAATAATAATGAAATTGACAAATTTCATTGTAAAGTTCGTATAAAGAACATTACGAAAAGTTTTTTTTACGGCTTTTGATATTTGCCTTTTTAAGTCGAATGAAGAAGAAGAAAAAAAATTTGTATTTAAAGACAAACAAATTTTTTTACATGACAAAAAAATGTTATTAGATGATTTTTTAAGGCCTAAAATAATATTGATCCGGAGGCGCGTCTAAGTTACATTATATTTTCGTCATATGCGAATTTATAATGTTTAATCGAAAGACTTCATCAAGCGCATTGTGATTTCCGTCAGAATTTGAGACTATTAAGAGATTATATTACCACAATTATATTTTTCAAAATATCCAATTTATTCCAATTTTGAAAATTTCGTGATTTTTTGATGAAATTTTTATTTAATAAAAGAAAAAATAGAATTGAACAAATAATGGAATTGTTGGATATTTTTAATGAAAAATAAACATCTCTTTATCGAGGACCATTATTTAATTCTCTAAAAGTAAGCAGCGTGTAATTATAGAGAAAATGTTAACACATTTGTTAAGTGAGTATATTTTTAAAGAAATCATTTCTTTTTAATTTTTCTATCGATCCTAAAATTAATTTTGAATTTCTAAAAATTGTAATGTTTATTTACAATTTTAAATATAATTTTTTTACTTGACTCAAATTTTCAAAAATTGGAAATTTAATTTTTTTTTAAAGTCCAAATTAATATTTGAAAATTTTTATTGTATTACTTTCCTTAAAGGAAAAAAAGCGAGTCGTACAAGTATTCTAGCATGTGCTAATTTAAGACCACCAAACACAAAATATTTAATTAAAGCTTAAGAGGAACGTGCATTAATTAAATCGCACGATCGCACAACGTACTTTCGTAGTTAGCATTGTTGTTCTCTTATAATAAAACAAAACAAAAATAAAAAAAAAATAGAGTCGCATTTCGTATCTTCGTTTATGCTGGCAGAAACACAAAGCCTTTGCCTTTATTGTGCCTATAAACGAATGTAAAAAAAAATATATTAAGCTGCTTTTTATAATTAATAATCGTACCACAAGCAAAACTTCGGAACAAAACGTCATAAATTGGCCTCACAAAAAAAAAAAAAAAAGAATGTACACTATGTCAAAGTTAATTGGAAAATCTATAGAAAGCACTAATTTGTTTTTATGTTTTTTCCAATATTATATACGTTAGGATAGCGATAGATAAATTTTGATAAGTGTTCAAATAGATCAAGGATTTAGACTGATAATTTAAAATCCCTGAATTTTGTTGCACACTCTTTTGAATTGTTAAACCTTATTAATTAATTGTTTAACTAATTTATTAGATTGTTTTGTATATTATTGTCGTATATTTACAATCTCTGTAGAATATTGTAGTAGTACAAACGAATAATTAAATTTCTATATTACAATTGTAGATTTGTAACGAGAAATTGGAATTTGATAATCACAACATTTTTAATTTTCTTAAAAAAAGAAAAAACCAAAGCAGGTCTTTGGAAATTATGGCAATTTTTTTCTAAACAAAAACATTTTGTTATATTTCCTTTATAAATGTTCTTTTTTCATTATTATCATTTTAAAAGTTTTTTTTTTTACTAATAACTTATTTTTGAATAATTGTAATAAAAATATGTTTTATCACATTACCACTGAATTTCTAAAACTAGAATTTAAGTTTGTAGATAAATTTTTCAATAATAAAAATGCACACTTTCTATTTAAGTTGTACAATTAATTCACTTTTTTATGATAAATTACTTCAAGAAAAAAAATTTATTTCAGATATATTTTTTATATATTAGATTTCCTTAACTGCAATATTGTCGTAGATATAAAAAAAATATCACCCAATTATATATAATTAACAAGAAAAATTAATTAAGAAATAAATGTATTTATCCGACTTTTTGCTTTTTTGACGGGTTTTATAATTGAAGCACTGATACCCTTTACTTTTCTCTTTGCGTTTGAAAGTTTATTTTCTTGTTTTAAATTCTCTTCTGATTGATTATTTGTAGATAGACTAGAATTGAAATTAATTTCCTCAACTGCAATGGATTCAGAAACTTGATTTGTTATTTCTTCTTTGATTTTCACTTCATCAGAAATATCATTCGTGTTTTCAGCTTTAATTTTCACTTCCTCTGAATCAATGCTGTGTAAAAGGAAGTTAAATTTTATCTTTTTTTTTTTTAGAAAAAAGTTAAAAAAAAAAAAAACAATAATGAAGCATACAAACCTAAAATTCAATTCTTCAGCTTTATTGCACAAATTGAATAGTGTTTTAAACATACATTCGCCGTTTTCTTCCGTTTTTGTTTGTATTATTTTTAAACAATCTTCGTTAAACGGTTTGGTTGCAATATTTTCTGAAAAAAGTTTCAATGTCGATTTTTTTTTCTTCTGAAGAAAAAATTTGAACATTTTATTTACTTACTTCGAATAAGTTGTGCACCCTCTGCTTTATATTCTGCAATTTCCTCATCCTTATCTTTAATAATTTTTAAAAGTTGATGATGTTTCTCAATTAAATCCATTGATATTAAGGAAATTGATTTTGTAATTGTCTCATAAAAATCCTCGTTACTTCCTCTATTTAAATGTAATTCAAATTTTAATTTACCACCTTTAATATTATTATACAGTGTTATTTTATAATTATTTGACTCTTCTACAGCACAATCCAGAATTTCTGGAATTTGAGACAAGATTTCGTCTATTGTTTTTTGAATATTTAAAGCCTCAATTTTTAAAAGAGGATTTAATACCTGCAAAATGAATGTATTTTCTATATGTTTTTAGAAAATTATGATATATCACAAAAATATAATTATATTATAGTTATAAATACAAAATATGTATAATTGTTTATATTAAAAAATGAAGTAAATACCTTGCATCTATGTATAATTGTTTCCATTGTTAATTCTTCAAGCCAGATAGTGATAAAATTCGTAAAAAAAATTTTATAAACATTATTCTCTTTTCTTGACGCGAATGCATAATTTTTGTCAAGAATTTTAACACACTTCCACATTTTTATTTACACTGCAAAAAAAATAAATAAATAAAAGTAAATATAACCTGTATTCCCGGTGTTTTGATTCTGACAGTTAAGGTTAGAATTCCACCAGATGTTTATTTTCGTCCCTCCTAATCTGATTGGTTAATGTCTAGTAACTTCCTCTACAGTCGTCCAGTGATTAGTAACTTTTATTTGTGTTTTATTTTTCCATTGGCATTACTGATACAACAGTAAATATTATTACTTTATTATTTCGTAAAAAATTTATTAGAATAAATTGTGTTCACTACGTAAAATATTGACAAATGTCAATGTGATTTATTTATTATCTATATATTTTAATTGGTAAGGGAAATACTCCCATATTTTCCTTGTATATAAACAGACTTTTTTTTAATCTATTATTTTACTTTCAGATAGAGAATGGGTCGAAGTCGTTCACCATCTCCTAGTCGACGAAGGGATCGTGAACGTTCCCGAGAAAGAGAACGTGAGAGAGATCGACGAAGAAGACGATCTCGTGAAAGACGAAGGTAAATTTTAGTATATTCTTTTCTGAAAAAAAATATAAAATTGCGATATTAAGAGAGAGTTATTAACATAACCTCAAATTAAAATTGCTAATATAAATATGATTTTTTTTTATTAAATCTAATTACAGATCAGTAGATCGGGACATAGTTAAATCAAGGGACAGAGATAGAGAACGAAATCGTGAAAGATATAGAAAATCTTATAGTAGATCCCGCTCGAGGGAACGTGTTAAACCAAAATCTAAACCAGATGAACGTCCTATAATTACAGGTATTTTTAAAAATGTTTTTACATTATTTCATAATTTATGAATGTAGAATACTTAAATAAATAAATATTAACATCGGAACAATTTTTTAACTCATAGAAGCCGATTTACAAGGTAAAACTCCTGAGGAACAGGATATGATGCGTTTAATGGGATTTTGTGGCTTTGATACAACAAAAGGAAAAAAAGTAGAAGGAAATGATCTTGGGGCAGTTCACGTTATTTTAAAACGTAAGTACAGACAGTACATGAACAGAAAAGGCGGATTCAATAGACCACTTGATTTTGTAGCTTAAAATTAAAGAACTTTCGTCTTCTAATGGATTTAAAAAATAAAATTTATAATTTTAATAAATCGTTTTCATCTGAATTTGACGTATTGTACAAATACACCTTTAAATCTAAACTCACTTTGAATATATTAATTTTTCATACATTTTGTATTTTTGTCATTTAAAGATAAAGGTTTATTAAAAACAGAATAGGTTAAAATTTTCAAATTTAACTGTAATTTTATTTTTAAAAAAATAAGATTTATCAAATACAAAAGAAATAAAGAATTTATTACTCAGAAGATGAGTTTAATTTACGTCTCTTGGAAACTGAAACTTCATTTTCTTCTTCGCTCTCATCACTATTTTCATCATCGTCATCTTCAATTTCTTCTTCTTCATTTCTGCTTGTATTGTGCGTTGTATTTTGAGTTGTCAGCTAAAATATTAATTATTTATTATTTCTTCTATAAAATTAAAAAAAAAAAAAACTGTTTAATAATGTACTCACCATACTCATTCCAATTCGCTCTATATTTTCAACAAGCTGCCTTTTATTAATTGAAAATTCTCTCGTGTGACTCTGTTTAATGTGTTTATTGAATTCAATCTTAAACAGAAAGTGAATTTAATTTTAAAATATGAAAATTGAATTTGTAATGTTTATTTGTAACTCGAAACATTAAATTTTGGCGTTTTTTTTTTAGAAAAATATGCAAATACATACCTTGCATTTTTTAGACAGCTGAAGAATGTCCTTATTAAATTGTTCAATTTCATGAATAACTCGAGGTATCAGCTTAGTTTCCCTTAAAATTTTATTTCGTCGTCCTTTTGAATCATTTATTTTACCCTGTGATTTTATGTCCTCCTGGATAAAAAAAATATATCGACATTTAAACAGTTGTCAGTTACAAATATAATCTATCAGAACTCAAATCAGTTTTACTGACTTGATGCTATTTACTTGATAAGAAAATATTTTTAAACGTACTTCTAGATTATAAATATAAGTTTCAACTTGAGGCTTCAAAGTTTTTCCAGCAACTTCTACTAACATTTTGAATCTGAAAAATATTAAGAAAATGAAAATAAAAATTAAATTTCCAAGCTTAATTAGACATTAAGAAAAAATAGTTTTACTTATTTGAAACGTTTGTTGTGTTTTCTGGTTTCCATTTACTGATGAAATATTTCGTGAGATTACTCAATATATTGAAAATTTGATGAATATTTTTTAAAAGAGCATCAGAATGTAAACCATGTGTTTTTTTAATCGATGCCAACAAATGAAGATTCATAGCAATACTGCTCAATTGTTTGCAAATTTGTATTTCAGTGTCTCTTATTTTTTGACGCACTAAAAAAAAAATTTTCAATTACATTTAATTAGCATTGAAAAAATTTTATTCTAAATACATACTCTCATCATTTTCTAGTCCTGGAGTGCATATTAAAATTTGTTCCGCTTTGACTCTGTTAAATAACAAAACAACATCTTGTAATTTCGATTTAATAGCATTGTTCACTGCACAAGCAATTTGAACAAAAGTTGAAACATTTATTATTTCATATTCTCCCGTATCGGATTGATTATCCTAAAAACATAAAATGATTATTAAAATAAACAAAATTATTATAATTTTTACTCTTTAAACATTGTTATTCTACCTCAGCGAATTTGTCACACAAATCTTGACTAATATTTTGTAAAAATATTTCACCGTAATCTGTTGTTCGAACATCAACAAACAACATCAATTGAATGATTATTAGACAAATAGACGGATCATTAATTACAGTTGCAGCTTGAGTTTTCAACCAATCTTGCATCTAAAATATAATTTTAAAACTTTATTTTAAAAAAATTTTTAAATTTTAATATACTTTAATTATTTATTTATTAATAGGTATTATATATTTATATTTATATAATTAATAGGAAACTTACATCGTTACTGATTACGCCTCTTTCAAATGTCATTTTATGAACGAAATACGAAATGGTTTCGATGAGGTATAGAGGAACTTTTTTTAAATTCGAATCATCTTCTTCATCAACTTGGAGTGAAGCGATAAATTTATTTTTTAATTCAATTAAAATAGTGTCAATGTTAGTATCAAGTCTTTCTTTCTCAATAGCATCGCCTACAAATGATAAAATAATCATTTTCATTAAGAATTGGAAAGAAAATAATTAAATTATTTTAAATTCTTTATCGTTTTGTTACCTGACATACAGAGAAACGCCGGTAATTCTGAAGTCCATGAATTGCAAATTAAATCGCAAAGCTCTTTGAAACATTCAACAGCATGCACTGAAGAAATGGGATTAATTTCTTGAACTTGATCCAAATTTGATATGACATTCTTAAAGAGTAATCTATAAATAAAAAATTAAAAATAGATAAATAAACATTAAAAAGATTATGAACAGTAAATAATAATACAATATACCGGCCAATTTGGATGTATGTTTTTGAATATTTATCTTTGTGTTGTTTAATAGAATTCTTTTTTAATGCTTTCTCATTACGAATTAACTGCAGACAAGTTTGTAACACATAGTTATTGAATTCTACGCGTTGTTTTAAAATTTCAACTTCTTCTTTCGTTGCCCACGTCAAGTTTTCTCTAAAATAAATAGATATTTGATTATAGTCACATATTTTTTTATCAACTTTATTAACTATTTTCTTTACAAATACTTACTCAAACAGCAGTGATAACATTTTATGAACAGTTTGAATGTCCATAACAGTATTTGGTAATTTCAATGTGACGGCACGAGTATTTTTACGAATCATACTTCTATCAGTTACATCTTTATCCACCTTCTTAGGGTCACCTTTTTTACTTTTATTACTTTTCTGTATAAAAAAACAGTTATTAATTTTCAATAATACAAAAAACAAATAAGAATTTAGTAAAGTAAAAAAAAAAACTCACTGGCTTGAGAAAATCAATAAAACGTATATACGTCTTAAATAAACTGTTAATATTTTGTGCAGTATGATCACTATCCTTCGACCAAGATCCAAATTTAAAAGCTATTAAGGCTTCACAAACAGATATCGTCAATTTTAGATGATGCAGCGTCTGTTGTGCTTTAGGAACGTTATCTAACAAATCAGTTGTTTCATTCTGAAAAATTTTTTTTTTCCATTAAATATCAATTTTGAACTTTTATAACTTAAATTGTTATCGATTTCGATTTACCAAATTAAGATGTTCAGCTTCCGTTAAAGGTATCCTTTTGCACAGTGATTCTAATATTGTTGCAAATGAATTGATGGCAGCATAATTTTTTAAAGCTGTTTTTATATACAATTTTTGAATGAGAAAAATCAAATCCCCAAGTGGTTCCTGTAAAATTTCATCGGCACCTTGTGTAATAGTTGATTTATCAAAAATTAGAGGTGGCAAAATATCTTCATTAGGTTCGTAGAAGACCATGAAATGCTCAAGTAACATTTCCGTCACGTATTCTGCTAATTCCATATTAATAACAACAGCATCGTAAATACCTGTAATTAAAAATGTTAATATTCAAAATTTCTTATCGTTTCTTTCGATTCTTACCTTGGTATAAATATAAGCGCACTTGACAATCATACATTAAACATCTTTTTAAAATAGATAATAGTTCATGACAAAGAGACATATTATATTTAGGATCCTGTATAATCCTAGCTGTATTTCTTTCAAGTGCTGCCTGTAAAAAAAAGCATTAGAGAAAATTTTATAAGATACAAAAATACAAAATTTATACAAACTTGGGTAACAATTGAGGATGAAGACGTTGAAGTGGAAGACGAACAATTATTTCCTTGACTTAAGGCATTCAGTGATGATACTTTTAAATTCTTCAATAATTCTAAAAAACCCAATACCGCCATTTTTCGCAAATAAATATCACTTTTTGTCAATGCTTTCCTCAAGACTAACACAAAAGTATCTCGTACACGTTGCGATGTTTTCAATAAGGGAAGAATAGCTGATACAACCGGCATTACGTCACTTCCTGCTTTTGAGAGTAATTGTTCTAATAAAGAGGTAATTATCGATTGATGATTTGTTGTAACTAAAGCCAATCGTCGACACATATACGATAAGCAATCTGTTAATAAAAAATATATATTTTTTTTAAATTATCTTACTAAAAAGCAAATAATTATACTTGACAAATCTTGTTATAAAAGAAATTATATTAGTTTCTTTTTACCTGTATACTGTAAAAAGGAATTTTCATTTGAGATTATTCTCTCAGATAGACAAAGTAAAATACTTGATCCCGATTCATGTTCTTTTTTAGCTATTCTTTGAACAATTTTTGTTCCAATTTCCCAAAGAACAGTTGTATCATCATTTCCAATTTTCTTTTCACTTCCCATTAGATAAAAAGCAAATTCTAAAAGATTTGATAGAATATTACTTCGCTCCTTTTTACTGTAAAATAAAATCTTTGTTATCTCTTATCTATTTTAGCTGAACAAAAAAAATTTGATTTTTTATATACCTATTCTCAATAACATCGTCGATTTTTTCAATAACTTTCCATTCATTGGGTATGAGATTTCTTAACCATAAATTATTTTTACTTCTTTCTTCTTCGTGATATCTTCGAACGATCGATAATTTCAGTACTTCAAAAACCTACAATGTTAATTTGATTTTATTATAATGTAAAATCAAATTGTCAATTAAATTTATTACCTGATCTTTGAAGAAATCAACATTAAATAATAAAACTGATATTATAAATGTCTGCATAATAAATTCTGGTTTATTAGTAACATTTTTAAGAAATCGTAAATAATTTTTTAAAATCTTTTGATCCATTTGCACTGCTTGATATATATGATATAATACTGTGCTTTCTGATTCTTTTATATTTCTTATATCAATATGTCCTATATCTTGACAACTTTCCTGTGTAGTTTCGTCATATCTTTGAGAAAAATATTTACAAAGTATATTTAAAAGTAATCTGCTATCATCGCTAAGTCGAAGAAGTTGATGAACCAAAGGAGGAATCTCACTAAGATCAGATTCAAGAAGCGCGTTACTTAAAGATCTTAGAACAAGATCGAGATCATTTTTTTCCAATGACATCTCACTAAAATAATTCAATATTAGATTAAATAATATTAAAAAAAAAAAAATTCAAACTGAAAAGTAAACTTACCGAAACATTTTTGCAAGTGACGTTAAGAGTTTCAAATCCCATTGACTTTGACTTATTATTTTTACAATTGCGGATTTGTACTCTAATCCAGTTATTTCGGATCCTTTGTGATTAATATATTTTTCTTCTCTAAGTGTTTGTAATAATGGTGGTAATAAATCTTTCCAACTAAAATGAAAATAATTAAATTCCATTAAATTAGATGGAAATATACTGGTATTATATAAATTTAATACACATTATACTTGCCACATATGATCATCGTCATTATTTTGTATTCTTGCTAAACAAAAGTCAACAAGTTGTACTAATATCCTTTTTCCACAATATGGAAATTCAATAATAATACGATTAATAATGTTATCAACATGATTTGTTGTTACTTTGGTTTTTAATAAACTTTTGAGTACAGCTTCTATCAATAAATGTCTGTCTGACTGGTATTTTTCCGAATTGGAATTGGAAAATTTTAATAAACTTTCTTTTAACATTTCAACGCCTTCTGGATAGCATATTTTTTCCGTCACCTTAGCACATAACTGAAAAACATTTTTATTTGTAAAACGTCCTTTTGTGATTACTCAAAAAATCCCACTTTTTTTTTGTTTAAATTTTTTTTTTTATGTCTCAATGGTAAAAAAAATAAATAAAAGTTCTAGTTAAATAACTTTCATTTTATTGTCACAAAATATAAAAAAATGTATTGTTTATACTTACTTCCTTTATTTCGCATATTTCAACAGACTTTTGCTTATCAGAAGATTTGCTAGTTTTATACATTTTTATATTTTATTCCGTTTCATATAAAAGTAAACAAAATACGCCGAACATTCAAATTTTGTTAGACCAGAGAATTGGTATGTAGGAAGAAGACCAAAGGTAAGAAATCTAAAGGTACAATCACACGATGAAGGAGTTTAAGGGTTGAATCACATGAAGCAACAAATTTTGTAACTAGATCATGAGTATATATTTGTCCTTTTCGCACTCATAGTCTAGTTACAAAAATTTTACACTTTAAGGTCAATGCACAATAGTTTCGCGAACGTGAAGCATGAGTTAGAGAAAAGGACAGAGATATATTTTTGTCCATTTCTATCTAGTTATAAACTTTGCCGCTAGAAGCGACACCTCTGCTAATTTAAAGAGAAAGAAACCGGTTTCAATTTTTTCTGGATTTGACACAGTAGTATCACGTGTATAACAATAAGATTAATAAACAATAAATTGACCAAAACAAAGCTGTTAAAAGTAATGAATTTAATAATATAATTATAATTGTATTAAAATAAAATTTACTTTAAACAATAATGACTAGTTTAGACAAATCAAAAGATGACAGAAGCACTTTGTGTTCAATGTAAGTTTTAAATATATAATTCAATTCTAATTATTTTTTGTAATCGACTCATTTTTTCATTTAATTTTTATAAAAATTCCTCTTGTAAATTTAACCTTAAAGTGTTAGGTCATTGAAAAAAAAATTCATAATTTGATGGTAAAGGCATTTTTTTTTTAATTTAAAAAAATACTTTAAAATAATAAATTAAGATGTAACTTTTATATAAACAGTAATTTACTTTACTTTTTTTTTAGATGTAATGAGAATCCAATGCAGTATACTTGTCCAAAATGCAGTATTAATTACTGTTCCTTAAATTGTTACAAGTCTGAAAAACATGAAGCTTGTTCAGAATTATTTTATAAAAATTGGGTAGAGATGGAAATGAAGGTTCGAAACTATGATCCTGAGAATAAAAAGAAAATGTTGGATATTTTGGAACGATTAAAACGTGAGACGGAAGAGCCAAGTATTGTAGAAAAAATCCTAAATGATGAAGATGATTGCGAAGAATTGGATTCTGATGACGAGGATGTGAGTCAATATAATTTAAATTTCTATAATAATAATAATTTGATTATTTTGTGTATTTTTTTTATTAATTTACAAGGAAAGTATTTTTAAAAAAAATGTCAGACTGAAACAAAACGATAATTCAAATTATTACTGTAATAAAAATAATATTTCGTATTCAATTTTAGGGAATTTCTTTAGAAGAGCGTATTGCGAATATTGACTTAAATGATGTTGATCAACTGTGGTCCTCATTAACAAATTCTGAGAGGCAGGAATTTGAAGCAATTATTCAAAGTAATAATTTCGAGAAAATTTTACCAGAATGGATTCCCTGGTGGGAACAATGTGTTGAAGTAAAATTAGTACGAGAAATTGACGAAGTCCCAGAGTATGAAAAATTATGTCCATCCTTAATTTCAGTACCTGCCATGAATAGTCAAATGGTAAGAATCTATTTGTTAAATAACAAAATTAAAAATAACTTCATTTACAGAAAAATAATTTAATTGTATTTTTTATTTAGAAAGTATCTCCAAGTGTACATTTTAATTTGATAAATGTTTTGTGCTCCTACGCATACGTTGTTTTACATTTTTATGGTGATCATTTAAATTCATCAAAATTGGCATCACAAGTCTTTCTCTATGTATGTGAAAATATAAATGAGAAAAAGAATTTTCATAACATTGACTCAGCTATCAATGCTGTATTTCAGCGAATTTTTACAGTAAGTAAAATTTTGTATGCCTTTAAATAATTTTTTATAGAAATTTTAAATTTTTTCAGGAAACATCTGCAACGGATAATGAAGAATTGGATACGATTTCGAGTATCAAACAAGCAACTGATCAAATTATTCAAGGTCCTAAAGATAATTGCAGTTATTATGTATTGGCTGCTTTATCTGATTTGCATGCACTGTTTTCAAAGGCAAGAAAAGAAACGAGTAAGTCTACAAAGTCACAATTTAATAAAAAATTCGATCAGTATAAAGATATCGATAGCGTAGATATTTCAAAAAAGACTCTTCAACTTCATTTAAAAAAACTAGAATTCTACTTCTCGTGGGTGAAATTATTTGGAAAAAATTTATCTGATTTTAAAATCAATATTGATCAGCCTGATGTATAATGAACAATTTTTTAATACACTGGAATTCTACTTTTGTGTATCCCAGTGATGTGTAATTTATTCTTAAATTAAGACGAAAAAGCGATATTTCGCCTAAACTGCAAAAAAATTGAGTAAAATAAATTATTAAATGAATGAATAAAAAAAGTGAAAGTGATGTGTGTCAAAAACTATACGGTAAAAATAAATCATCAATTATTTTGACCTAATTATCTTAAGATTAAGATTATTGGTTATTATAAAAGATCAATAAATTTAAAAAATTTTGAAAATTATCAACATTTAGCCCTTTAACATTCTAGGAAAATTGGAAGTATAAGAACTATAGGTAAGAAAATGAGAGTAAAAGAAATTTGAATACTATTCACACAGTAGTTTATTGTAATAATAAAATAAACTCATGCCATACTCTAATATGCGTTTATGAATTAAACGTTCGATAAAAACTCTACAGATAGTTATTGCAGCACAAGTATAGCTCTCTTTTTCTAAGAATTAATAATATTATAGTACCATCAACTTGAGTAATCTCGGACAATTAGGCTAAATACGGACACTTAAAATTTGTTGGAAAAAAAAAATACTGTAGGGAATATTTTATATTTTCATTTCATACATTTTTGTAATTTAACAAAAATTAAGTAATAAAAGGCAAGTTTTATGTCTCCGGAATTAGCCCAGTTGAAGGTATTGTAGTACATAAATACATTATTGTGCAATTTCGCAAAAAAATTAGTTACAGTCTATTGCTGATAAAATTTAGTCATAACGTAGACTTAGACTGTGAATCGATTTATTTTAATTATGCTAATTAGAAATGCACTAATGGTTAAATATAATAATAAAAGAACGCTTTTTTTTGATATTACAATAATCCGTCGGAAGTGAACGTGCAATAATTATTATTTAGCTTAAATCTATTTGTCTATTTTTTTAGCTGTAGTCTTAAATGTTTATACATAATATAATCTTTGGCCTTAAATCAGTAACTTAAATACTAGTTATAGATAATTACTATACACTTCTAATTAGTCGAGTAATACATATTTACGCAACACAATTCTCAACATTATTGACATTGATTACATTCTGTAAATTCAACGTGCCAGCATTAGAAAAATTAAAGCAAAATTATACAATACAACAAAATTTTCTTTAAATCAAGGCAATTTTTAATAAATTCTTGATTTATTTGCCTTTTTGACTAATGGTTCACTTGAAAATTAAATTACATTTTTATAATATAGAATAATACAGCCCAATCCGAACATTCACAAAAATTATTAAATATTTCTTCTGTTTATCAACAGAGGCTTTTACATTAGACAATAATTCATACTTAAATGGAACATTTTATAATAACTAATCTCAATTACGTGTATTTTAGAGTTTTCGGAAACTATCACAATTTTTCTTTTAAATTTATTCTTAATGTGTAAAATTAAATTACAGTATGGCAATGTGAATAAAAAAATTTCATAAAATTCAATAACTAAATTATTAATGTTTTGTAAACAAAAAAAGAAAGTAAAGTTTAAATTACTCTATGTTCATATTTATTTATTTATTTATTTATTTTGTTTGTTTGGCACATATGTATTGTTTTGCAACTATTTGATTTAAAAAACTATTTACCTTTAAAATTAAATGTTTTATAAATTTGTTTTAAAAGTTAGGCTATCGGAATGTAATTTTACATTAGTTATGTACAACTGTTATAAATTACTCGGTACACCAAGTAACTATGAATATAGATAATTGAGTAAAAAAAAAATTTTTTGAATTATTAAATTAACTTAACTCGATTTTTGATTTAATTTTTGCAGTTCGTGAGTTAAATCACAAATACAAATTGAAAAAATGTAATGTAGTAATTTATGAACAATAAAAATATAGTATTTTGAATTTGAGATTCTTGATTAGCAAAACATACATCTCTGTGTCTTTATTATTTACTGAAAAAAAACTAAAATTCGAAGAATATTCCAAATATTAGATTATTGATACTTTAGATACAAATTAAATTTACAGTGACAATTGAAAATTTGTTTAAACATTGATAATATTTCTTTGAACATTAAAAATGATCATGAATGATATTTCACAAGATTTTTCAATTTTTGTTTTTACTTTTCTTTATATTATTTTTTTTACTGTGTTATTGTGACATGGTATGTTACTTTGCATAAAGTATTTAAATTTTTAAAATCAAGCGTCATAATTTATCACACGTAAAGAGATCTTTTTTATTAATCATTCAACGATTAATAAAAACTACGTTACAACTTTTTTTTTAAACCAGTAGTATTCTACAAAAATTTTAGTGACAGATCTAATTAAAATACTTGCAACAAATTTTGTTGTTTCTTGTTTTGAGTTTTTATCTCTTTTAAATATATTTTTTATATTTTAATAAATAATGTAGATAAATAATAATAATATATATAGTAAATAATTAATTTTCAGTAAATATTTTTCATGTTTTTACAATATCCAACTCTTTTCTTTATACCATAAAAAAGAGCTTCAAGACACTCTTCATACTGCAGAAGAATTGTATTAAAAAAATAATATCCTTAAAATTAATAATTTTTTTTTATCTCTTAATTTTCTATCAAACTTTAAATATAAGTTTAAAAATAGTATAATTTTTTTTTAAATCTAGCAAAGAATGATTTTTTCAAAGCTCATGCATTAAATTCAAAAATCTTTAATAATTTTATGAAAATACATTCAATAATTTTGTTTATATAATTATTTAATTCGACAAGAAGTAAAGAAAAAAATTTGGCATATTAAACAAAATAAAATTGTTTCTTTTTCAAAACTATGTACAAAAGTAAGAAACAAAAAGTCAGTCCATATTACTTTAAATGACGAAGTAAATTTTATCCTTTTTTTTAAAACTAAATTAAACTTATTTTTCTCAGATAATTTTTTATTTTATAAATCAATTTCACTTTTGAAATATAATAAAATAAGCAAACTACAAAAAAAAACTAGGCTGATTTCTAATTTTGGTTTTTTTCACTTTCAATATATAGGCATTTGTTATTTTGAAAATTTGAAAAATATACAAAAAAGATGTAATAATCCAAAAGAATTTTTCAAAACTTATTCAAAATTTTCTAAGTATTAATAGCCATGAAATGTAATATATATTTTACATATTATATAAAATATGTATGTGTATACAATATATACATTTTTTTTCACAAAATATCACGTAATGAAACTAAAATTGATTGAATTAAATGGATAAAGTTTTTTTAATGATTTGGTTAATAACTTATCAATTATTTTTTTATGAAATGTGAAAATTTCAATATTTAATTTTGATAGTTTTTGATTTATAAAAATGACTATTTATCCAAAACTGATCTTTGATTTCAATTATTGAAACTGATTTGAACGATTTTCAAAAAAATGAATTGCCTCGGATTAATCGATATTCTCGCCTTTTAGAATTAAATAAAAATATCAGTAAATTCCTAACTGATTTATCTGAAAATTTCATATTAAATGTGACGCACTTTGAAGAAAGGGACCATAGAAGCAAATGAATTAGATTATGTTTACGATAATTTTACTTTGTTTAAATTTTTTTTTTTTATTTATATAAAATAAAAATCAGTTTTTATTTTTTAGATGTAATAAAGATTATGTTTACGATAATTTTACTTTGATTAAAAGTTTCTTTTTATTTATATAAAATAAAAATTAGTTTTTATTTTTTAGATGTAATAAAGAGATATATCAATAATTTTTATTGAAAATTGTTCCTCTTTGAAATTTTAAAATATAATATATAATTTTTTGCTTCTAATGTCCCTTTTTTCAGAGCGCGTCACAAATACATAATCCAAAAATTTAATTTGCATGAAATTCCCGATATTAACATCGGAAATTAAAAAAATAATTGAAGTTACTTTGAGATTTATAGAGGAATTTGATTAAAGATTAACAGAATAGATTTTTGGTCAAAATATATACATCTGATTAGGCTTTTGAGCTAACGACTTAAGATTAGATTTCCAAATAAGGAAATTTCATAAATTTCAGACTATCTTTGAACTCAATTAATTGAGTTGGATTTAGAGAAGCGTGTCCCCCGGGAAAACCAATTGCTTTAAACAACAACGATTTTATGATTGTTGCCGTTTGGCAAAAGAACATAATAGACACGCTTCCCCTTATCTCATTGGAACTGTGTGATATTTTCCTGATAATGATTATTTTCAAATGAACCATTTTGTTGTTGTTCATTTCTTTCAATGACACTTTGAATTGGAACAGAATCATTGGTTGTTTGATTTAAATTTGTATTATTTTCTGAAGTAATTTCAGTTGTTGTTGTTGTTATTATCTCACTATTTCCATTTGACTGTTGTCCACTGACGGAAGAATTTTGACCATTACTCGTATTTTTAGAGCGATGACGCATTTTATGCGAAGCAAGATATTGTTTAACTGAAAATGCTTTATGACACATGTCACATTTATATGGCAATGGATCTGTACATCCACCATTTATATTATCAATTACTGCACTTGACGCATGTGTTGTCAAATGCATTAAATAATAATGTTTAACAACAAATGATTTACCACAAGTTTCGCAAATATAAGGACCTGAGACTCCGTGTGTTTTTCTATGTTTATGGAGATTATCTTTACGTGAAAAACTCTTACCGCACAATTCACATTCGTGCATTTTTTGACCAGTATGAGATACTAGATGCCTCACTAAATGTTCCTTACGACTGAATGCTTTCAAGCAGGTAGTGCACACGTAAGGCCTCTCACCACTGTGCAATTTTCGATGTTGAAATAGATGTTCTTTCCTCTTGAATGGCTTTCCACAAACATCACAATTAAAGGCACTACCACCATTTGCATTCACGTGAACCACTTCTTCTTTTGAAGCCATTTCTGTGCCTTCATTTATAACTGACGGACTGCAACTGTGAGTTTCCAGCATGCTTAAAGTGGCAAAAGTTTTGCCACAATCGCGACAAATCATATCCCTTGTGTGTTGTGAAACCGCTTGCGGATTGACGGTAATTAGAGATGGCGCATCACTAACTGGCCTCAACCTTAAAAATTCCGAAATCATTGAATTTCTTCCATCTTCAACTGATGACTTTGAATAGTCCTTAAACTCTTTGTTTTCATCACGGGTCGTTGTAAGAGAACCGTCTTTAAATCCCAAGCTTAAAAATACTTCCGGCGATGCTTGAACTGTTGGAAAATTTGGATTAATTTCATTCTTTTGCGATAACTCCGCCGATTGGACTTTTTGAATCACTTGTTGTGTTTGTTCAGTTTCTTCTTCGGACTTTAAAATAATATTATTGTTCTGAGACTGTTGTTGCTGTTGTTGTTTTTCGATTTGTTGAACGTGCCTTTGTTGCAAATCGCGTTGTTGTTTTTGTAAAAGTTGAATTTGTTGCGAAAGTTGACCTTGATGGACGTGTTGACTGATTTCATTCGATTGATTTGTTGTCTGTTGTGAAATTTGTCTAAACGATTGCACTTGTTGGGATATTTGATTTTGATTTTGAATCTGATTTTGAATTTGGTGTATTTGGGAAGGCTGAGATTGGTTTTGTTCAGTGATTTGATTTTGACTTTGATTTTGTTGTTGATGCGATGAAACTTGCTGGGAAGTTTGCTGCTGATAACTGTAATGAGTTTCTGCTGTTGCCTCAACAACAGCTGCTGCTACACCTCCTCCGGATTGCATCTGAAAAATGTCTTGCTAATTTGTATGATTCGTTGAATTTATTTTTTTTATCATTAATAATTAATATATCAATTTATTTCTATATTATAAATCTTATTCTTAGATTTTAATTTTAGAATTTTTTTTTGTAACTAACCTGCATAGCACATTTGTATTGTTGAACTCTTGCCTGAACACCGCTAATGATTTGTATATTAGCAGCATTTATATTGCTGACAAGAACTGGTTGCTGATGTGAATTTTGTTGCTCCGGAGAAGCAATAAATTGATTGTTGGCAATAGCTGGTACTTTTTCAATGACTTTTAATGGATCATCTTCTATTGCAGGTTCCTCTGGTGTGGGAGTTTTCTCTTTTTCAGTACTTTTTACATAAACCTTGCCTTCTTTTAAACATTCTTCACTAAAATTCATTGATGTAAAATATGATTCCAACATTCCTTCAGCATTGACAACAGACTGACGAAACTCTGCAAAGTTTTCCAATTTTCTAACACAATCATGACACACAATTTTTGGCAATGAATCCTCCTCCATCACCTGCAATATAATATCCACAAATTATTATTAAAGCCATTGTATAATTTTTCAAAATATTTTTTTTTACTTTCAATCAATAATTGGATATTTAAAAAATATACTTCCCAATACTTACTTTTCTAGATATTGAATATAATTTTCTATATTTAATATAATTTGAAAAAAAAACATTTGAAAATCTTATATAAATAAATAGAAAACGTGGAAAATGATAATTCTTTAACAATAAAAATATTTACTTTGAAAATAGGTTCAAATTACTAAACATTCTAAAGATGTATTACACATTTAAATGTATATGTATATCAAAAATTGTTAAAACAATGTATAAAACGTACTTGAACATGTAAATACATGTGAATTTTTGTCTGCAGTTGTCTTCTGCGCCCTTCGTCACGAAAAATGTTCATTTTATTGCCTTCGCTATTAGTGCACAATCTGCATAACTCGTAATAATTCACCCTTCGATATCCTGACATTTCTGTCAAATATGTAAATTTAGATATCCTTTTCATAAACAGACATAAATACTAAGGTGTACACATAATACAAACTAAGTATAAACCAGTTATGATTGTAAATTAATTCAGAAAATCAACAACGACATTTGTTGACATCGAACCCCATATAACCGTGTTACTCTATCTATTTGCGGCCATATGCAATAGGGAGTTTTATACGTTTTAAGCTTTATCCACAATAGACCAATTAGGCTGCATTCTCATGGTTGCGTTTTGTGTTAAATTTTTGAGGCTGCAGTCCCATGGCAGCGTTTTGCGTTGCGTTTTGTCACTAGACCATGAGTGTAAAAGAGATGCAGATATATGTTTGCTATGTTTACACTCAGGGACTAGTGACAAAACGCAACGCAAAACGCTGCCATGGGACTGCAGCCTGAGAGTGCAAAAAAGATGGAATTATAAAGGTGCTTAAGGTGCTTATATACCTCAAATTTCGATCAGATGAACATTATTTCTGGACCGTGAAAATGCGTGAAAAGTCATTTTCACGGCGGGTATTTTTGAATTGTTTTAAACAAAAAATGTTTTTTTTAAGAAATATAATATTAAATAATTGTTTTAGTATGTAAGAACACTTTAAAATAATGATAGAGAGATGATTTGATTAAAAAATTTAGCAAATTTTGCTTTAAAACGTTTTCTGCTACAAGAAAGTGTAAAATGACGATGTTTGTGAAATGGTTTGTACAGTGTACATGTGTACATGTTTCTTTCAGTTATTCGAAACAATTAGTTGAATTTAAATTTATTTGATAAACATTTCAACTTACCGATTTATTTTCAGCACTCATTATTTATTACAAGTTAAAAAGAACCGACATAACATAAACAAAACTCTGAGAGACACTAACAAGGAAGAAGCACTGTACAAACCATTTCACAAACATCGTCATTTTACACTTTCTTGTAGCAGAAAACGTTTTAAAGCAAAATTTGCTAAATTTTTTAATCAAATCATCTCTTTATCATTATTTTAAAGTGTTCTTACATACTAAAACAATTATTTAATATTATATTTCTTAGAAAAACATTTTTTGTATAAAACAATTCAAAAATACCCGCCGTGAAAATGACTTTTCACGCATTTTCACGGTCCAGAAATAATGTTCATCTGATCGAAATTTGAGGTATATAAGCACCTTAATTTTGTTATTTTTGCACTCATTATCTAGTAACAAAACGCAACGTAAAACGCCCTTAGGCTGTGTTTACATGATTACATTCCGAGTTTCCGCACTCTGCTTCGACAGGGTTATGTACGTTCATTTCTATATGTTTTAGTTGTCATTGTGTTCAAGCTTAAATGTTTCCATCAGGACAACGTGTTAGTAATTTTACATTTAAACATTGGCAACATTGTTTGAAGGTCGAAAGGTCGTTTAGGCTACAGGAACTTTATTCGTTAAAGAATTTTTTTAACAAATTAAAAAATTTAATCATGGATCGAAAATTTTTTGTCGGTGGTAACTGGAAGATGAATGGAAATAAAAAAGAAATTAACGAAATTGTTAATTTTTTAAAAGCTGGACCCCTTGATCCTAATGTCGGTGAGTAAAATTATTTTTCCTCCAGGATAATTATGTATTATATATAAATCTCTCCAAGGTGGAAAAAATTTTGTATAAATTATTTTTATATAAGCTTTTTAAATGACATAAACTTTTTGAAAAATGCTCAACATTTGATTGTTTTTTTTGACATTTCTGCTCGTATAATGAATGAGAGAAAGAATATTTAATTTATCTTCTAAAAAAAATTATTTTATCAAAATAAATATTAAGTTAAGATAATTTTTATTGCAAATATATAGGTAAATTGTATTTGAATCAATAATTTTTATATTTAAAACAAGTGACTTTTTATGACTCCTGTAGGGATTAAACGACTTTCTTGTAAATTATGAAAAAGATTGTCGAATAGTTTATAAATGACTTAAAAATTTTTTACTACCATTACAGAGGTAGTTGTTGGAGTTCCATCAATTTATTTAACATACACTAGAGATATTCTCCCTCAGAATGTAAGTATAAGTGCTCAAAATACATACAAAGTTGAAAAAGGTGCATTTACCGGAGAAATTAGTCCAGCAATGCTGGTAGATAATAAAATTCCATGGGTTATTCTTGGTCATTCTGAACGTAGAAATGTTTTTGGAGAAACAGACGATTTAATTGCTGAGAAAGTTGCTCATGCATTAGATTCTGGTGTCAAGGTTCGTATTTATAATATATTTACTAAAGTATTTAAAATTTTTTTTTTCGCATAATTTCAAAGAAAATAAAACTAGAACTCATTAATTAAAAAAGGTTTTTTTTTTCTTTATTATAGGTTATTGCTTGCATTGGAGAAAAATTAGAGGAAAGAGAAAGCAATAAAACCGAAGAAGTTGTATATCGTCAAACAAAAGCTATTGCTGATAAGATTAAATCTTGGGACAATGTTGTTTTAGCTTACGAGCCAGTTTGGGCAATTGGAACTGGAAAAACAGCATCACCACAACAAGCTCAAGAGGTTCACGATAAATTAAGACAATGGTTTACAAAAAATGTTAGTAATGATGTATCAAAATCATTAAGAATTATTTACGGAGGTTCTGTAACTCCAGATAATGCCAAAGATCTAGCGAAAGAAAAAGACATTGATGGCTTCTTGGTAGGAGGAGCTTCATTAAAACCAGGTTTTGTTCAAATTGTCAATGCAAAACAATAAAAAAAAAGTACTTTTATCGATTCACTTCATTTTGTTAGAGTGTTAATTGTTTACTAAATATAGGAATATCCGAATAACCCGAGTAATTAAAAATTCAGTTACTCCTCACTTTTTGACAAATCAAGTTCTTCCGAAGATTAATTTATAATTGTAATTCTGCTTCCCGACTCTCTAAATAATGTTAATTATCGGTATCTTTATTTAATCTTTAGATTTTAATTCATGTTTGTTCTGTAATAAATAAAGAAGAAATGTTTATAATATAGGAAATAGTTCGGAAAAATTTTGACTAGTCGTCGAAAGGTGGAGAGTTCCTGTTTGCAAATGTTGATTTAAAAGTCAGAAGCATTTATCTTTATCTGTAAATTATACAAAATGAATTTATCAAGTAAAAGATTAAACTGTAATTATGAATAATTCTCATTTATCTTTTTTTTTATTCTCTTCCCAGCTTCTTCCTATGATTGTCAAAACTTATCACAGTCAAATTCCGGAAATTGTATTTGATTTTTTTTTTCGTATGTCCCCTTCAAATATTAATAGTTCTGGTTTTGGCTTGATAATTTCATAAATTTTTGTCCTGGTATAAAAGTCACAAATCCTAAAAATATTAATTAAATAATTTTTAAACATTTTAATTAATTAATAATTAAAATTTTTTTAATTAGCCTTAAGAACGATATTAATTATTTTATTATTCTACTATTTTACTATTCTATTTTAATTTTTAGTTTTGTAATTAAGAGGGCAATTAATATGCAAAAAATCCAAAGAGATGTACGTGGAGAGAAATAATAAAGAAAATTAAATTTTTTTAAAATTAATTAATTAATAATTTTGAAATGGGATTGACGTTTAGACGATTCAGTTGACACCAGGACGCAAAATTTACTTTCAATTTTTGGTTTCTAATTCGTATGAAAAAAAATTTTTTTTTTCATCAAATATAATTCCTAACATAAAATTTATCGTTTTTTTTCCAATTCTAGAGCTAAAATTAGATTACAATTAACTAAAAAAAATTTATAATTTGCAAAGAAGATTATTTTTTGCGAAAATTTTGTTTGTTATCAATTTTTTAACACGGAAAACGCAAGGAGATAGCCTCGGAAATCCAAAATATTAAGTCCTTAAAGTTCTCAGTCTTATAATTTTTTCTTCGCTGCTGAGACGCCATTTTGCCGCTCATCATCTTGAATTTTTTTCAATTTGCTAATATGAATTTTAATAACTAAGAATTCGAGGACAGAATATATTTTGATTTTCTGATTCATTTTCCGTGTTAAAATATTATAATTAAACCAAAAAAAAATTTTTTGCGAAAAATCACTTTTTTTGCAATTAAGTCAATACAAAATTTTATTTTTTTTTGAATTATAAATTAATTTTTATTACAAAATTGTAAAAAGTGTTAAATTTTACATTAGGATTATGATATTTGATGGATTTTTAAAAAGAAAATTTCATATAAATTAGAAGAATAATTTTGTGAAATTTATATGTATATATGTTTGTTTTAATAATATATATATATGTTTCGTTAAAAAAAAAGTAATGAAATTTTTTTGCGATTATAAACCTACATCTTTATGCTTTGTGCAAGGCAAAAAGTTTGCAAACATAGAATAGAGACCTAGGGATGAAATCGTGGGAAAATCCACAGTCGTTGACGCCATCACTTTGTAACGTTGCGACGCCGCAATATCGAGTTTCCGCCCATTTATGTTCTCACCTCCAAAATACTGCGTATAAATTCGACAAACGTAAGCTTCCAAAAGTTTGCGGATCTTTACTTTCTGATGTTTTATCTATAACTATATATATATATATATACTAAATGTGATAATTGTTTTAATTCTCATTTTTAGAAATTTGAAGTAAATTTTTTTTCGAAAAGAGAATTTTCAAAATTTTTAAAATGAATTTAAATTTATTTGATTCAAAGAAATATTTACTTGAACCAAATAATTTTTGAGTCAATTAAATGATTTTTTTTATCAATTTGAAACAATTTTTTTTAAATAGAGAAATTATTGTTTTAAAGACAATTTATTTAATTAAAATAAAAATTATTTGGTTCAAGTAAATATTTATTTGATAATATTCAAGTCAATATTTATTTGAAATAAATTTTTTTTCATTTTATAGATACCATATTCATGAAAATTGAATTCTATTAGAATCTTTTTGAAACCTTGTAGGAGTATCTATTGGGATCTAGTGGTTTTATATCATAATTTCAGGCATTTTTTTTTATTTTATTGGATCTACTATTTTCAATTTTGTAACCCAATGTAATCAACCCAAAAACCTCCGAGTAATAATTTTCTTGAAAATTGAATTATATTAATTAAACTTTTCCCATTTATTTATAATAATTAATTATCATCCTTAACACAATTACTGTAATAAAATTGAATAAACGTTTAGTTGATTCAAATAAATTATATACAATTGAATACTTTTTTTTGAATTAACCAAATGATTTATTGCATTTGACTAAATTTTAATCTTAATCGAAACAAAAAGTTTGTTCTATACAGGTAAAAAATTTGTTTCATAATAAATTATTTATTTTATTTGAATGTCTTAATGTAATTTCGCATTTTTTAAATTAATTTTTAATAAATTATAAATATTCACAGAAAATTATAAGGTATTAAAATAAGCTGCAACGCTTTTTATTTTAATCCAATTTTGCTTATTTTAATACCAAAATGGATTAAAATAATAAGCGTTGCAGCTTATTTTAATGTCTTTTAATTTTCTGTATTAACATAATAATATTTCATAATTACTTTTTATCCATTGAAATGATTTGTTTCGTTAAGTTAAATTTGTTTTAAATACAAAAATTATTGATTCAAATACAATTTATTTAATTCAAATAAAAAATTATTTGGTTCAAGTAAATATATTTATTTGATAATAGTCAACGGGATTATTTGAATCAAATAAATTTTATTTCAGTGCGTAATCTTTGAATGGATTATTTTAATCTTGGATTAAAGCGCTGTACCTTATTTTAATCCATTTTGTTATTAAAATAATACTCTAAAATTTACATTATTCGCAATATTACTATATGCAAATATTAACGCAATGTGGTATTATATATTGTGCGAGTATTTAATTGTAATATTTAAATGTTGCAAGTTATTTCTTATATTTCAAAAATCATTTATATACTAAATTTGTTTTTTATTTGAACCTTTAACTAAAACCACTTTATCATTGAAACCTAATTAATTGTATATAATATAATATAAATCGAATTTCTCAATATAACAATATCTTTATGTTCCTGCAGTGGATAAGCCCCCCCTCCGGTTACGATGAATCAAACCTTAAGTTTTCATGCTGGGGTTACAATTACACTTCATTGTTCGACAGTGTCCATAAACAACTGTGTTTTTGCAGCTGATAGTTGTGTTTTCACCCTGGGTCGAAGTTCAAACAAGTAGATCAAAAATGTTTTTTTTTTCTTGTTTTGATATAGTTTACATATACTTATAATGTTCTTAATATATAAATAATATTAAAAAAAAATCTTTTATAATTATGTTATATATAATATAACAAAGGCTGGCATCATTAACGAAAAAATTAATTTCTTTAATCTTTAATTCATTAACTTCAACAACGAAAAATTATAATAAAAGTTAACGCAAAAAAAAAAATTTACATATTTGATTCAAATAATCGGTTACTTTCACAGAAAATTAAAAGGCATTAAAATAATAAGCGTTGCAGCTTATTTTAATACCTTTTAATTTTCTGTGTTATTTTCAAATAAATATTTACTTGAACCAAATCATTTTTATTTGAATTAAATAAACTGTATTTGAAACAATAATTTCTCTATTTGATACACTCAGAGAAATGGTATATTTGTCTCCGAGCCTACTAACTCATTTATTTGTTGCAAATATATTTTATTTCATTGAAATAAAAAATTTATTTAAGGCAAAGAAAAATTTATTCCTGACAAATAAAACTTTTATTTATGCCAAATAAATAAGTTAGTAGGCTCTGAGACAAATATAAGTTTACTTAACTTAAATATATTTTATTTAGTTCAAATAAATCATTTCTCTGCGTGTACAAATACCATTTTATTAAATTAAAATAATAATTATTTGATATAAAAATAAATATTTATTTAATAATATAATCAAGTAATCGATTATTTGAATGAAATCAATTTTTTTTTGTATAGAAAAAAAAAGTTTATTTGCTTTCTAAAGTATAGAAAACATAAATTTTTCATGTGAATATTAGAAAAATTACACTCAGAAATATTTTATTTGAAACAAATATATAATATATTTGTGTTAAATAAATAAATATATATATATATATATAAGAAAGTTATTATAGGCAAATGCCTATAATAACTTTCTTATTTGGCCTAAATAAAAAATTTTATTTGTCATAAATAATATTTTTATTTATAAATAAAATTTTTTTAAATGAAATAAAATTTATTTGTAACAAATAAATATTTATTTGGCTTTGAGACAAATATATGTTTTCTCTGAGTGTATAATATTTTATTTCATAAAGTTCGAATATTATTAAAAGATAGAATTGTTAATAATTCGAATTATTTGAAATTCGAATTTTCAAAAGTTCGAATTTTTAGAAATTCGAATTATTAGAAAAGTTTGAAATATTAAAAAATCGAATCTGCAAATATTCGAATTATAAAATGTTCGATATATCAGAAAATCGAATTTTCAAATATTTGAATTACCAAAAAACTGAATTTTTAGAAATTAAAATTATTAAAAGTTCAAATTAGCAGAAAATCGAATTAAGGGGGTACATATATATATGTATATTATTTTCTCATCATCATGTTTCACATTAATATACATTATATGCGTGCCAGTTTACATTAATATACTAAAACATAATTAATAGTTACGGTTCATTTGGTGTGTATGTGTGCAAGGTGTAATGTTGTAAATTTAGGGAGCATTCAGAAAAACGGAACATATTTTTTAACCTCTCTCCCACCCTCACCCTATGTCACGCAATAAATGCACATCAGTGTTCATCATATATATATATATATATATATATATACGTTCCTTGGATAAACTTGTCGAACTCATATTTATGTTCCCATGGAAACGCATATGAATTAAATACGAGTTCATCTCTAAACAACACAAAAATATTGTTACAACACTGCCTTAATATTGCACAACAATATATTGCAAATATTTACATATTTGGTGTATATTTTCAGCCAAATATACCAAATATCCAAATATATATAATTTATTATAAAAATATAATTTTTTTTTGTATTAACGCGCAATTTTTTTATTACCGTGAAACGGGGTGATTTCGCTCATTTCGGGTAAATTCGCTCACCCACTTTTATGCTTTTTTTAGCTTTAAAATAAAATTTAATACCTTTATTACCAGGTAAAAATGTTAAATTTGTTAATAGAAATACTAAATTTTAGTTTAAATCAAATTTAAAGCAAAAAAATGGGTGAGCGACTTTACCCGCACTGAGTGAAATAACCCCGTTTTACGGTATTTCAAAGAAAATTTGTTTAATTCAAATAAATATTTATATTTAATCTAAATAAACGTTCGAATTAACTTTCATCAAAAACTTTAGGGCGCGAATTTTAAATTAACCAATCAGAAATTAATGAGAAATTTTTAATTGGATAATTTGAAAATTCGCCTCAAATTTTTAATGAAAATTCAACTGTCAAATATTTAATAATTCGAACAATTAAAAATTCGACGCGAATTTAATAAATGAAATTAAATAAAAAAATTAATTTTTTTTTCATTATTGATACGTGATAATATATATAATATTAGAAACATATATATATATATATATATATATATATATATATATAGATCTGTATAAGTTGTTTTCACACCCTTCTAAAAATTAGTGCAGACATAGAAAATATATAGAGAAGAGTATATTTATATAGTTGAAATGTGTCATTAGACCAGGTGTTGCACTCGATGATGTTACGTAGGGGGTTCACCATGAAAAATCACTTATCCGTAGGGTGATGCTTGATGAGTTGGGGTGTTTTGATGCATTGGGGTGAGATTCCATCAGAAAAGCCCTTATCCTCCCTTTTTGGGTACTCAAAAACCGCTTATCTGAATTAGTACAATCATCATGGGCGTGAAATATCAATAGAGTTTCAATGGAAATAAAACTGATCAAATAATTCTTAATTTAACAGGAACAATCGTAACGAATTTATATAACAACAACAAAAAAAAAAAAAACACAACTAAACTATTTTCATTCGCTTTTAATTATTAGTCATTTCCTGAAACACAAATTTTCGCATCTATAGTCATTGAAAAAAGTTTTAGTTATAGCTAACTAATACAGTCACCGAATTTTATCTTCTTCTTTTTAAAAAATTATTTAGGAATATCAGTAATAATTTTTTATTTGAAACAAATAAAAAATTATTACACTGAAAAAGTATTGACAACCAAACGTTTGATTGGTATTTAAGGAACCAAATTTTTTTTGTTGAATCAACAAAATTTTAATTGTCTCAACCAAAATTTGTTTGACATAACCAAAATTAGAAAAAAATGATTTTTGTTGTCCTAACTAAAGTTTAATTGAGACAACCAAAATTTTGTTGATTCAACAAAAAAATTTTTGGTTTCTTAAATACCAACCAAACGTTTGGTTGTCAATACCAAACCCTTTTTTCAGTGTAGTAACTAACATTGGTCATAGGAATTTTTGCCATAGTAACTTGTGCCATAGTAACTTTTGCCATAGTAACTTTTGCCATAGTAAGTAACTGTTGCCATAGTAACTTTAGCCATAGTAACTATTGCCATAGTAACTTTAGCCATAGTAACTATTGCCATAGTAACTTTAGCCATAGTAACTATTGCCATAGTAATTTTAGCCATAGTAACTTTTGCCATAGTAACTAACTTTGGTCATAGGAATTTTTGCCATACACTAAAAAAAGGGTTTGGTATTAACAACCAAACGTTTGGTTGGTATTTAAGCGACCAAAATTTTTTTGTTGAATCAACAAAATTTTAATTGTCTCAACCAAAATTTGTTTGACACAACCAAAAATAGAAAATAACGATTTTTGTTGTCCTAACTAAAGTTTAATTGAGACAACCAAAATTTTGTTGATTCAACAAAAAAATTTTTGGTTTCTTAAATACCAACCAAACGTTTGGTTGTCAATACCAAACCTTTTTTTCAGTGTATATATATTAATATAATTTAAATTAACTAATTTAATTTAATATAATAATAATAACATTTTTTAATTTTAATTAAAGTTTACTTAATGATTATCAAATAAATATTTACTTAGACCGCAAATAATTTTTATTTGAATTAAATAAACTTTACTTGAAACAAATAATTTCTATATTTGAAACAATTAGAATTTTATTAACTCAAATAATAATTACTTAATACAAATAAATTTTAATTTTTCAATAATTCTCTTATCCAGATTAATGTTTTATTTGAACCAAATATAATATATAAATTTGAGTTAAATAAACGTATATTTGTCTCACAGCCTTCTAGTCTATTTTTTTGGCGTAAATATAATTTTTTATTTTAATTAAATAAAAATTTATTTGAATCAAATATAAATATTTATTAGGCTGTGAGAAAAAAATATCATTTCTCTGGGTGTATAACCAATTATTTGAATAAAATAATTTTTTTCCAGTCAAAGATTTGGTTCACGCAACATTATTTTCTTTTCTTCGATGGAAAAATTAATTAAAATTAATCAAATATTTATTTAAATCTAATAAAATAGATTATAAACAATTTTTGTTTAAAATAAGGGAAAAAAATGGAATAAAAATTTTAATTATTTTGAATCAGGCCGCTCACTTTTTTGTTTTTAAATTATAGTTAAATTTAACTAATAGTACACTCAGAGAAATGAGCCTACTAACTCATTTATTTGTTGCAAATATATTTTTATTCATTTAAATAAAAAATTTATTTGAACCAAAGAAAAATTTATTTATGACAAATAAAATTTTTATTTACGCTAAATAAATAAGTTAGTAGGCTCTGAGACAAATATATACGTTTATTTAATTCAAATATATTTTATTTGATTCAAATAAATTATTTCTCTGGGCGTAGAAAAATTTTTTTACCATTGAATTTAGTAAAATTTAATTAATTCAAAAGGAAAAAAGTTATTTGATTCAAATAATCGTTTACTTGACTAAAATAAATATTTTCTTGAACCAAATAATTTTTATTTATATCAGTAAATTAATTTTGTTCCAATTACAGAAATTATTCGTTTAAATATAGTTTATTTGATTCAATCATATATAAAAATTATTTGATATAAATAAATATTTATTTGAACCAAATAATTTTTATTTTAATCCAATTTTGCTTATTTTAATACCAAAATTGGATTAAAATAATAAGCGTTGCAGCTTATTTTAATGCCTTTTAATTTTCTGTGTTCTCATAGTAAAACTTCACCTGGAACAACAATAAGTTTAACTGGAATAGCGATATGTTTCATTTAAAACAGGGAAAGTTTTCGCTATTCCAGAGAAACATATCGTTGTTCCACACTCAGAGAAATAATATATTTGTCTCCAAGCCTACTAACTCATTTATTTGTTGCAAATATATTTTATTTCATTGAAATAAAAAATTTATTTGAGGCAAAGAAAAATTTATTTCTGACAAATAAAACTTTTATTTACGCCAAATAAATAAGTTAGTAGGCTCTGAGACAAATATACATTTATTTAACTCAAATATATTTTATTTGGTTCAAATAAATCATTTCTCTGTGTGCAGGTGAAGTTTTTTTTCCATAATTGTTTAAAAAACAAAAATTGCATTTTTTTTTAAAGAAAAAAAATTGTTAAGTGGCAAAAATTCAAAATTTTTGAAAAAAAAGGTCAATGCATATGTCAATGGTATTATTAAATTTATTTTGTTTTCCTGGTTTTTATGGTTTCAAGCTTGACTGACCACCCTGATATTAAACATCATTTTCATCGACGGACATGGTTAAAATGCACACAATTTTTTAACAGGTGTACAAAAGTGAATACCAAAAAAAAGAGCATATTTTTATTTAAAAAAAAAAAAAAAAAAAAAAAAAAAACATTATTGCAGGGCATTTGTTTATAAAATCTTAAAATGCATAACAAATTCACTATATATTATGATTTGGAATATTTCAATTTGGTTTTGTTTGCAAAAAAATTTAATTTCGTGTGAATTTTTTGCAAATGCAAAATATAAAAATAGACATAATAAAAAAAAAAAAAAAAAAGAAAGTTAATAAAAATAATATTATATCGTCATTAATATGACCCTCTCTTGATGACATACATCATCTAAATGTCATTCTGATAGAAAATATATATATATATATATATATATATATATATATACCTATATAGTTCGATATTCTATAGTTCCTCTGATAGATCAATAAAAAGGCGGTACTGCTTCCAGGACAACGTCAAGCGTCTGGGTTACAAAACTCCAGGATTGGACGAATCAGATACAAGTTCATTTTCAGCCCCTCCATAGCATGGTTTCCATTTAATTCTAGATTGTGTTTCAGTATATAGTTAAACCACCTGAGTAATCATAACTTTTTGAAACGGGTGCGTGAGGGGAGATATAATTAGTTTTGGATATGTAACGATACTTCCGGTGCTAATGGAATCGCCCTATATCAGTTGGATAGTGAAATAATAGTGTAACCATTGTGCGCGGCGAAAAAAAAAAAAACGATGAAGAAAGAAGAATATTTTTAACTAAAATTAATATTCATAGTGAACAGTGCAATAACTTCAATATTTTAATGTAAAAAAAAAAATGTGAGTAACGATATCAACAAGAAAAAAATGATTTTCTAACAGTATTTTATTTCAACAATCAATGAAGAAAGAAGAAATTAAGTGCCATGATGATAAATTTTCAAGTGTTGATTTAAATCATTGCCAACACGTGTACAGCACACGTCGTTATTTACTGGAATTTTTCGGCACACGTTTTGACACGTGTCGATTAAAATCGCATTTAACAGAACGTGCTTAAATGCCATTTGAATTCTTCTACAAAAAACGATTACAAATGTCTATACACTAAACATAAAGCAATAAAAAAAAATCTTGGAACAAATTTTTGTTGAATACAAAAAAAAAAAAAAAATGTGACAAGTGTGCAAAAATTACATTCAATTTTATCTAGTCAGAAAATCTAGTCATGTATAGAATAATATATTTATCTAGTCAAAATATTAATTAAAAATAATATAACAATATGCTAAGTCATATTTTGTGGCGAATGTCTTTATTTACGTTAAAAATTTTTTTTTTTAAATGAAATAATCGACAATTAATTTGAATAATGAAAATGTATTCGGTGGATAATTTGGAATTGGATATGATAAATCGACAATATTTTTATGAAGCCCATAGTTTTTTGGGAAATACAGGAATTCCAGGATTATCACAACATTATAATGCTAATAATATGACAACTCTTCCTACAATATCGGCGCAAATATCATCCTATCCATCAGGAAGTACAGGAAGTTCAAGTGGTAGCGATCTTTATTTCTATGATGAAAACAGTAGTGATAATGAAAGTGTTTACAGCAGTGATCAAGAAAATCGATCAAGAGAGTAAATATAACATTTTTTTTTTTTTTTTTAATTATTTAATTAATTATAAAAAATCTGCTTTTGCCTTTTGTTTGTTCTTCTGAACGCCTCCGTCGCACAGTGATTTGAAATCGTAAAGTAAGGATCAAAATAAAATCGCAGTGATCCTGTCTTCTTTGAAGTCATTGTTTTAATTAATTATTTGTTTTTAATAATATTTAAATAATTAATAATAAACAATACCTTTATATCGCGTGGAGGTAAACAATTTTTTTTTTTTTTGAAAAGTACCTTTTTTTATTTGTTTATAACAATATAAATAATTATGAAAAAAAAAAAATCGGGCTCGACAGATATCTTTTAGAAAAATACAAAAAAAAGGAAATTCAAAAATTATTGAAAATTTTAGGCTCTTATTTTGAGCCTCATTTTTCGATTTCAAAACAAGTGTGCGTCGGTCGCAAGTCCATATTATTTTATTCATTAACATTTAGGTATGTTAAATTTAATTTAATTATTAAAAATTTACTCTCTAAATCTGAATTAGTAAAAATGTTTACTAATTTGAGTGACTCACTTTTTGCTTCTGAATTAGTAAAATTTTACTAATTATTAGTATAATTTAACTACGGATGTATAAATATTGACAAGGTTAATTTATATATGATTGGATGTAATGATAAATATGATAAAAAAAATAGTAAAAGCTGTATATAATATAGATAAAATACTTAAAAGTAAAGAGGTTTGACGTTAAGTTTATTGTAAATTTATGTATAGATATGTATATGTTTAAGGATGGATATGAATAGAGATGCACAGTAATTATATGTAAACCAAGTCCATTTCTGGGCCATTAGGCTGAAAATAAATAATATTATTTACTAATTATTAGTAACTTTAACTAACAATTAGTAAAATTGAACTAATTCTAAAGCAAAAAGTGAGTCACTAATTTAAATTAGTAAACATTTTTACTAATTCAGATTTAGAGAGTAATTTAATTAAATATTTGAAAAGTTTTATATTTAATTTAATTATTTAAATTTAATTTGTTTATTAATGAATTATTTTTATTTATTTATTAATTTTGTAATTTTATATCAAGGGTTGCCACGGGTCAGGGAAATCAGGGAATAATGAAATAAAATTTTTGTGGTAACCGTGTCTATTTTACAAATAATTGAGGTTTTTTTTTGCAGTAGTGCATAAGGTGTGTTAGGGCTGTCTGACCCAACCGCAATATTTCTACTTGCATGAAGGGGACTAGACACTGGTCCCCTTAACAAATTTACATTAATTACTTTTTTATTAACATTACAATTTCTTTTTTTTGTATTATATTGTCACTTTTCAAATTCCCTTTTTAACTTTTCGATTTTAATTTTTTCATCTTCATTTTTTTTATTTCAATTATTTTTCAATCTCAATATAATGTTATGAGCTTAGTGCTCTCTAATTTAGTGAAAAGTGTGCTTATACCAAATAATTTTTATTTCAATTATAAATATAATTTTTATTCGTACCAATAATTTTTGTATTTGAAACAAATATCATTTAATTGTTTCAAATAATAAAATATTTATATGATAATAGTCAAATAAACGATTATTTGAATGAAATAAAAATTTTTTTTTATAAAAATTAAAAAAAATTGAAATTCAGATATAGAGTCAGTTGCAATAAAAATTTATTCAAGCTGAACCAACAAGAGAGTCGTTGCGAACGATAGCGACTATAATCAATATTATCATCATTTTTTCAAATACAAACCACATAATCGACATAAAGAAACAAAAATAGTACCCTGAAAAATATTAAACTTTAAGGACATTTAAGTTACAAAAAATAGATTTTTTTTTTTGAAAAATCGTAGCTATTATAAAATAGGGTAAACAAAATTTTGACCTATTATGTTTTTAAACTGTTTCTTCTCTGTTACTAAAGATTTTTTCAAAAAATTCCAAAATTTCACCAGTTTTTATGAAAATCAAAAATATTGTTGTCTTTTTTTTTAAAAAAAAACGGGTATTTAAAAGTATTATTATTATTATTTATTTATTTCTAGACAAACACGTCTTATTCGACGAAATTCTGGTTCTGCAAAATGTTCTCGACAAATTATTCAACAAAGACAAGCCGCTAACCTGAGAGAAAGGAGACGCATGCAAAGCATAAATGATGCTTTTGAAGGATTACGGGCCCACATACCCACATTACCATATGAAAAAAGACTTTCCAAAGTGGACACATTAAAACTTGCAATTGGATATATTAATTTTTTAAACGAACTTGTTAGAGCAGACAAAGGAAATGAACAGATAAATGGCAATAATAGTCTATCAGGACGATGTTCAATAAGAGACGATGCTAAAAAAATTATAATTCGAGGTAAGAAAAATTCTTATTTCAAATAAAAATTATACAAAGACACTTTAATAAAAGTTTTTCTTCTTTTTTTTTTTTTTATTGAAATTGCAAGTAATTATTTAATAATTAAATATTTACATACAGGTAGTGGTGTCAACTCTTTTATTTCTCACTCACTTTCTTGGTCTCGTAAATCGGAAACTTCTTCCAATGGGACTATGTTTGCTAAAGTATGGACGCCAGAAGACCCAAGAATGACAAAATATGATGTAAATTACGAGTAACAAAATGTGATCAATAATAAAGATAATAAAATAAATTTTTAATTATGCCACCAAAAGAGTATAGATGCAGAAACCGATACCAAAATGTATTTCCAACATTTCTTTTTTTGTAAGGGACAAAAAAAAAAATTTGATACCAGTTAAAATAATCAATAATAATAAATAAAACTACATGCGATTAGCTAACAAACTTTTTTTTTTTAGAAAAGATTATATTATTCATTTATTCTTTTCATTTGTCAAATTATTTACAATATTCAACAATTGTGCACAATCTACATAACCATTAAACTTTTAAAGTACATTTTATGTTAAAGAAAATTATATAGTTGAAACGGAAGACTATAAATTACCCTAATTTTTTTTAATATATATATATATTGCTAATCATCCCAATCATCTTCTTCACTAGAATCGCTAAACGAGTCCTCACTGTCACTATGTATAGCTCTTGAACGTTCAGCTAAAGCTCTTGAAAGTGCTCCAATTAAACCATCTTGAGGAACTGATACAGTAGATCGTTTTGGTTCATTTAAAACTGGCTTTAGCTCAATACCTTGACGAATTTGAGACAAAAGATCGCTCCTTGTATCAACTGAAGGTCTCGGTTTTGCTTCGTCTTTAGTAACTTTCTGTTAACAAAACAAAAATTTCTTTGACAATTATTTTAAGCTCACAATATAAAAAAAAATTACCGACATAGAAATCTACCTTACCGACTGATGGTAAAACGTGTTTTTTTTTGAAAAAATAAAATATAAAAAATACCGACACATAAATCTACCTTACCGACTGATGGTGAAACAGATTCTTCAATATATATATATATAAATTACCGACACAGAGATCTACCTTACCGACTGATGGTAAAACAGATTTTTCAAGAAAAATGAAAAATATTAAAATTACCGACCTAGAAATCTACCTTGCCATCAGTTGGTAAGGAAGATTTCTATGTCTGTAATTTTCATATTTTTTATAAAAAAAAACCTGTTTTACCATCAGTCGGTAAGGTAGATTTCTATGTCGGTAATTTTTTATATTTTTCATTTTTCAAAAAAAAACCTGGTTTATCATCAGTCGGTAGTGTAGATTTCTATGTCAGTAATTTTTAATTTTTTAATTTTTTTTTTTTTGAAAAATCTGCTTTACCATCAGTCTATATGGTGAACAAAAATAAGTTTAATGATCATGTAACACTCGCAAGTGAAATTTAATTTTACAAACGCAAATTATAAAGAAAAGTATTTACTTATTATAATATTGATATAATTAAAAGCGTTTTTTTTTATTACTTGTTAAAAAAACTACTTTTTTAATGATTAAATCTTAATTCAAAACAGTAAGACCCACGTATATAATTCATCTAAAAAATAATTATATTTAATAAAATTCTTTAAAATGAAAAGTAAAACTAATTACTTTTTATGGAATAATCATGCGCCTAAAACTTTCCGCGTCTTTTTTTTTTTTTTTTAATATTTTTGTAAATAAATATCGAATCATTAAAAAATAAATCAACTGACCTTGAGGGTAGTACCACTTCTAATGGATTCCATAAGCATTGAACGACAATCTTCACTTTGGCTGTTATTACTTTTTGCACTACTTAAATCATTTTCAACTTTTCTATTGCTTTCGACATCAACATCGTTGAAAATTGGTAATGGAGGTGGCTGTGGTATTGATAATACAGGAGCATCTTTTGAAGATGGTGGAGGAGGAGGAGGTGGAGGTGGTTGAGATGGTTGGAAAAATGCAGAATTTGTTGGAGGCGGAGGACGTGTTGGAATTACTTTATGCATCGATGGAGCATTTGCAGAAGGAATTGTTTTTGATGGAGGTAATGGAGGAGCCGTTCGTGTTTGACCCTGAAAAGTATAAAAAAAACAAATTTTTAAAAATTAAAAACTTTAATACTTAAATAGCAATTCGAAAAAAATGTTAAAGATATAGAATGAAAAGTCGCATCTATATTTACATTATTTGATGGTGACATAACTGCAGAAGTAGTTCGAGGTGGTACAGGTGGCGGAGGCTCTAAGGTATTTTGCGGTTTTGAATCTTGAACTTCACTTTTCTTGACATTCAATAGAGCATTTTCTTTCACAAATGCTTGTATCCCACCGTGATTATCAATAAAATCGTAAATAAAATCTCGCATCCTTGGATTTTTCAACTGATTATCAGATACACCAGCAGTTGTAAATACTTCTTTAAGTTGGGGGTCAATTGATCCCAATTCTAAATGTTTATTATCTGCATTACACCCCACATGAGTGACGTGTCTGTCAAGAGAAATTAATATATAAAGATCAAGATCATTTTCATATCGTGCTTAGACTAAATTATAAATAAATACAATCGGTCCTCAAAATCATTCATGAACTTAAATACTTTGTCTCTAATCACAAAAATCTAGAAATATCTCTAATTAGCATTTTTAACCGAAGAAAAGCAATCACATTTTACCTGAAATTATGAGGAAGGCCAATATCTTCTTTTCTTAATTTACGTTTCTTTTCGTTGTCTCTGTGCTTTTTCTTTTTTTCAAACACAGAGCCACTTGATATACTTTTATTAACGGTTGGAGCCATAGGTGAACCATTAAACAAATTTCCTGACGATGATGACAATTCTACTTGTGGCTCGCCTTTTGTACTTTCCATCACTTCTGAAGATCTTAATGCACGCTTTTGTTTTTTCTGACGTTTTGCTTCAAGTATACCAATAAGTGCATTCCTAAAATTTTAAAAATTAAAAAAATGTTTGGCGATACTTTTGTTTACATATTAAAATTGATATTGAATTTTATCAGGCTTTTTTTTGTAAAGAAATTTGTTATTAAATTTATATTAATTCAATTTAATTTAATGTACCTTAAAACAAATGCATCGTATTCACTTGCAAAATTAAAGGCCATCATACTCTCTTCTCCTTCAAATGTTTGGAAGTACGGTGCAGGAGCTTTGTATTCGATGGCATTGTAAATTTCATGTTCCCAAAGCATGGCTTTCCTTTGAAGACAATATAATCTTAAGAAAAAGCTTCGTTTTGGATTATCCCTTATTAATGTTAATACGCCAGTACTTCTTTTTAACCACTCGTTATGTGAAGGTGGTTCAGTCAAGTACAACTGAATTATACCCGTTGCTAAACACTGTAAAACAAATACATTTCAATTAATATTTATTTTTATTAAAAAAAAAAATTTTAATATTAAATACTTTTTGTAAATTTAAGTAACATTTTTAAATTAATTAGATTTTAATGAAATTGCATATTTTGTTAAATCGATAGATAATTAATAATAAAATTTATATTAATAATATAATATTAACATTATATTATTAATTAATATAATAATTAACAGTAATTTAAATAAAAATGCAAAGATTTTGTATGAGCTAACAACAATATAAATAAACTAAAGAAATCTTCTCTGAAAAACATATACATTTACTTAAAACAATTATCAGAGAGTCAGCAAAATTTTCATTTTCAAAACTCCCTAACATTTCCCTGACATTGTGATTTAAGAGAACAATCCTCTTCAATGAGGAGGAAATCCTTCTGACACAATATTGTATACGAAAAAATTTGATAAAAATGAAAATTCTCTCAAAGAATACTTTTTTTCATACGATTAAGAAAAAAAGAACATCTTTAACATTTTGAAAAGAATCATATATAGCAATAATTTCAGAGTTAACATTTTATTTGCACTGACCTTCAAATAAACATTTTATCAACGATGGGCGTTAAAATATTGTTTCAAGTAAAAAAAAATTGTGTGTGGCGACACATTAATATTAGTATATATCAATTATACAGAGCAAAAAAAAAAATTAAAAATCAGAAATTTGAAAACCTCAAATCATTTTTCAAAATTTTACAATTAATAGAGACACGTAAACTAATGACATCACGTGTATTTATGTCAAGAATGTAAAGATCATTTTCAGCAAGACAATGACATTTTTTTTTTCTTAATAAACAAATGAAGAAAAAACATTACCAAACAACGATTTCCAATTAGTTCGAAAACTTGCTTGTTCTCCTCTGCATTTAATAGAACAGACCCTCTATGCTCCATTGTAATTCCGGACTTCATAATAATTTAAAAAATTAAATATACAATTTTACAGGTTAACTATTAATTCACTGTCGACTGTCACTAATTTAAAATCTGTAATCATGATATTTGTGATACATAGCAAATTGAAAACGAATGATGAACAAAAAATTATATAAATTCTTTAATTTTTCAAGAATTTATACAAATTAAACATTTTATTAATAAAAAAAAGACTTAAATAAAGTGACTAATGTGCAAAAAAATCACAGACAGATTCCGGAATGATTGTGCTTAGGTCCTAAGGCCCCACACATTGATCCATGGTTGGGTAGTATATTATGTTAATTGGTATTTCTACGTAATATACGTATGTTCGAACGCTGCGTTTTACGTTAAACAATGAGAGAGAGAGAAAGACAAACATATACTTTAAGGCCTAAGCAGAATAGATTCTTGAACGGGAACGCAATCGTGAACGGAAACGTAAGAATGGGTGAGAGAAGAATAAAAATATTCGCTATCCTTCTCTTACTCATTCTTACGTTTCCGTTTACGATTGCGTTCCCGTTCAAGAATCTATTCTGCTTAGGCCTTTAATCCTTGTTTCACGCAATAAAGTAAAGTGTGAACGCCACTTTAAGTTTTGGAAGAATTATTGTGCGCTGGCCCTTAGGCCCATTGTGTACTTCTAACCTTCAAACAATTATTATTACAATAATAACTGAAGTAAAATTAAACAATTTTTGCAACGATAATTCGTTGATAATAATGTAATTTTACAATTTGAACTGCAATATTTATAACCCTTTTTTATAGTAATTTTTTTATTCTAAAAGATTAAAAAAATGGCATTAGTTAGTCGAATTTTTATTCGTGATTTAAAAAATAGATCACAATTTTTTTTAAGAATAAAAACACGTGAGTATAATATGTAAATATCGGTTTATCATTAAAAATACTTACTACATAATAATTATATTTAATTTCGTAAAGTATTTAATTGTTCAATTGTAAAAAAAAATGCACTAGTACAAAAGTATTTAGCTTCAATTTTCTTTATCGTCAGAAATAATGTAAATAAATAATTTTTCACAAAACAGATTCTAGTTTCTCAACAGTAGCTGAGATTCCTTCTATCAAATCGTCAGATTATAAAAAACGTGAAGAAAATGAAACAAATAATAATACATCATTAAAATCACATCCTCCGGAATATCGGTTTATTTATCCAGAATTTTTACCAAATCCAACACCATCTCATAGAAATGCAATTAAAGAAAAAATGGAACGCAAAGATATGTTAGCAAGAAGGACAATATTGGATATTCCTGAATTTTATGTAGGTTCTATATTGGCAGTAACGCATTCTGACATTCATGCACCAGGAAAGTCCAATAGATTTGTTGGAATTTGTATTTATAGACAAGGAAGTGGTTTGAGAGCTTCATTTATGCTTAGAAATGTTGTAGATGGTCAGCCCGTTGAAATGGATTATGATCTCTATGATCCTTGTATTCAAAAAGTTGAATGTTTGAGGTAATTTAATTTTTTTTTTTTTAATATTCAGTACAAATCGATTTGTTCGATTAAATAAACAATCATGTAAATTTTCGATGAAATGAAAATTTGAATACAAAATTATTTGATTTAATTAAATTTACAGATTAGAGAAAAGATTAGACGATCAGTTACTATATCTTCGAGATTGTGCACTTGAATACAGCACGTTTCCATTCGATATGGAAGCTGAATTTACAATTGGTAGAACGGAAGTTCCAGTAAATCCTATTAAAATTCCACTATTGCCTCCGCCATGGATAACAAAGTATGAATTACTAAATTTACAAGGAATCAAAGAAGAATCAATTGTTCTTAATAAAAATCGTACGAGAAAATTAAAAAAAGCAGCTGCACCTTGGGAAAAGTATGATTTAATGAAGATGTACCGGTAAGTTATTGATTTCTGATATTTTTAATTTTAAAACTGTGAAAATAGTTTATCTATTTAAGTAATCAATTAACAATAATTTACAATAAAAAAATACAATTGGAAAATTAAACAATATTTTGAAATTTGTCTCTTATTTACAGAAAAACAATTCCAAAAGAAGAACAAGATGAAATATATTCGGAACTCTATTCACAATTTCATCATTTAGAAGTCTCACGTCAGAAACAAAAACGTTCACGTATTTTTACACGACCAAAGAAAACTGGCTAAAAACATTTTACTTCAAATATTTTGTATATATATATATTACAGAAATACATTAATTTCAGAATTAAAAATTTTTTTCTCTTAAACTCCTCAAAATTACCGTAAAATGGGGTAAAGTCGGCGTTTGCGGGTAAAGTCGGCCGGCGCTTTAAACACTTAAATATTGTATTTCATTTATTAATTTACATTAATTCTAACTACATTTTTAATAAAACTCGGATTTCTTCTGGAAAAAAGTAATAGTTAAACTTTAAAATGATTTAAAGCGCCGGCCGACTTTACCCCCAAACGCCGACTTTACCCCATTTTACGGTAATGATTTTTAATTCTTTTTTTTTTTTTTTTTTGTTAATAAAATTTACATTTTTTCCCAAAAAGGAAGAAAAAGAATAATTCGAAATATGTTTTATAACATTAAGTTATGATTTATTTCCAGAAATTATTCTCGATATGGAAGTCATGTACTTGTAGTAACAAAAAGCTATTAAATCCTAATGTGTGTTGCATTTTTTTCCTTTTTTTTTGGCAGTATTTACTTTCTGTCCAAAAAAAAAAAAATGTATTTGTCTATTCACAGCAATTAAATATACGAAATTATTCCATACCAATATTACAACTAGTATTCAAATCTATATTTAAATGCTAAATTACTTTTTTTTTTCACTGTACAGTCGAAAGTCAAATTTTCTGACACTGCGTAATTAGAAATATTCTATACTGAAAGTATCGTCTTGGAAAATACATTCATAAATTGTTTTGATATTTACGAAATTTTTTTTTTTTTAATGAAAACAGTGTTTTTAAATTTGTCCAATAGGAAATAAATGAATCATCAGTATCAGCATAAATTGGTCTAAATGTCATCAATCTTTCTACACAATTTTTCAAATAAATTTCATTATTCTGAAAAAAATTGTTTTTTTTTTTTTTTTTTTTTGAAAGAATTACGTCTTATATTAAAATTTATCGTAGTGTCAAAGACGAGCTTAAAACCTGAAGATCACGTTTTTTTAAATGACAAAATTAACTATTCAAAAGTGCAATATTAGTTTCTTTGACCATTTTAATGCGATGCAACATCTTTACAAGATGCTCCTTAGCGAGAGGGGATGTTGAATACCACACTGGACTGTCTGGAACGCAGCTCCTTTCAGGTAGTAGGTAAAATACATCATTTCGTGTTTTTACACTTTCGGGACTAAAACAAAAAGAATTTTTTATATTTAGACAGGCCTCGGAAAAAAAGTAATATTACTTAAATATTTTTAACACTTCAATTTTATTTATGTATGAATTGAAAAAATGAATTGAAAAATACGTACCATTTTGATAAATAAAATTCATACAATTTAACAGGACATCTTAATGGATTATCTTCATTTTCTTGTTGTTCATAAACCTTCTTTTTTCTCGAATTGGCTTCTAAAATGGAAATGTAATTTTTTTTTTTTATTCAAAATAAAATTGATTTTCATAAAAAATAATTTTTGAAAAATACACACCCAATGCAGATTGAGGGGGATAAAAACGTAACAAAACATTTCTTGAACCTGGAGCTTTTCCCGCAATTGAAGAAGGCGTTGCTGCTGGATTCCTTTTCCAGTGCTTCATTATGTGTGAAAAAGATAGTTGCATGTGTTCATCCACTGTCTGAAAATATCGAAAATATTTACTTAATTTGAACTTTTTATAAAAATAAAGAAAATTCGAATATTTACCACTAAATTAAAGTGTTTCGTATTGAAAAACATCAATGTACTAAGTAGTACATGAGGCGAATGTGCTCCCAATTGTTTACTTTCCCACAAGTGTTCTTCTTCCACTCTCGTAACAATATATTCTATTGAAAAAAAAAAATGCTACATAAATCTCTGAATAAACTATTATTTTACAATCCATTTAGAATTTCTAAAAATTTGTCAATTACTTACGTGCGTCGTTATATAAAACAGAAAATTTCTTTGCGATTTCATTCAAATTATCCGTAAATTGTTCATAATATGAATCAGTAAAAATATTGTCTATTCTATTATTTTCAAATAAGTATTGTTGTATTCCTGGAAAGAAAAAAAATTTTTAACATTTCTTATATGTATGTGAAAATTATTTTCCAAAAAAATGGGTTTTTTTTTTTTACCTAAACATAAGTAATATATTGTGTCTGGAGCATATTCAGCACCGTTTGGTTTTCTAACTTCTTGAACGAATAAAACTAATGAGTAGTTAAGTTCATCCGCAGTTAATTGAAGCAAATCGACCTTAAACAATTTAACCTTTCGATTTGGAGTACTTTGTTTTTCAAGTTCGGCATTTTTAGTAACGACCTACAAGAAAATATATTTATAAGTAACATCAAATTCAAATACCTTTTTAGACCATAAATAAATAAATTTTGTAATTTGTGAAAAAAAAGTATTTGAATTGTAAATTAAATAAATATTTACCCAGTGTCTCCAAGCATTAACGCCAAATGTGTATTTAAGAGCCATATTTGCATCTGGTTTTTCGGCAGGTTCATTAAATCGAGGTGGTTGAGTAGCTGGTTGTTGTTGTTCCGGACGTTGTGCAAGAGCTACGTCATTTGTGTTCGATGAACGTCTTCCTCGTTTGCTTGGTGCCGAACGAGGTTTATAATTAACCATACGTTTTCTACCACGTGTTGAAGGTTGACGTTCAGGTGGTGCTGCAAAATAAAAAATCAAATTTTTAACTGTCAGACTAAAATCGATTCTGTCGAAAATACTACTTTTTTGTTAGTTCCTTTTTATTTTTAATAAAAATGAGTTTCTATTGAATATTTTGGTCTTACCGTCATTTTCAGTAGGTGCATCGTTTTGCGTTTGCGAATGAGATGGTGTGATTGTATTTGGTGTTAAAGCAGCTTCCAAATCAACTGCAGGTTCATCTAATTCACCTGTAGCCATTTTTAAAGCCATTTGGAACATGTCTTCGCTAAATGTATTATTTGAATCAACATCTTCAGCATTGTAACCGTCTGCCTGGGTATTTGAAGCATCATCTCCAGGTTCATCTCTAAAATATATATCACATACAAAATTCAGTAAAAACTTGTAAATTAATAGAAACCTTTTATATATCAGAAAATAAATAGTAAATACCTGTTCTCGTCAACAGAATCAGAGTCACTGTCAGTTGTTTTCTTTTCAGTAGCAACCATTTCGGCCATCATTAGTAATTCAGCTTCAAATGGATCTGATGGTATTTTCTCCTGTATCCTTTTAATATCCTTCATTATACCTTTCGCGCTATTTCTCGTTGTCGGTATAAAAATTGGAACTGGAATTGGAATTGGAATCGGCGTTGGAACTGGAAATGGCATATTATACATGTACAATGGAAAGGGAACGTAAATTGGTACAGGAATGGGAATAATTGTTTTTGGAATTTCATCAGTTTGTGTTTCTTTTGTACAAGGATGTGGTCGCACAGAAACACCTTTTGTATGAACAAGTGGTTTACACTGAGTCGATTTATTGTGAATTTTCACTGGGCTAGTTGGTCTTGTTATCACTTGTTGTTTATAAATGACTTGCGTTTGACTTGAAACTGTTTGTACAGCCAATGGTGAGACTACTGTATTTGTCACGGCATTTGCTTGTGTTGTTGGACTCACTTGACCATTGCCTATTGTCGCTAAACTTGTTACCGACGATATTACGGGCATAATTTTCTTCGCCTGAATATCAACAATCTTTGCTGGCGTTGGGGCTATCGATCTAGGTGGTATTGTTCTTTTTGGCACTCCCGTGGGTACGGGATGATCATCACTCGATGGTATTGTAATGGGTGATTTTGTATATTGACCTTGAAAATTCATAACACAATTGTAGGAACAAAAATTTCGAATTGTAGCGTCCGACATTGTTAAATGATACTGCGCTTGAGAAACTTCTTTACAATAGTCACACTTTATTCTTCTAGCAGAGACTGCATTAATTGAAACCTGAAAATAAAATTTTTTTTTCGTTATAAATAATCAATATTATTTCATTGATATCAAATATATACCTGATAGAGTGTCAAACAATTTAAGCTGCACATCATCATGACTGTCCCTGTCTTTAATTCCTTTTTAATCATATCAAAATTGTATTTTTTCACTTTACACCAACTGCAAGGGACGATTTTTCGATTTGTAATAATGAATATATTAAGACAAGTTTTTGTGCAAAATGTATGAGCATCATTTTCATAAAAGACAACAAAACTTTTTTTGTTTGGAAGTTCGAAAAATTTCTTGCAAGTAGAACATTGATCGGGATCAACTTTATTCACAAATTTAAATGCAGCAAAGCAAGGATCACTACAAATTGCAACTGGAACAGCTCTGTCAATTTGTACCTCACAGTGAACCAATTTTTCCTATAAAAAAAAATTGTATTTATTTGTTAAACAGTTATTTAAACATTTAATTTATATTATTAAATTAATTTACCTCTTGACAAACGCTGCAAGCTTTTTTCTCAGCAATTGGTGGCTCAGTTGAGCTCATTCTTGAGTATTTTTCCATACAGTCTTGAGTACAAAAATCCTTAAATTGTCCTTTATCTCCAACGGGCGCTAAAAATCCTTCTGTTCCTGCACTTATGTCCTTTTGACAATAGGTACAAACTTTTAATCCTTTTTTAAATTCTTCTAAGCATACCGAGCAACAAAATTGCCTCACATCGTAACCAAATCTCACACAATATTTTCCCAAACTAACAGGTTGAACTGAACCATTACAATTTCGACAATAACTTCCATATTTTGTTTGAAATTTTCCCAAGCATTCCTCATTACAAAATTCCATTGTTTCCCAAGAGAGACAACGTTCATCGTTACTTTCAATTATTAATAAACAACTGGCGCATCGTTTTTCTCTTTTTGAATTAACACCATCGCTTGGAATGTCCATTGCTTTATTGTTTGCCGATTTGAATGCTGATTTACATGCTTTAGAACAAACACTAAAAAGATCTGTACCAACTTTCACTTTTATTTTACATACTTTAACTTGATTACACTGTTTACATGTTTCTGTTGATTGAATTTCTTCAACTTCAACAACCTTTTCTAAATCGTCTTCAATATCTATAACATCGGTTATAGACTGAGTGACTTTTGTCACAGTTTGAACTTTGGGTAATTCCTTTCTGACAACAGTTTCTAATTCTGAATTTTCATTAACAGGAGACTTTTCTTTTGCTTCCGTTGTAGATGTAGCTTTTGATTTTTCATTACTTTGTGCATTGTCCTCTAAAATTTTTTCCGTTTGTTCCACTTCCTTTGGCGTATCAGTGACTTTTTCATTATCTTCAACTTCTTTCATTGAATCGGGAATAATACACAATTCATCATCTTGTCCAGGCAAAATTGAAGGTTCTGTATCAATTTTTTCTTTTTCACCTTCTTTATCATCAGCCTTATCTTTCTCTTCATTATCTGTTATCGTCTTCGATTCACTATTTTCTTCCAATTCTTTTTCCTCTGTTTTTTCACTTTCTTTCACTACCTCACTGACAATGTTGACCTCAACATCTTTTACAGAACTATTCTCATCACTTGATTTTGTTTTCTCTTCATTGGAAATTGTCTCATTTTCCCCTTCTTCAAAATTTGCTTTACTTTTCGCAATAGCGTCATTCTCACTTTGTTCATCATTTTCAGTTATAAGATTATCACCTCCAAATGGATCTTCAGCATCCATAATTGAATGATTTTCTATTTGTGAATCATCTTGTTTTTCCTGGCTAATTATTTGTACAAATTCAGTATTGACTTGCTCGTGAGAACTTTTTCCTAATGTACTTTCCTTTTCGCCCGAATCGGAATTTACTGGTGATTTATCATCTCGTTCATTTTCGGTTGCATTGCATTTTTCCGTATCGTTGTCAATTTCTTTATCATTATCCTTATTAGTATTTGATATATCCATAACTTCTGGTGAATTAACAATTTCAGGCGCTTCATCATTTTTATTCTCTGTTTCAACTGAATTGTCATCCAAATTATTTGCATTTGTTCCTGACTCATCAACTGCATCATCCGATAAACAAACATCGTCAACATTTGTAATTGATTCAACATCATTTTTCTTTTCTGTTTGATCAAGAGGATCTTGTGACTCCATATCTGATATTCCATCTATATCTTTCGAAATACTAACAGAATCGTCTTCTTCATTTTGTGCTTTGGATAAATTTTCTTGTTCCATTTGTTCAACAGTGTCAATTTGCATTGGTTCAACTACATCAGAATGAGAATCAACATTGACAGATTCAACACAAGTTTGAGATTCTTTTGTTGGCTCTTCTTCGGAACATTGTTCCTGTACATTATCAACATTGGATAAATCTTTGTCATTATTTTCTAAAAGTTTTTCCTCACTTCCAGTGGCAACAGAATCCTCAATTGGTTCCTTATCTGAATCGACATTTTTTACATCTAAACACACTTTATTTGTATCTTGATCAATGTCAACGTTGAGCTTTTCTTCCTCTGTCGGAACTTCCGAATCGACACCTCGTGTTTCGTTCTCAGAATCCATTATTAAATTAATGAATGATACTTAATTGTTTACCTAGAAAAATAAGTTAACTTTATTTTTATATTCGAAACTCATTGCTCAAATAAAAAACAGTTCTGATTTTAGTTTAAAGTAAAAAAAAAATTAGTTATTTTTACATTTTATTCAAGACTCTCAGCTTTTTAAGGGAAATTAAAAAAAAAACTGAAAAATAAAACTTAGTTTAGAAAAAAATCCCGAGTTAACCAAAATGGTTAAATATTTAAAAAAATTGACCGCCATATTGGATTCGACATTTAAAATTTTTGATAATTGACTTCAAATTCGTTATGTGTAACCTCAAAAACCAATGGATATAAAGTGACATGAATATAGAATAATTTTTCAAAACTTCGTATACTACGTTACGTTACCTTTAAAAAAAAAACTTTTGCACTTTTAAAATTATTAAATCGTTGTTTTGTAATAATTTTTTATCTTTTTTATAAATAAATTAAAAAAATAAATTGCATTATTATGACTTATTTTTAATCTAAACAAATTCTCCTAATAATAAAGCGTCCATGTGACTTTTCAATTAGAATACGTAAAGTATTCGTTTTTAAAAAATTTAACTATTAAAATTAGTTTAAAATAAAAAGTAATATCTGCAAAACTTAAAAAATATTATTCTTATTTTTTTTATTAATTATTTTATTAATGTAAAATTATTAAATTTAAAAAATTAATATAAATGTAAAAAAAAAATCTTACTTTTTTTTCAAAACATTCTATGGTATACATATGTTAGAAATGCAATAATTTGGAGGTTATTATTGTAAATCTAAATTATCTATAAAAAAATGATTTCAAATAATCAAAAAATGTTATGACACTTAACTTATAAAGAAAAAAATTTATGTACAACTGATAGATAGAAGCTAAACACAAGCACAAAAAGGAGGTTATGCTCAGTAATAAGTTAAAACTTGTGAACCGCCATTTTGCAATTGGTTACAATCTTGTTTTGCATAAATACTAACCATCAATTGCAAATTAATATTAAAAACATTCTACTTATTAGAAAATGTTATATATTAAATAAATTGTTTTAAACTGACAAAAAAACATTAAAAGAATATAAAGCTACAATTACAGGAAATAAAAAGAGATGAACTAAAATAGCGCGCTAAACACCGGCATCCTTGCAACTATAATTTCACAATATTTTTAAATTTCGTTATCGAACATATTAAAATTACCTGCAATTTATCCTGTATTCAAGTAGACTCCACTCTTATCAACAAAACGAAAAACTACATTCTCAGAGTCATTACAATTATAATAATTGATTAAATTCGGGGACTTATTAACAATTAAAACACAAAGCAATGCAAGTTCTACCTTAGAAATATGTTACTGAGGATGATATAGATAGGGTCATGGAGTTATAAAATAGTACACCATTTGCTCTAGTAAATATTTAGTGACTTTATTGTTAAAATTAAAAATTACTATAAAGTTACTAAATTTTTACTAAAGCAGGGTGCGGTAGTTGACGAGAATTATGACGTGTGGGGATTTTGGACAACGGAAATCTAGTTAAATTTTCTTTCAACAGACTGCGCTTTTGTACAATTTCCGGTACGAGACAAAATAAAGAGCTTAATATTTGTGTGTATGCGGCTTAATAATTACTATTTGGTTTATGCCTGGCATGACAAATTTAAAGTAACGAAAACTGACGAAAACGAAAGACGCGAGTTTGGCAAACAAGTTGAAAGAGCGGGATTTCAGAAAAATTCTTTTAATTTTACTGATAAAAACAATCTAATAAGCATTCTCTGGGTTTGTGAATATTGACTGTTCCAAATATTACGTTCATAGAAAAAATTTTCTATTTAAAACTGCTACAATGTCTGACGAGAAAAATAAGGTAATGCCTTCCTAACCTTAAAATTTCATTTTAGCCGCATTCATCATTTTTATATTAATCATACATAAAATAAATATTTAATTATTACTTTCATATTATAGGACTCGAAAACAGAATCCGAGCATATAAATCTTAAGGTCTTGGGTCAAGATAGTGCAGTAGTGCAATTTAAAATTAAGAAACACACACCTCTACGAAAACTTATGAATGCATATTGTGATCGAGTGGTAAGTATTTATTTTTCTTAATTTTATGAAATAAATCGTCATATTTAATATATTTTTAATCATAGTTATTACTTTCCCCTTTTTATTATTAAAATTTGATTTATTTTTAATTTCAAATTTAATTTATTTTTCTGTGAAAATAAATATTTTAATAAAAAATTTATTAAATTGAAAATTAAATGTAAATAGACATTAACAAAATTAAAATAATATTAATTTAATCGTAGGGTTTGGCTATTGCTGCCGTTCGGTTTCGATTTGACGGACAACCAATAAATGAAACAGATACGCCGAGTTCATTAGAAATGGAAGAAGGAGATACCATAGAGGTTTATCAACAACAAACTGGTGGATCGTGCTGAAAATAATATTTTCTAACTTGTGGTTTATAAAAAAAAAAAAATGGACTGAGAGAATATTCTCCGTTTGTTCCTTAATTAAAAAGAAAAGTCAATTATTTTGTAATTTAATCTAAGTAATAGAGTTTAAAACAAAAATCCACTGATCGGACAAAAGTTTCACGACGTTTTAAAAATAACATTCAAGCACACAATTTGATAACATTTCAAGAACAAGAAAAAGAAAACTGAGTATATTCCGACTTAATTATAAACCAAGTGTGTTAGTCTTTAATTATTTTTTTTTATTTTTGAAACAAATTCTCTTTTTGTTAAGTTCTAATATTAAGGAAATTTATAGAGAAGTATAATCTACGTAAGTCAGAATAAATGATCAATTATGACGTTGTTATAAACAAAAAAAAAAAAAAAAAAATTCTAACATGTAAATGAACAAATAGAATTATATCGTAAGAAAAATTAAGTGTTTTTTAAATATAGGGTATTGCTTTTTTGTGAAATTATTCTTCAAAGCACCAAAAAAAAAAGAAAAATATTTTTCACAATGGCAAGTTTCTCATTGATATTTGTATAAACAAAAAAAAAAAGAAGAAGAAAACACTTAATATTTCTCGCATGTAACCAATTTTATTAACGATTATTTTTAGTTTTATTGAAAGTATTTATATATCATTAAAAAGAATTTCAACTTTAATTACCATGTCATAATTGTATCTAATAAATTTGCATTTTTTAAATTATTCTCTAATGTGTTTTTTAATGTACAATTCAATAGAACAAATTTTTTTCAGAATTTGATAAAAAATATTTCTCTAAAATATCAATTTGTTACTAATTTTAAAAAATGATCAAATTTTTGTTAATGAAGTAATGTCATTTTTAATATAGTATTTATATGTATTTTTGATATTTTACATTTACAGATTAAAATTTCTTGGAATATATTTCTAACATAAATCAAAAAATAGAGAATTAACTGTATCTATAAAGCGATGTAATATTTTTTTTTTTAAAGAAAGGAAAACGGCAAATTTGAGTCAAATTCAACCAGCCAAACCTGCTTTTTGTCGACAAAGTGACATTAATGCTCTGAGCATAAATTGTCTTCTTGAAAGTTGACGAACTTGTTTCAAAAATGCGTCTAAATCTATTATATTACTACGAAGTCCTTCTGCTAAATAATAAATTGCGTCCTCAGTTGCCGCCTCTTCAGCAAAGGCATTTAGCATTCTGAAAAGCATTTTTTCAAGATTTTATTCTAATTAAAAAACTTTTTATCTCGAAAAAAAAGAATTTCTAGAAAATTTAAATTATTAAAAATGCATACTGTTTATATAGAGGTGCAATAGGTGTAACAGCTTCATCAACATCAATTGCCTGGTTATCCGAAAGTTTCGATATTTCATTTTCCAATTCGGATTCTTTATCCTGAAGGATATTAATATTTTTCTCCAATTCAGCTTTGTCTTTATTAAGTTTACTGAATAAATCAGTTAAGCGCGCTGAACCATTTGTTAATTCTTGTTGCGTTCTACGCAATGTTTCAAGTTCGGCTTGCAATTGTGAAAATTGTTCACGAAGACGACGACGCATTTTTTCTTCAACAGCAGAAAGTAATGAGACACGAATATGTTCCTCTGTTATTGTTCCTGAACCACCAGATCCACCAGCAACTGTCGGTGACTAAAATATTAAAAATTAATTGAATTCATTTAATATTGATAATAAACTCGAATTATTTTAAAATTAAAAAAAAAAAAATTACCGGTTGTGTTGATGGCGGATAAGGAGGATACATTCCACCTGCTCCTTGACTTGGAGGATAACCGGAACTAATTCCCGATGGTTGATAATTTGGATAAGGATATCCACCGGACATTACTGGATATGGAGGAAAGACCGAACTTCCCATTTGCGAAGAAGGTGGATAAGGTGGATAACCTCCTCCACTAACTCCCGATGCTCCTCCAGGTAAAGGCATAAAAGCTAAAAAAAAAAGAAAAATATTAAAAAACAGAAATCTTGAAACAAAGAAAAATTATAATAAAAACAATCTTACGTTGTTTTGGATAAGGTGTCGTGGTTGGTTGTGAAGATTTTGCATAAACTGGTGGATGATCACCAAAAGTAACAATCATCACTTGTATTAAACCAAGTAAATCCGAGGAATGCTGATAAAATAATGAAAAATATTTATATTTATAAAGAAAAAAGTAATGGTAATTTTTTTGTTTACTTACAGGAACCCAATCGTGTAAATATGGTAAATAAATTTTTCCATTATGATCCACATAAATACCAACTTTAATATTCATTTCAGGAGTTGGATTAACATAGCACATTGGCGCATTATTTGGATGTGTGTCCATCACCCAAATACTTATTGGAATATGATACACATTCCCTTTGTACGTCACAGGTATTGTTCCTTGTAAATTAATAAGTTCCTTACGAGATCCATCGTTGAATACTTTTAAAAAAAACATATTTATCTTATTATAAAAGAAAAAAACAAAACAAAAACAATGTCAGTTTCATTTGTTTACCATACGGCTCCATTTTGTGCTGCAATCCTTTGTAAATTTGTAAAACACTGACAACATCTCTGCGAGTGACATCTGAATTGTGATACTGAAATAGAATATTATTAAAATTAATTCCCTAAAATACCGTTTAAATAATATTTTAATGCAATTATTAATAAAAATATAAGAAAATAAATTTAAATGTATTTTATAAAGTTTAAAAATATGTATAGAAGAAAAACATATTAAATCAAGTAACTGATTTATCAGTAGCTTTTATATGATTACTTACTTTTGATAAACATTGCTTAATATTTGCTTCCGTAATATGATTCATCTTCCCCATCTAACCTTTAAAATATAAGTCACTTAATTTCAACGTTATATTATCAATACGTTCATGCAGTTTTTATTTTTTTGGTTTAATATTCCATTAACATGAACACTCCTTTGTTCTTTTCAAACTTCAAAAAATAGAAACATTTAACAATGATTCGAGAACTAAATAGTTTACACGAACTTTATATTAAACTTATAAACATTAACTACTCTTTGACACTTGACAGCTCGGCACAAAACATATAAAAAAAATAACAAAACGATGCACAATTATTAAGGCTCTTACGAAATCGATAATCATCTTTCTCAATACATTATGCTAAAATGGGACAGATAGAGAAATTTAATGTTTATCTCTTTTTACTACAGAATATTAATGTGTATCAGAGAAGGACAGATATATTTTTTCCAGAACGATATAAAAGTAGCTTTAATAAAAATCTACCGCAGCGCTCTAAACTGGTAGCCAATTTCAGAAACAAATTTTCTCTCAATGTATGTCACATTCAAATGGATTATTTTTCCCCAAAGTTAAAAAGTCGAAAGTGCATTATGGCGAATTTACAAACTCCGAACATCAGAAAGAGCGAAAGTTAATTTGGAAGAACATTAAATTGGACGTAAAATATTTTTGACGAATATGAATACGGCCTAATATTCACTTGAACAAATTGTATTAAGGTGCTTTTATACCTATAATTTCGATCAGATGAACATTTTTTCTGGACCGTGAAAATGCATGTCACTGAATGTGATTGGCTCTACAAAAATTCCATTTTCACGTATTTTTTTGTAGAGCCAATCACATTCAATGTAACCCATCCCTGATTTGCATATTGTGGACGTAACCTAATTCTAATTGTTGCACAATGTCAACAGTCAACAAAAATATGTATTTTTTTAATCTGTCAATCACTTAAAAAAATGTTTTTTAATTTCCAACTCAATGTAATTTATATATTTATATATTAAATATATTTTCTAATTTTTTACCACGATGACTTGTTAAGTAATTAAGTTGTAAAACAACAATTTCTAGGTAAGATAATTTGACCAATAATTTTAAACAAAATAATTCAAAGTTCTAAATGAAAAACAAATTGTTGTTAACAGTCTTAATTAGCAATTTAACAAACACGAGAAATATCGAGGTCCATTAAAATAACAAATTTTGCAAGTATATTTCAAAAATAATAATGGATATTACATTAGATGACAAATTGGGAGCTTTTCAGCAAATTAGTCAAAGGAAGCTAATTGAAATTTTAGATGGCATTGCTGGAAAAAAAGATTTAATAATAGAACAAAAATTAATGAAATTGCTAGACTGTTTTGTTGGAGTTACTGTTTTAAGGTATATTTTTTATTTTCACTTTTTGTGAAAAAAATTTTCCATTTTTTTTTTGTAAGTTACCATATATTGTAAAATAATTAAAATTTTACAGGCGATATGGAGTTGAGAAAATATTTAAAATGGAACAAGGTTTAAAACCTGCGAATGCTCAACGTATTTTTATTTCGTCTTGTGATTTAATTGCATGTAAAAGAGTTTTGGATCAAATTCAAGCTGAGCGTTCTAATTCTCCTGGATTATCTCATCATGTTTTGGTTGTTCCTCTTGTTCCTCTAGCTCTTCGTTCACTTGTTGAAGAAGAAGGTAAAATAAATTTTAATTTCTTTTAAATAAAATGCCCCGTTCAAAATTTTTATTTATTTCAACAAAACATTTTTTTTTTAAGGTCTCGCTGGATTAATCGAGTTACGTTCACTTTCTTGGGAATTTATTCTTTACGATGGTAATTTTCTTTCAATGGAAATTTCATTTTTCAGTGATCTTTATTATTATAAAGACACTGGATTACTTCCGGCTTTAGCACGAAATTTGTGGTCTTTAAAATTAATTCTCGGTGCACCACGATTGACACTTGCATTTGGCAAACATAGTCAACAGACATTAAAAATGATAAAATCAATTGAAGAATCATTTGGTACACCAAGTAGTGAACATGAAATTGGTGCATTAATTCTCATGGATAGATCATTTGATTTGGTATCGACACTTCTTACGTCTGTCACTTATTTAGGTCTTCTCAGTGAGGTTGTTGATATTAATATTGGAACTGCTTCTCTTGGTGGCACACAAACAAAACTCGATCCAAATAAAGATCAAGTTTATGGCGAAGTAAGAGATAAACATTTTAGCGATGCTTTTCCCACGTTGCGAAATAAGGCCAAGTTATTGAAAAGTACATTATTTTTACGTTAAAAAAAAAATTTTTTTTAGGTTTAAATAATTTAAAAACAATTCTCTTTTTTTTAGATGAACAGGAATCAACACAAGGAATGAAACTGGCGGAAATGAAGCATTATGTAGCGACGACTTTAAAAAAAACAACGGAAGTGAAACAACAACTTGAATTTCATATTTCTGCCTGTGAGGCGGCAATTGGTGTTTTAGGCTCAGAATTTGAGAATCTTCACTCGATTGAAGAATCTATTTTAGAATGTACAAGACGAAAAGAATGTTTAGAATATATTGAGCGAAATATAGGTGAGATGAAAAATTTCCTTTTTTTTAAAAAATGAATCTAATTTAATTTTTTTTTTTTTTAATAGACGATAATCCCCTACGAAGTCTTCGACTTTTGGCTTTACTTTCAATAACTAGCGATGGAGTGACACGCAGTGAAATACAAACAATTCAACAAGCACATCTTCATGCACACGGATATCAAAATATACCATTGTTTCATAAATTAGAAAAAGTAAATTTACTTAAATATCGATCTGACAATGTTCTCAATAAATTGCCAAATTGGACAAGTAAATGGATGACGAATGCAAAAAAATTGAAATTAATTCCCAGTGCTTCAAAAAATGTCGATCTTAAAGGTCCCACTTGTCCGAGTTATGTTTTCAGTGGTGTTTATATACCAGCAATTGTAAGTTACAGAATTTATTCGATAAAAAATTATATTGTATTATCATTTTGAAAAATATGATTTTAGGCGCAAATAATAAATACAGTTGCCAATCAAACCGATCCAAAGAGTCTCGAGGAATTAACGAATTTATCAGAGTGCATTGTCACTGGAACACATGGCGTAATTACACCAAAAACAATTGTTGTTTGTATTATAGGTGGTATAACATATGCAGAAATATCCGCCTGTCGACTCATTGAAAAATCGGCTGGAATTCGTCTTGTTTTAGTATCTGATAGCAGTATAACAGGAAATAAATTAATAGAAACTGTGCAAAATTCTTAACGATAAAAAATTTAGATAGAGAAAACTATTTTTCTGTTTTAAAGAAAAAGAATATTTTATTATTATTTAAGATTGAAAATAAAATTGAATTTATATATTACAATTTTCATGTAAATAAACTATTCAATAAAATGTTTTTTTTTTAGTAAAAATTTCATTGTAATATAGAAAAGACATTATTACCGTTTTTATTCCACTGAATCCTAATACTTTATTATTGGATATATATATAAAAAAAAATTGTGGAATTTACAAAAAAATTCCACTATTAAATGATTTTCCATCAATAATTTCGATTGTCATCACGATTACGATCACGTCTTTGACGTCCCCAATCTTGTCCCTGACGATTGTAATTTTGACGATCACGGAAATTGCCTTGATTACCACCTCTTGAGAAGAAGTTACCTAAAAATAAAAAATTTTATAAATTTCAAGAATTACTTTTCAACTAAAAAAAAAAAAAAATAGCAAATAGAGCAAAAAAATATTTTACCTTGTTTCATTTCAAAGATGCGTTCATTGGAATCAACTAAATTATTCACTTTGTCCGTGAGTTGTAGAGCCAATGATTGAAGGCGACTTGGTTCGCTACGATGCATAACAACCGTTTCTGTAGGATCGTCCAGCGACGCCTTTAATAAAAATTTAATATTAGAGTAAAAAAGAAACATTTTTCTTATACAAAGAATAAATATTTAATTACCATGAGCTCTTCATTGATAATCATTTTACTGATGGTGGAAAGGACAACAGCTTTTTTCAATTGGAACATATCTGCCAATCTTGGAATTGCAATTGAATCATAAACATGAGAATAAGTGAAAAGATAAGTTCTTAGCGCCTCTTCCTTAATCAATCTTGTCAGCATTGAACGAACTTTATCCGCTTGATAGAATAAATCCCATACCTTAAGGAAAACAATTTTAATTAAATTATATTCTAGTCTGATTGCAATATCATAAAATTATAATAAAATATACCTTGGCATTCATTTTTTCATTTATAATAAAATTGTTGCACGCCAACCAATTTCCATTTCGCATAGCCTTTGCTGCTGCGACAACATGTTCACGCATTGATTCTGGTGGACCAACTAATGATTGACGTTCACTTGATCTTAATTGTTGATAAAAGGTCTTTGAAATCATTCTCCTTCTTGCATCAAATTCATGAGCTAAATAGAAATTAAATTTAGAAAAAGTAAATTACAAAAATATATTTAAGAAAATGTAATTAAAAATTACTTACCAGCCATGTAAGGAATCTCGATGAGCATCGCAGAAACGAGATAAACACATTCAAGAAGCTCTAAATTAATATGCATATGGAATGGCATTTGTCTTTGTTTCTCAATTTTTTCCTGTTCCTTACTACGTTCATGTTGACGTTGTGGCAACAAACCTTGTGCTAAAAGCTCCTTTACCTTTCCAGTCATCATTAAATCAACAAGACAATTGTGTGCCTCTTTAATGTTTGCATGACGAAAAGCACACAAACCAAGATGAGCCATTGTACGATTATAAAGAATCTATAATAGATTATTAAATTTTTTAATGGAAATTATTTTTTTAAATAGTAAATAAATTAATTTTCAATTAGTTTACCTGCGTAGCTGGATCGGAATGTTGAATAGTTTCTTGCAAATGTGACATAAGCATTAAATCACGAGCTTGGAACCAATTATCATGTAAACCATGATGATAAATATGGGATAAAATAGCACGCGTTCGGAGACGATCAGTACCATCGTGAGCGTAAACATATTTGCAAAGTTTTTCCATAACCTGAACGGTAGTAACAACGTCCTTAGCAATTTCTCCCTAAAAATGATTAAAATTAATTTTTTATAAACACTTTTCAAATTCAGACAACTTACATCCTTTTGCTTGAGAACAGTTGGATCGAATTTATAATAAAGATGTTCAATTTTCCGAAGATAGACACGACAAATTTCCGAAACTGTTCCCTTTCTTTCAAGATATTCTTGAACTTTGTCTATAATAGAAGCCACTTGTTTCTCGTCTTTCAATCTAAATTATAAAAATTGTCGATAAATAATTTAATATTAATTTCTTTGAAATAATAATACAAAAATTGTTGAAATTTTTACCTTTCGACATATTCATTACTGTGGGGATCACATTCTTTTAAAAGTTTGGTAAATTCCTCATCAAGCCTCTCGACCAAGGTGAGAACACATCCATGCATTTTGTACGGAGCTTTCTCATATTGTTCTTCATCTTCAGAAACTGTATCAGCAATTTGCATATCCGGTGTATTTAAAATCATGTCCAACATCTCGGAAATACGCTCAAGCAATCTAAAAATAAAAATTATATTTCAAATTTTATACATTTATATTTCATTTTTAATTTAAAGAATTAAAATAATTTTACTCACTTTGACCAATATTCAGGTTTCATTGCATCGGAAACTTTGGGATTATAATCGAAAATTGATGAAACAATGGAAAATTTAATTTTAACAGCAACAGCAGGACCAAGATTGTGTGCATCAGCTATTAATTGTAATTCATGAAGAAGTTCAATTTGTTCACGACGATCAGTTCTTTTTTTGCCACGTGCCGCAATAACTTCGGTCAATTTTTTTAAAACAGCAGTGACATTTATTTCAGCGTCCTTGGCAAACATTTTTGGCTTTTCAGATGGTATTGCAACACCACCCTTAACAGTTTCCCATTCACCCTCGCCATCATCTTCGTCGCGTTTCTTTTTTCTTTCTTTTTCCTTACGCTCCTTGCGTTGTTCCTTCTTTTTTGCTTTATCCTCATCGTCCTCTTTATCAGTTGCTCTAAACAAACATTTTTTTTTTTTTTTTAATTAAAAAATAAAAATTTTATTCTATATGATCATTTTTTATATACTTTTTAATGAATCGTTCACGAATATTTTGATATTGTCCTTCATCATCGCTGCTTGTACTATCACTATCGGAATCACTTCCCCAATCGGAATCGCTTTCACTACCTTCGTCACCATCAGCAACACCTTTCTGTTAATAAAAATTTTTTTAAATTATAAATTTTAAGTTATTATTTGCAATACTTACTTTGAATTTAGAAACATCGGGTACAGGTTCTACGCTTGATTTTTTAAAAGCAGCAGCGCGATCTTCTTCATCTTCTGATTCTTCAGCTTCCTCTGCTAAGGAGAAATATTTTTATTTCACAATTTAAATTTTTATTTAATATAATTAAAACATTACCTTTATCATCTTCCTCGTCATCATCTTGATCAGGATTTTCACGAAATTTGCCAATATCCTCTTCGAAATCTTTATTATATTTTCGCAATTTTTGACGTAATGATGTCAATGATTTAGAATTATTTTTTGACATATTTTTACGAAATTCACGATCTTCCCAAACTTCATTGATAAAATCTTCCATTTCCACCAAACATCTTACATAAAAACGAGGCGTTTGTCCACTTTCTTCCTTCATCACCACCGGCAAAGCTTTTTGATAAGCTCTCATTAAATCCTCAAAACCTAAAAAATATTCAATTTTTTATAATTTTATATACATATTACATAAATATAATAATAATAATAATAATCAACGTACTTGTAAGCATACTGCTCATGTCCCTGATTTTTTTATAATTTCGTATAAGTTTAATAAGATTAGTGATTTCTTCATATCTTTTCTCTTTAGTAGAACGAACAACTCGTTTCTGTTCTTCCTCTTCATCGCTGAACTGAAAAGAAAATTATATTTAATAAAAAAAAAAATTATCGAAGCAACAAATAATTGACAATAAAATTACAGTAAAAGCTGCTGCTGGCGCGCGTTGAATTTGCTCTTCTTCTGACGAGCTATCAGACTCGGAGTCAGTGCCAGTTGCAAAGAATCGACTCATGTTGAAACTTTATCTGAAAAAAAAAACAATCTATACTTGTACAACATATTGAAGTGTCAATTTTTTTAAATTCTCAACCACCGTCACATTTGCATAAAATACCTAAATTTAAAAATCTACAAATAACTTTAACTTCTTTTCTAACAATATTGTCAAATTAATCAAAGTGCATCTGTTTTCAAAAACGATCAAATTTTTGAGGTTAAGATCCTTCTTCAATACTTTATATGTCAAATTAATATAAAAACTCCTGAATTACTCTTTTAAAAAAACAAATTGTCCAATGTTCATTATCATTTATTTCTAAATAAACAACAGTATTGTTTAAAATTTCACAAAATTAATTAATATAAAATCGGCATGTCGCCGAAACACATGGTTAATTTTAAATCATATTAACATCATAGAAAACTTATTCTACAACTATCTGAGCACATGTTATAAATAAATATAAACAATACAAAATATTGTAAGTTAATTTTACTTACTTAAAAACTCAATTCACTTAAATTATTAAATAATTTTTTGCTTTTTTTCACAACACAAGCACAAGCACCATGAAACAGGGTTGTGAAACATGAAATACATATTATGCTTCTTTCACAGTTTCTAAAGTTGTGAATTCGCCTTTAAGTTGATAATTTAGAAGTTATGACTTCTCAACCCTATTTCCTTTTTTTAATTTAAATTTAAAATTATTCATTCAGAATTACAAAACGTAATAAAATAATCTCCTTATAAAAACAATTAAAAAAAAAATTCATAACTACTTCTTGATTATTAATAAATGTATTAAGTATATTTGAATTTTGTGCAAAAAATGGAATTTATTTACTAAATCGAAGAGTACACACAATGCATAATGTGTTTTAATGTTCGAAGAATAGCCACAAATCATCTAAAACACACGTTTTTTTTCAAAGACGTAAGAAAAGTTTATTTCGAAGCATAAAAAGCTGTGATTAAAATTGGTGCCTAAATATATATATATTTTTTTTTTTTTTATAAATTGAATATACGTAGACACAGTGTGTGATCCACTGATCAACAAAACCCCTATATATAATAATTCTCATATATATCTTTACAAGATTTTATAATATATGACATTGTGCTAAATGATTTTGCATTATCTCTAATCTAGTCTATATTTGACTTTTAGATATATAAATAATTATATATTCACTCATTCTAAACACGTCTCTTCGTGAACAATTAAATATTTTTTATAATTTTCTTTTTTTAACACATTTCATCTCTTGATCACTTTTTTTTTCTAAATCTTATTCCTCCAAAAAAATTAATCCACTATATATATTTATATAATCTAACGCGCATTATTTTTAATAATAATTAAACAAATCGTACGTTTAACGTCATATTTTGTAACATAATATTACAAAGATAATAATAATTATTATTATTAATATTGATGTGGTATCATACGTTTTTCTTTTTTTCCTTTTAGTTATGAATTTATTTGAAAAAAAAAAAAATTTGTCATTAAACTCCCTAAAAAAAATGGGCACTCTGGGTGGTTTATTTATTCACTTTGGCCAGTCAGCTTCATTATACACTGTCGTCTGAAAAAAAAATTTAATGTTTCAAATATTTTTTAAATAAAATAATTATACAAAATAAGAAATTCTTACCATGATACCACCATTTCGTCTTCTTTGGATTTTTATTACAAGTTTTAACATAAAACGAATTGTCCGGTGGTCTTGTCTGAAAAAAGGCAATTTATTGCAAATTTTAAATATAGTAATTAAATAATAATTTTTTGAATAAATTAGTTTTGTTTTAAAATTTAAATAAATATTTTTAATAATTATAAAATAATTTTTTTTACCTTTTCTTTGCAACTACTCAACATTGATATAATACTCAAGCATACACTTTGCACACTAAGAGCCGGTGACCAATCGTCCGTTAGAATAGAGAGGCAAATATGACCATTACTGTAAATATGAGGATGAACAGGAATATTTCCTCCAATAAATGTCACTTCAGGCGAATCAAAAGGATATTTTGGACTAAATTTAAATTGCAATTGAAAATGTTCGCCCTCATATAAAGTTCCTTTTGCACCCTCCATATTTACAACCCATTGATTTAAATTCTCATCAACATTATCACCATCCACATACATTCCCGGTGGTGGTTCACGAATCAATGACATCAACTCCTTCTGCAGACGTCTCTGAAAAATACACTTAATTTAATTTAACTAACTTTATCAACTGTATTCAAATCAAAAATTTTTTTAATTACTATAATACTCAGAAAATTGACAACAATATTGAAATGAAAAAAAAAAAAAATTTTATCACTCAAAGATAATCACAGAAAGAAAAATAAAAATAGATGACGATAAAATTAAACACAAGAATATATAAAGTGACACTTTATAGAACTAACGCCAATGACAGATTTACAATCAAATATTTTATCACATCTTGAGAATTACAAAGAAAAATAATTAAAATAACTATTAAATTAATATATTTTATAAGAAAATTACCAAATAAATTTTTGTCATATTTTCAAGGCAAAGTGACAAAAATTAAAAACTTTTTAATATAAACATTACAAGAGCGATATCACTGTGGTGAAATTATTTTACTTTATTCTTACTGTAATATAGCTATTGATTGATATAATTCAATTAGGAAATTAAGTATTGCAAAGCTTGTAAACTTATGTAATATCTAATATTTGTCAGTATTGGCCAATTCTGTCAGGACAAAATTCCGTGAATATTTATAAAAAAAAAAAGAAAAATTATAATTTCTCATTAATTATCATCAAAATTTGTTATAAAACCAATTCCATCATTTTACATTAATAAATATTCACTTCCAAACAAATAACTTTCTTTATTTCTTAAAAATAATAAAAGATAAATAAATATATTATATTCTTTAAACATAATTTTGTTTCTTTCTTAAAAACTGTCAATATTAATTTTTTTAAATTGCAATTATTTTTGAATGTAAAAAAAAAATTGAATCAACTTCTACAATTTATAGATTAAATTATAAATATGTTAATGTTATGAAAATTCTTTAAAACTCACCTTTGACGGGGAAAAGTCCTCCATTGTTGTTAAACCACTATCATTTGAAAAACATAACCATTCTTCATTATGGGATATGACAACTGTTATTTTACACAAAATACATCACTTATTTCTATTCGATTGACAATTCTTGTAATGTTTAATGCATTTTTAATGATTTTATAATCATTCACGTTTAATTTAAAATAGAGAATTTACTTTTTTTTTCTCTCTTGAGAAAAAATGTGTCACTACCGTATAACTTTTGACAAATTGTATGCTGAAAAATGTCTCAAATATTTGTCGATCAACGCACAACTACACATGCGCTTTACTAAAGTTTTGATTGGTTGAGAGTAAAAAATATAACAAAACAATTTTTATAAAAAAAAAAATATGATAATGAAATCACTGATCTCTATAATGAAATAGACTAAAGCAGAATGAATTGACGAATACGAGGAGACTGGAAAAATGAGATAGAAAAAGACAGAGAGCTTTGGGTTTAGGGTAAACGTCAAATATTGTAACTAGATTATGAGTGTGAGAATATATCTATCTCTTTCACACACACTATCTAGTTACAAAATAGGGAGTTTCACATAACAGAGGTTTTATTTTACTAATATAAACCTATCCATCACTGTTGTCATGGAAATGTACCTTAAGTCGGCTTCAAGCTAAACGTTTGCATTTTGTATTGAAAATTTTGTAGCTCAAAAAGTGAGGCATTGTAATTAATAATTAAGCTTTTTTATAATAAATATTAAAAAAAGAACAAGAAAAAAGTGTACCTCAATAAATTATGTGAGTATATAACGTAATATATTAAGTCTATATATTACTAAAGATAACATTTAGTGTAAAATTGATATGAATTTTGTGAAGATAAATTGTCATAATAGATAGTTTTCTTGATGTTTAACAGATATTAAATTCAATCATGTCGAGCACATCACAAAAGCATAAAAATTTTGTAGCCGAGCCTATGGGCAACAAATCTGTAACTGAGCTTGCCGGTGTTGGAGAAGTTTTAGGTAAAAGGTTAGAAGCTGCCGGTTTTGATAAGGTATAGATAATTTATTATAAATTCTACTAAAATATTCCAATTCAAACATTATATGATTAAATGTATTAATTTTTATTCAGGCAAGTGTGGTACTTGGACAGTTTTTAGTTTTAAAAAAGAACGAAGAACTTTTTCAAGAATGGATGAAGGACGTATGTTCTGCAAATGCAAAACAGTCACATGATTGTTATCAATGTTTAACTGATTGGTGTGATGAATTTCTATAATCAGATATAAAGTTTAAGAAGCAAACAAGAAGAACAGATATAAGAAATCTATTTAATATAACAATTTTTCATTTAAATGATTTTTATCTGTAAACACTGTTTTTATTTTAAATTTAGACGATAATGACGTTTTATGTGGTAAACTGGTTTACACAAGAAAAACTAATTTTTTTTTTTAATGTAACAAAAACAAATCTATATTTTAATTGAGAATAAGATATCAATATCTTAGTCAAAATATTAAAATAGATTTTAATACAAAGATTTGGTGAATTTTTAACTGTCAATAAATGTAAACACTATTTTTATTTTTAAATTTAAACGATACTGTATGGTGTTGTGGTAAACTAGTTTTCAACAAAAATTAATTTTTAAATATGTCAAAAACAATCTTAGTCGAATCTATATTTCAGTTAAGACAAAATTATAATAGATTGTATACAAAGGTTTAGAGGACAAATTGAAAAGAATAAATAATATTTTGTAAAATAAAAATTAGATAAATATTTCAAATTATATGTTATTATTTTATTCTATACCGAAACTAAAATTTGTTTTTAAAAGAATTGAGGTTTTTTTATAAATTAAAAATTAATTTTTAATATTTTATTTAAAAAATTGTAGTTTAAATTTTTACTTTCCAGTAAATAATTAATATTGACTTAGATTACTTTTATCATAAAAAATATTTAATTGTTACTATTTACACTGTTGCTTGAAATTGATTAGCTTCAACATTGCCAAATTCTTCATTCTCTTTGCTTTTATTTGATAATTCCTTTCTTAATAGTATTTCGAATCCCTTGTTGTATTGTTTTATATTGTCTATAAAAAAAAAAATATTATTCATTATAATTCATTATAATAAAACAATTTAAGTAATTAATAATAATTACCAAAGGATCGTAAAAATGCATCATAAAATGACTGTTGATTAAAAAAAGTAGACGAATCAAATAATTCAGCAACTTTTTGTAGTTTATCAAAACATTCGGCTTCCACAAGAGAATTCGTAATAAATTTATAAGAAAAATAAGTTTTCTTCATGAGTCCATAATTTTTTAACATTGAATAAATATTTTGTGGATTTTTATAGCACTCGTAGCTGATCACAGTTAATAAAGGATGGTAATAGTATTCATTTTTTTTATAAAGTTTAATTGCCAATGATTTAACTGTAATAAAAAAAATAATTAATATTTGTTTCTTATGTAAAAAAAATCATTATTTATAATAATATTACTTACAATGTTCAAAATGTTCTGGATTTTTGATAAAGCATTTTAAAGTTTTGTAATTACAAGACTTTGAAATATTACTTAATTGTCTATCGTTATCATTCTTTATTGCTTCATTAATGTAGTTAAGATAGGTACTGACTTGATTGCATTTTTCGAAAGATTCGAATATATTACTTTTGTCTATATTTTCGTAAACCATCTATTATAAAAAGAATAAAAATTAAAATATAATCAGTAAGTAAAATAATATAATCTATACTTACAATATTATAAGTTTTATGAATTAAATTAATTGATTTTATATCTCCATTTTTAGCTGAATTTTCCAATAGTAAATTTAAATACTTAAAAGAAGGAATTTGATAATTATCAATATACTGTTTTATTATTTGATCATAATTATTATTTTTCTTCGATTCATCGTAAATCTTGATATATGTTTTTATTGAATCAGGAATAGATTGATCGTTTCTTTTTAATAATTCTTCCAACATTAATGAAATCAATTTTGATGGTCTTATTTTTTCAATCATCATTTCTTGAATTAATTTAAGACCTTCCTCCCAGTTATTCATTACACCTGGACATTCAAAATATATATATTTCATAAATTTCAAAAGAGATTTATTTTAATTTAATGTTAAATTCAATAACTTACTATATCGTTCAAGAACTAAATTATACATTTGTTCACGATCTAGTCTCCCTCCTTTTGTGATTTGCATAAATTTTTTCACCACAGAAAATTCGTCTTTCAACAAAAGCTTCTGGATGACATTTCTTAAAATTTCTGCTGTTTCGCGATTACCAATAATCTTTCCTGACTATTAAAAAAAATAAATTAAATACATTAAAATTTTCTAATAAAACTTCTTTTTTTTTAAAAAAAAAAAAAACTTACTTTTAAAACTTGCTTACTCTGGATTTCACGATTATTTTTAAGAAATGCGATAGAAAGATTAAATAAGGTATGTGTGTATCCTAAATGAGAATTTGATAAATTTGTCAAGAGTTGTAGAGAATTCACATCTTCAACTTTAATACAAGCTTCCATTACTTTATCGTCATGAGTATAAAAACCATATTCTTGTTTTATTTTTTTAAGAACTTCCAAACATTCATCAAAATTGTTCCTTTAAAAAAGTAATAATATTATTATTTACAAATATTTATTCTTACACATTTTTATAAAATAATAAGTTAGATAAACTTACTGTTGTAAATGTACATCAATTAAATATTCTGTAATTTTTTTATTTATCTTTAATTTGATATTTTTTAAAATATCAATAAATTTATTAATTCCATCAACAGAGCCTTTTTCGGTTAATAAATTTAAAGCATTTTGTACTTTTTCAATAGTTTCATGATCGTTACTAATAATTACTTTTCTTTTTTCTACAAAATGTTGAAGTATCTCGAAACCATCTGTGTGAAAAAAATGTATTATTTTATAAGTTTAATTTTTAGAAAAATTAACATTTTTAACAAGCAATGTATTTCATCAATATTTATTTTTTTGTTACCATCAATTCTATCTTTTTTCACAAGTAATTCAAAGTAATTTAAAATTTTATCAAAGCAAACATTAATTTTAGATCTTTTTAATTTATCCATTAAATTTTCAGCTTCTAAAATATTTTCTTCTTGACAATATTTTTCTAATAGAAATATTGAATCTAAGTGCTTAAGACGTGGTATTTTCTTTGCCATCTGAAAATGGTTATTTTTTTGTTATAAATTATCATTAACGAGATATAATAATATTATTATAGTTTTGAAAATAGATTTTTTAGAACTAAAATAAAAAGAAGAAAAAAGTAATGTAATATAAACTTGCCTTGTAAAGAAAAGAGTATGGTAATATATCAATGTTCTCAATGTTTCCCTTTGATTGTAAATGATGATAAAACTTTTCTTTATCATAGTTAATATTACGGTCAAAAGAAAATTCAACTGTAAATAAATATAAAATAAGAAAAATTTGTTAAATTTCTAAAATAATTATATTTTAGAAATTTTTAAAATACTTACGACACTTTTTAATTAAATATGAATTTTTATGGTATACTGCATAATGTAATATTGTATCAATAACAATTTTAGGAGATAATTGGATATCATCTATTAGTTTTTTAAATGCAAAGTTTGGTGTATCTTGAGATAATACATGTGGTACAATAAAATTATATAAAGTATCTTCACCAGGTTCAATATTAAAATCATTCTTCATTGCTTTGACTATTTCCAAAATATCTAATTAAAACCAAAAATTAAAACGTAATTAATTTGAAGGTACATGTAAAAGTAAGAATAAGTATATATAAATTTAAAATAAATTAACCAGAATCCTTTTGTGATTCACAAATTTTCAGAACAGGCCAAAAAAAGTGTTCTTTTATTAAACCACCCCTTTCTTGCCAAGCTTTGAAGAAAGGAATACAATAATCGTTAATTTCTTTTATAAAACAAGTAAAGATTACAGTTTGGTAGGCAGGTATATTCAATTGTTCAAACGAATTCAGGTATTTGATTAGTTCTTCCAGTGGCTGGACAAAATAATAATAATTATTAATTTAAATAGATATATTATTATTATTAAAAGAATTAAATAAATTTACTTACTAATTTACATATACCAATAACCTTCAAAAATTGAAAAGCTAACGGTAATTTAGAATTATCATCACATTTTTCAATAGCCTCTGATATTAACCGATAAGCAATATTTATTTGTTTTTTATGTAAAAGCTTTGCAATAAAAATGTGAATGATAGATGAAATTTGTTTCCAAGAAAACAATGGGATTATCTATAAGAAGATAAAGTGATTAAAAATGATGAAATTAAAAATTCTATTTAATTAATAGAAAAAAAATAATACCCTGTCAACATGTTCAGAATGTCCATTTACAGATAAATGATAAATTATTTCAATTATGTGACCATCATCAATAATAATATTATTTTGCTCACAAGTCTTTAGAGTTGACATTATATTTTCAATATCACCTTTTTTTGCATAAGAATACAAAAGAGCAGAATAGGCTTTAGATGAAGGAATACATCCCATTACTTTCATTGTATTTAAAATATTTAGTGCACCATTCATATCACTAGATCAATAAAAATATAAACGATTTACACAATTAAATATTCTACATCTAGATAATAAAGGTTTTATAAAAAAAAAAAAAAATTCCAAAAACACTTACTTTGCTTCTGCATTACCAATTATTAATGCACTAAAAATCCTCTCATTAATTGGAATTTCATTCTCTTTAAAATAGTGCAATATTTTGTTTGCATCCGAAACGTTTCCTTTTTGACAATAATATGTTAATAAATACTCATATGTAAGTGTATTTGGTTGAACGTTATTATTAATCATTTCCGTTAAAAAGTCAGTTGCTGAAAAATCCTTTTCATTTTCCAAATATACCTCAATTATTGCATTATAATGATTTACATCAAATTGAAAACCTATTGAACATAAAAAAGTTTATTATAATATATAAATTAAATTTTACAATTATTTTCCTTACCCTTTGATTTAAATACTTGACATAATAAATCAAGAACATTTAATCTCTGTTCTGGCATATCAAATTTCATTTTATTTCCACAACAACGAATTAACATTATCAAATCACTGTTTTTCATATTATCTATAACTAAATAATATTTATCTATTAATTAATATTTTATTAACATTTTTTTTTTAAGTTATTCAAACTTTTTTTTTTACCTACTTTGATAATTTAAATTTGCGTTATTATAAATGTTTGTCACTAATTTTGACACATCCTCGAAAGTTGCATAATATTTAATGAAATATTTTCTTCTAATACGTTCTATAATTGATAACTCTGTATCAGAATCAGGTAGAAACACATTTCTTAGTACTGCATTATTTCTGTAAATAAATTACATATAAAAAATAAAATAATAATCAAACTTTTTTTTAAAAAAAATTGTTTGAATTCATAATTGATTTTTATGTATCAATAACAAAAATATAAATATAAAAAAAAATATTAAAACCAACCCATTTGTTTTAACTGCAGAAGTTGATCGCAATGCAGATTGTAATTTAGATGAAGATTGAAATGGTTTTATATGGTAACCACTAAAGAAATTGACATACTTATAAGATCTTAAAATAGTGGCCATTATTTATTTTTCTTTCAACTTTTGTTAAAACCTTCAATGTGCTGAATCTGACGGCATTTATATCTATCAAAAAAAAAATAAATCTGAAATACAGTTTTTGAAAAAAAAAGATGTTAATAATTTGAAAATTTTAATAATATTGATACTCTTTGTTTTAATAGTCAAGTCATAGTAATTCTATTATTTTAATATAATAGAAAACTTTTTTCAAATATAACCTTCAAATTCCAAGTTTCTGTTTTGCTTATTGACAAATCATTGAAACAATTGACTTATAAAATATTGTTAAAGAAAAAATCATATTGTATTTAACTTTTTTTTACAAAAAATTCATTTAAGTATTAATTAAAAAATATAACAAAAAAAACTTCAAGATATATAACCGATATAACCATACCACATTTAACAAAACCCACAAAAAAATATGTAGCAGAAGACCATGTGTCACAGTAAACTATGAGTGCAAAAGAGATAGGCAAATATAATTGTCCTTTTCACTCTCTCATTATTTCGAAAATATTTTAATGGAACGTCCCAAATGTTAACTTAAGGTGTAATCCACATGAAAAAACCGCCTCTTCTACGGTAAATATTTTTTCTTTTATTTAAATAAAAAAATATATAAATATTTTTAAGCTATTAGTTTTTATTCACAATAATATAAAAAATATAAATATTTATATAATACAATACGTACACATGCATAAATTATTTTTTAGAAGATTCATTTTCTGCTTTTACATTAAAAAAAATTGATAAACTTTATCAATACTAAACGATTTCCTTAGTAAAATTGATCATAGGTTGTGTAATATTATAATATTTTACTAAAGTCTGTAACAAAAAAAAAGACAAAAAAGGATTAGAATTGTTTTCGTTATATAAAATTGAATTTACTTTTTTTTTAGCATTAAATACTTACTTGCCATTGATTTGAATTTAAATTAATGATATTTTGCACAGACGATTTGCCAATTTTTTTTGCATGTTGTGCCATTTCTTTTGTACATGGTTCAATCATTAATTTGCCCGTTGATTGATCTGCAAAAAAAAAAAGAAATGTTGAAATAATTTTCCAATCAATCATTAAAAAAAAAAATCTTACCTTTTTTTAATTGAATAACTCCATCGCGAGCCAAAAATGAAACATGAAGAATATTTTCTATTGTATTTCCAAATTTCGTTGGATGTAATATTAAACTGAAATAATCAAGCGGTTGATGGTGCATTTTATGATGTTGAATTATTAGTTTTCTAATTTTTTCAACTGTCTCCTCAACACTTTGATCCTCTTTCTCTGTTGATATTACATTTTCTGGCCTTTTTGTTTTAGCTTGTGCATCTCTTTTAAATGGTTTTCTAATTGCAATTGGTTTTTTTGGTAAAGGTTCAAGTGCTCCTGTAAAATTAATTAATTTAGTAAGGGAAAATTATTGTTTTTTTAAAAAATTTTTTTTTTTTACCCGATAGAGTTGAAAAATGAGGAGTTTTTTTAAAAACTTTCGCCACATCAATTTCTAAATCAGCCCAATTTAAATTTTCCGGTTCATCTGCAATTGTATCAGATTGCTGTTGAACGTAATCATGCTGAAAAAAAAAATAATAAATTAATATTCATTAAAATTAATATATATATATTTTTTATAAAGAACTTACAATCATTTCAGCATATTCCTCATAATTATAAGTATTCACATCTTTTAATAATGTAACTGTGCACTGCTCTATTATTTTCGAAATGCATGTTACAATTTCAGAATCTAATATTACTTCGACTTGATTTTCAACTGGAATAAAATAATTAATATCAATTCTTTTTTTTTTTTACTTAAATTTTTAAGTAAAAATTTACAGTATTATATCATAACCTTACTTTTTTCTTCGAGACTTGTCTCATCCATAACAGCATCTTCCTTTTCAGTTACATCGTTCAGATTTATTAATGTTTTAGATCCAATTGAATCCTCTAAACAATTAACAATTTTAATAAAAAATAAAAGAAAGTTGTTATTAAAATAAATATACTTACTGAGAGCTCGCGCTCTTGTTAAATATCTTCCCAAAACTTGTTTCCTTTCCACGGGAGAAAGAACTTGCGACATTTTCGATTAATAAACAAATCAAAAAAAAAAAAAAGGGAATCATTCATTAATTTCTGTTGTGATAACAATTTGTTTGTTTAAAATCACATAATTTGACAAGACAACAAAACTGAACTGATGGGACACTCGTGGTTTCTTAAGGTACGTTCATATTATGGCTATTTGCATAATTTGATTGGCTCTTTGAAAATGGACATTATCCAATCTATCTTAATATTGTTAGTTCATGTTATAAACATTCATCAACAACAATACAAAACATGTCAGATGGTAAATATTTTGTTTTTACTGATTTTTAATTAATAATAATTAATGAATTAAATATTTGATAATTTTTTTATCTATAGAGGAAGTAATTCGTCGAAGATTATTAATCGATGGCGATGGCACTGGAGATGACCGTAGAATTAATGTTCTTTTAAAATCATTTATTAAATGGATAAACAATTCAGATGCTGATAATACTTTACATGAAAGAATGTTATCTCAATTGGCACAATGTGAATTTGCACAGAAAAAATCACGTTTTGTTTCAAATATGAGTCAAGAGGAATTAAGAAATTATGAAAATTTATCAAAACAAATTGAAATTGAAATTGAATATGCTAAAAAAGATATTGAAAGAACAAAATCTGGTTTAGAAGCAGCTAAACGTGTACGTAAATATAGAATTGAATATGATGTATTGGCAAAAGTTATTAATGAACAACCTGATCGTGTTGAAACAAATTCAAAACTCAATACACTTCGAGATGAATTAGGTTGTCTAAAAGTGAGTATAAATTTGTTTATTATATGTAATTTAATAAATAAATTTTCTAACAAAATTTAATTTACAAGGAAAAATCTGAACAACTTGAACGTAAATTAGAAATGCGAAGAAAACAATTTCATGTTTTAATATCTTCAATACATTCATTACAAGGAATGTTAGATGAAGTTGATGAAGAAATAATGGATGTAAGTCTAGAAAATTATGAAGATACTGATACTATTACATCACCGAAAACCAGCACTTAATTTAGGTAAATAAAATTTTATTTCAATTATAAAATATTCGTTTTAATAAAAATTTCTTAAATTTTAAAGTACAAAAATATATTTAAAATTAATAATTATTTTCCAATTTTTAATTTCATTTTACTCACTTTTGGAACGTGTCTTATTGTTAAAGATATTCTTGTAGATCGCAGTAAAATTTGTTGATTTAAATAATTTTCTGAACATAAATATAAATTTTTGATTCTATCTTCTGAAATAATATCTTCATTTTTTTCATCAATTGAATGTAAATAATTGTGATATAAATTTTCTTTTAAAATAAGCAAACTTCTAGGTTCTAATAAAAAACTAAATTGATATTTTGGTGTTTTTTCCTAAAATTTAAAATAAAATTTAAATTATTCTACAATAATTTATAATTGTAATATTTGATTTCAAAAACTTACAACTTTTTCAGTTTCAAGACGTTCATAAAAATCCAAAACAGTATGTGAACCACAACTTATTGTACTGACAATTGGATGAAAAAGTGGTCCATCTGAATGAGGCTGAGAAAATTGATAAAATTTTGTATATTGTACGCATTTAGAATTATTCTTTAAATATATGTATACTTTAAATTACATTTATTAATTTTTGTAAATCAATTCTTACCATAATTCCTTGCCCTGGTAAATATTCATTAATGAGAATATGATTTGGTTCTTTCATTTCTTCAAATACATTTAATTTTGATATTTTTTCAATGTATTTTTGTAGCCACTGTAAAATATTTTTAAATAAATAAAATTAAGAAATATTAATTTAATTTTTAATTAATTAGTTTTAATCTTACACTTGGTATTTTCTCAGCTAACATTCCTTTTAGATGAGGAATTCCACCCCAATTTTGTAATCTTCTGTTACTTAATTGCGTCCACTTTGGTTGTGGAGTTTTATTAACGCATTTTATTATTTCTTCTTCATCAGCTTTTGTTATGAAATTTGGCAAATAATATGCCAATGAAGGTATCTGTAATTATTATTAATTAATTGTAAATTTATTTGTATTTCGCATTTCATTGCTTATATATATCTATACCTCACGAATAATATTATTCTCTAAATTATTATTTTTCATTTCATTACATAATGAAAATTCCATTTTATGTGCATGAACAAGTTAAGTTTATTTAAAAGTATAACCAAAAAAAAAAAGATATTTAATGTTTTTTATTCCTGCAATTTGTAAATAAACAATGCTGATTAAATTCAGCAGTAGAGATCAAGATGAATCGATTTTTGAACTTAGAAATGTTTCTGAAAACAAACACCCAATGAAAGCGCTACAATCTAAAGAAGTATTACATAATTTAAGCTTAGTACACACTGTTGCACGTTGCAGCCGCACGTGTGTTATCGTTTATTGACATAATATATAACCTTACTTTATATTTAAAGTTTATTTTTAATTTTTAAGATAGTTTTTTGTGTAAAATATTCTTAAATATTTATTTTTAGAATGTTTAGTAACAAAATAGAATGTAAAATTTAACCAACGAATAGAAAAGGTTTCTTTACATTCATAATATATGGTAAAATAACATTTAAATTATTTATAAACAATCATTTAGCTATTTTTATTTATTAATAGTTTTATATATTTTAACTAACTCTTATGTTATTATTTTATTTTACATAGTTCTATTTTTGTTTTTAATTTTTCAGAAAATGTCAACAATAAGAAATATTAGATTGCTCGTTGCAAAATTTAATCCAATTAGAGAGAAACTATTTTCATCAAAAAATTTATTATACACTAATGTTGCTATTTCAATTTCACTATCAGCAACGGGTGATTTTCTTGAACAACACTATGAAATTTTAAAGGTAAGAACTGGTTTTCTTTTATTTAAAATAAAATAAAATATTAATTTTTTTTTTCATTGTGCTACTTTCGTGAAAATTGAAATACATTGTTTATAAATAAAACATTCATTACAGGGAGAATGGAAAAAATTTTGTATAAAAAGAACTGGACATATGGCATTATCGGGAATGTCTGTAGGAGTAATATGTCATTATTGGTATCGTTTTCTTGATTCTCGACTTCCGGGAAAAACAATTGGAATTGTTGTAAGAAAAGTTATCATCGATCAATTTATATGTTCACCACTTTGTATAGGAATGTTTTTTTTAACATTAGCAATATTAGAAAGAAATAATTGGGAAGAATTTATTAGAGAAGTTAAAAATAAGGCACATAAACTGTATATTGCCGAATGGATAGTTTGGCCGCCAGCACAAATAATTAATTTCTATTTTCTACCAACAAGATATAGAGTTCTTTATGATAATACTATTTCTCTAGGCTACGACATTTATACAAGTCAAGTTAAACATGACAATATATTAAATCAAAATAAATAACGTTTAAGGATAAATTCTGTTATCAGAATTTTAGATAGACAAAAATTAAATTTTTTAAGAATTCATTTTTTAAGTACGAAATAGTTTCATAAATTTTATTTCCAAGTCAATAAATAAAAAATTATAAATAGAAATGAGAGCCAATAATGAATTTTTAAAATATACAAAATCAGAGTGATTCGAAACACCTATTTTTTTTTTGTACAATATTTTAGTTTCAGAATTTTAAATCACTCTGCTATCTAGATTTTTATTTTCTTTGTACATATTTACAAATTTTACGATTTTTAATAAACTTATTGTTAAGAATTATAAATTATAGCCTCATTTTAACTTAATTAAAACATACCATCATGTATTCCAATTGGAACTAGGACCACAGTAAAAAGTAGAAGATTTCGTATAACCAATTTCCAATCACTTGGCACGGCATAAGGTGCAAGAACTAATGTTAATCTGTGTATCTAAAATTATTTTGATTAGAATAGAATTTTTTTATTTATAAAAAAAAAATAAATAAATAGACTTACCTCATGACTAGCACAAATAAAAATAAAAGAAGAAAGCAGTAGATTTAATACTGGAAATCGTGGTAAAAGAACTAGAACACCATGAGAATCAGCTGCGAGCCAAACATGTCCTTGACTGACCAAAGTTTCTAAACTAATTCGACCAAGACCAGCCAAAAGCGATGAATGTTTTCCTCGCAATGCCAATGAAGCATTTCGAAGGACAATATAACCCAAAATCTAGAAAATAAAGAAATTATTTTTAATTTTCAAATTAAAAGAGAAATTAAATTGATTTTTTAAATTCTCACTGGAATAAATGCAACGTAAGAATGAATCTCTTCACATTCGGAAAAAGAATGACAAAGAAGTGTGTAACTAGTGTAGGCAGCTAAAGAAATAAGTGCCAATATTGGAGCCATAGTTGTTCCTGGAATATGATCAACTCTTTGAAGACCCACTAAACCAGCTCCAAAAGCAATTCCCCAAGCAACACTGTATCTATCAACACGCCATCTTGACCACCATTCTCGAATATCATCATCCGTTGTTACAAATAATGCCTTCCAAGGTCGAGTCACAAATATCTTTTCAAAAAATACCTGCAAAAAAAAATTACAAAATAAAAAAATTATAAAAAGAAAATCATTTTTTATATTACAATAAATTCCACACCTCTGACATATAGAGAATCGTAATGATGCAAATAAGACCCAATAGTTTAAGGGCTAAATAAAGCAATGCTCTCGGTCCATATTCGGCTAAAGTTCCAGAATAAACTCTCGGAGGCAACCAGGCCAAGAAATAAACAATTAAAAACCAAAAAGAAGCCAAGGGCACAAAATGATAAAATTGATAAGGTCTATTCATACAAAGACAGAGAGACACAGTTAAGAGATTTAATCTAAAAAGTACCTGGAAAAATTGTTTTCTTTTTACATTTATCTAAAAATTATTTAACAGGAAAAAAATTCAAAAAAAAATCTTACCCGAAAAAATCTAACTAGTGAAATATCGCCAGTTTGCCAAAAATAATAAAAATGTCCATAGCCAGAAAGAAATAAATATGCAGAATTTATAAGTCTCAAATGCATATAAATTGGTAGCACATTTTTTGCGCCTGTCACATGATATATTAATACAACTGCCTGCATAAGTCCTCTCCATTCATCAGTTTGTTCACGATTTAAAAATCTTGGACCACGTTCACGATCCTCAGTGAAAAAAAGGCTTAATGCTAAAATATATCCCAGTGGTAACCAAAAACTAAATTCACTATAATATTTATTTTCCTTCATGAAAAAATTAGTTCTGAAATTAATAATAATATTTGTTTAATATTGATATTTGTAATAATATTCCTTTTTTTCAACATACCTGTCACATAAATAAAAATAAGCAAGTATAATCGATAAGAGCGCTAACGAAGTAACAAGTGTATAAAAATCTTGTACTTGAGGTGCTTCACTTTTTAAAATATCAGTTTCTTCTCTCTCAATTTCTTCCATTGCCAAACCGGAATATAAAACTTCAGTTTGATATTGACAAATTTTTCGATACAACCAAATACTACCACCTATTATTATGCTGAAATTAGAAAAGAAGAAAATGAATTTTTTGAATTTTAGTATTAATTTTTTTTTTAATTTAAATAACAATACCATAAAGCAAGGACGAAAAGTGAAACAAGTTGTAAAGTTGTTGCAGCTTCTGGAGAACTACAACAACTACCATCATCAAAATTCATATGATCATTACAATGTGTATTTAAAAGAATTTGAATTTTGTGTCGTAATGATAAAGGACTTGATAAATATCCATCTGGACTTTGTTCTAAAATTCCACCGCCTACGAGTCTACTGCTTTCCCATAAATGAGCATCACTGTGTGATAATACCTTAAATAAATTAAATTCTCATATAAATAATTTTTATTAAAAAATTTTTTTTTTTTTTTTCATTAATAAATAATCAAACCTCAACAGCTGCCTTATTACAAACGTCAATTTGTCTATTATCGACATTTGAGAATTGTGGCGATAGACGTTCTTTTAAAATCGGATCCTGTAATGTCCATAAAAAGCGCGAACCCTTTTGTGCAAGAACTTCAGCTGGACGAACAAGATTCATTAAATTTCTACTATATATTGAATGTAACGTAAGATCACTGGCATTATTTGCAAGAATATCGGCCACAGCACAACCGGCAATAATCATACTCGGTGATTCTCCTGACTAAATAAATAATATTTAAACTGATATTAAACAAAAAAAAAAACTTTTAATGTCATACCATCCAATTCCGAAAATTTGATATCATTGCTGCGTTAATTTGCGGTCTCCATAAAAATTGAACATTAAGTCTTAATTGTGCATCATTGAAATTGAGATCTGAATTTTCTGGCAATTCCACTAAATCAGATGTTTTACCATCAACCATAAATTGTGATACAAATGTTTTATACAATTGTCTAATTCGTGCATCACCAATAAAAACAAATTGATTATGATGACCCATAAATGCTAAATATCTAAGACATCTTCGACTATCTCTGAAAAAATAAAATTTTTTTATTTTTAAAATCATATTTTTATAATTGAAATTAAATTACTTACGTTTGTGTATAATGATGCATCATACAGCCGTATGGTTGCCATTCTTTATCACCTTTATATCTACCTTCAGTTAATAACCATTTACAAGAATCGCTATCTAAAATTTTATTTGTTTTTATAAACAACATTTACAGGTTATAAATATACCAAAAAAAAAAAAATTGATTTTAATTTATAATCTCACCATAAAGAATATGCAACATTCCATGATAAAAAATAAAACATAAAATTAAAGCTGTTGCTAATTTTTTAGCACTTGCTACAGTAATTAAACTAATAAATTGTTCCGCCGAAGTCATTATATATCATATCTTTCTTAATCTTAAAAATAATTTTCCATTATAATTATTTTATAATATAAAAAAAATATTGTGTATTGTTTTGGAAATTGGTAATGTATAAAATTTTATTGTATATCTTATAGAAAATTTACATTTTTTATATAAAATTTTGAAAAAAAAGGTTTGTTTACTTTTGAAAAAAAATTCACTTCAATGAACATTAAATATACAAAAAAACATAGATAAGAAGTATAGTTAAACCTTAATGTTGAATCACATCCCTGCATGCAAGATTTTGATTGGTGGAAAAAAGTAAATTGGACTATTTCCATAGGAAGAGCCAATAAAAAAAAACCGAGGGTTTTTTAAAACTAAATTCAAAAATTTATCTCAAAATAAAAAAAACCAAAAAATTATTTATATTTCTTGGGAAAAATAACAATGGAATGTATGAAATCCTTTAAAATACTGTCATAACAGAGATATTATTTATAATTTCTTTTAATAAATATTATAAACAATACACAAATATTATAAATAAGTTTTTTTTTCTACGGCTATGCGTTTGAAAATGCAGAATAATAAAATCAGATTATTATTATATAAATTACACTGGTACAAAGACCAATGAAATTCTTATAAAATACGTCATTACAAATATTTAAGAACAAATCTATTAGAATGCAAGAAAAAAAACTAGATAATAATGCAACGAATGCAAACAATTGTACGATAGAAACGCAAATAATATATATATATATATATATATAAAAAAAGGATTTCTTTACAATGATCTACATAAAATTATATCGATAGTTTTGCAACACTCTCGCACAATATTATAGATGCACTCTAAAGCGTAAGATTATAGGGATCTAAAATCAGATATAAAGTTCGTGAAGTACATAGAAAATTAAAGAATAATAATCAAATAGTTTTAGATACAAGATATTATCATATATACAAAAATAGAAACGTAAAACTATAAATTTCGAATATCGAGTAACGTTTTATGAGCAATAAATTTTTTTTTTCAAATTGACGAAGATACAAAGTTTTATATATAGTTATAACACTTTTGATTTTAGAACCCTCATATAAGTATAACAATGACGGAAGATGGGTTGGAATATAAATCCGTATATTAATTATTATTGATCATGTACTGTAACACGAACTTCAAATGTATATTATCCAATTCTCATTTAATTGCTTCTAAATTAATTTAATTTCCGATTTATAATTCTACGTTTTAATATATAATTATGGATAGAAGTGTTGTCAGTTACGAATACAATTTCGTACAATATAATAATATGTTAACGTTTTCTTCTATAATAACGGCCCTTCTAGTTTTTTTTCTTTTTTTTTTTAATATAAGAGTGTTAAATTTGTTATATTCGTTAAATTTATTCTATTCGTTATGACTATAGCAGTGTATAATATATGATTTTTTTTTTATTTTAGTCTTTTATTTATTCAAATATGTTCGGAAGCAAACAAGAATTATTTTGCAGTATAACTGCAAATAAATATGAAAATTTATATATATATATAATAAAAAATAATTAAAAAAAAAACGCAGATAATTCAGATAATACTTTTTGTGATAAGAAAGAGCGCATGAAAAAAAATAAAAGATTCAGTCTACTAAAATAATACTTCATATTTTTTTGTCGATTATTTTCTAAATCTTATTAGATCTTTAAGTTTATTAGAATTGTATAAATTTTTAATTTTATATCTAATTATTATGCTTTCTATTATGTACAGCTGTTTTTATTATCGTATATAAAACAATGTAGATAAAAACATTTTGTATAAATTTGTTCTTGAATAATTTAATTATATTTTTCTTAAATTACAATCGTTATTCAAAAAAGACAATTTTGATAATCAAAAAAGACAATTTTGATAATCAAAAAATAATTTCCAAAAACTAGTTTGTCATTTGCATTAATATGCTAATAAAAAATTTGATATGTTAAAATTTGTAAAAACACACACACTTGTAAAAAATTGATAAAAAATTCTATTGTCAGTATGTTAATGTTCTTTGTTATTATAACAATTATTGTTGTTTTTTTTTTTTGTAAATAATCGATATGAATTGACTTCTACATCATGCACTCTTCCTTCACATCTAAAAGAAAATTATATAGTAATACATTTCGTATATTATTAAGTATTTAGAACAATTACGATATTTCTAAATCGATCTATAAATCTAAATATTTGCAGCATAAGGTTCTGACAAATTGCACTTAATATTCTTGACTTAATATTCACAATGATAAATAAACTCGCATCTGAAATTTAATTCGAACTTAAAAAGAAAATTCGAAAAATCTCTACCTTTTGGTAGATAAATTAAATTTTTTAAAAAATTTTTAACATGTGTAAATATATTTATTTTTTTTTTTCAAAGCGTTTATACCTCAGTAAAAAAGCAATTGAATGTAAATATGAATTCAATGAAAATAATAGAAAATAAAAATATATATATATATAGTATATATAAACGAAAAAATAAAACAACTCCAGCCGATGCTTGACAATAATGACTTTGCTAGTAAGCTACGGCACCTATTGCTTAGTTCTGTTAATGATTTAAATACATAAATTATGTACATTTCATTTTTTGCTAAATTATAATCAAAAAATTAAATTAATCACTTAAGCGTAAAACTTAAGTCTGAAATTTGTTTCTGAAATGTCTTTTCGTAAAATATATATTATTGCAATTTTTTTGCAAAATATATTTTCAAAACAATTATAAAAAAAAACTGGGATACTTTCAGAATCTTATGCTGGATTATTTTTTTCTGTTAATAAAAAAAAAAAAACACAACAAAATATGCACGATAAAATATCAATGGAATGAGATAATTTAAGGTTAAAAAAAAAAATCAACGAAAAATGTGTAAAAATTAGTTACTTAACCCGATGCCATTGCATATTCTGGCCACACAAAATCTATATTTTTTGTGGGAAAAAAGAAATCAAATTTTGGTTTTTTAAAAAAAAAATTTTATCCCCCCAAAAAAAAAAAGATAAAATTTGCATTGCTTTAAAATTAAAACAATCAGTCTACAAATTTGATTTGTAAAAAATAATAATTGGCAGCAAATTTTTTTTGCTTGGCAGTGGGTTAAATACGATTATTTTATAAATAATCTAATTTAAACGCTTTTAAGCGTTAAAGCTTTGTCACAATTGTGATAGTAAAAAAAAGAGAGAAAAAAAAAGTTTGTAAACAAACGATCACGCGTAAAATAATATTTGCTCTATAGAAAAAATATAGAAAAAAAAACAATAACAGAAATAAATCAATATGAAAAAAAGGATACTCAAACTGTGTGACTAAAGCTTAGAATTTCATGGCGAGAAACTCGTAACTCTATGTTTAGGCCTTTAATAATTTGTAATTGTTCATGAATCATAGGACGATGATCCATGATCATGCGCTGGACTCGGAGGCGTTGATGGATTTGAACTATTATTTGAAGCTATCGAATGTCGAGGACTTCCACCAGATACTGGTTCCTAAAAATTTATATATTGAAGAAAAAAGAACTTAAAAATTTAAAAACAGAAAACTTACTTTATCGTGTAAGGACGAAATGCTGCCAAGTGAAAGGGGTGTATGTGATCGCATATGCAATGAATCAGAATCAACCTGATCAGGTGTACGTGGTAACGATGGTGGTGTAGCTGTTGGTCTTGGAGGCGCTGGACCTCTTCTCGCAGAAGTTGAACCTGTAAAATATTTTCAAAAACGTTTATTAAAAAAGAAAATTATTGAATAAAATTTTCAATATTAAAAATTTCAATTAAAAATCATAATTATACTCACCATTATGTGGCGAATATCCTGAGTGCTTTGACATATGAGAGCTAAGGCGCCTGGAGTCTGAAGGTGGATGTCTCGGAGGCAAGGGTGCTGGTTTATTAGGAGCTTGCAATCCAGAACTGTATGTCTATAATTAATAATCTATTAAAACTAATTCATTTTTTATAATAAAAACAAAATATTATTTCTAAATAAAAAATCTATTATTGAAATATAATAGAAAATTCATACTCTTTGTTGACTGCCGTGAAAAGCACTATGATGTCCCGTTACAGCTGCATTATAAGGTGGAGGCGGTTGATCAGCAGTTTCCAGTGTTGTTGGTAAATCAAGTAAGTGCTGAAGTGAAAAAATTAAATCACATACTGTGTAAAACAAAAAAAAAAAAAATAGTTTTCTCACCTTTATGCCATTTCCAGGTCCCATATGACTGATGTGATTAAAATTAGTAGGTGCCGATATCATTTTTGAACGACGATCTGTAGGTCGAGCTGCTCTATTTCCTTCTCTTAATGAGAATCTTCTCCTGGGTCGTGTCATTTGTTTACCACTCGTTTCCATTGGAGCTAAGTTCAATAATTCACCTTAAAAATATTTTCATTTAATTATTAAAAACTTTAATTTATTTAATGTATATTTAATAAAACTTACGTTGATGTAAATTACTCAAATAAATAACGTGCGACATATCGTTAATGGCACACGTGGTGAGAGAACCGGAAGTATTTAAAGGTCGGGCTTTTTTAACATTTAATGTTTGTAACCAATCACCAGTTGTACAATCGAACACATCGATGTGAGTTTCACTATAAACGAGTAAATAACCTTCGCAAAAACCTAAACATAAATATAATAATTATTATTTTATTTTTTTAAAACAGTTTTAAAAAAAGAAAAATTACTTACTGACTGCTGTAGGAACAGCGGGATACATAATTTCCCTATCTCGACTTTTTCTCCCTTGACTATCAACATAAACTGCAAGCGTGTGAAAAACTAATAAAAATTCCCCTTTTGGCAGTTCAATGCAACGCAATGCATCGACAGCGCTATAAGTTAAAAAACCCAAAAGAGTATTTTCAGGATGGACCAATGCTGAAAGAAAAATAAAATTAATTACAAAAATAATTAAATATATTATATAATTTATACTTACATATAGGTTGATGGTCACCCAATATACTATATATTGAAAAACCAGATGGGTATCCAACGCATAATCTTCCTTCGGAGAGTACTTGTAACGTTTGTGCGTGACAAGGCAACATTAATTCACGAACACGTTTATGTCTTGTTTTCGTACGTGTTATTTCATAAATAATAACTTGCGATGCATTTTGTTTTTTAATTGCAACACAAAGACAATAAGTTAAAGGCTTTCGACGTACAACGCCAGTTGTTAATGTTATGCATCCTTTAGTTTCAGCAACTTTTATCCATTCCACCTCATCTCCATCTAAAGCGCGAACAGGAACTAAACGAACGTGTCGTTGTTTTCCACTAAGTACAACAATTAATTGTTCTTCTGTTACATATTCGAGAAGATAAACTTTTTTCCCTTCTCCAACTCTTGCTATTTCTGAAAAAAAGAATTTTTTTTTTTTATAACTTATAGAAAAATCATTCAATTTTAAAAAGAAAATTTTCCATACCACTACGATCTAAATCTAAACAAAATAAGCCTTCTTCCGTGCCAATGACTAGACGATCCGGGTCTATAATTGCTCCAGACATCACATTTTTAATAAGCGCCAATGTGTTGTCCAATAATTCTTTAGCTCTAAAAATCTGAAAAAAAATCAATTAAGACACAAAAAAAAAGGAAACAAAAATAATTAGACAAAAAAAAACATACTGTTGTATTAGGAAGATTATTTCTTTTGAGAATTCGATGAAGTTCGCTTAAGGCCACTACCCATTTAGTTTTTTCACTTTCTGTATCAGCAAGCATTAACGTATGGTTCCGCAATCCAGGTGGTTCCAATAAGGATGTTGTTATCTAGTCAAGGAATATTTGTTTTATATTAAGGAACTATTAAATACAAAAATGATTTAATATTAATATAATAATGATTTATTATTAAATAAAACATTAGAATTTTTAATATTCGTTATTGATAAAAAAAACAAATGAAAATAATGAACACAGAGAAGAATTTTCTTTTTAACACTTACCCTAAATATACATGGAATGTCTTTTTTTGTCGCATGTATAACATCAGAATCTCGTACAGAGCTCACACTGAATTCTTCATCGCGCATATCCAATACTTGTGATACATAAACCGAAGGAATTGCATTTCTATCCGGTGAGATGTCATATAGGAATAATTTAAAGTCACAAACAACAACAAATTGTCGTACCCAACCTTTTTTAACACCGCCCATTTTTGGAACTTTTACGTAACCTTCATAGGCAGTGCCAATGCCTCTTGTTGGATCAATTCCTAATGGTCGTTTAGCTAAAAAAAAGAAAATTAATTTATTATTTGAAAAAAATGTTAATACTTAAAAAAAAAAAAAAAAAAAGAAGCTTACTCTGATCGTGAGGAACGGGACACATTGGTGGTACTTTATCGCAACAGGGCATATGACACGCAAAGCCACAAACTTCACAAACAACTCCTTGTCTCGTTAAACCAACCATTAATGAAGTACAATGATTACATTTTGTTGGAGCTGAAAATGTTCGTACCAGGAACTGATGAGATTTTGGCTTTGGTTGAATGTTTGGTTGATTATGAACTGACGAAGATTTGTTAAGTAATTCATGTGATAAAGGAGAAGTTGGATCCTAAAAGAAGAAAAATTATCAAATAAAAATTAAAAATGATAAATTTTTTTTTTATAATTTAATTTTAAAATAAAAATACTTACAATACTAAGTTCAGAGAGATTGCTTTTACTGCTTGTGATACTTGGGGCACGATTGTCTTCAATGTCACCTTCTACACTATCCACACTTCCATGACGAGTACTACTAGCGGTTTCCTTCAAGAAATGTTCCAAGTATGACATTTGAGAGGTAGGCCGCTCCAAAACTGAAAATAAAAATTATTATAGTAAGATAAAAATCACAGAATTCTAATAAAAATGTTAGAAGATTTAATTTGAAAGTTAGCCTTTATGGGTCCAACATTTTTTGATATTTTCAAAACAAAACTTAAAAATTGGACCTATATTTCAGAAAATTTTGTTTTTTTGTTAAGGTATAAAATCCTAAACTCATAAAATTAATTTATTATCAAGAATGTGGGATAAGAAAAATTCACCAAAGCACCCACAAAAACCACACAAGGCTTAATTTTCTATATATCGTCGTTGTTAATCGCTCGCTTAACACAAAAAGAAAAAATAACGCATTAAGATTAAAATATCTACAAGGGTCAAACAAGATGCAGCATTCGTACAAAACTGCTTTTGAATATCATGATCGGAATTAAAATTAGAAAATATTTATTCTAAGATACTTTTTTTTTAAAAAAAAAAAACTGTAATCGTTATTGATATATTAAAATCAAGTCCTTATCATGATTAAGAAAAAAAAGGTCAGTCTAAAATGTTAAATTAAACACAGTGCTATGTTTCAGTAAGTATATTAGTACATATTTTTGTTATATGTACACTCAAACATTCAATATACTTCCCTGTTGCTGCAACTGAATTCGTCAAAGATAAAAACTTTTATCTTATTTTGCCGTTATATATAAAAATCCTGAAATACTTCCAATAAAAATTCAAATCCTGAGAAGAAATTGTGAATATAATTTTTGAAATTTTAATCTAATTACTATTACCAAGCAGCGATATTTTACTAAAAACATAGCGCTGCGTTTTCTTTTTTTTTTTAAATTAGCAACAACTGAATCGACTCTGAAAGTCGCACGCCCTGACAAATTTTGATTTACCAGGCGACATTTTCACGTTGATGACATCGCGATTAACCATTGAATTGACAGGAACAAATCTAGTTAATAAGCGACATGTGGTGTTGCGGGGGACACGCATTACTGGTAGGGGTGATGACGGCTGATGTACGATGATTCTCTGGGGTTTGGTTGTAACGATGTTTGAAGATTTGGTTGTAATAAGTGCTGTCACAAATACAGTTTGATGATGAGCAACAAGAGGCCCCACACGCAGCTCGTTACGCCAATAAACAGAGGCACTTTGCAGTCTAGAAATCAGAATTGCATACCGTACCGAACATTTTTTGGGTTACAAAGCTAATTAGATATCCCAGTGTAAATTCCTGTATCTTACAATTATATTTTTTTTCTTTTTTTTTCAACGAAACTGAATTTAAATATTTTTTCTTGTGCGCTCGTAATTATTTTTCATTATTTTAAATAAAAGTCAACAAAAATATTTTAATTAGAAAATCATTTGATTAAAATTATCGTATATTGTCAATAATGAGCGCAATAAAATATTTGTCACGCAAATTCATTATATTTTTCGGAACTTGATAAAGAAACGCATATTTAAATATCTTAAACGAAAACTTGTTAATATTTTAATTCAGTAGATTATTTAATATATTGAATCCCAATTTTTGTTTGTATCTATCAAATTTGTAGAATTTTAATACAAATTTAAAATACATTTTGAAAACAATACTGAAATATTAATAGAAAATAAAACTCTGTTCACTTTTTTCAAGGCTGTAACGAGCCACTTAAATTACTTACAGAGAATTGCACATAGTTAATGTACCTCAATAAAGTATAAACAGATTGAATCTCTAATATTTGAAACAATTATTACAAAAATAAAATTAATCATATTATAGAAAAATTAGAGATTCAAACTGCGGCGACAATAATAAATAAGTTTAGCTTCAATGAGGGGCAATTAAAAAAAAAATTTATTACACTATCAAATCAATTTCTAACAGAATAATATATTAAATAATTACATTTCTAATAAAGAGAAAATAAAAAAAGAAGAAAATACAATAGAAGAAAAAAAAAACAAAAAGTAAAAATATTCAAATATGAAAAGGGAATGTTTATAACTATTATTAGTATTTTTTTAACCTGACTTCAATAAAAGCCTTTAGAATTTCAGAAATGCAGCTTACTCTTTTGGAGTAAAATTAATAATCTATTTAACTTCTGAAACAATATTAATTAGTAAACTAATACAAGAATACAAAAAATCAAAATAAATATTTTTTGTTTTTGAATAACAAAGCAAAAAAAATCAAATTCTATTTTCTAAATAGGCTGTGAAAAAAATTAAAATTTTTGCAAACTACTAAGGCAGCATGAATTACCGCAGTATGTAGCACTATCAAGGATACTAAATTTCCAAAAGACTGAGGAAAAACTAATAAAGAACGATTGTTTGTTGTACTGGATTCAATTGGAGGATACTTACAGCTATCACCAGTCTCAAGTCGCGTCTGTAGTTCTTTTATTTGCAATTCTTTACGCTTCATCTCATGTGAAACACAATCAAGCCGTTGTTTAAAATCTCGTAACTCTCTGTAAAATCATTAGTATGTGAAAAAATTGCAATTATAAAAAAAAAATTTTTAATTTAAAAAACCTACTTCTGTGCAGCTATTAAATCAGATCGTGTTTTTGTAAGTTCTTCTGAAATTGCTTGTTTCGCTTGAATTTCACTCTGTAAAGAACTTTGTAGATTCAAAAGTTCCATTTTATCCAATTTTTGTGATCTTCGATTTCTCCAATTTTTATCCGTTATTGTTGAAACACTTCCTACGCCACCAACTCCTCCTGAATGTTTAAGGAATTCCAATTCTTCTGTCATTTTTGTAGCCAAAGCCTGAAAAAAAAAGATTAAAATAATTGTCTGAATTATTTTTCTCAATTCCTAATTAGTATATTTTCATGTTAAATACCTGCAGATAACCTCTAGCATCTTTTTCATCAGAAACCCATTGGATAATTTCCGTTATTTGTGCCTCCCATTGAGCGATTGCCTCTTTTTTATTTCTCAATTCTTCATATTCTTCTTCAATTTGTCTCCTTTCGGATTGTATTCTATTTACTGTATCTGTAACAGAATTTAATTCAAGTAAAAGTTTCTTATTTTCCTCAGCCAACATCATTTTTTCCCTCTCATGTCGCCTTGTTAATTCATTAATTGTTTCTTCACTGTCTGTTATATTTTCAAGTCTCGCTGCATCTAATTTATCCTTTGTTAATTGAATTTCACGTTCTAAAAATTCTCTCTTTACTTCACCCTCATGTAATTGCTCTTGAAGACTTCGAATTTCTAAATTAAATCTACTTTGTTGTTGAGATGAATTCTCATTATATTGAACTTCAAGCTTTTCAACTTCCGCCTTAAGCCTATTAATCTCTTGTGTTGCAAGTGCATTATTCGTACTTGTATCATTTCCAGCTGAACGTTGTCGTATTTTTTCAGTTTCCTCTTGCATTTGTTTACAATATTCTTCACTACGCTCACGTAGTTTTCTTTCCTTACTGGTTTCAGCCATTGCTTCTTCAACTCTATTTTCAAGTTCTCTTCGTAATTTTTCTGCTTTTCGAATATCGTGTCGTAAACTATCAACTTTTTGCATAACCACTTCTAATTCTTCTTCTTTATCACGAACTTGTCTTGATAATTTTTGCTTTTGCTGTCTTAATTCTGATAATTTATCAGTTACTTCTGTATATTCTGCCATTGCTAATTTACGTTGTGTTAAAGCATCTTTAAGTTCCTTGTCTTGAAGTTTGAATTTCTCCTGAACATCCTGTTTATCTTTGACAGCTTCATCTTTTTCCATTCGAAGTGTTCGTACCAATTTTTCAAGTTCACGAAGTTTCATTAATTCCCCATTGTCTATATTACGTAATTCACGTGGTACTTCAAGAGATTTTAATTGAGATTCGAGTTCACAATTTCGTTTCGTAAGAGTGTTTATTTCATCCTGAAGTTTTCGTGTAGCGTTATTTGAATCTGGCGATATTGTTGGCGACTGATGAGTGACCTGATTTTTTAAATCAGCAACTGTTTGTGATAATTGCGCATTCTCTTCTTGTAACATTTTAAGATTTTTATCCTTTTGTGAAATACCCAGCATAGATCCTAAATCCGATATACAACTAAAAAAAAAAAAAAAAAAACCCTTTAGTATAAAAAGTATTTTAAAGATTTTTGTTTATTCTTACCTTCCTTGAGTGAAACTAAAACCAACGAATGGTAAATGTAAAGCAGAAAAGGCCGAATTCGCCGAAGGTGGAACAGCATCAGAACTACGAACGTCTGTATCATCAACATCAAAATTTGAAGTGTCGGTAGGTGATGAAACTTCAGGAATGTAAGGTGCCGTACTATCTCTTACAATATCCCAACTTACTCCTTCAAACCATGGATGTTTCTAGAAAAAAAAAAAATATATATATTAAAAAAATAAATATTTATATTTAATAAATTAATTTACCTTAAAATCTTCAATTCCATTTTGACCTAGTCTAAATTCCGAACTGCAAATTAACTTTCGCATTAAATCTTTTGCATCTTCAGAAACGTCATATATGTCTTCCGTTGGGAAATCAAAACAATTCTGCAATAATTTATCAACAATCAGATAATGGAAAATTTAGTTTTTTTTTTAAATTTCGTTTACCTTATGATTCATAATTTTTCCATAAGTTTCGACTAGAGATTCAGCGTAAAAAGGTGTTTCGCCATAAAGCATTTCATACATACAGACGCCCAAAGACCACCAATCACATTCAGGACCGTATCTCCCTTGTCCGTCTTCCATTGCCTAATAAATAAACAAAATTTAATGAATTCAAAATATTATTTCGAAAAGAAATATTTTTTCTAAAACTTACCCTTAAAATTTCCGGAGAGATATAATCCGGCGTACCAACTGCAACGTTACTTTGAACAGTTCCATCTTCAAATAATCGTAGGCAAGAACCAAAGTCAGCTAATCGAATATGTCCATTAGCATCTAATAAAACATTGTCAGGTTTAATGTCTCGATGAACATATCGCAAATCGTGAATTGATCCTATGGCTAGCACCATTTCCGCTATGTAAAAACGAGCCATATCCTCTGGAAGTCTATCCTCAAACTTGCTTAGTAAAGTTAATAAATCTCCTCCACAATAATAATCCATGACCAAATACTAAAAACAAAATGTTAAATTAGCATTTTTAATTACAATTAAAGAAAAAAAAAAAATAAATAAACAAACTTACCAAATTATTGTCATCTTGAAAGGCATAATGAAGGTTTGTTATCCATCTTCGATCACCATAAACTAAAACATCACGCTCTTCTCTGAAACATGCAGTCTCCGCTCGTTTCAGCATTTCCCATTTATTCAAGATTTTCATCGCAAAAACCTTATCTGAACCTCGCATTCGAACAACACATACTTCACCGAACGCACCTCTTCCAATAACTTTTATAATCTCAAAATCCTCACGTGCTAACTGCAAACTCTTTATACAAGTAGCTACAGGTTTCACTGTTAAAAAAGAAAAAAGTTATATTTAAAAAAAAACTATTTCCAAAAATTTTTCAATTTTAAATATATTAATTTTTATAACATACCAAACTCAATGAAATCAGAAACAGTCTTTTCTCGACGTAAAGAAGAATTACAACACTCATCGTATAAAACTAACAATATATCAATGAGTGTTTCAATGGAAAACGTGTGACCTGATCTTCCACCTTGAATTGGACCACCACTAAATAGAGCTTCTAATTGACGAAGTCTTCCTCCTACACCTAAAAAAATTTTACAATTTTAGAAAAATTAAATTTTTTTTTACAAGATTTCTTTTTGAGAAAAATCAAAATTTACCGTTTATAGCAAGTCCTTTAGGCATTATATCTGGTGGAGGATGACTGTAATGATGAGGTGGTTCCGACATGATTGTTTTTTTGTTAGTAAATTGTCTTTTTACCACGATCTTTTAAAGATGCTTCTATCATCATTGAAGACAGTTTCAATATCTTTATTCCACCACGTCATTACGGAAAAATGAATCCACTAGAATTTAATAATTTATTATTAGATTTTCTAACTCTTTTTTTATCTCACATATTTTCTATTTTTAAATGTCACAAATTTATTTTCCAATATTGTCATTCTCATAGTAGTTATTTTTTTAAAAATAAACATTAAATATAATCGTTTTGAATTTAAATTTTTCCAAAAATTTCTAATATGGATATTTTTAAAATCAAAATTGTTTATAAAGATTCGCGTGAGTGTAAATATAGCACAAATGCATATATAGTGCCAAACAACAATATTATTTAAAGACAAAGGAAATAGTCGCATTTACCTAAATTTAAGATAAAAAGTTAATAATTTAATTCTTTAAGGAAAATATTGACATAGGAAAATTACAATAAAATACTTTTTTAAGAATTCAATTTCTTTTCTAAACATTGAATTTCTAATTACATATGTACGGTTAACCGAGTTGTCAAAAATCAATTTTCTTCAAGCGGTCTTCTCATAATATCGGATTTTATATTCACCTTTAACGATAAAAAAAAAAATGATCGATCATGCTGAAATTACGTAATCTATGTTCAACGTAGCTAAAATATTTAGCGAAAATACGCAATAAGACAAAACGCTCACTCTGAGAAACGTGTAAATAAAAAGTATATATAAAAATAGTACACTCGGGGTAGGGCGCACGTAATCAGGCAGCAACCTGAAATATTTCTTCCCGTCCATGAAATTCCAAAATCACCGAGATTCTTTATAATCGCACTTTTTTCTTCGAATCAGGACTAATATTTTATTATCCACTGTTCTAATTTCTCTTATAACCTTATCACACTACACGAACTTAACTAGTATTTATCAATATGACGTAAAATCTAATGCATTTAGACTTTATTTTTCCTTTCAAGAAAAAATGCTGAGTTTGATATCAAAGTGAATATCATGATAATGAACAAGCATACCTGCACACGGCAGCTCCAACAAAATTTCTTAATTATTTATTACGGGCACCATTTAATTATTACTAAACATCTTGTATCACACCTCCAAAAAACCACTCCAAACTAAAGAAACCCCCTGCGTTTGACCCCCCAGGCAGGCAGGTCTCTGTCTAAAAAATATGGCAGCTCCACTGACAGCAAAATATATAGATTGCCATCATGGTCTATATAACTCGGAACAATTAAGTTTTATCAAGGTGACATATTGATATTTACAGTTAGATATTAGTAAAATGGTATCACTAGTAATATAATTAAAAAATTTTATTACCTAATTAATATTTTTTTCAATTTTATTTTATTATATGAACGATAACTACAATAGTTGAAATCGAAATTCGCGCTTTCTGCTCTTAACCAATCGCTTGTCTTTCGTTCAATATCGACTTTCTATTGGCAGTCTTTTGGACAAATAGTGTTTAACGAGTGAACATGCCTTTATTTTTTCACTGTTCGATGGTTTGTGGTTATTAATGTTGTTTGTTCAAAAAAAAAAAGAAAAAAGAAAAGAAAATAGTGGTTCTCGGAGAAAAAGTTATAAATTTTCGGATTTTTAACAAAATAATAACAAATGCTTCAACAAGATAAACTTATGAAAGAGGTAAAGTGAAAAATGTTTTAAAAATATTGTGCGTATTCTAAAATTAAGGCAAATTTTAAGGTTAATTTACTTTTACATTTAAAAAACAAACTGAATTAATGTTTATAAAATGAATTGTGTAAATTATTTTTGTAATTATATTTTAATTTTTTAGCAGTATGTCGAACCAATGCAGGTCGATGCACCGGTGGAGGATAATGACAATGCAGAGGAGGAATCCTATATTGTCGAAAATCCAACACTTGTAAGTTTTAATGTATAGTACATAGTTTTTAAAATGTTAATTATTAAATTTTTTTTTTTTAAGGATTTGGAAGTGTACGCCAATAGTTACACCGGGTTAGCAAAGCTTTACAGACTAATATACATAGCAGATCATTGTCCTACATTGCGAATAGAAGCCTTGAAAATGGCAATAACATACGTGATGACAACATATAATGTCTCTTTGTATTTGTCACTTCATAGAAGACTTTCGCAAGCAATAAGTACACCGGGATTACCTGATGTTGCTGCTCAATCGAGTTCACAAGATTTGCCAACAATTGATCAAGTATGGATGGAATCACGTTCAAAAAAAGCTGCTCTTAAATTAGAGAAATTTGACACTGATTTAAAAAATTATAAAAGTAATTCAATTAAAGAAAGTATAAGAAGAGGACACGACGATCTTGGTGATCATTATCTTGATTGTGGTGATCTTGCTAATGCACTTAAATGTTATTCAAGAGCAAGAAATTATTGTACAAGCGGAAAACATGTTGTTAATATGTGTTGGAATGTTTTAAAAGTTTCGGTATATTTACAAAATTGGACACACGTTATTAGTTATGTTACTAAAGCAGAAGATACACCTGATTTTCCTGATGTTCATGGTAAGGATAGTAATTTGGCTATTATAACAAAATTAAAAGTTGCTGCTGGATTAGCTGAATTGGCAACAAAAAAATATAAATTTGCCGCAAAATTATTTCTTCAAGCATCATTGGATCATTGTGATTTTCCTGAATTATTATCACCGGGAAATGTTGCACTTTATGGTGGTTTATGTGCACTTGCAACATTTGATAGGCATGAATTACAAAAACAAGTTATTTTTAGTAGTTCATTTAAACTATTTTTGGAATTGGAACCACAATTAAGGGATATTATTTTTAAATTTTATGAATCAAAATATGCATCATGTCTTAAACTTTTAGATGAGATAAAGGATAATATTCTTCTTGATATGTATATAGCGCCACATGTCAATAATCTCTATACACAAATTCGTAATAGAGCATTAATACAATATTTTAGTCCATATTTGAGTGCTGATATGAGACGAATGGCCACTGCATTTAATAGAACTGTTTCCGCATTAGAAGACGAACTTATGCAATTAATTCTTGATGGACAAATTCAAGCTCGTATTGATTCACATAATAAAGTAATAATTTTTTTTTTAAATTAATTTATTTTAAATTTTGGTAATTAATTCATTTTTTTTTTTAGATTTTGTATGCCAAAGATGTGGACCAACGAAGTACTACATTTGAAAAATCAATAAGTCTAGGAAAAGAATATCAAAGAAGAACACGAATGCTTATTTTGAGGTCGGCGATGCTAAAAAATCAGATTCAAGTAAAGGTAAAAAATAAATATTTGGCTGTATTGATATTTTAAATATTTTTAAAAAATTCAAAATTCAAAGGGCGGCGAAATGTCTGTGGCACCTGGAAATAGCAGTCAAACACCAAGGAACTGATCAATTCCCATTGTGATTATGGTTTATACAATAAGTTCGAGTGATACATCGATTGAAGTATTCGTTACGTAAAGAACAATGCTTCACACCTCTTGAGTTTTTTTTTTTTTTGCAAGTATAAAACTCAATTTTTTAATCATTTAATAATTATTTGTGACATTTGCGTTTATAATAAAGATTTCTAACTATTAATTTACAGTAATTTGATATTTTTTTCAGATTTATATGATTTAATTTCAGCTCAGAAATTTTAATTATTATAAAAATAGAGAATTTATTTATATAATGATTAAATAAGCATAATTTTGCTTCTAATCAGTAAAATTTTTTTGTTTTAACGGAAAAAAAAAAATTCCCACTATGTAAAATTCATTCACACATGTTTGTGGCCTAGTGCAAAAAGTAATCGATATATAGGGCGATTAAAGACGACAATTAATTATAAGGGCTGAAAGAGATTTATTATTCATATATTTACGTTGGGAAAAAAAAAAAATTTTTTAAGTAAATTAAAAATATATGTTCATTAAAAATTTTTTTTTTAAATTTGTATTTTTTTTTTTTTGTTATAATATTATGTCTTAACTGGTGAATTTTTTATCAGCCCAACATTCTTTGTAGACACTTTTAGTCGGTTTTTACGCACACATGCATGATAGTGTTGCGCCGAATATGATGCGCAGTAACTGACTGAAATATTTTACGCAGTCTACGATCTCAGAGGGACGAGAGATCGCCTCGTATTACTTATACGGCTTGTCATTACAATTTTATCAGTATCAAGAAAAGGTTTTCAATATAGTTGGAAAAAAAAAAACTAGAAATTCGCCAACATAATACGCGATCGACGTCGAGGTCGCGAATTTACAGTGTTGAGTCCGCGACGTATTCAAAATGTTCTCTGGACTTACAAATCAAGTATCTACCTGGATAGGTAAGAAAGGTGAGGATGACACCGTTATGCCAGAGGAAAAAATTGGATCACCTGGTGCCGGTGGTGATTTAGATGCAGAAAAAAAAGATAACAGGTATTCTTATATAATTTTTTTTTTTTAATTTAAAAAAAAAAGTTTGTCACTTGAAGCTTCGCCTACAAATTTAAATCAATGACGTTTCATAACTTGATTGTAATATGTTTCTTGTTTCTACTCTAATTATCACTTAAATACTATGAAAAATTCAATAACTATTTTACATTTTGTTTATTAACTTTTAAAATTTATAAAAGTTTATTTTTATTATTTTTAAATTTCTATTATATATTTTTTTCCTTTTTTTTTGACATTAATTTCAGTTTTGGAGTAATTTTAAAGATTTTGATTATAATTTACTGTGCATTCAAAAAAAAAAAAAAAAACACTTCTTCACAATTGTATCGATCGGAAACTTGCTGTCAAGGCGCAAGTTTAAATGTAGATTTTGGAAATGAGTTACAAATTTCTACTTGAATTTATTTTTTTAATTTAAATAAATTTTTAAAAAATTAACATTCAAAATTACGAGTAGTACAATAATTGTTAATTTGTTACTAATTATTATTTAATATATTTGAAATTAAATTGGTTGCTTATGATTTTATTTCATGTTTTAGGTTTCTATTTCTTCGTAAATTGAAAAAAAAAAAGAAAAAATGAATCAGATGATTGGTTGTAAAATGTTGGGCAAGATTTAAAGAAAATCGATTGATAGGTCAAGGAAAGATACTGTTCCTAAAAGATTTTACAACCTGTTTTAAATTTTTGACGTATAAAAAATGAATTGAAATTCTAATGCAGATGTTTTTATAACTTTTTCTTTTGTACATTTTTTTTTTTTTGAATGTTTTTATTTATTAAAATTTCAAAATATTTAAATACAATTCAGCGACAATAACACACCGGTAGTGACGTTTAATTAAGAATAATCTGGAAGTAAATGTAACCTTGTCCTTGCACATGTAAGGTTTCACGAGGATTTACACTTAATCTGAGAAAATCATTAATTCTATAATAACATTTCAAAGAAGATAGATCTATTAATTGGTGAAAGAGAACGTAGAATTTATTTAGAAAATAAAAGATGGGATAAAAGTGATTGAAAGAATTTTTTGTTATTTAATTTCTTTTTTAATTATTAGTCAACAGGGTGGCAGTAAACTTGAAATGTTGGCGGGTGTAAAATCGCAGATGACCGGCTGGTTAAGTGGAGGAATTCCTGGTTTAGGTCGCGGTGCAACTGGCCCAAATGAAGGTGAAGTTCCAATGGCAGGCGAGATGAATGATAATGAAGTTGCAAGGGATTCTGCTCAGGGTGCAACAACAGATAATGTAAAAGATGATGATGCAAGCAGGTGGGTTGCTGGGTACGTGCGTTCGACATTTCACGCTACGATACAATAGTTTTAGTAATTCTGCTATAATGAATTTTTTTTACTACTCTATATGATACAATCATCAAATTTTAGTGCCACCGGTAGTGCTGACAGTGGTCCAGCAAGTCTCGAGGGTACGCCAACAGAAGATAAAGATGGACAGCAAGCGTTTGGAGCTGGTGAGTTTATATTTTGATCAGAATTTTTTTTTTTGCTAAAATAAATAGATCTCACAGTAATTTTTTAAATTATTATATATGTTTTTCTATATGAAAAAATCTTTTGTTTTCATAAACCCACGTTTAATTTTTATCTTAACTTGTCAATAATAATAAGTCTAGACCCACTCATTGATATATTTAACTGGTCAATTTATTTTATTCGAAGCTCAACCTCCTACTTACTTGTAAACAATTTTCTCTATTTGTCCATTATGAGGATTTTTTTTTAATTTAAAATTTCACTGAGATCTGTTGATTATAGTTTAAAATTGTTTATTTGTGACGAAGAGTTTAAAAAAATTATTATTAAAAATTGAACCATCTTTGAAAGTGATTCTTTGGGGGTAAGTTTTCTAATTAACTTTATCAATAGGATAAAAGCTGTAATTTAACAAGTCAAGGCGACACGATTCTCGCATCATTATCTGACAAGAAGTTTGTCTTTCGGAAAAGTGATATTTCAAAAATCACAAATTGTGTCAATTTTAGAAAAAAAAAAAATTGAAACTTTTCTTCACTCCAAAAGAAGGAGCTTTTAGTCTATTTTGAAGAAAAATATTTTTGATTAATGTAAATCAACTTTTTTTTTTCTACAAAGAGAAATTCATTATGTAATTTATGATTTATTTCTTCCGCTTTTTTTTATTGAAGAGAAGCTTTTTTCGATTTTGAATTATCATTAAAAATTACGTAAAGTAATTGTAGGATCATCAATAACCATATTTCGAATCAAGTGCGGAGTTTAGCTAACCAGATTCAGAGAGTCAGCAAGCAACCGTCCTTCGCGTCGGTGTATATCTTTCTACGATCAATACAGCACCCCTCTGACTTCTCGCTCAGTTATCAACGACTACATTTTATACATGTGGCCTCATTGGCCTGTTGGCCCTCTTAACTTTTTTTTTTTTTTTTTTTTTTTTTTTTGAACATAGACACCTTCTTCACTTTAACATCCCCCTTTGCCCATTTCCAGAAAAAGGGTCTCTCTCTCTCTCTTTCTTTTTAATACCCAGATCGAAGGTGTTAGCTGTAACTTGCTGATTTATTCTCATCCTTAGGTTCTCCAGTTTCTAGAGTTGCTCTCTAGGGATCTGAAGATAGGAAAATGTTGATGGTTCCCTCTTTGTCTCGAATTGTAGCCTTGATTCATAAGTAAAGTAGATTTTTTTTTCTTTTTTGTAAAAATCGTACTATAAATTTGGAATTCAAATATTAGCTGGATATATATATATATATTTTGAGATGAAAGATTGTTTTAAAATTAAATAACATAAATTTGTGTATGCATATAAAACGAAAAATATGATTTTCTCTTCAAATATTTGGTGTGGTTATAAAATAAACTTGAATTTTCGATGTAAATAATTTTATATAAGAAAAACAAAATAGTATGAAAATTTTTAAATTACATTTTTTAAAAACAACATAAATAGACAATAAATTGAAAATGTCGATGTTTAATGTCAAAGGAAATTTTAAAAAGTCAAATGCATTGACAATTATTTTAGTTTTCAGTGTGTTTTATATTCTTTGAATTATTTGAAATATATTAAATTAAAACTTGTTATATTAAAGAAAAAAAAAAACATAAGCGAATAAAACTTTTCGTTTGAGAGCTAATGTTTGATAAATTATTACTGAATTAATCATAAAGAAGTCTTCAAACTTTTATATATCTTCTGAATTTAAATTGAATTTATTTTCACTGTAGAAGATGATATAAATTTTAAAATCTACTTATAAAAATTTCAATTAAAAAAATTTTATAATATGAATTCTATTTTGTACAACACTTTTCAATGTAAATTAGTAAAAAAAAAAAAAAAAAAAAACAGTTTTCTGGCAATTTTTGTAAATAATTTATTTTTTATTTTCAGTTTCAACAAAAGCTTTGGCAGGAGCGAAGAGTCTTGGTGGATTTTTATACAGTGCAGTAAATAAAGCTGGAAAATCAGTTGTTGAAGCCAGTGCAAAAATCAAGAAGACGGTTGAAGAAAATGTAAGTCATTTATTTTAAACAATATTTAATTTATAATATAGAAATGGCACTTTTTCATCAATGAATTTGTACATCTGTATATTCACAAAGAAAAGCGATTTTCTTTTTTAAAAAAATCATCTTTTATCATTGAATATCAGCAGTAAACATATATATTAATATTTCTTTGAGACCACACGACAAATCTATTTACATGACCCTGAACGTGATCATTCTCCTTTCTCTGCTTCTCAAGTCTAAACTGCAGTGTATGTATATATAGGAGAGAAAGGGAGACGCTTTCGCTGAATCGATTTTTCTCGACACTTTGAAAGAAATTGAAGGACTAACCGCTACCTTTCAACTAAAATGCCTACCTACGATATTCAATTTGTCTCTTAGATCTCATTTTTTTTTCAAGAAACTTCCTCTAAATCGGAACAGAGACTTTGGTCAATTAGATATTCGTATTTTAATTTTTAAAAATGACGAATTCTTTTAGACAAAAAAAAATTGTTTTTAGAAATTCATTTATAATATTAATAAGGGTTTTTGATATTAAACTTGAGTTAAAATTATAAATTTTGTTCTCTTTAACAATCGAGTAATTGTACAAACGTGTTGTACATTCAACGTGTCATATTTAACTTATTGCATTTATGGATTTTCGATACCATTTCTCTCTCTCTCTCTCTCTCTTATTCTCTCTCAATTAACTAAATAAGTTTTCAACGCATTCATGAAACTTGAGTATTTTCCTCATCAAATACGTCTTCTTCCTTTTATCGACAATTGTATATTCATCTAATGGATCAATTTGTTGGAAAACTTGTTCTTATATATAGGGTACATTATAAAGGAAGTTAAAATCAAATTGTTTCGTTCGAAAAAAAACAATTAATAAAGCAAGTTAATTAAGTGAATTTTAGGATGCATCAATTTAATAATAATTTGGAAAATTATCAAAGGACTCCTATAAGGTCAAAATTAACTAAATTTTCAAATTTCAGAAAACAATTTTCTTTACCTTAGTACAATGTTTTATTAGGCGAGAGTTGTTATACAGAAATTGATGGTAGAGTCAACAAGTGGAAAGGGAGAAAACCGCTTTGATCTCTGTTCATAAAGCCAGTAGTCGCAACACTTTATAGTCAGACACCATAGAGCATTACAATTTATTTCAATTTTAAATAATTTTTCTTTTATTTTCTACTTTTTAAATTAATAAAAAAAAAAAAATCTTTTTTTCTCGCATATCTTTCTAATATTTTCCGCACTCACTTTTTTAACGTTAACAAAAGAGAAAAATTGTTTTAACTTGGTAAAAAAAAAATTGTGATTGAAAATTTATTTAGACACCCCAGTTTTTTTTCAACAATTGTCAATAGATATGAAATTTTAAAAGCAATTGTCACTTTTCCTTTTTTAAGAAAGTATTTTTATTTATTTTTATTGATCAGAATTTGAGTTAAATCGAGAATTTGTGCGATAAATAAAAAAATCCTCTCGCACATGAAAATAATGATAAAGTTTTTTTTTAAATATATATATATATATATAGAAGAATTTTTCTAGATAAAAATAGATAAAATTTTTTATTTCTTTTTTTAATTTTTATTATAACTATTTTTGCAGGTATACGTGCGAACAATGATTCTAAGTGACACTAACACGTACAATTTCACACTTACATTATTTTCCAAGGGAATTGTGTTGCGAGTATATAGCTAAAGAATAGGGGCAGTTGGTATTGATCCAAACACCACCCTCCTTATACAGACGCACCCGCAGTCAAGTTTCATACAAGAAGAAGGGTAACCAACACATTGGTGAAATATATATATATATTCTCTATTCGAATATTGAGTATTCGGTAAAATCAACTGATATACTATTACTGATAAAATAGCCAGCACGTCGCAACAATCTCACACTCATGAATCGACAGGAGAGGCAAAACCTTGAACTTCACTTGTCGCTCTTGCTCTTGTTTCATGTCCTAGATCACTTCTCTTCTATATTGCATCTATATAGAATTAACTCCAAAAGCTAATCGTTCATCTATGTGAGAGAGAGAAGATGTTATAATTGTCAGGTATTAGTGCATAATAACAAGGTTTCAGATCACTATTGTCAGCCATCATCATCATCAGAATATCCTATCTGACCCATAAATTTCAGGCTCTATTAATTGTTCATTCATAGTTTGAAGGATGATAAATTAGTGTAAAATTCTGTTAGTTGTTTCTTTAGGTTTACAATTTAAAAAAAAAAAATTAATTTTCCCATTTTATAGGAATAATTCGTAAAATGTAAATATTTTTTTTTTTCAATGTAATTTTCCGTCATTACGACACACCTTACTTGAAAATAGAAAGAGAGAGAAATATATAAGTGAGACATTGAACGAGTAATCAGCTTTGAACCTTGACCTTCTTAGGGCATGTAAGTCTGCGTACCTTGTAGTGACATTCCCATTGAAATATTGATTATACGTATTATTTTCAGTTTAATTTTTTCTCTCGATAAATTTCTATTGTATTATTTCTTCTATTAGTTCTTGATTTTTCATTTTAGGTATAGTTCAGTCTTTCATAATTTACAAAGTATTGAAAAATTAATTTTTTTTTTTCTTTCACCGATATTTTAAAATTCAAACTTTTTTTTTTCATGCACTACACAAACACGTAGGTACACAATCAGGTAAATTATATTCTTTAATACAATTGCAGAGAAAATTTCAAAAATGAAATTTTTGCTTAATAAAGAATTTCTTTTTTATGATAGTATTTTTGCTGAGAAATTTTTATAGCTTTTTTTTTTTTTTAAATTACGCAATATTATTATAAAGACACAAGAAATTCCATCTCTGAAAATACAAATGTTTTTACGACAAACGAAAACATATTCTCATAAACCAAGGATAAACATTTCATGTTTGAGTTATTCAGCAACTATTTATAATTCTCCTCTTTCTCTCTCTCTTGTACTACATATTTTACGTGAAAGAATAGCAAAACAAATATTCTTATTTAGGTGTTAAAATATTATTTTTACTCTAACTTGAATGAATGAAAAAAGTTTAAAATTATGAAAAAAAAATTTCGTTAATCAATTGTACGATAAATTTTCCTTTTTGCAAGAAAGTAAATAGTAGTTTAGAATAAAAAAAATCTTCACTAAGAATTGAAAATCTTGAAAGATTTCCCTTAGCTTAATTTCCGAGGGAAATTCAATTATTTTATGTCGAGGGCAATTTTCTAGTAAGTTTAATAGCATGCTACAGACTCAAGGCAACTATTTTAATTGACTACTAATCTTATTCATAATGAAGCTTGTATAAAAAAAATAAAACAGAAACAAATTTTTTTTTTCTTAATTGGATAAAAAAAAAAAAAAAAATTTACACTGAAAAAATATTGAATCTATAGAATTTTATTATTTATTTACAAAACGATCCGAAAGGTAAATGTAATTTATTTTATGTGTGACAGCTTTGGAATTTTTATTTCAAAAAGCAAATATTAAATTAAATTTTCTTTTAAACGGAGATATTTGAATAATAACTTTTTTTTCAAAAATTTTATTTATTTTGTTTATTTAATCTTTTTAAAAGTCTTTTATTGAGAGAAATACATATTGTTATAAAACTAATATGATTGAATTTAATATATGCGTGATAAGGGTATATGATATTTATTGTCACCATGAAACCCTTGCGTGCTTCTCACTTTGCATATTACAAAATGATTTAATAATGAACGTCGAATATAGAGGTCATAGTATTTATTATTATTTTTTCTGAAATTTTTTTTTTAAAATTGCATTTTTATAAAGAATTATTTGATTATTTTGTTGTTTTTATTTTAGAATTTTTTTTTTTTTGTTATTTATAGAGAAAAATTTTATTATTATAAAATAATTTTTTAGATTAAAAAAATTTAGATCTCTTATTTTTTTTAATATAGGTTTTTTTTAAATCATTTTTATTTTCTAATATTTTTTTTTATGTTTATTTATTATAGTATAATAATAAAATAAATTAATTTTACGGAATTTCTAAAATCCTACATGTCATGAATTTCACATTTAAAAGTTAGACTCTTCAGTCTAAGTTGTTGGAAATGTTGTTAAAATTTGTTTTGATAAATTAAATTATGCGACATAGGTATGTGATGAGTTTTCTATTAAAATGTTGCTCTTGGCGTTGCTCAACTTTTGTACAATTCATAAGTTAGATCGAGAAGGTATATTTTTTTTTGTGTATGATTCTTTTGCAAAAAAGTACGTTTGATACTTGAAAAAAATAAAATATGTAGGAATCTGGAGAGAGAGAGAGAAAAAAAGGATATTTTAGAGTAAACCGAGTTTTTTCATTTTTTTTTTTTTTTTTTGTCGCGAAGGTTATTTCAGTGGGGGGATGAAACTGCTTGGCGTCACGACCATCATTTAGGTCAGAATAAACTTTGACCTACATTTTCGTGAAGGTGCAAACGTATGCAAAAAAAAAAATTTTTTACTCAGATTAGTTCTAATAAAAAGATCATTATCCCGCCTAATTTCTCAAAATTTGTCTGTATTTAAAAAACAAAATATATTTTTTTAAATTTTCTATTTATCTATCATTTGTGAGTAGAAAAAAATGCCTATTTCAATGGATTTATTAACTTTTAGAAATTTTTTTTTTACTGACAAAAATATAAGTAATAATATCCTTTTTCTGTTGGAGAGTTGTGGCTGGAAATTTGTTCGTGTGTTTTAAGCTTTTAATTATAAAACTCTTTTTAATTCGTTATAGAGAGGTATTTTTATATTTCGAAGGAAAATTCGAATATTGTTTCTGCCTTTTGGTATTAACAATGAATTTCTACTGCAGCAATCAATTTTTTTGCTGTCACTGCAAACATTTTTTTTTTTTTTTTCCCAACTGTCGACATATGAGTCTCTAGGGGGATTTTTTCCTATTTCCAAGACTTGTTTTCCACCTGGAGTATAATAAAATGATTCACGTTAAATGCATACGAAATATTTTGATTCATGAAATGTTATTCGATTTGAATGTCAAGTAAAATTTTATTTATTACATATGAGATAATATTTTATATTTATTATTTTCTTGTTCTCTGTTTTATTTTAATATAATTTTTTAAAAAAAAAAGTTATATCAATTTCTGCTAATGCAAATAATTTTAATAACTCACAAAATTGAATTTTGATTTCAAAAAGCTTATTAGCTATTTACGCTTATTAGAGATTTTTTAAAACATATATTTTTTTTTTTTGCTGTGCATAGATATTTCAATTGCCTTCTGTATTTGATGTATTTGCACATCTCACAACGATCCTATTGACCGAGTTGTTTTCTTTGAAAAGCCAATGCCAATCGAATTATATAATTCTTTAAATATATTCTACTTTCTTTTCCTCGTATTATGCAGTTTTAGATCACAATATATTTAAAAAATACACCGTTTTTTTAATTTTAATATCAAAAAAGTATTTTTTTTTAGTTAATTAGGGTCGTTAAGATCGTTGTAAATAAATAAACTTAAAAATTTCATCCCTTTTGATAAATATTTTTAGCTTCAACTAGAGGAGGATATACGTGAGGTAAGATGAATAAAGAAAAATGAATTTTTTTTTTTTCTTAAATGAAAAAAGAGATTTTTGAGAAAGGAACTGCAAACCTTTTCTCGTTAGTCGTATAAGTGAAACAATTTATTTTTAAGTATGTTTCAAAATTTTTTTTTAACTTCATAGAATTAAATATTTAAAGAAAAAAATTATTTTCAGCTAAAAATATCATTTTTTAAATCAAAATCTAGAGCAAAGATGTGATGCTATGTATATAACACTGTTGAAATAAATTTCAATTTTTTTGAAGAACAAAAAAACAAGTTTTAAATTAATATTAAATAGAATTTTAAAAATGAAATTCTAATAAATGTGCTATTCTGATATTAAGTCAAATAAAAGTCAGTTTTTGGCACACTGTTCATGGATCAATAGCCTTGCTACTTACACGGCAGTCACATTTTATATTTTTTCCACTTTTATTGTATCAAATGTGATTTGAATAATAATTAATAAAAAAAAAAAAACTTAAATGTTTTTTTAATAATAAAAAGTAATTGAATAAAATCTAAACTGTAAAAATACTGAAACTTTTTTTTAAATTAATAAAGATTTTTTATTTTGCAAAAAAAAATTAATAAAGCCTTCTGTTATATTTTTTTAGATTATTGATTAGAGAGTCTTATTACTCTATGATAGAAACTTAACGACTCTTTCAATAAAAAAAAAGAAAGAAAAACCTATAATGAAATATAATAATCTCTTCAAATATAATATATATACTTTAAAAATTATTATCTTTGCTCTTTATAATGAGTTAACATGGATTTTTTTTTTTTAATGAAACAAAAGATCTTTTCTCAATGAATATGAGAGTCGAAGCATATCATGTAATATTGAAAACTGGTTGTCGATAAAGGCCAAAGCTCTTTGCCCTATAGAGACCAGAATAATATTTTTATTCTGAAATGTATACAGAAATAAATCAAATTTGTTCACAAATATAGAAGGCACATTTTCAATTTCCATTTATATTTTTCTTTAAAAAAAAAAAAAGTTCTTTAAAAAACAATATTAATCATTTATTAGATTTCACATAATGGATTAAAAATCTATAAGATAAAAAAGTGCCATTTCTTTTTTAGATTTAAGAATTTTTATTATATTATATTTTCTTATTTTTCTATATAGAGACTGATAGCTGAGTTAAACAAAGAACAAGATGCTTTTATCGCTGCCAAACCAAGTGAAAAAGGTGAAGCTGTTGCTCCATGGGTGGGTGCACCAAATGAAGATGCATTACGTGATGAATGCTTAGCCCTATCAACCGTAAGTAATTTTTTTATTATTATTATTTTAAGGTGCTAGTGTAAAAAAAAGGTAAGAATTTTTTATTATTTCAATTTTTTTTTTTAAATAATTTTTCATAGAATTGAATTACATTGCAAATTTTAAATTTAATTGAAAAAGTTTGAGAAGTGCATTATTATCTCAAAGTTAAAAGTAATTATTTTATCGCAGGATAAACGTAATTTTGTGAGAGCACCACCTCCAGGGGTTGAATTTACATGGGATTTTGAGGCTGTTCAGCCAATGGCACAAGCAACTCTTGCCTTAGACCCTAATTTGGAACAAATGAGGTTCGAGCTGGTTCCAAAAGTGTAAGTGCCATTTTTGCAAAATTTCTTCTACCAATTTTAATTAATAAATTTAATTTTTTTTTAATTTTCTAATGATATTAAAATTTATTAAAAAGTTTAATATAATTTAGTTTTCTAATTTAAATTAAAAGTTATTTTTAAAATAAATATGAAAATATTATTTATTTTTTGAGAAGAAAAAGAAATTCTTGTTTTCAATAAGGGACTAGTTTTTGAAATGACATAAAACAATTTCTAAAGAGAAACTCTTGGGAAATAAACAAGATGTCAAAAAATTTTTTTGATATCCGAGAAAAATAAAGTTAAACTCCCAATAGATATTCGCAATTTTTTTTTTTATTGAATGCAATATCAATTTTGAAAGTTTTTTTTTTTTAATTTGAATTTTTTTTTTGTATGAAAATAGTAATTATTTTTTTTGTTTACAGCATATCAGAAGAAAACTTTTGGCGTAATTACTTTTATCGAGTATCACTTCTTCGACAAAGTCATGAACTTAATGCTATGGCGAGCCAAGCAGAAAGTAATCCCTCTCAAAATCTTACATCTACTGGTAGCATCGACCAAACTCAAGGTAACATTTAAATTTTTTTTATAATAAAATTTATTTGCATCAATATTGCTGTTGAGGAAAAGAAGGAAAATATTCACGCTACTTAAAATAGAAATGTAGTGCACAGTATTGTGTATGTATTTTTTTTTAGATATTATTTACAGATCACCACAAGTGCAAAATTAATTTGCCTTTTTTTCCGTTTTTATTCAATTTTAAAAAATTAACTAAAATACAAAAAAATTTAAAGTTTAAAAAAAAAATTGTTTTAAACTAACGAATTATACATCGTGCATTGAAAAATTGTTTTCCACGAGGATAAAAAGAGATCTTTTCATTGTTAACTATAATGATAAATAATGTATCTTGTGAGTTTATTTTCAAAGAGCAAGGCTTTTAAGGGTAAAATTATACTTGCTAATGTAGGTGATCTTTTTCTTTATAATGGCTTTATTTGAGAAGAAAAGCTTTTTTGACCGCGTCTTATAATTATAATTCTTATTTTTTAAAAAAAAGCCAAAGCTTTATTGTAGTTTGAATATTTTTAGTTTATTAATTAATTATTTAAATGTAAATGCATCTAGTGAGCATGAATTTTTCCAATTATCCACGCACACATTTTTATGTAGATTTTCGATTTTTAATTATTTTCAAAAGCTAAAATTAAATTATCTAAGAAATTATAATACGTGGTTAAAAATATATTTTTCCCATTAGGTGTCATAATTTCTTTTTTAATTCTCTAATATATAATGTAAAATTTTCTAAATTTAATTCTTTTTCTATTTTAAAACCTAATGGAAAAAATAATTTAAAGTATGTATATGAGAAAAAAAAAACCATTCTACTTAGCCGTGTAAGTATTATCTGACAAACAGTTCAAGTGACAACTGCTCAAGGAACGACTGGAGTGGATTCATCAACAAAATATTTAACAACAACTGCAGATTCACCGAGCCATGAATTTGTTTCTGATAGTGTTCAAGCTTCAGATACAGATATTCAAGAAGTAAGGGAAGGCATGAAAAAATTAGGGATGCAAACACTAAAAGGTCAGTATTTGTTATCAAACAACGCCAGAAATGACAACACAATGGTATAATAGTAATAAATTGAATCTAATTTAAGCAAAATTCAATTTAATATTTAAAATTATATTTTGTTTATAAAAATTGCTATTTTTAATATAGTAATTAAAATTGAATTTTGCTTATAGAAAAAAAGAGAGAAAAGTTTTGGATTGACAATCAGAAAAATATAAATATTAAATTCTTTTTACTTTAGAAATGTTCAATAATTAATAAATAAATAGTTAATTTTTTCTGACGATCCAAGATTTTCTATATATAAATATTAAAATGAAAAAAGTTAATCATAATATCATGGACGAGTGTTTGTGAGTATTTTAAAATTTCAGCACTTTATATTATACACAGCCTGAAATTAAATTATTGTGAATTACACACGTACCCTCGATGTTTTTTTTTCTTTGTTGTGAAATAGTAGGGGCATTGTGTGAAGATTTTGTTCGCTTTAGATTTGTTTATGCTTTCTTGACGTCTTTTTAGTTTTTAAAAAAAAACCTCACTACACAAATAGTTCCTTCGTATTACAGAAAAAATTTTTTTTTTAAGAAGTAAAGAAGAAAATTAAAAAAGGAAAAAAAAAATATTCTTCCTCGAATGATTTCGATTGCTCGAGAAAAAATATTTTACATTTCTTCGCTTCTGGTTAAAAGAGTTTATTGTTAGTAAATTTTTATCAGAGGCATAGAAACGAGTATTTAGATTTTGGTTCATCGTTAAAAAAAAAAAAAAAAAAAATTCCATTTTTTACAAAAATCTTCTATTTTGTCAACAGCCTAAAAGAAGAGGAGAATCCCGTGTACCATTATCCAAAGCACAGTCCTCTTCTTCTTCTCTTCGAAACAACATCGTTTTAGCGATTATCGAATTTTATTTTGCACTTATTTCCTCAGCTAGTCCCATTCTCTTTTGTTATATTATTTTTCTTATTTGCTCTCGGATTTTCATTTAAATATTATTTATTATTTATCATCGATATAAATTCGTGATTATTGTTTTTGAATTTATTTATTTTTTACTCTCATTTTACGATTGTGACACGATCGGGTCAGTCGGATGAGGTCGCAAAAGTTAGATAAAAAAAAAAAAAATGAATTTTAGGACCTTCTTAATTAGTCGAAAATTCGGATTTTGACGTTCAGGATTAATTATATAATATTTACAATGTTAGAAAATACACATTTTTAGCCACGAGTGCTGCATTTAATAATAACATAAATAATAGTAAATAATAATAATAAAAATAATAATAATAATAATAATAATAATAATTAATGGAAGAATAATCATTATTCGAAAGCACGCGCCGCATCAATAAGGAATAAAAGAAAAAAAAAGAAAATTACATTTGACTATCTGTCCGTCTGTCTGTCATCTATACTTATCTTGTCACTTTATTCTCTCCGTGTTGTAAAAGTTGTAAAAATATAATACCGAAGATTATTATATATAAAAAAAAATAAAAGAACAAACTATAAACTTAGAATATTAAATTCGTTGAATGACAATACGTGTTTACGGGATAATAAATGTCACGATTGTATATTTAAATAGACTTCGTGCGCGAAGATCGACAAAAAATATCAATGCTGGCTATAATAATAATATTATTATTAAAAAACAACGCTCGGTTTTGTCGAAAAATAATCGCATTTTTACACTTTGAACAAAATAAAATGCCAAAGAGTATTTTTTTTGTTTTTTGAACTGCTTTGAGCATGTTCTTAAAATTAATTTCCCAAAAAAAAAAACCGTTCCATATTATTTTTTTGAATTCAATTTTTTAGGATTGCTAATAGTGGATAATATAAAATTTTTACTGGCTCAAAAAATCTATTTTAACATTTTCCGGTTAAAAATCATAATAATATGTAAAAAAAGAAATAATAATAATTGTTTTATAATTATATTATAAAGGGATATTTTTTTGAGTCAGTAAAAATTTGAGAGAATTATTAAATGTCGAGAGTTTATCGTTATCGTTAAAATAAAGACGAGTTAACATTTAAATAATCACAAGGGAGAAAGGTATATAGTGTGAGGAAGAAACTGCAGGCCTATATCTATTTCATAAAGAAAAAAAAAATAGAAAAATAATAATTCGCGCGCAGGACGTGCTTGCATTTATAGCAATTATTTAATGAAAAAAGAAAAAAAAAAAAACTTTAATATAACGGTGCAATAATTGATTTATATATAATGAGCTAAAAAAGTTTGCAGTTCTTGTGTCAAAATGTTTTCTTGCTCTTTTAAATTTATTAAAAAAAAGCCGCTTTTTTTCATAAATTACAAAAAAAATTCACAGAAAAATAAAAATTAGATCAATCGGGAGATTTGCACGGAATGAATTTTATATTCTTTTTAACGATTTGAATTATTTTTTATATGCTTATTTTCTTTTTTTTTTTTTGGAAAAAGGCCAAAAAATCAGATAAATTTTTTTTTGCATATTTACATTATTAAAAAAATAATAATGGGAATATTTTTGAAATTTTTTTTATTTTTGTCATTTCGTTGCAATGTCTCGCGTTTTCTGAAATTTCATCATGACTCGTGTTATTCCTCTTGATATTATCTTTCTCAATGAACAGTCAATTATTAATCGTTGTTAATCTGTGATTCGATGGATATATCCAAGAGTTTGTGCGTTCAGGCGATTTTGCTTTTAAACGTAGTTGTGCTGAATATTTATTATCAAGTAGATAAAAAAAAAGTGAGGTCTCTATGTTTGAGTTGCAAAAGCAAAAATCAACAAAAGAAAAAAAGAATTGTTGGATCCATTCAGTTTGTAAATATTTTTTTTTTTTCTCGAAAACATGAATAATTTTTCTTATCATTTAAGAGAATTTCTAAATTTTACCAACAATTCTTTCCTGAATCGATTTTAAGATTGAAGTTTTTGGTCTTTTGCGTGTCGCTTCTCGTTTTTCGTCATATATATTTCTTTTTTTTTTTTGGCAGTTTATTTCGTTTCTTAATTTGAGTTGCATTAACTAGCGAACATTCATCCTCTACATTGCCACAAAACACAAAAATTGCACAACATACATTCGTACACAGAGAAATAAATAAAAAAAAAAAAAAAAAAATTAGAAAAAAGATACACACATACACACGTCCAGTGGTCCTCTGGAAAACAAAAAAAAAAAAAAAACTTCAACGCTACTTGTGACTCTCCGCAGAAGAAGATTGGGAACGAGAATTGGAAGCTGAACTCAAGGATTTCGAAGTTGTTCCAGGCCAGGGAAAGAATCAATCATCGACAGCAACGAATTCTGGAAAAGACGATTGGGAAGAGCAGATTGATGATCTTCTTGGAGATGAGGAAGATCTCAAGTAAAAAAAAAAAATAAAAAGAACTCGAGAAAAATATATCAAATATTAATTTTTAAGATCTATTGGTTAATGACTGATCATTATTATAAATTATACGACATTCCAAAATTCAAGATTCCTACAAAATAATTCCTAGAAAAAAAAAATTTGAAATAACTTTTTAATATATGAAATTATTTTGTAAGAATAATGAAACTGGATATTAATTCGTTGTATGCATTTTTATTGGCTGTGTATGTTGATTATTTTTTTCATTTTTTTTTGAGTGAAAATTGTTTTAAGTTTCTCAGCTATAAGGCGAAAGTGATTGTGTATTAATCAAGGGTTCACGCTGGACATTGATCGCACAAATACCTTTATAGAATTTAAAACAAACAAAAAGTCTTGAAATGAAACAAATTTGACAATAAGGTTTTCAATACATTTTTTTTTTCATTTTCAAACATTCCATATTCAAAGTTTTGTCAAACGTCTACAAAAAAAAAAATATTCAAAATTGTATATATAAATTATTTTAAAATGCAATCAGAAATGAAAACTTAAAAAATTGTCAAGTTTTTTTTCAGTTTTTTGTATAGGAAATATCGATGTCTGCATTTTTTTTCGTGGGTAGCAAAAATGACTTCTTAATTATATGCAAATATCTCGAGTCTCTGTGACGTGTTTGTGTGGATCATATAAAGAAAATCATTATACTGAACAGTGTATTTTATGTGTACACGTATGTAGAAAATAGCAATCATGTCGGGTATCCTGGCAAGAAAAAAAAAAAAAAGAAAAAAAATACATAATATTAAGAAGCAAAGCCCAATTCATTTGAAAAAAAAACAATGTTCAGCTTTTGCGTATAATAATTAAAACTCTGATTCTAGAGTTATTGTCAAATTAGTCATTTGGCTAATTATTATGTAATAATCGTGGCTTTCGACTTGTAGCATTTCTTCTGAAATGGAAAGAAATCAGAGGAATTGTTTATTTAGTTTTTTTTTTTTTTTTTTTTTTTGCATTTAATTTCCTCTCGTGAGACTTCCAAGCCAAAGAATGTCACCCGAGCTGAATTATATATAGAATAATAGAAACGATTAGTTTATTTAAAAGAGATGTAATTTGGCGACAGCACATTATAAAAAATATACGTCCTTTTGATAAAAAAAAAAAGGAAAGCATTTTCTTTTTATCAAAAGTACGAATATTGGGATTTCTTGTATAAGTTCACCTTCCATTTGTAGCGTTTTTATTATTACATAAATAGAAGAAATAATTATTCATAGTTGTAGATGTGTTTTTCGGGCCTAAAAGTCATAATTATTGGATATTATATAAACATCGTGCTCGAAATGGTACTTTTAAATGTATGGATTTTTTAAATTTTTAACAGATACAGCCATAAGGGAGGTGAACTTAAAGATTCCCTCTCCTTTCCTCGAAAAGCAAAATAAAAATAAAAAAAAGGCTTCGTGTATCATGAAATAGAAATTATATTCTACAGTGCAATGCATCCACTCAAATCTATTCATAATTACACGATACTTATGTATACATATAAATAATAAATAAAAAATATATATGTTGTTGACTCGATTGAAAGTATGATAATATATATATATATATAAATTTAAGTATTACTGAGTATATATATATATATATAAATAATTAATGAAGCATTAAATTGAAATAATAATATGAAATTAATTACGTAATCGCGATATCGGTCGTGTACCTCATGAAAAAATAAAAAAAAAAAAAAAAACAATACTCTAACAATAAAAAACGTATTTTTTGTTGTTGTTATTATTTACCACACACCTAATTTATCAAATTTTACCTAATTACAAGAAAAAGATTTATAATTAATACTTTAATAATAGATTAAATTTTCATAAACATTTTTATTTTTAAATTTTCAAATTTTTGAATAAAATAAGACGGGAGTGCCAACCTAAAATATTGAAACTACAAAAACTAAAAATTCCTATACATTTCTAATTGTTCTAATAACATAACCTATAATAATATATTATATAACAAGTATGTAAAAACAAGATAAAAGTACATTTATTCTATTAAAAGACTATTATTAATCAGATGTCAACGATAAATAGGATTAAAATAATTTAGTTATAGTTATTCAAAAAAAAGGATAGAAAATGTCAATGGAGTGTTATGATTTAAAAACACGTGTTCAGTGTGTCACGTGTTAATTTTAATTTATTATTATCAATAATTCTAATTTATACATTTAAAGAGGAAATGTTTATTTTCTGCGCCATAAGCCTAATACGAATATAAGGTGAGTCATAAAAGCGATATCAGTGTAATTATTAAAAAATACTTCTTGAATTCATCTCTCTAATTGTTTTTTTTTTACTCTCATTCAACAGATGTTTCGATCAATTTTTAGTTTTAAAAAATTTACAATATGTACTTCAGAATTTGCCACAGTCGCTAACATATCACCAAGAGTAAGAATACTTTTTTAATTATAAATATATTATTATTCAAATTTTGTATTATGATGATTGATTTTTTGTTTCTAGATTCAAGAATTTAGAGAAAAATTAAAAGAAAATGTTGAACAAAATATGTTGAATGATTCTTTTGGTCGACATCACGATTATTTAAGAATATCATTGACAGAACGCTGTAATCTTCGGTGTAATATAAATTTTTAAAAAAATTAATTTTTTAATAAATGTGTAGGTATAATAATTTAATTTTCAAAATTAATTTCAGGTTTATATTGTATGCCAGCTGAAGGTATTAAACTTTCTTCTAATGATAAAATTCTTACAACTGATGAAATACTTCAAATAGCAGATATTTTCATTGAAGAGGGTGTGAAAAAAATTCGTTTAACAGGAGGCGAGCCTACAGTTCGTAAAGATATTGTCGATATTATTGGTAAATATAATTTAATATTTTTTTAAATAAATTATTAAAAAGAGTAAAAGTATTATAATTATTTTTTTTCTTTTTCAGCTGGATTGAAGCAATTTGAAGGTTTAAAGAGTATTGCAATGACAACAAATGGTTTAACATTAACACGTCAGCTTCCATCACTTCAAAGAGCTGGTTTAGATTGTCTAAATATTTCACTGGATACACTCAAAGAGAGTCGATTTGAGAAATTTTCACGAAGACGTGGTTGGAATAGAGTAATAGCCGCTATTGATTTGGCAGTTCAATTAGGATATAAGCCAGTTAAAGTAAATAATTTAAACAAAATGTGAAATTAATAATTGTCAATATTTTTTAATTGATATTTTATATTCAGATAAATTGCGTCATAATGAGAGGATTCAATGAAGATGAATTAGTGGATTTTGTAAATTTTACTAAACATAAACCAGTGGATGTTCGATTTATTGAGTATATGCCATTTTTTGGAAATGAATGGAAGGAAAATAAAATGGTTTCATTTAATGAAATGCTGACAATTATTAAAAAAGAGTTTCCTGAACTTGAGAAAATTTCCGATAAACCAAATGATACTTCAAAGGTAATTCATGAAATTTTCTTTTATTTTTTTTCAATTTAGAATTTTTTATTTAAAAATTATTATTTTAGGCTTTCAAAGTTCAGGGTTTTCAAGGACAAATTGGATTTATCACATCAATGAGTGAAAATTTTTGTTCATCGTGTAATCGATTAAGAATTACAGCTGACGGAAGTTTGAAAGTTTGTTTATTTGAAGGAAAAGGTGAAGTTTCATTACGTGATGCTATTCGAAATTGTATGTCGAAAAATGATTTGAAAGAATTAATAAAATCAACTGTTCTTCAAAAGAAAAAACAACATGCTGGTAAAATAAATTAAATAAATTTTTAAAGTATAAAATCGTTTAAAAATTGAATTGAAAATTAATATTTTTTTCAGGAATGTTTAATTTGAGCAAAATGGAAAATCGGCCAATGATTCTCATCGGTGGTTAATTAAATATATATTGATTTGAATTACCACTCGAAAATCAATTGCTAATATTGATATACCTCATTTATTTTTGCAGCTTTTATAAGAAGACAACTTTGGAAGAATAATAAGAAAGCGCATAATAAAAAAATAATAGACAAATCATTTATTGATAAATTAGAATATAATAATATCAAATTTCATAATGAAATTTTCAAAAAGCCTTTCCTAGATTTTTGCACGAGGAATTATTCAACTTTATCACATATTGATAAAAATGGAAAATTTAATATGGTTGATGTGGGATCTAAAGAGATAACTAAACGAATTGCTAAAGCTCAAGGATTTATTTACATTGGTCCAACGATATGTAAATTAATAAATGAAAATAATATAAAAAAGGGAAATGTATTGGCAATTGCACAATTAGCGGGTATAATGGCTACAAAAAGAACATCTGATTTAATTCCCCTTTGTCATTCATTGTCAATAACTTATGCGAACGTATGGTTAAAATTAAATGAAGAAAAAGAAGGAATTGAAATTTTATCTGAGGTCAGATGCACAGGAAAAACAGGAGTTGAAATGGAAGCACTAACAGCAGTGAGCGTTGCTGCTCTTACAATTTATGATATGTGTAAAGCAGCTGCACCGCCAGATACCATGAAAATATCAGGAATTGAATTGATCTCAAAAACCGGAGGTAAAAAAGATTTTATTAAAGAAAATTCTAATAGGGAATCTCAAAATTGAATTGTTATTAAGTGTTATATATTTTTTATATGAAGTTATAAATTTATAATTATATAAAAGAACTGAAAGAAATTGTTTTTATTAAATCGTTTTTTTTTTTTATAGAATTTGTAAATTGTAATTAGATGTATAAAAATTTGTATTAATTCAAAACTTGTATAATGCACAAGTTAAATTTCATTTTCATATACATTCCATTTTATTGTATGTAAATATTTTATATGAATAAAATGTTCTTTTCTTAATCTTAAAAACTAAAAATTTAGTTTCATTGTCGATTCTATTATAAATTATATCTATACATATTTTCATTTAATGATAATTTATACCTTTAATCCAAAATGAAATCAAGGTATTTTTCGTTTTGCTGATGGTTCCTCGTGAACTCGAACTTGAAGTGTTGAACGTGGTCCACATTTCCAAATATTACCACTTTTGTCAATTAAACTTGCACTCGCTGTTACTTGATAATTACCACCACCACCTGAATTACTTGTACAACTATTTACATTTGCAACAGGACTACCAAGTGATAATAAAAATTCACAAGCAAAGAAATCTCTATGTGGTATTACTGTTTGTTGCAACTCATTGATATTTGAATCCTAAAAAATTTTTAAATTCAATAATGAAATTAATTAAATTAAAAAAATATTTCAATACCTTTTGATCTGAATTAATTTTCGATGGTGGCGTCGATGATATTGAAATACGAACAGCGCTGACTGAACGAAACAAATATGGTTTTGGTCCATGTCTCAATACACCTTCAACTTTTAATGCCAATTGACTTCCCTGTGGAACAGAAACTGGTTCACCTAAAACTCGTGGTTGTGGCGATACTGATAATTTAACACTCGTCATTTGTAATGACTGGAAAAAATAACGTGGTATTGGCAGTCTCATTTTTCCCCCCGCCAATAATGACACTTGTGATATAAGACAATTTACTCTTAAATGTGTTATTCCTGCAACATCATTTATTTCATTTGACGGTGCCAATTGTCGTAATTTTGAACAACATCGAGAAAGTTGTCGCATTTCAACCGTACTGCCAAAATTAAATTCACCTTCATTCGATTGATAAATATTAAATACTGTTGGTTTTCCACAAACACGTTCGACACTATTTGCCATTAATTGACACATATCTTGAAGACTGTATAAAATAATTAAGAAAAATATTTCTGATCAACAATTAAAATTAAAATACATAATTAGGAAAAAAAAGGATACGCTCTAATATTATCAAGAGATTCCGGATCAGCATCAAAAGCAGATTCATAAAGTTTTTGATAATTTTCAGCACAGGTTTTAAATTCTTTAACCGATTTTCTAAGCTGAAATGTAACACGACCATATCTTTGAAGATCGTCTTTTATTGTTAAAGCTTCATGACCAGCGATTGCATACGGAGGCGCAGTGCACAAACATCTAGAAAATAAAAATTATTATAATACTTAAAATTAAATTATCTATTTCAAATTTTCTTACCTGCAAGCATGTAGAAGTTGTACCAAAGCTTGAAGAAATTCACAACGAAGTTTTGCATATTCGCTACGAAAATGAAGACTTCGAAGAGGTGTACTCGCTGCTTTTAAAGAAGCACAAGCACTTGAATAGCGTGAAATTGCACCGTTTAATTTTTCCACAATACCACTTTTTGATTCATTTTCTTTAATATCCACCCTGATTACAAAAGAAAAGACTTTTTAATAAAAATTCGATAGTAAATAAAAAATATATAATAGAAAAATACAAACATTAAATGAGCTTCGGCATTTGTCACAAGTTCCAATCCAGAAAGCCAAAAATGTAATTGTTCCGATGCAACGGCTTCTTTTAATTCTTTAAAAATACGTGTCGCAATTTCATGATGTCCATATCTTGCAGCACTGCGACCAATTCGATATTTTGTCCATCCATCCACATTTTTTATGACATTTTCTATTTCCTCTAAACATTCGACATTCCACTCGTGACCACACGCGATTATTTGAAAAAGAATCGTACAAAGCATTGACTGGAAATTAAAAATAAATATATAATCTAACTTTCTGATGAAAAAAGAAAAAAAAAATTACCTTTATATGAACGTGAGTAGTTTGTCTCAATTTCAACAAAATATCCGGAAGTAGCGGAAGAAGAATATTTTCCCCGAGACTTCCAATTGCACCTAATGCCTCACACAATGCAATTGTTTGATTATCACTTTGTCGATTTTCTGAATTTTCACTAATCAAAGTAGAACCAATTGCATCGACAAATTCAGGACAATGATTACGTTGTGCTTGACAAAGTTTCACAGTTGAGTGTAAACAAACTTTTAATTGATATAAATATTTATCATCGAGTGCCAATAGCATAATCAAAGATTCAAGGCAAGAAATTACTTCCTCTATTCTTGAAAGTGCAGTTGAATCTTGCAAATCTTCTTCATAGCTGAAAAAAGGGAATTAGTCAAAAATTTTGAATAAAAAGTAAAGTTTTTTTTTTTCTTACCAATAGCAAGCAATTCTAGCGAGAATTGTCACAGCTTTGACAGCAACAATAGGATCCGGAGAATAACAAGCATTTAGACAGAGTGCTAATAATGGACTATCTTCCAGTCTATTCGCATCACAAGTTATAGCACTTTGACTTAAAACCTAAAATTTTTATAATTATAATTTTCTAAATAAAATAATTGAACATTTTTAAATAATTTACCTCGATTACATCTAAAGTTCGAACCAAAAGATCAGAATTTGCTGTTCCTTCTTGTAAAAGTATTGTTGTACTATCTATAAAAATAACAAAAATTATTTTTTATTTAGTGGGACAAATTTCAAATATTTTACCTACCGACTAAATTTGTCAAAGCGCCTTGTGGCCAAAGATGTGCTCCTTTTTGAGCCAACGAATGCAATTGATGAAGAGCATGTCTTTTAATCGATACTCGTGGATCATCGTGTAAATATTGTAAGAGTAAAGCCACTTGGCCAGGAACATCAATTAATGTTGCAGATGCTAAAGTTGTTAATGCACTAAGTGTTACTCTAACAAATTCAACTGCTGGATAACTTCCCAATAATTCCATACATAATTCATTTACCTGGAATTAAATAATTGTTTATTATTAATTTATTTATCAATAAAATAAAGTAAAGAAAAACTTACCATTGAAGCTGTAGAAGTATCGTGATGCATATATTGTAAAATTGGTATAAGTTGCAATTTCATTGACGCCGGAGTTGCTTGTCCTCTAATCATGTCAGATATTTTACTGCACATTGAAACAGCAAATAATTTTGATTGTGCAGCAAACATTTGTGCTGCATAAATTGCAGCTTCAACTTCAACTGAATCATGAGAATCAAGAGATCTTCGAATACTATGATGAACCTAAAAAAAAAATAAAAAAAACATTTATCAATAAAATATAAATTAAAATTTATTTTACTTTAAAATTCAAACCTGTTGGCGTTCAGGAATAATGCCAGCGATACTGCCTAAAGTTCGAAGAGTTAATGCTCTGGCAACAGGATCATTTGAATGAATAACACTGTATATTCGTCTAACAAATTCATCAACATTTAATATTTTATCTAAATGTTTTTCACTTTGTTGACAGACTCTTAAAACCCAAACACGTAAGAAATTACTTCCCATACGAAATACATCGGCCAATTTCAAAAGAAGGGAATTTATCAAAATTGGAAATGGATATTTTTCAAAAAGTCTGGGAAAACGTACAATTGCTTCACATTGTTCTCCAATTTTATTGGAACGTAATCCTGGGAAAAAAGAGATATTATGTACACAAAAATTAGAGGTTAGGAATTTTAATAGATTTTTATACCTTTATCAAGTTCAATAAGAGCTGAATTTGCATCTTGCTCTGGTTCTCCAATACCCGAATCATTAAATGCATTCATTCGCATTCCGATCATCATGATAAAATAATTAAAAACCCTTCTATAATATAAATAAGGGCCGTTTAGTACATCGGCACAAGTCTAAAGGATCTAAAGTAATTTATAACTATTACTTATCAATAGGTAATTCATTATTTTCCTTTTAAAATATATAATTAGGTAATAAATTATTTTAATACTATTCTAACTATAAATTTTTAAAAGATATAAAAAACTTAGTAGAGCAAGTAATAAACATTTTCTTTTTAATTTTGTCGTCTGCTAAATGTTAAGGTTAGGTGCATGCGCAGTACGCGCATGTGTTCGCGATTTTGCACGTGTTGAATGTCAAGTTGATTTTTATATTTATTTATAAAATACTAATTACCAGGTAAATTAAATGAAACATTCAAAATGACAAGTGAAAATTTTATAAATAGTATTCTATCTATAATCGAAGATAATACTTCAGATCCAACATTATTTTTAAAGTAAGTTTTCAAAAAATTGTAATTGTTAGGTTAGGTTCTAAATATAAAAACTATTTGTTATATGAATTTTAAATAAAATCTCTTAAAAGTATTTAAGAGCAAAGGACTTTTTTTTAATTTAATTATTATAATTGATAATTGATATTTAATAAATTAATTTCAGTGTTCAGGAGAAAACAGCAAAATCGTTTAAGCGAGCAACAAAGCTTCTTTATGATTTTACAAAGAGAAAAACAGACAGTAAGATACAATCACTACCGGAATTGATAATTGATGGTTTTGACGAAGAGCAAATATGGCAACAAATTGAATTACAAAACGAGCAAGTAATTCCCGAATTAATAGCTGATATATCAAAACTTTTATCAAATAAACAATTAACACAATCGTTAGAGTTTAAGGATGATTTTTCTAAAAAAAAGCTTAGGGAAAAAAATCCCGAAGGTGAAGAAGAAGAAGATGATAATGAAGAAGAAGAGGAAGAAATAAGTGACGAAGAATTGGATGATAATTTAATGGAAGAAAATTCTTGCAGTGAATCCGAGAGTGTAAATCGTAAAATAAATAAAACAAAAAAACGAAAACAAGAACCTTCTATAGTAGATGACAAATTTTTTAAAATGCAAGAATTAAATGAATATTTAAACAGAGAAGATAGAAAAGAATCAAAAGAAATAAATAAATCCAAGGTAAATTCAGATGACGAGTCTGTTGATTTATTTAATGATTTCTCTGATAACGATGATGAAAATGAAGAAGAACAAAATGCAAGACTTGTTAAATATGCCGACTTTTTTGATAGTCCTGAATCGAATGAAGAATCAGAAAATAAACATGATATATCACAGCAAGAAGAAAATTTTGATAATGAAAAAGAATTTCAATCTGATGGTGAATCGATTGATAATCAAGAGCAAACATCACCAGCAGCAAAACGTGTAAAATTCAATTTACCACTCGATTCTGAAGAGTCAAATGAATCAAATAATGATTCTGAACGTGAAGAAAAACAATATTTAAAATCATCACTTGAAGAACGACAAGAAAGAATTAATAAAAAAATTAAAGTATTAGAAAATGAAGCAATATCTGAAAAACCATGGCAATTAAAAGGAGAAGTTAGTGCTTCGAATCGACCACAAAATTCTTTACTCGAAGATTTTGTTGAAGTTGATGTTGTTTCAAGACCACCGCCAGTAATTACTGAACAATGTACACTAGACTTGGAGGATATTATTCGACAGAGAATTAAAGACAAAGCCTGGGATGATGTTGAGAAAAAAATGAAAGTCATCGATACACCAACTGAATATAAAAAAAAATTAATAATGGATCAAGAGAAGAGTAAATTAAGTTTGGCACAAATTTACGAACAGGAATATGTTAAACAAAAACAAGCTTTAGATCCAGAACAAAATACTGAGGAATCAGAACCTAAGGAACATATTGAAATAAAAGAAATGATGCATTCCGTAATGAAAAAATTAGACGCGCTTTCCAATTATCATTATACTCCCATACCAGTGAGAATTATTTTTTTTTTTTTTTTAAATTCGTAACTAACATTTAAAAAAATGTATTTATTTTGACTAATTACTATTTTAAAATTAATTTCTAGGCAAAACCAGAATTGAAGATTGTCAGTAATATTCCCGCTATTAATATGGAAGAAGTAGCTCCAGTAGCGGCAAGTGATGCAACATTACTTGCACCTGAAGAAGTTCACGGTAATAAACAAACCAATTTCATTGTTTTCGTTCTGCATTGAAATTTAAGATTTTTTTTTTCACTTTTAATTGTTTTAAAAATATTAAATGTTAATTAATGGTTTTTTGTTATTTACAGCTAAAAAACGTGGAGATTATCTTGGCAAAGGAGAAAGAACAAAAACAGATAAGAAACGAGAACTTCGAAAAAGAAAGAAGAAACAACGTGAAATTAAAGAAGCTAAAGAAATAAAAGAAAAACTTAAATCTGTATCTGAAATTCGTAAAAAACGAAATAAAAATTCTGCTAAGGCTGTGGAAAAATTAACAAAGAGCCGTAATATTATAAAAATGGATGAAAAAGATCATAAAACAACAAAATCATCGACTGCATTCTTCAATCAATTACAAGATGAAGTTCAAAGTTTGATTAAAGTAAAATCGAACAAAAAACCTGGTAAAAAGGACAATACACGAGTCTCGGCTATTAAGCTTAAATTGTAAATTTTGTACATTTTTAAAAAAAAATAAAAACTATATTGTAAATTTGGAATAATTACAAGTCCTAGTTTTGCGACAAAGATTTATTTTTATTTCATTGTGATATGTTATCGAAAGTTAATCTCTCCAAACTATTTGAAGACTTACAAATGTTGGAAATATTTTCAAACACAGGGATTTTTAATTACAATGAAAAAAATTAAAAAGTTTGAGAAATTTGAAAAAAAAGATGCTAATCTTATACTAATATTATTGAAGATAGAGAGAGAAAGACTAAATAGTTTTTGCATAATTTTGTACATTCCTTTTGAACATTTGGGAAATATATATTTATATCTTAACGATTGCACTGCTCACAGTTAGGTTTAAAAAAAAAATTAAACTTATTTTCTATGACGCTAATAATTTAAAAAAAAAAAAAAAAATGATTTCAATTTATAAATAAAATTCCATCAAATGGGAAGGGAGAAATTACTTCCATAAAAATTAAGACTCAAATTTATAATTTTTATGCTTTCACTTATATAATAAGCGCAGATGAATAATAAAAACTATTATAATAAATATCAACTAATACGAAATTCATTCATATTTTTCTATGTCCAAAAATTTAATTACACACATTCGTTAATCTTATTAAAAAAAAAAAAAAATTATGTGAATGAATTAATTTTCGATTATCATTTTTCTTTTGCAGTTCAATAATACAACTAATTAAAATAACAATGTGTTATTTAAAAAAAAAATTTTGCGTGACAAAATTTTTTTAGGCAATAAAATGTCGCGCAAAATTTCAAAATTACTTACTAATGTTTAACTACTTGTAATTTACGAATGTAATAGGAATTATATATATATTTATAATATATAATAGTCATTCACAGATGGTGCCTATGCAGCATTAAAAGTGGCTACCGACTTATCTCTATAAATATAACAATATTTAAAGGCTCCGATCATCCATGTTTGCTTAAAAAACAAAAAATAATAATGACTACTTTTCAAAATCGTTTTGAATTCATCAAAATCTTAAGCGATATTTTCCAGTCCATACTATTAATGGCACTTTTACAAAAAATTTCCACACACCCGTTCGTTTACGAGCAGACAATATTTACTACAAGACATTATTTTTATACTTTTTTATGCGATACGTATAAAAAATTCGATTTGTAAATATTTGAAAACAAAAAAGAAAATTGTGCATTTGCTTTTTTTTTTTTTACTTGGGCTGCAGCGTAAAACTGGTGATTCACTAACTAATATTATAAGAAGTGATTTGCAAAATTATCGCTGAAGTAAAAATTTGAAGGAATCAGAATAGTGCATTAGTTGAAAACTAAAAACTGGCATTGAACATTGTTAGATCTTCAAAACCGGAAGCGCCACCTTGATCTTGGAGCATTTGCAACATGTCAGATAATTCTTGAGGTTGAGGACCTGGTGCATTAGCTGTGGCGTGTGACTGTTGAGCTTGTCCAGTTACTTGAGCGGAATTTTGACCATTATCCTGCTGTTGTGCTTGATGCTGTTGTCCTTGCCATCCCCACATTCCTAAAAAAAAAAATTTTTATTTATTTATAATTAGTTTATCTTAAATTTTGATTCAAATATATTACCAGGATTATTAGGCACAGTTGTAACAGCATGATATTGTGTTGCAGGAGTTCTTGCACCACTGCTCAATTGAGTGTACGTTGGACCACTCGGAGATCTTGAGGGACTTAATTGACTATATTGATAACCTTCCGTTACAGGTTGCTGTGAAAATAAAAATTAATTAATTAAAATATAAAATTTTAATCAGAATTCAATTTAATTACATACCTGGCGACCAATAGCCCAGGATTGTTGAACAGGTGTCGGTGAAGTATTTGTTGGCTTTTGAATTCGATTTAAAACAGAAGACGATGCACTCTGCTGACCAGGAGAGCCATAAGCAATTGGCGATTGTGTAGTTTCGTATCCTTGATATACATTCTGAGTGCTTGATGGTCTAGCTTGTTGGGGACCTGTAACTAAATCTTCATTTAAATAATTTTTTTTTTTCCGAAAAATGGAAGAACAAAAAAACGAAAATTACCTGCAGTAGCTACGGCTGCTGGATGCTGCATCATATGTTGTGTAGGATAAATTGCATCACGAGTTGGATGTCTTTGAAGAGAATAATCTAATCCAGGCTGACCATAAGATACACTTTCAGTTTCCGGTTGCCCTTCACTTCCAGGATGGAAATGTCTAAAAAAAAAATTGTCAAGTTTTAAAATTTCTTCTTTCGTTTCATTAAAATAATTTAATACTTACTTAAGTAATTGATTTGTACAGACAATATATTCCACTTCATTGGTGAATGGATTTACAAAAGAATATGCCGATGTTCTTAAAAACACCCAATCGCGATTTTTAGCTCGAAACCGATAATTCCAGGCATATACTTGTCCCTTCATTTTTATAACTGTTAACAAGTTAATAATTAAGTTAAAGTTCAAAATGAAAAACAAAAATAAAGGAAATACCTTCGTCAAAATTGCCACGCATATGCGGAAGATCATCAGGATGAAAGAATTCATAGCAGGGGTGACCCAAAAGTTCAGAAGGTGTGTATCCTAAAATTCCACCAACCCTCTGATCGACAAAGGTAAATTTTCCATCCTCTGTGTGACGCGAGATGAATTCTTTAACAAACAAAAAAAAATCGTATTTAGAAATTTCTTAAAAGCAAAAAAAAAAAAAAAAAAATACTTACCACTATTACTATTGGAGCCAGCTAAGTCACTTGTATTCGGTGTACTAGTAACTTGTAATCTTCCAATGGCAACAAGACAATAATGTGTCGAATTATCATCACCGACAACACCATCAGGTCCAGGTTGAACGCCCCTGTCACCTAACCCCACACCTGGTACACATTGAGTAACAAAATCACCTACAGCGCAAAAAAATACGTCAGTACTTTGTTTTTTTTATAAATTGAAAATAAAAAAAGAAATTTCAAATTTTAATTCACACTGACAATGAATATTTGCTAAATTATTTAATACTTTTTTGGATAATTTAAAAAAACAATTTCTATGTAAATTTAGATCTCTTGTCAATCTATTGCATGCATTTTCAAAATGACATGAGAAGTAGAACAATACCAAACTCACCAGAGGGGGGCCAATTTTTAATATACCCCGTACAATGAACAACAGCGTAACTTTGTCCATCTCTTGCTGGTGGACCAAGAGAATTTCTTTGTTTCATACGATGAAGACCGTGCGCTGCAGCCATATCGCCAGTAGTTTGTAAATTACCAACTTTCATACGGCAAATGAAACCTCGTCTTGATCCCATGCATAATCTCACCGAGGCTATAAGGTCAATATTTAATAAGCTCAATTTATTAAATTTTTTATATTTAAAGTATCTTAAGAATTCACTTAATTTACAATACAGAAATATTTCTCTTTTTTTTGGAGAAAAAAAAAAATTTAGAAAAAATGACTTACATTGATGACCCTCCTTTTTAACGGTTCCAGTTTTAAGATCAAGAACTCTTCCAGCGTGTTGTGGCTCCGCTGTACTGAGTTGTTCCCGAACTTTTTCTGTATCATCCGGATGTACCTGAGAATACAGACTGGTTCCATACCAATCGCTTTGGGAATAATTTAAAACAGGTGCGACAGAATCGGAAACATATATAATTCTGCCAGTATCACAACTAACAACAAAGAGAAATCCATCGGCAGCTTCAAGAATTAAGTGTTTTAATTCTTGATCAGTCAAAAATGAGGGTTTATATGTTCCATCAGCACTTGTATTTCCAGTACCTGAAAAAAAACAAAAATTATTTAAAAAAAAAAACATTTCCAAAATTAATTAGTGACTTCTTTTGTGCTGAATTTTTTTTTTTCAATTTGTTTGGTTGTAAAGATAAAAAATCTCGATGAAAATGATATTGGGTCCTTTTCTCTCTATATAGTATAAACGTACCAAAAATGAGCGTCGGTGAAGCGAAGGAAGGCAACTATCGAGGTGCAAGATCGGAATTGCAAAGCGGGACAAGGATACTGCGGGAGGCGGTAAGCGCGCGTTGCGATGCGATCTTTACCCCGATATACGAGAAATTCCGGGAAGAGGAACTTTAACGACTTCCAAACAAGATCTATGAAAGACCCTTGGTGACCTTCGTTACCATTACACTTTCTAAGAGACCTCAGGTATTGAGACTCCTTTTTGACTTCATTTTCAGTAGACACATTTTACCTTAAATCTGAAATCTGAATCTTTAAAATTCAAAATACAAGGATCCACATTAACATACATATGTGAGGAGAAAAATGAAAATCGTTTTTTCGCCAATAGGAATTTTTTTTTTCTGCTCAAAAGAAAGAAAAAGGAAAGAAAGATTTTGATTTTAAAATTCAATTAGAAAATTATTTTTTCGCAATCGGTGTAAATTGTCGAATGTAAAAACGTTAGAGTTATGTCCAGGTAGAGAGAAAACGAAAGATAGAAGTCTTCTTCTCTTAGAGCAATTTGTATTCAACTCTGAGCTCTTGTCGGGAAGGAGGAGAAGTGGCTATAAACAATGTGACGTTTCTCCAATACGAGAAGCTATCTTGACCATATAGAATGAATGTGTATTTGTAAGTGCGTGAATATACGCGTGTACCTAAAGAGAGACCAACCCCCTTCCCCCAACCACATATATATATATATATATATATATATATATATATATATACACCGGAAGCATAGATCCCACATTCTGCATTCGATATGACTCTCTTTCTCTCTCTCACGTTGTTCGCCACTTTACCTCGACAAAATAACCACAAATCTCGCACAATTAATTCTTTTTCTAAAATATAAATTTTCAGTAAAAAAAAAAAAACCATTTCTTTCACTCATTTTGAATCATATTTTTTTTTTTTTTTTTTTTTTGCGAATAAAAGAGTATACGCTTTGTTTCGTACGTGATGATTAAACGATTCATTTGTTTGAAAATTTGTCACGATTCGCGTAAACAATTTGTGGGACACGATATAAACTTAAAAACTTGATATATTCTCATGAAAAAAATATCCTTGAAAAATTATCCTATAGTTAAACTCATTTAAAAAATATCTTATCGGTTTTTTTGTAGTTTCAAGTTTAGAAAAGAAAAAGAAAAAAATTAAATTTATTTTTTCTATATCGAGAGAAAATACAATAATTGACTCGAGTTCAAAGAAAGGTTTCGTATTTGTATCATTAAATTCAATGTCCTGGGAATGTTGATTGTCAGCGACTTTGAATTGTTCATGTCAAGTTTTGCAATATATTTTAAATCAAGCAAATAATGTAACGGTGTGCGATTCTTTTTTTTTTAATATCAAGATGCGCTAACATATTTCGTCATCTTAGGACCGACCCGGAAGATAACTTGTACCGTTAACTACACCAATCTTGTCTTCGGCTACACGCGATACGATCCCACAAATCTGCCCTTGGATATAAAAGAAATCATCAAAGCAACTATATTTTATAACGAGAGAGAAAGAGAAAATTTATAAACCGATGATAGAAATTGACCTTTTCTTCTTACCTACAATTTTTGAACATATAAAGTAAATTGTAAATTGTAAATAATCAATTATTATGAAAATAATAAAACTTACCCCTTAAATTTTTCATATGGGCTACGGCCATCCGAAGAATGGTCAATTTGTCCGGCTTCCGTGCTAAAGCTGAACATGTTGGAACCATATCCGATAACTCGGTGATGTAGGCGGTCATCTTGTTCCGCCGCCGCCGTTCAATTTCGCAATGATTCTCCCTACAGTTAGACGTAAGACAAAACCAAGGTAATTGCATAGTTCAAGATAAATGTACAGTTTTTAACTTTAAGATTAGGATTTAAAATTGAGGAGCAAATTTTTTTTAAAATAAAAATGTTATAATATAGTTTATTTCTATAACAATATTTTTTTATATTCAAGACATTCTATTTTTAATTAAATTTTATCATTATTTACTGATTTACAGGTGTTGGTAATTTTTTTTTCTAATAAAATACAAAAATTATAAGTTTATAAATTGAAAATTCGTTGTTAATAAATTTCTTTTTTCTTAAATTTATCTCAATTTTTTTTTTGAAATTTTTTTTAAAAATTGATTTATCAGTTTTTGATTTGCTCCTCAATTTTAAATTCTAATAAAAACACTTTTCATTTCTATTTTATTATTTTCCCTAATTGTGTGAAAATAAATCTGTCTAATAAAATTTTCTTTTCTAAAAAAACATTTTGTTGAAACAATTTTTTTTTTTAAATTAGATCTTTCCATGAATAAAAAGAGCGAAATATGAGTGGTGCAAATTTTACGCCTCGTTATGGTATCTTTATTTTATCGACCTTTAAGAATTTTCTTTTCTTTTTTTTTTTTTTTACAAAAACGGAGAAGAGGCACGCAATCTCAATAAAAATCGGAAACTCGTGGGCAAAAAAATATTCGTTTCTCTCAAGTATATAATAGTGATTATATTTCTGTTTTGTACAGCAGTAAAATAGAAGCAACAATTTTTCGAAATTCGAATTTAATGGAACAAAATTGTAAATTCCATAATGGAAAATTAAAATTTTCACAGCCCTTGGAATGTTTCTAATTATTGTGAATTAAAATAAATTTACGATTGTACGCAGATAATTATGTATAGTTTAGCCAAAGTAGAGAAGTCTGCTATTACTCATGACGTTACTCTTCAGCTTGTGTAATGTTAGACGTTAAATTATGGACTCACTCGATACCATTTGAAAATATGTACATTGTCACGATAAATATTATTAATCAGAAAAATAATTTTATTTATTTTTTGAAAGAGATTTAAATTTTTTATATGGAATTTAAATCAATTTTCTCAAAAATTTGACAAGAATAAAAGAAAATAATTTTCATGATTCGATTTTCTAAGGACGAAAAGGTAACTGTTATATATATATATATATATCTTTGGACTATTTAAAAAAGGGTTAACGTTAAATCTCATGTATATATAAAAGACATGTATATATACAACACCGAAGAAGAGGAGGAGAAGAAACGCGATTCGAGTAGGATAGAGAGAACTCCTAGGTCAGAGGTCAGGCGCTCTGAAGTTGCTCGCTCGGTCAGCCGCCGCGCTCTCGCTCCTTTAGGCCCATCGAGAGTGTATCCGCTATAGGTTTTATACCCTAGTGCAATTGTGTTAGTATATGAGACTATAAGTATACTTCTCCATCCGCTTACTTACGGGTTTTATATAAAGAACGAACGAAAAACTTGCAATATACAGAGCAAAGAGTTCTCTCTATATAAATCATTTAGAAATTCTCCTTTATAACCATTTTATTATATACCTTTCGAAAATCAAATCAATATTTATTAATCGTAATCAAGTGAAAAAATCAAATTGATTTTGTTCTTGATGAAAAAAAGAAAATTTTTCTATATTGAATCTAAAAAAAAAAAAACCACTGGAATGTAGAGACAAATCCAAAGAAGATATTTCTACAAAGAAATTGTATAATTTAAGCCAAAAAGAGATATGAATTAATGTTGAAGAATCCTTGGAAGACGGAAAATATAAGAGCGAAGAAAAGGGAAGGTTTGCGGTGGTCGGTGGTAATTGCGTTATTAACTTAAAAGTAAGGTTCTTTGCTCGCGACATCGTTCTCTTACTTCCCTTTTTCCCCCCCCCTTAATTTTTACAATTCTGCAATAAAAAAAAAAATTAATAACAATTTTTTAAATTAAGAGAATTTAGAAAAATGAGTTTTAAAAATACAATTTTTATCATGAATAAAGATGCTGTAATATATATATATATATATATGTTCCCACGCTGGAGCAGCCGCGAGGGCTACCCATTCCGCCATTGGCTCACATTAGTGAGTATATCATGTAGGTATGTAATATAAGTATCTTCATACACCGAGATGTATATATAATATTCATAATCAGTAAACTGTATTTCATTCTTCAAATAAAAAAAAATACCTTCTTTTTTTTAAATATTTCAATTTTATCATAAGCCTGATACTCACCTGGCAAATCTCTCTTTGTCCTGCATATTGTCGTCCTCCATTCTACGATATTTTGCTCCACTTGGATCGTCCTCATCGGATCTGAAAAGAAAAAAATTAAAAATTAATATAAAATAAATTCTTTGAAAAAAAAAAAAAAACATTTTCATTATTCCCTCTTAGCCAAAAGTTTGCGGTGTGTGTTTTTTTTTTTATAATGGATCCTAACGTACCATAAAATGCAAGAAGGTGAAGGAGGTCTATAAATCGTTGCAAATAAAGTCTGTTGCGTCACCGATACATTAAGCGTAACTTCCGGCTTATCAAACGCGTCTGAATCCAAGATTGGTCATCATACATCGTCACCTGGCCAATTTCCAATATGTAGTCGTCTTTTTAAATAAAACGAAGCTCCCCAATATAAAAGCTAGTTTTACGGAATAATCCGCGCGTTTACAGTTTCCTATCATAAGAAGAAATAAAATTAGATTAAAAAAAAATTTTTTTTCAAATTTTTTTTTTTTTTTTTTTAAAAAAAGTCTATTTTCTCTTTTTATTAAGGATGTAAATGAGAGCTTAACGCAAAATTTAGATCGACGGAATTAATTTTGTAAAAAAATAAAATTTTACTGCCTAATGTATTAAATAATTTTTTTTATTTCTCAGCTGAGAAATTTAAAGCCTCCACACACGAAAATCGATTCTTTCTTTTATCGTGAAAAAAAAAAAAAATTGAAATGGCGAAAGTTTTGTATCAGAAAAAAGATTAAAGATGCTGTAAATCCGTCACCAGATGAGAATTCATCTCATTATCAACGAAGAAGTTTCTGTTGAGAAATTAAGTGGATATATAGCAATAGAAATCCGGGCCAGTGATCTTCTAGTCTATGTGCGGGTGATGTACGGTTTTGACCCTGAGTAAAAAAGTAAGATCTCTCTCTCTCTCTCTCTTTTCTCTCATCCGAGACCTCGTATCCCTTCCATTCTGGTCTCATAGGGACCGAGGAATCATAGTCGAAGTGGGGGTGTAAAGGGCCCCGTATCCGGGTATCGTACACAGTGTTGAGCTTTACGACGAGACTCTTCTCTTTATGTTTCTCTTTTTTTTTTGTTTTTTTCTTCTTTAGGGCCCTTACGTGAGATAAGAGCAAAAAAGATAGATACCTAGAATTGTTGTTAGAGGACACAATTTATGGAGTACTGATAGTATTTAGTTTCAATATCCAAAAATCTAAATTCGAAAAAATAAGTAATAAAAATTCATTGAAAATTTCTTCACATTTTTTATATTCGTTTTTTTTTCCAAAATTGAAGCGTAATTAGAATGAAGGAAGCACATTGCTTCTCAAATTTCAGTAATTCCAGCATCTATGCTGATGTATATCATTTTATCTTTTCGTTCTCCTGTGAATTCGCGATTTGCATTCCCTCTCCCTTGGCTATATCTTCGCTCAGTGCAAGAGGGCTTGACCTTGGACCAGTACTCCAAGCCTCCACTTTCTAGGGTAGATGTTTCATCGAAATCTCTACGGTTACTCGACCTTTAGTATATATGTGTTTCACCGTGTGAAAGAAAAATCCAAATTTTTTAATAATAATTTTATTGAAATAACTTTTTTTTCCGTTGAAATTTCCTTAAATTAATAAATCCATAAATATTAAATCCAGAAGCTCTGCTCAAATGTCCTTAAGATCAATATCTCGATTTATATATATATATATATAAAAGGGGTAAATATTCCAAGCATATTTACGTTACGATGGCGCCTTTTTTCATTTTTCCATTTGCGCTCCAAGTATCACGATTTGACCTCCATCCTCGCTACAGTCCCATTTGATAGTCATCCTGATACATACTGGTATTCGTTTTTGTACCGGTTCATCGACAAAAGAAAACAAACTGCATTTAAGAAAAAAAAATGATTTGTGATCCTTATTTAAATATTTTAAGAGAAAAATAATTTTTATATTTGCAAGTCGAAGGCGAGAATTTTTTTCTTTTTTTTTATGGAATATATAATATATATATATATATATATATATATATATATATATATATATAAGAAAAAGTTTTACAGTTGTCCTAACATAATTAATCTTTCTTAAAGAATGAGTGCGATCGCAAGATAAACAAGCTTCGTTGCATTCGTGATGTTGATGAGCAAATAAGAGTACATATATTGACTGGAGTAAAAAATTCCATTTTTCTGCCGAGTAAATATGTATATATATATATATATATTTATAATAAATAAATGAAGAATAATTAAAAGTAGTTGTCAAGAAAAAAAAAAAAAACACACACACACACATATAGAAGAAGAAAAGTTTTCAAGACTTTCGAAAATATTATTGAATTATAGTGACAATTCTAACCGGAAATGTGATTAGAAATTTAATTTTCTGCCATAATTTTTCTGCGGTAAAATTGAATACAATATTAAACGACAGCTCTCTATTGGCGGTTCTAAAATCGTATTTGCAATAAGAGGAGGTTTATTCTTTATTTTAATCCATTCCATAGCGACCTTATTGGTCACCCACAGTTTTTGCTTGAAAATGATTTTGATCAGAGCATTTTCTTTCTTCTCTAAAAAAAAAATAAAATTTTTTCTATTTAAAAGCAAAAAAAAGTTATCTTTTATCATATTTCAAAATTGAGACATAAAAACTGGTGTAAAAAAAAAATATATATATATATATAACAAAAACGAGAGTCTTTATGTTAAGTCCAGATTTGAAATAAAATAAATTGCTTTCTAAGAAGTCCTACATGCGAAGCAAGTGTTGAAACCGTAACGACTTAATTAAAAACCTCTGAGAGCTATATAATTTCAACTAATAAGATTATATTTTATTTTCATTAATTAATTATCCTTCTTTGTATCAATCAATCAATTTTTTTTTTTTTGGCAAAATAGAACGTTTTCTTTTAGAAATTTAGAAAAGACAAATTTTTTTGACATAAATATATGCATTTGTTAAATGCACACAGCATTACTAATCAAGTCATAATTATAAAATGTTTTAGCATACTGAACACTGCAAATTGTTTCCTCACCACCGTATCATCACGTTTAACGACTTGGAAACGATGTATTTAGCGTTCCCCGTTGTAAGTTTGGAAAATCCTTTTTAATCCAGTTATCAATAAAATTACACACATTCATATAAAGACTTTCTTATTAAGGAGAAAATGTTTTATTCATATTACGCAAAACGAGTTTTTTTTTCTTCTTCATATTATAAAATCTGTTTCATGAGGTCTTCAAACAAAAAAAGAAAAAGAAAACTAATTTAAAACGATTTTGAATAAAAATAAAGTTTTACATACCGAAAGAAAGAAGTGTAATCCATTTTTGAAAAAAAAAATACAGAAAAATTAAATTTTGTTAAACGTGTGCAAATTTGAAAATCACGATGTAAACTGAACTCTAAACGTTTCATTACAATATTTATTGAATAATAGAAACAAAACAAGTCGGAAACAAAACAAACAGAATTAAAAGCGAAAATTAAAATTACGATTTATCAAAATTTATATATTTGTAATTTTATTTAATTTTTTTTTTTTTTTTGGCAAATTTTGAAAATTAAAGGAGTAATTATTTAAATTTTTCCTTTTGTCGAAAAATAAGAAAAGCAACTTTTTTAATAAACTGGAGAAATAGATCAACAATTAGTGCGGCTAGTTTTTTTTTCGTATGATAATGTATATAGGAAGTTTAAAAAGTATATTGAAGGTGTAGATTATGTAATAACGATCTGGTAATCGGCTATGAATGACCACAAATCTCTGCTACGTGACGAGTTCGGCAACGAGTGGGTTTTGTTAGAGGTTGCGTGTGTTGCACGCGGTAACAACAGGGAAACAGAGCCACGTAAACAATTCTTTTAAACAGAAAGATCACTTTTTTTTTGCAATCTCATTGGCAAAGAGAAGAAAAAAAAAAAAATTTCTCACTATACAAGAAAAATAAGACAGTAAAAATTTCCCACTTTTTACAATATACTAATTATCAAACGAATCAATTTGAATTTATGAAAAATAATTTTTTTTTTATTATAATTAACAATGTGATAATAAAGAAAAAAAAATTATACAAATATTGCTTTTTTTAAAAATATTTATAAAAAAAAAACTTCTCAGAATATTGCATTGAAACATATATAATAAATTAAAAAGGAAGCATAACAAAAGCAGTAATTATATATTTTAATTTAAATAATGCTGACGTTTAAAAAATTATTTTAATCAAAATTTAAAATTCATATAATTTTAAATTGTTAAAAATGAAAGAAAAATAGAAATAAATAAAACATTTTTGCAAATTGATAATAAAACATTTTTTTTTTAAATATTTCAAATTCTCTGATAATATTTATATATAGTTTTTTTTCCAGTCTAATAAAATTAAAGATAACAATTGAATATTGCGAAATTGCGATTTTAGATATAGTCACTAAAAGCATTGAATTTATCTGCATTTGCTTAGTGCGATTCTCAGTACACAGATGTTTTGACCACGTGTTGCGATAACGTTTCTCTCACGTTAAATATATATATATATATATATATATATATATATATATACACAAAACATATTTAAAGACAAATGGTTTATCAAACTTAATAAAAAAAAAAATAGTTATGACATAATGAAAATTCTCAACATTTTCATTTTTATGCAAATATTCTGACAAATCTTTTTTCAAAAAATTAAATTTAAATTTCCAATTAACTAAAAAAAATTTTCCAATTTTAATTAACAAAAATATGTGTTCTTTCAGTACTAAAGATTTTTGAAAAAAAAAAATTTTACCTCCGTCTTTTCCTGGGTCGTGAATCATTTTGAACTTGTTGAATTTGATGGGGTGATAAAGTGGGTCCATAGGAAAGAAGTTGACTTCCGGAAGAAGGTCCTGCGGGCGGTGGAGGGGGAGGTGGTCCCAATTGATAACCCATGGGTGGTGCCGGTTGGACCCCATAGTGAGAGGGACCAGGGCTTGGACCTAAACCATAGCCAGTACCTCCCGTACCACCCCCGTACATTCCACTACCACCAGGATACTCTATTTTGCCGAACTTTATCGTCACTTTTCACACTATTATCATTAAAATCACAATTTTTTTTTTTTTTTTTTTTGTGTAATTTTTCCAAAAAACTACATATTCACAAATTGGGGGAAAAAAAAAATTCTCAAACGTCCATAGAATTTTGATATCGAAATTTTTTCCTCTTCCCTTGGTATTGATATTTCCAAGACATTTGATATTTTCTTCTTATGTATTTTAATAATAAAAATTATTTCAGACTAAAATTTTGGTTCCGTTCTCGAAAGTTACTATTCCGTGATGCGGTCACTTTCACGGATCGAATCGTACGTTATTGTGCGACTAATGAGGTTCGCGTTTCTTCAACATTCCTTTTGGCGAATGAACGATATTTAAAAACAAAATAATTTTCCTTGTCTTGTCTTACATCAATTTTCAGTTGACAATTCCACTCTACTGTAAACAATCGTGATTCTCTTGAAACAAAATTTCTTTTCATTATTTCTTCTTATCAAAAAAAAAGATCCTTAATAAAATAATATTTTCAATAAAAAATTTGCATTTTTTTTCAAATTTTGGTGAATTGTATATTCCATTTTCTCTGATGACATTTAAATTAGACCGACGATTTAAATAATATTTGTTTAATATAAGAAAATTTAAAGACCAGTCGTTCGACGACTAGTCACCACCCACAACTCGCCAGTGACTGATTCCACCATAGCTACATAATATGCCTTTAGTGGTACCCCGGTAAAGACTATCACTTCTCCCACCAGTAAACGAGACAGCCACCGTATAAAGCACAACTTTTAACCACGATGCATCGTCTCACATTTGTGCATGTATATATATTGCAACAATAGTCTAATCCAAAGGGAAGAAAATTTATTCAAAACTTTTCTATCACACATACAACTTGATTATATTGTTTCAAAATTCAAGAATTCTATTCAAGAAGCCGCGCTATTTAAAGGAATAAACATTTTTTTTTTTCTAAAAATACTATTTCAAAATCATTATTATTTTAAATAAAAAAATTTTTCAAATAATTTTAATTATTTATTTAAAAAAAAATATATATTAAAATTTTTCTTTTCTAATTTAAATAATTAAAATTTCAAAAATATTTGAATTTAAAATAAGAAATTAATTTTCTATAATATAATTTTCTGGACCTCAGGAATTGTATACATGGAAGGCATTGAAATCTCCTAAGCAAGCTTCGTAACTCTTTGCCATCATGTGAGAAATTCTTAGTCGTTCATTTTTCGAACAATGCAATCGCAATCGGTCGAATTCTCGTCAACAAAGTCCACAAGAATTACCGTTACGTACAGTTTGCATCATTTGTAAAGTATTTGCTTCTACAGTTTCATATTATATGAACTCTCCTCGAATAAAAGCAAAAAAAAAAATGTCCCTTTTGCCTTTTTCACTGTAAAAGAAAGAAAAATTCAGAAAGAGTAAAAAAAAAAAAACAATTTTTAAAGTAGGTAATTTCTTATTTTGGTAAAAATTATTGGTCCCACGGAAAAATATAACAGAATTTTATGAAAGAAATTTATTTCCAGATGTTTCACATTTTTCAAGGTTAACTTTTTTTTTAATATAGAAAAAAAAACCAAAAAACTTTGAAATATATTTTACATAATTTGGAAAAATTTTAATTAAAATTTAGTGATATTTTTTTTTGTGTATAAAAATTCTACTTGTGGAAGAAAGAGATCTTTCAATTTCATTTTAAAAGGGCGGACAGTTTGACAGAAAGGTCATAAATTTTCTGCAGTTAAAGCTCAAGGGGAAAAAAAGAGATGATGCTGGTAAATTTAAATGGAAACCTTGCACCTGTAAATTGTAACACCCCCCATTTAACAAATATAAAAGAGAAATCTTATAAAAACCTGTTCGAAAAGGGAATACCTGAATAAATTCAAAGATCTTAATTTTTCTAACTGTCCTTTTTATAAGAATTTTTGAAATTCAAAAGAAAAAGAAATTTTTCAAATTTATTTTAAATATAAAATTTTTTTTATATAATTAAAAATCACGAATTCAATCACGTTTAAAATTTTATAACGAAAAATGAACATCCTTTCGGAGTTTATATTTTAAACACCTGGTCGAATAACGATCACTTTACGAAATCACGTCTGAATTAATGTTACGTTTCCTTCGAGAAATGACATTAAAATTCTATTCACTTACGCAGAGGCGTATTGAGGCTTTTCTCGAAATTCGTGTGTCGTCTTTTGAGATTAACGATTCTTCTTGTGTGTTTGTCCAAGCAAAGAAATTTTTTTTTTATTTCTTATGTTAAAAGAGTAAAAATAATTAAATGTTAAAAAAAAGAAACAAGTGTTAGATTGAAAACAAAGCTTGTTACTTTCTAAATTTTTTATCAATGAGATTTATAAAAGAAATAAGTATTAAGAAATTTAACCTATTTAAAGTAATGTTTCGAAACATTAATATAAAAAATAGTAATTAGTTTAATATTCTTGTTAAAATAATAGAATTTTTTTTTTTTTAATAATTATTGAAATATAATTTCAAGAAAGATATTTCATTTTTTAAACACATGTTTTTTTTATTTCATAACCAAAAAATAAATTGAGTGTAAAAAGTGTCGAAATAGCAGTATTTAGAAGTAATCATGCAATTTAATTTACCAGAATTTAAAAATATTTATTATAGTTATGTAATAATATTAACATACCCTATACTGTCGATACTTCGCTTCTGAGCCATCTTGCATGGATCAATTCCTAAAATGTTTACAATATTTTTTTAATTGTTTACATTATGCATAATTGAAAAAAATAATTAAAAACATTCAAAGTAACAATATTAATTTTGCTAAGACATTGTTATATTATTAAAATAAACATTCTAGAATTGCATTATAACAAATTGTCTACGACATTAATGAAAAATAAAAATTTATATTGTTAATTAAACAAATGTACTATACACAAGATTTATAAAAAGTGAAATAAAATTTCAAATGTAACATATTTAATTAAGAAAACAATTTTTTTATAAAATAATCTTTAAAGCTCACAATAAAACTGTAAAAAAATTTTTGATATAATTGTAGTAATGACTATTTTTCACTGAAATTATGAATAAATTGAACATGTTATAAAATGCTTCCGATGACAATTATCATTTTGTATGAGCTTACCTGGCATAGAGTGGGTGATTGCGGACATTTGGATAAACATTCAATTTATTTCCTCGCACCGTAAAGAAACAATAAAAAGAATATTGCAGTTAACTGTCCAGCCAAAATTCTTTAATTTTTCTTCTCATTCACTAACAAAAACTGGGTGTTTACACTGATAAAATGCGCCATTTTGAAGTTTACTCTGACACTTTTTCTTGAATGTGATGAGAATGAAGAAAGCCGCGACTGATGCTCTATCTGGCGGTTTATTTTTGAACTTAGTTGACATGCTATAAACGTCAAAAAAGAAAAAAAAATCAATGTTTCCAGCTTAAACACCCTTAAAGTTTATTATTTTTATTTAATAATTCAATAGTTATTTAATTATTGTAATGATTTTTTGTAAAATTAATTGTAGAATTGAGTGAAAAATTTTAAATTCAAAAATAACTATAAAGTCAAGTTCAAATTATTAAAATTTATCCAATGAGATTTATGCACCAATAAGAACTTATGTTTTATACATAAAAACTATTTTAATTGGTGCTCAAATGCTTAAGTAGTCCAATTTGAAGGTCGTGAAAAGTTAAATGAGGTAAATTCAAATTTTTTATAATTTTAATTAAAAATTTTATAAGTTAATTAAATGTATACAATAATTTAATTTTATGAAAGAATACATTTTTTTTGTTAAATTATATATATATATATATATATTTTGGAGTAATTATTAATTTGTAAATGTGAAAATAAAGTAAATGTGTTTAATGTTAGTTGGTAAATAAATATTTCGCCATATACTTTTTCCAATTTTACAAAATTTGTACATTTTTAATTAAAAAATATTAATGAAAAAAGTGAAAAATGCTTTCGCGTGCCATGTGAACAGAGCTTAAAAGTGATTTGAAATCCGACGCCCGGAATCAAGTACGCAACTTCCGCGATCTCGCTGCTGAGCATTGAGCAAAATGGACGCCTTTGTGTCTGTTTTCGTTAAATTCACACTATAAATAGTGTTTTTCTCGCGATCAATCACATCTGAATGTATGTTGTTTACATGATTTAGCAAATAATGTAAGTGAAAGTTCTATTTTGCAATAGTGTTGTTTGTTTCACATTTTGATCGTTCTTATTTGACTTCTATCAAGTAGGCCACAGCCACAGATGACAATTGAGTGGATTTCTTGAGAAGAAGAGTTTGAGAAGAAAATTGCTGAAGGAAGGACTGCTACAGTTATCCAGGATAAAAAATATTCGTGGCATTCTACCAATTGATAAGTCGCTAGCTGAAGAGGAACCAAAACTTGTAGTTAAAAACGTTTCTTTGCTTATTAAGATCGTTCAGCATAAATAATCATTGGAATCAGTTAACTAAAGGTAAATAACAAAAAATTTTCTCAAAATAACATTAACTTTACTTTATTAATAATATTTTATTGTAAATTTTTTTTTATTTTGTTCAATTTAACAATGTTATGAGATTTTTAATATCTAAAATGATTTTTTGTATTAGCATTAGCATACACTGCTTTGTTTATATGCATTTTTCGAGTATGTATCCGTTTTATCGTTATTAGGTACAAAAGTATGTTGAAAACTTACATTTTGCAAATTTTTTTAAACTTTGATAAATTATTAATTGTGAATTAATTGAAAATTTGTTTTCTATTAACAATTTTTCAAAAAATAATTAATTATTTTTTAAACAAATTAAAATTATTATTTTTATTAATATTTTTGAATTAGATTTTTCTTTAATATTTGTTTATATAAAAATAACTATTTTGATATTGTTATTGTATTTAATTTGTTTGTTTATATTTTTATGATTGAATAAATATAGTATGTAGGGGAAATAATTTTTATAAATTTTCTTTTTTATTTAAAATATAGACGAGATTTATTTTGAAAACTATTTTTCATGATTGATAAATCGCATAATTGTTTTTATCGATACATAAATGTCATTCTAGTATGTTAAAATAGTAAAACATGATAAGACAACAAAAAAATATATATTGTTTCTTTAACAATAAAATAAATTACAGTTTAGATAAATATCAATCTTTTTTAATTGTATATACAAAACTATTATTTATTTAATTGTAAGCTTAGAAAAAACAGTTATGATTTTATAAATCTTTTAGATGTTTTCTATTTTTTAATTGATAATTACTATGTTTTGTTTTTGTTAACATTTGTTTATATTTATTGTATTATTATCAAAAATATTTGAACAAACATTTTTAATATTTTTTTTATTCAAAAATTTTTTTATCAATATTGAACATGTTTTTCCATTAAAATATTTAGTGATATTTTACATTTTTTAATGAAAATTTTTTATTTTCTCTTGATATGTTTTTACTTTTTTCAGGATTGTTGAAATATTAATGTAATGAATTTATTTCATAAATCATAGTAAAATAATTGTATAAGAAAATTGATAAGCTATATGTTTTAGGGTAATCATTCTAAAGGATCAAATCATGGATCGTTTACTGCAAGATCCAAGAGCTTCATCAAAATTTGGCTGAATTATTCAAAAGTGAACAATGGGAACTTAAAAGAGACTGCGTTAAGTTCCCACAATTAACATTAGTGTTAGTGTTGTTAATCTTACGTATTATTAGGTCGAATTTGGTAAAAAAAAAAGAAAAAAAAAAAGTAGCGATAGTGGATTGATCTAAAACGTTGAAAAATTCAGTGATGATTATTTTCGATTTTTCTGCCGATTGTGCAAAAGAAGACATTTTATTTCCCTTGAACCAATATCAATGGATCATTAAGGGTAAAAATTTTTTTATAAATAATACAAGTGATTTTTCTTGTTCAAACAAAAAATTGACATCCCAAGGAAATCATCTGTAAGATAATTTGTAGGTCGGGCTGTAATGCCAGAACAAATCAAAGTCAAAATGAATGGGGTAATTCCAAGTGTACCAATAACAACCCTCGCAGGTATTGCGAGTCTTTCTGATTTATTATCAGAAATGCCCCTGCCCACGCCATTACAACAAACTCCATTAACCAATAAATCTCTCCTTTTTCATCCTCGAGTCGCAGAAGAAGCACAAATATTATTAAGTGTTCGGGATGACAATTTAGTTCCACAATTGATATCCTCATTATCTCAGACATCATCAGATCATATTGAACTCAAGGATCATTATGCAAATACGGAACAGTCCCTTGATTCAGAACAAAATACACCTGAATTATTAAAAGCAATACTTGAAATAAATCCGCATGTTTTTAAAGGACCACAATATAATTCACCGAGAAATTGGTCACAAGGCACAAACGTATTACACGCAAATCAATCACCAGCAAGTTGTGGACGATTTTCCCCATCATATTCAAATTCCTCTGGATCAAGGCATACGCCACAAAGTAGTCCTGCTCATTCGGCCGCAGCAAAAACGGTCCTACCTCCTCCCGCAACTGGCATATCACATGCTCAGCATCCAAGAATGCCAATTACACCTCAGAATTATGCGGAAATGTCGCAGATGTCTCCGTTTGCTGTGCCTTCTCCTTCGCCACGAGCGAGCGTTATAACGGAACAAACAAGAACATCAACGACGCCACAACACGCGACAGAAGATTCTGCATGTACAATGTCAAATGTTAATCCTCAACCGAATATGTATTCACCGGCTCATATGAATTCACCGAATACACCATTATCGAGTTTAGGTAATTTAACTCATAATATGACACCAAGACAAAATATTCATATGACTTCACCGATGCAAGTCACTTCGCCAATGCAAGTGGCATCACCCATGCAAGTTGCATCTCCAATGCAAATGACATCACCCCTTCAAGCTCCATCGCCAATGCACACTGACGTTGTTCAACATCAAAATATAAATTTACAACAAAATATATTCGATCCCGTAATACAACATTCAATGGACAATCAGAATATGGTTTTTCAAAATACAATGCAGGATAATTCACAATTTGTCCTCGATCCAACAACAAATATTCCCGATATCGCCTTAACATTAGAAAATCTTGATTCAAAGCAAACTGATTTAGAAAATGTGATAGCTGATAATACCGGAAGCAGTAGTATAACACAAATATTTGATAATATTCAACAAAATTGTTCAGAGAAAGATCAAAAAGTGCCAATGAAAGAACCGGTTGTAATGCTAAATAGGTTATCACTCGCCGATCAAGCGCTAATGCAAAAAAGTTTAAGTGCATTTGTTGAAAAAGCACCAACACGCGCTGCAAAAATGGGTTTAATGAATAGTGAAACAGTAAAATCAGATTCTGACAGTGAGGAAGAAATTGGAAGAAATAATAAACATTTCAAAGCAAGAGCCAAGGAACGACAAGAAAAAAGGGAAAAAGAAAGAGCCGAAAGAAAAAAAGAGGATAATAAATCAAGAAGACGAAAGAGAAATCATGATGATGATGTGGATTATGTTGAGGACGATGATGATGAGGATGGTGACAGCGATGATAAAAAAGAAAACAGTTTATCACCATCAAAGCCAAAAATTAGAAAATACGAGAAAAAACTCGTGCCAGTATTGGCAAAATTAAGTGTTGAAGAACTTATGGAAACAAATACTTATCAACGTTTTAATTCAACGATGGATACAATTTTTGAAAATACCGAAGACGCAGCAAATATGACAGATGAAGAAGATGATGGGAATGTACCACAAGAATTACTTATTCAAAAATATCATTTACAGGAATTATGTACAGAAGCTGCGAAATTAAAAGCCCTTGGAGCAATGGAATCAATACCAACTGATAGATTAGTGAGGCTTTTAAATATATTGGAAAAAAATATAAGAGACGGTGCTAAAGTATCGCCACTTGCCGATCCAGACGATGATGTTGCAGCAAGTCGAAGATGGTCAAATTTAGTAATGGAACGTGTACAACGTGCCGTTGACGCATCCCTTGTCTCATTACATATTATGACATCAACAAATATGCCGAAAACAGTTTATCTTGAAGATGTTATTGATCGAATAATAATTTTTATGAAATTTCAATTACAAAATACAATTTATCCCTCATTTGATCCTGTCTATAGAATAGATTCAAAAAGCAAGACTGACACTTTTAATTCAAGTGGACGAAAAAAGAGAGGTCACACAAAAGAAGTAAGAGAAAAGAGTATTCTTCAAATATATAATAAAATGACAGAACTTGTTGGTTTATTGTCGGAATTATTTAATATTCAAGTTCTCACCGATACAAGTGTACTTCATGCCTCAACATTGGGTGTATCGCCATTTTTTGTTGAATCAGTAAGTGATTTACAATTGAGCGCATTAAAATTGGTTACTGTTATTTTTACAAAATATGAAAAACATCGAAGACTATTGTTGGACGATATTTTGGCATCAATAGCAAGACTTCCAAGTAGCAAAAGAAGTTTACGTTCATATAGACTTAATTCCGAGGATCATATTCAAATGTTAACAGCGCTTGTATTACAACTTATTCAATGTGTTGTTGTTCTTCCAGAAAATATTGGTCATGATAAAACGGGAAGAAAAGAAGATGACGTGGAGAAAAAAGAAGAAAAAAAAACAAGTCACGTTGATGCTGATCTTTTGATTATTAATAAATATGATAATGCAACAAGAACGGCGGCAAATTTTCTTCGTGTTTTTCTCAATAAATGTGGTAGTAAAGGTGACGAAGTTGATTATAGACCATTGTTTGAAAATTTCATTCAAGATTTATTAGCAACAGTGAATAAACCCGAATGGCCCGCCGCTGAATTACTTTTAAGTTTATTGGGTAAATTATTGGCTGGTCATTTTTCAAATAAAAGTTCCGACATGTCATTAAGAGTTGCGTCAATTGATTATTTGGGTGTTGTTGCTGCAAGATTGCGAAAAGATGCTGTTAATTCTGCCTGTAAATTATCAACAATTGATCAAATTATCAAGGATATTAAAGCTGAACAACAAAAGGATTCCGATTATGATAGAATTCATGATCAGGATATTAAAGGACTCACTGAGGATGAAGAAAGAACTGTATTTTTACAAAAAGTACTATTAGATTATTTGGCTGTTAATGGAACAAAAGATGCATCATTGGGTTATGCGAGACATTTTTATTTGGTACAATGGTATAGAGATTGTGCTGATGAAAAAACACGCGTTAGTCATCAGCCAAAACACACTAGTCCAAGTAAAAAATCACATAAAAAAAGAACGAAAAAGAAAAATAAACATCACAGTGATGAGGATAGTGATTCAGATATTGAGGAAATTGATCCCGATGAGAATGATAATAATGAGCAGAAAAATTCCGAGACTTATAGAATTATTGAAGATAAAAAGAAATTAATAATATCAAAAGTTCGTCCCTATAGTTCGGGTACGAAACCTGATATTTTGCAAACTTATATTGATTATAATTCAGCGGAATTAATTTCACAATATTTAGCATCGAAACGATCATTTTCACAAAGTTTTGATAGATATTTGATGCAAATATTACAAGTGTTAACAGAATCATCGATTGCTATTAGAACGAAAGCAATGAAATGTTTGACAATGATTGTTGAAGCAGATCCTAGTGTTTTGGGTAGAAATGAAATGCAAATGGGAGTGAGACATTCTTTTCTTGATCATTCAACATCTGTTCGTGAAGCTGCTGTGGATCTTGTGGGAAAATTTATACTCAGTAGACCGGAATTGATTGATAAATATTATGATATGTTGTCAACGAGAATATTAGACACTGGTGTAAGTGTACGAAAAAGGGTTATTAAAATTTTAAAAGATGTTTGTATGGAATGTCCTACATTTCCAAAAATACCGGAAATTTGTGTGAAAATGATAAGAAGAGTAAATGACGAAGAAGGTATTCGTAAACTTGTAATGGAAGTTTTTCAAAATATGTGGTTCACACCAGTTTCAGAACGACCGACTGTTGATTCTGAGGCATTATTGAGAAAAGTAATGAATATTACTGATGTTGTTGCCGCCAGTAAGGATATGGGACTTGAATGGTTTGAACAACTTTTGGTTAGTTTATTCAAGCCAAAGGAAGATAAAGATGATAGTACAAAAATGCAAACGGAACCACCAAAAATTTTATTGACAGCGTGTAAACAAATTGTTGAATGTTTAATTGAAAATATTTTACGTCTTGAAGAAACGCCACTTGATGGTATTGAACATTCAGAAAAGAAAGGATCATCACAACGATTGGTGGCTTGTTTAACGACATTGCATTTATTTGCAAAAATACGACCGCAACTTCTTGTTAATCATGCAATTACACTACAACCATATTTGAGTTTAAAAATGCAAACACAAGGTGATTATCAAATTATAAGTAGTGTGGCGCATACTTTAGAACTTGTTGTACCATTAATTGAACATCCAAGCGAGACATTTTTAGCTCAACTTGAAGAAGATTCAGTGAAATTAATTTTACAACATGATAAATCAGTGGTTGCAAGTTGTCTCTCATGTTTAGGTTCAATTGTCAACAATGTTACAAGAAATTTTAAATTAATTCGAGATTGTTTTAATAAATATTATGGACATTTAACGGAATATAAATTAAGATACGAGAAAGATCCAACGCATCCTATTTTATTGAAATATAGACCATTCTTTCGTCGTGCATTATTTACTGTTGGTTTATTATTACGGCATTTTGATTTTACTGATGCTGAAGTTATACAAGGTTTACCGGAAAATATCAAGGATCAAGTTTTCGATACTTTAAGTTATTTCGTTCATGTTGATAACGAGGATATTAAATTATTCACTCTCAAGTCAATTGGATCTCTTTGTATAAGACATTATGAATTTATGATGCTTGATGAAATTAAGGAATTGTATCATTATTTATTAACATCTGAAGTTGCATCCGATAATATGAGAATTCAAGTTTTAAATAATATTGAAATCTATCTACAGGAGGAAGAAACAAGAATGATTAAGCAGGATCAGGCGTGGGCAAAACTTTCGAAACATGAAAATTTGAAAGAAATGGGTGACGTCTCTTCTGGAATGGCGAGTACAGTTATACAATTATATCTTAAACAAATTCTCGAATCGTTTATACATCAGAATGTGAGTGTGAGGCACGCTTCATTGAAAGTTATTCAATTGATTCTTGCCCAAGGTCTCGTTCATCCTGTTCAAATTGTACCCTATCTTGTCTGTATGAGTACTGATTGTGAAAAAATGGTGAGCCACAGTGCAGATAAACAACTTCAAGATATAGAAAAGAAATATCCTGGTTTTATTCATATGAGAGCACAATTTGGAATCAAACTCAGCTATAGATTGCAAAGTATCCTTCAAAATGACACAACAGTTCGTGGTATGAGAACAAAAGAAGGCGAATATCCTTCGGGATTAAATGGATTTCTTTATACAATTTTGCGAAGCACAAAACAACAAAGAAGAGCAATTGTTCTTTCATTTTTGAAACAATTTGATGAGACAGCTAAAACAAGTCTCTCACAAATGCTCTATCTTGCTGATAATTTAGCCTACTTTTCATATCAAGTACAAGATGAGCCACTTTTCATTATTCATCATATTGACATTATTATATCAATGTCAGGAACAAATGTTGTACAATCATTCAAGGAGAATTTATTACCAAAAGAGGGAAGTTCAAAGATGCAAAATTTTCCCGCTGAACAGACAATAATGATTGGTCCTGATGGACAGCCAAGAGCTGATCAATTACTCTCAACTCTCGAGGATGAGGAGGACGATGAAGAAGATGAGGAAACACTTTTGTCACGTTTACCCCAAGATACACGAATTCTACGCGAATTAATAACAGCGAGTCAAGGTTTTTTGCTTCTTCTCACATTGAGACAACATTTAAAGGATCTCTATGGTTTTTCAGATGCAAAAATTGGTCAATATTCACCGTCAGAAGCTGCCAAGGTCTATGAAAAAGCAGTAACAAGAAAATGTAGCTTACAATTTAAACCAAAAGCAACATTACAAAAATTAAAAGAAGGTGAAAGCAATGAAGAATTAGATGAAGAGGGAAGAAGAAAAATGTTAAAAGCATATTTAGATTTTAAACAATTAATGTTGAAATTTGATCCTGAAGATCCCGATGAAGATGGCGATGGTGAGGGTAAACGTGAGACAATAACACTTCATGGAATGAATGCCGATTCAAATAAATTCACAGGTGGTACTGTGACTATTCATGAGCCAATTGCGACGAATATTAATTCAACGGATCATTCGAATAATGCGATTAATCCAATGCCACCAAGAGTTCCAAAAATCACGATTCACGCCAATCCCGAAATGAAGGAGCACAAAAAGCAACGTCAACATAAAACGGAAAAAGTGAAAAAACATAAGAAGAAAAAACGAAGAAGAATCTCTGACAGCAGTGATAGTGGCGATGATTGCAGTGATCCTGATTTTCAGGTGTGAGTGACGTGTACATATTACCTTAAAAGAAAAAAAAAAAAAAAATACATTTTTCGTCAGTTTATTTAAGGTTTCTAAATAAAAAGTGTCTCTCGTGCAAAACAATCGTCGATACCGGTGGTGGACGCTCATTTGCGCAAAGAATAAAAAAAAGGTCAAACTATACGTCAAGAAAAAATACTGAAATTAGGGTGGAGCGATTAGTGAATTGTTATATTAATTCCACGACTGTCCAATATATTTTTTTTTATTTTCTACTTAATAAGATCTTCATTTTTTTTTTGAAAAAGAATGTTTTCAAAAAAAAAATTTTTTTTGTGAATTTATCTAATTGATATTATTTTCAAGTGAATACATTTTTGAAAAATTGTCTAGTAGGTACAAAATTGTTTTTTTTTTTTATTAAAAAAAAAAAAGATTCTGTTTGTGATGTTGCGTTTTGAAAATAAAAATTTGGTCATTTAGAGAAATATTATTTTTCTTGTGATATAAATTATATTTGGTAACTCTTTGTAAGTTACTGTAAATGGAAAAAAAATCAATTCTAGACTTTAGAAGAAGGAATAACTTTTTATTGTATTTTAAATTTTACTATACAAATATTTCTTATTATTGTTATTGCATTTTTAAACCAATTTCAATTATTGAAATTTTTATTCATGAAATATGTAAATGTTTAATCGAGTCATATATTATATATATATTTTTAAAAATTATTTAATGTGCAAAATAATTTAAATTGTTCTTTTTTTTGGGCTCCATCCTAATTAATCAGTTGAAAAAAATGATCGATGATCTAGGAATTAATTACCCTGATTGTTCAAAAAAAAAAAGAAAAAAATGATTATAAAAAAATTGTTAAGTGCAGGTTGATCTTGCTCTTCAGAATCTTTTGAAGCTTTCTCTGGACACTTTAAATAAAGATCGAATAGGAAGTTTAACTTTGTAGTACAATATAGAGTGCTAAATAGTTAACGAAGTTTCACTCGAACAAAATTATTTGTATGTATATAAATAACGTTATTAAGGAAAGTACTATTCTTGCATTGTTTAATTTTTCTTTTTTTTCTTATTTGTTTTTTTTTAATTAAATGTAAGAGAAAAAAAATCATAAGGACCATTGTCTTACAAAAAAAAATTAGAATGATTATTAAAAAAAAAAAAAAACAGGGAACTTTTGTCAAAATGCTTTTTCTTGAAAAAATTCGAATTAAAACACTCTCCTCAATGTGTATATTAAAAAAAAAGGAACAATGTGGTAGAATGAATTAACTATAATATACATTATACGAAAAAAAAACGTTGTAAAATGTGTACATAAAGAAAAAGAACTTCAAGTAAAATATCTTATTTTCTTACAAAATAACGAAGAATACTTAAAATTTTGTTACAATATTAGGTATTTATTCTGAAATTTGTTAGCGCAGTTTATATATTTACGAAACACCATTAATTTTTTAAAGAAGGCAAACTTCTTTTTTTTCTAGGTCTTGAAGTTTTATCGTTTTTGGCCAATTGCATTTTCTTTTTTTTGTGTATTAGAAAAAATTTCTCTGATTTAAGTTCAGAGGAATTTCATGAAAAAGAAAAACAATTTTTTTTTTATCAGTTTAAAAAAAAAACGCTGTGTAGCTAATTTATATAAGAAAAAACGACAAAGTATCCCACTTTGCGGATTAACGAGTATTTATTAAATTTGTAATTAGATTTCGATGATTTATATTGTATACATATTAATATTTAAGTCGAATGAAAAAAAAATCTGAAAATCGAATTTTTATGATTTTATTTAAAAAGAAAAAAAAAAAAAAAAAACTATATATAATAATTAACCAGTGCACGCAATATGAATGTTCAATGATTTGCGATAAAATGTCTCTTGCCGTTGAGAATTAAAAAAATATATATATATGTCTTTGTCTTTTGATCGAAAAATGTTAATTTTTGTCTACTTTTATGGGAGAAAATTTAAAGAAAATCCGTGACAAATTACTGAGGAGAAATTTACATTGATCTTTTTTTTAATTTAATTTCTTCTTAATAATTTTTTTAAAATCATTTTCTTTAAAAATTAAGTGTGAATGAATTGCTTAATACACTGTTAAGAGCTGTGATTTTAGATGACGTTTTTCTTCACAAAAAAAAAAGAAACGTAAATGCGCCGAAAACATTTTTATTATAATTTAAATTATTATAGAGACATTCATGACTTGGCGAACTTGTGAGGTTTGTTTTAACAGTGTGCATATAAGAGTGCGTGGAATTTTTTTTTTATAAAAAATAAAAAGCGGTTAAGATCGTTAATCTGAGCCTCACCGTCCTTTTTAAGCGTGCAATGGTAGAATATAATAGAAAAAAAATGCTTCTTTTCTTACGAGCTTGTTTGAGTTTTCTAAAATGGATTGCTATTATATATATATAATGTTAGGAAATAGAAAACTTTTAATTCCGTCAATTCGCTCGATAATCCGTACAAGTGGCGTTTATTAATTAAAAACTGATAATAATAGAATAATACGCAGTGTGTGAGAAATTGTATTGTACAAATTTTTACGTGTGTAAATATTTATTATTAAAAAATTATTAAAAAAAAAAAAAAAAAAAACAGTAGATAAATCTCAACTGTTTTTTGAAAAAAATAATTTTAAAAAAGAAAATTTGGAAAGTATAATTAGAGAAAAGAAACAAAAAAAAAACATTTTCTTTTTTGCGAAAAAACTGTGTCAAGTTTCAATTTTACACATTTATTGTTTATTGTAATAAAATCCTATAGAAATAATTTTTAATTTCAAAATAATTATATTTCTACTTTATATATAGTTTTTAGAATTATTATATTAAGAGCTCTATTAAAATAAGTATTTCCATGAGGTGTTGAAAAAATATCGTGTCAAGTAAGATCCAATTTTTTGCATCCTACTAGACACAATAAATGACACACTTGTATTATAATATTATTGTATCTCCTAAGTTTTTGTATTTGGTAATATAACGAAAATATCAATTGACGAGGAAAAAAAAAAGGTTAATAGAAATATATATTTGAGTAAAAATGTTTAGTGTTAATCGTTATCCATAACGTTTGTCACAGTGCTACCTAAAAAAAAAAAAAAAAAAAAATTACAACTTTGTAAAACTAAAAAGAGAAGAGAAAAAAAAATGAAAAAGGGTAACTATTGTTCTGGATAAGATATAACGCTCGTTTACTCATAACTTATTATGTACATCGTCTGAAAAAAACGATACGTTCGTAAAGAAAAATAAACATAAGTATATATAATTAAAAAATTTAATTCATTATCTACCTAAAAAATTGTTAATTAATTTTTTAAATTATTTATAATGATTCAACATTATGTTTTCCCGTGGATCTGAAATAAAATAATTTTTTTTATTTATTTTGATTTTACGAAATTAAGGTAATTCAAAAAATCTTACATTTTTGGTAAATCCTTGATGTAAAATAATTCCTGAGTTTGTTTTTTTTTATTATTATTATTTTTACATTTTTCTTTCCAAACTTGGGTATATTTAAGTAGAGTGGAAACACGAATTTCTGTTGATTTCTTTTCATTTTTTAATTCCTGTGAATTATTTTCTCTCATTGAACTTAATATTTTCTTTCGTTTTTCTATGTAACAATTATCTTGATCTCTGTAGGGTATATTTGTAATTAGTGTCATTATTTTTAATTTAATTTATTTATGAAAAAACAAATTTAAAATTTATAATTATAAGTTGGAATTAATTTTAAAAATGTATTTTAATTATATTTATGCTATTACCTAAATGACATAATTAAATTAGGTGATTTTATTATTTTTTCCAATTTACTTTCCTTTGGTAAATCTTTTGAAAAATTTGTTTCTAAACGTTTTTTTTCTTTATATTCAACTACGGCAAGTTTTAAACGTTCAGCTCGGATTTTTCGACGATTTTCTAAAAATTTTTTTGTTTTCATTTCGAATTTTATTTGTTCTTCATGCATTAATCGTTCATTTTCTTTTTCCTCTTTCCATTTTTTAATTAATTCTTTTGATTTTTGATTATCAATTATTGTTAAATTTTTAGTTAATTTATTTGTATTGATTTTATTTTCTTTATTGGAAATATGAAATTCATTTTCCACTTTTTGAATAATTTTAGAATTTTTTTGTTGACGCCAATTTTTTATAGCTGACTTTTGCTGATCTTGTAATTTCAAATAAAATTTATACCACGCTTCATGATTTATAATACATTTAGTTGTTAAATCTGGACATTTTTTTTGAATTGCATACACTAATGATGGAATTGTTTTATGTTTTTTTCTTAATTTAAGAAAAAGTAAATGATCCTCATTAGTCCAATTTTGTGTATGTCCTGTTTTTGCTATTAAACTACTAAAGTTTTCTATTTCTTCGAAATCTTGTAAATTTATAGAATTTTTTTGATTATGATTTTTTATTAATATTAATGTATTATTTGTAAAATTACAATTTTCATAACGGCTCAATGTTGAATTAAATTCGATTAAATTTAAATTCAATGAATTTTCATCTTCTTTTAAAGAATCGATGCAATTATTTTTATGAAATTCTTGAATTTTCTCCCAAAGTTTGTATAATTTTGTTTTATATCCATCAACATCTTAAATGATTTAAAATATTATTTACACGGTTTTGAAAAAATATAAATATATGTAAAATATAAATTATAATTACCTAAATTTCCAAAATTCGAATCGTTGATTACGTTTTTTATATCGTTCCAATTTTCTTTTATGTTATTTACTGAATACTGTAAAGAGTTATGTATTTTTTTTCTAAAAGAAATTTTTGTTCATCAATTTAAGAAAAAAAAAAAAGTAAAATATACCTACTTTTAATAATAAAATAATAAAATATGTTTTTTTTTAAATTTTTTAAATTTATTTTTTAAAAAAATTGTACCTTTCATGTGAAAAATTCAGATAATCATGTTGAAGATCCTTAAGAATTTTAGAATCAATTTTTATATTCTCAAGATGATTAGCTATTGTTTTTTCTATTATATGTTCTTCTTGTTTTAATTTTATTAATGCCTTTAAATGTTCATTTTTTTTAGCAGAACTTAATTTTTTAATATTCGAATTAGAATTTATCATTGTAGTATTGTTTTTTTTTACTTCATTTTTAATATCCATTGTATAAGTAGATGTAGATTTTATTTTCTATAACTTATTTTTAATGTAAAAATATTAAAACTATTTTTATAAAATAAAAGTAAATATAAACTACAGTAGAATTATTTTTCAATTTTGTTGATTTGGTTGCTATATGTGTCAAACGGATTAATTATCTCCATGGTAATAATTATTGATTTTCACCAAATAATTTGAATTCTTTTCGAATTTTTAAGCAAAAAACAATGATTTTTAATTAATTTTTGTTTTTTAATATAAAAAATTGTTAAAATATTAATATCTGATTTTCAACTAAGATATAAAAAAATTTATATTTTTATTTATTATAATTAATTAATTTAAAGTGATATTCAATTAAATTTTTATTTATTGATTTTTTTGCTTCTTGTATATAAATAGTTGGTAGATTATCGAAGAGATGTCAGGCTTTGCATGGAAATTAAATCAATATAATTAAAAACAATTTAATTATTATTTTTTTTAAATTACAATTTTTTTCAATTAAAATTTTTTTTAATTGTATTAGTTTCATATTTTAATACATATAATTGAATAAATATATTTTTAAAAATATTAATTATACAAAATATCAGTTAAACATTTTTTTTTTTTACAAAATATAATAATTTATTTTCCTTTTGGTTTTTTCCAAAAATATATTGTCTGTCAGCATTTTGTTGGTGATGGATTTAAAAACTTTTTCCTGTTTACCGATGGTAAAATTCAAATTTGAAGTGTACAGGAAACCTATAAACAATTTTTTTATAATTAGGTATAATTAATTTAGTCATTAAAAAATAATTTTTAAATATAAAACTTACATTAATTTCTGTTTTTTTTTATTAATTGTTTATTATCAGCGCCTCCATAAATTTTTTGATGATGTCTCGTTGGGAGTCATTTTCCAAACAGGAATCCAACTGAAAATTAATAATTTCTTTGGCAGTAAAATAGTTCAAAAAAAATTTTATAATATAATTTTATACAAAATTTTATATAGTTATTTTTTAATGACTAATTTCTATTTTCAAAAAGTAAATTTAAATTTCAAAATTATTTTTAAAAACTAAAATATTATTTTATAATATTTATAAAAATTGAAAATTTAATTTATAATGATTAACAAAATTAAGTGGAAAATGATGTAATAAATTTTATATCATTTTATAAAACCAGGATAATTGATTAGATTTCTAAGAAAGAGGCAAACGTCCTACATTAAAAAATCTTCTTCATCCTTTGCCTATATTTTAAATAAAAGAAATTAAATGTTGATCTTAATCTAAAAAAGGAAGCTGTTTTTTTAAATCGCGAATTGCCTCGAATTTCTATTTTTTTTTTCCCTATAAAAATCAATATATCTTTGGTCCATAAAAGAATAATCCATCATTATTGAATTGTTTAAAAAATTAAAATGTAATTTTAATTTTTAAACAATTCTTTTGATTTCTACAAAGTAAAAAATAAATAAATAATTATTTTATTCGATATTTATTATTTAATTAAAAGAAAAATTATAAAATTAAGATTTTATTGAAAAAAAAATTATAATTAATTTTCATTGATTATTATTATTTATTTGATAAAAAAAAATTTGTAAATAAAATATGAAACTTTTACATAAAAAAAAAAAAAAATTGATAAGTAAACAAAGCTGTGAGATAAAGCTATAAACAAAGATAATAATTTATGTCACACTTATAAAATCTCAGTGAATAAATAGTAGAATCGTCCTCTATTAACATGATTTAATTATATTTACCAGTAGTAAATTGTCATGAATTTTTTTCTACACTGTGAATTTTTGCTTTTTTTCCGACTGTAAAATTTTTACAAAAAAATATATTAATTATAATTATATATAAAATATTTATTTTATGATTAAAAAAAAAAAGGTTCATCGCGCTTATTGATTCTAAAAGCGTATTGAGATTTGACTTTCAATTATAATGAGATTCTCAAGGATATCCTATTGAATCTTTCATTTTGTGTTTCTTGAATTTGACCATGATCCTTTTTTTTCCTTTCGTATAGAAAAAAAAACGTCCTAGATTATTATAAAAATTTTTTTAAATGATCAATCAAACTCGCGGTTAAAAATTACTAAGTAATTTATCCACAGGTAGTACAATTTTCAATAAAATACAATTTAGTAAATTAGATTTCGTTTTCAAATTTCATAACCAATTTTATTAATTATTTTTTTAATATTTTAATTAATATTTATTAATCGAATTTTTTATCGATTTTTTTTTACTGCTCTATAACTATCGATAAATCAAAATAACTTCTTGAAATTCAAATTGAATTATTTTTTTTTTCAAAAACAGAATTATTCACTGCATGTGAAATTGATAAGAAAAAAAAAAATTTTTTTTTTTTAAAGTATTTATTAACAATTCTTATTTGTAAAGTATATATCGTGCTAAGAATATTATGTGGTGTACGTGCCTTTAAAAATATCTACACTTGTGTGAGTGTGTGTAATAATTCGTAAATATGTTCGAGGACATACACGTAAGAAAAAAAAAAGAAAAAAAAAAAACTAATACAATTGCGTTTCTTTGGGTCTTGTTAAAGCAGCCTCCTCTGAGTCTGAAAGGATCGCTAACTTTAATCAGTAGTCATCCAGCCATTAGATTGTGATTTTATATCCGAATGAGATATTTCATATTTTATCCCATTAATAAAAAAAAAAAATTTTGCAAAAATTACTAAAATTGTGATTTAATTTTTTTTTTTACATTAAAATCTGTGTTTTTTTTGTGTTATATAAAAATTTTAAAAATGAAATTTTTTGTGTGAGTTTACAATGTGAATGTAAGTTTATTTTTATTTTTATTTTATATTTTCATTTTTAATTTTTTTATTTATAAAATAAGGATTTACAAGAAAATTTTTTATACCATCAAATCGAGTTATTAAATAAAGTTCTATTTACAATTGTAATTTCTGAAAAAAAATTACTCTCGTAGATTGCAAAAACAAAAAAAAAAAACTTACAATCACGAAAGATTATTAATTTTGCGCGAATATATTCAGATAAGATAAGAAATAAAAAAAAGTTTCTATGACGTTTGAAGTGTAATAAGAAATGTTTACTATATAGCTAATTGAAATCGATCAAGGTAAACAGATGATATATCTTTCGTTCTCTTTCATTCATAAATGATATTTGTAAATGAAAATTTTTCATTAGGTATAAATTTTCAAAATTGAAATTTAAAAATTAAAATTTTAAAATTAAAATTTTAAAATATTGATTTTTTTTTAGTCGATCTATCGATTTTTTTTAATGGATAAAACTTCAGGTTTCTGAAAAATTTACGTTTTTGTATATATATATATATATATATATATATATATAATGTTTACAAAGGATTTTTTTTTAATCAATAATAATTGAAAAATGGGATGCTCATCGAGTAGTCCAATTGAGAAGATAAAGAATAAAAAAAAATTACGAAATGGTGAAAGTAGAATTGAAAAATTGCACATTCGTTTTGTTGATAGTGGTAAGTTAAATATTTTTTCTATTTTTATTTTCTATAAATATATGGTCACTTTTATTTTTATTATAAAACTTATAGTTATCATATTTTAAGCCAAGAAAATTAATAACAAAGTCGTAAATTTTTATCTTATTATAAATTACAAGTTTTCCGGTTAAACTATATAATTTACGATTCACACTCAATTACATATGAAGAGTCTATATTATGCAAATTTGCTTCTTGCACGTTTATAATATTGAAATTCATTTACACGGAAAAAGAAAATGAAGAAGGCTAAGTAAAATTAAATATAAAAAAATTTTTTTCTCTTTTTTTTAAATATAAGAGTAAAAATTAATTTGTATTTTTTTTTTTTTATTATCAATGCTTATTGTGTTATATGAAAAAATAATTTATCAAAATATTTACTAGAACTATTTATATAATTTTTGATCCCGTGTGGAAAAAGCCACGATCTTGCCCTCAAGAGTTCGGGGCCCCCGGCGGGGGCCCATGAGGGCTGATCCATATGGCGAATCCATGAGGGGCACCGTAGGGGCCCCGCATGGATCGCCCTCATGATCGATTAGCAAAATTTTCTAAGTCCAAAAATCAAATATTTTTTTATCACCAAAAAATTAATGTTTATAATGATTCAGAACCACGAAAAACGCGTTTTTAATAAAAATATATTTACACTTTTTTGAAAATAACACTCACACTTATGGCAAAATAGATGAGGGCCACCGTAGGGGCCCGCATGGATCGCCCTCATGATCGATTAGCAAAATTTTCTAAGTCCAAAAGTCAAATATTTTTTTATCACCAAAAAATTAATGTTTATAATGATTCACAACAATGAAAAACGCGTTTTTAATTAAAATATATTTTCACTTTTTTTGAAAATAACACTCACACTTATGGCGAATCCATGAGGGGCACCGTAGGGGCCCCGCATGGATCGCCCTCATGATCGATTAGCAAAATTTTCTAAGTCCAAAAGTCAAATATTTTTTCATCAACAAAAAATGAATGTTTCCAATGATTCAAAACAACGAAAAACGCGTTTTTAATAAAAATATATTTACACTTTTTTGAAAATTCACCTGAGATGATTGATGATAATAATCATAAAGCATATAATTAATTATATTTTATAAATTGCATTTGATTGGAAAATATAATTTAATATCTTAACTTTAACTAAATGATGTTAAGCACTTTTCTTTGTTAGGTATTTTTGAAGTTTAAATAGCATCAAGAAGTTAGCATTCGTTTTGAAGTAGCGTGCGTAGCGTAGTTGGTAAAGCGTTAGACTCATAGTCCGTAGGTCGTAGGTTCGATTCCCCCCATGCGTTAGATTTATTTATTTCTCAGGTTTGCGTTTAATCATTAATTCTATGTATGAATTAATTGAAAAATGAAAATATCCGTTAATAGTATGCATAAATTAAATATTTTTTAATTTTTTAATTAATTAATTTATTATTACTTTTAATAATATCCGACAGTTAATTAATTAGAACGTTAATTAATAAATTCAATTTGAGTAAGAATTTAATTTAAAATTGAATAATTATTAAATAAATATGTTATTTATTCATAACTTAAGCTTATTTATTATTAATTAACTTTTATTATTAATATTATTGATTAAAAAACATTATGGCAAACTTGAGGGCAAGATGAGGGCAAACGTGAGGGCCCATAAGGGCGCCCGTAGGGGCACCCTCATGGATCGCCCATGCGGGCGCCCTCATCGATGAGCATGTCGTTTCCATGAGGGGCCCCTATGGATCATCCATATGCGGCCCTCATGGCATGAGGGCGATCCATAAGGGCCCCCGCTGGGGGCCCACATCACTTTTCCACACGGGATGTTTTAAATTATTTTATATATATTTTAGTTATTTTAGTGTTTCATTTTTGTTTTAAATGCATTATATTTGATTTTTAATATTATTTATAAAGAAAAGTTAATTGTAGGCTTTTTTCATTTCCAGATTATCATTATTTCCAGATGTATCTGACAATTTCAATGAGGAACTTTACAATAATCTACTTGGTCTGAAAAGGAAAATCAAACGGACTTCAAATGGTTCGTTCAATTATTTTTTCTATATTATAGAAATTATAGAAATTATAGAAATTATTATTTTCTATTATTTTTCTCTAATATTTATATATTTTTTACAATAAAGTTCGTCGCATGATAAAAAAAAAAATTGGAATATAATTTAATTTTTTATTTTTTATTAATTAATTATTTTAATAATTATTTTAATTTAATTTCTATATTTGTTTTCAATAAAATAGAAACTAATTTTTATAATAATATAAATAATAATAATAATAATTATTATTATTATTATTACAAAAAATTTTAAAAATAAATAACGTTACTGTTAATAATAGTATTTTAAAAATGTATTTTGCTTGTTAAAAAAAAAAATTTTACTGCGAGAGTATTTTCTAGTTTTGAAACATCCTCTTTTTTTTAAAGTTACTATGTCCTGTTATAATCTACAACGTTACTAAAATTTCTTATTGCAAAGTAGAGCTATTAAATTGTTCACAGCAATTCAACCGACCTAAATTGAACTGTAGTTTATATGTATTGTGGTCATCATATTGAACATGATTCAAATTAAGGTCATCAATTATTTCCTTGTCAAAAGAAATTTTTATCATATTTCAAATTAATTTTCATTTTATTTATCAATAATTATAAAAAAAAAAAAAAAAAAATTATTCTATACCTTCAGATTAATTCTATAACTATTTATGGAAAAATAAATATTATTAAAAAAAATATAATTATTTTTCAATATATTTATTTATTTATTTATTTTTTAATGATTAATCTTCTAAAGAAGCTGATATTCTTTTCAAATATATAAATATAAAAAATATTTACTATTTAAAATAAAATTTTAAATGATAATGTTTTTATATAATTTTCCTTTTTTTCAAAGAGGCTGATGAAAGTGATACACCAACAGAGATCAATGGCTGGGAGTATAATATTGATGAGGATGACTTGGAATGTCCAGTCGTAAGTGATAAAATTTTGCATTACTTTTTAATTATTATTTTTACGATAAAAATTATACTTTGTTTTTTTTTTATCAAAAAAAGTCAAGTTTTTTGTCAGGTAGAATTTTTTTTTTTATAAATTTTGTATTAGTAAAAAAAATGTATTAAGACAACAAATTAATTTCATCAAAAATTAAAGTAGAAAAAGTAAATTTTATTCAGACAAAATTTTGTAATTTTCTCTAAGTAGAAAAAGTCAGTTTCAGACAGATAAAACTTTTTAATTATAATTATTAGTAAAAAAAGAAAAGACAGTTAAAGTTAGAGAAAACTTTTCTTAAGACTTTTTAATGTTCTCGAAGTAGAAAAAGTCAATTTCAGTCAGACTAAACGAATTAAATTTTTTGTAAACATACAAAAATATCAATGAAAAAAGAAATTTACAGTAAGACTAAATTTTTATAATTTTAACAAAAATTTTTTTTAATTATTATTTTTAAGATAAAAATTACACTTTGTAATTTTTTTTATCAAAAAAAAGTCCGTTTTTTTGTCAGACAGAATTTTTTTTATAAATTTTCTTTTTGTAAAAAAAAATGTAAGACGACAAATTAATTTGATTAAATTTAAGTAGAAAAAGACAAAACTAATCGTACTTTGTAATTTTCTAAGTGGAAAATAATAGTTTCAGTCAGAAAAAATGAATTAAATTCAAGTTATTTTGATCTTTTTTAGAATTTATTTTAGTATTCGTAATTTTTATTTTTTATATAGTAAAAGACAATTTTTGGCAGTGAGAAATAAATAAATAATTTCGTAATTTTTATTAGTAGTAGAAGTCAGTTTCAGTCAGACAGAAGAAATTAATTTCAACAAACAAAACGAGTGAGATAAAATTAAATTTTCAGTAGGTAAAGTAAATTTAATTCAGACCGAAGTTTATTATTAAAATTTCAATTTTCTACCAAGTAGTCAAAGCCAGTTTCAGTCAGACATAGAATAAAGAAAATTTTAATTATATTATATTTATTTTTAATTATATTTATTATAAAACAAATAATTTTTCATTTATAACAATTTTCTATTCTTTTTTAACTTCGTTTAAAAATAAAACTTAAAAAAATTCTAATTATAAAAAGAAAGTTTATTAAAAACTATTATCAATTTAATAGCTCAATTAATCGATACGTAAATACTCTTATTTCTTAGAAATTTTTTTTTCTCAAAACAAAACTAATCTTTTTAATTATTTTCCCAAGGAACTTAACAATAATTTTTTCTTTCAATTTTTTTTCTAATTTTCAATTCAGAAGAAAATTGCAATATTTGTTTTTCATATATCCCTTTTCTAATTGCTTTATTAAAAAAAAAAAGTGAATAATTTTTCTTTTGCTCTTTCTTTGGTAAATAAAAATGAAATCCAAGTCTTTTGTTTTAATAGCCATCATCTTTTTTTTGCGGCTATAACAAAGTTTGTTTCTAAAAAAAAAAATTGCTACAAAGTTATTATTGAATTGATAATATAAAATTCACGTATTTTACTTGGCGTGGGAGAATAACAGATGGAAAAAGATAAAAAAAAAAAAGAAACCACAAAAAAATTATATTTGAAAGGGTAGATTATAAACGGTGAGCGTTTAAAGAGAAAAAATAAAAGTATCGTTTGAGCAAATAAACAAACTTAGATATGCAAATGAAAGTTAATTTTCTTTCTCGATGGACAAGTTCTTTCCAAGTTTTGATAAATTATTAATTACATAATGTCTGTTGGAAAATTATAGGTACCCCTTCTATTTTTTCATCCCTTCCCCTAAAACCAGATTCTATAGACGTTCTATAGACTCTTGTGTGCTGCTCCTGCAAAAATTTTTCTCTATCTTCATCTGTCAAATCAACTTTGTATATTTTATTTAAAAAAACAAAATTCTTCCGTCAAATATGATACAAAATATTTCGATTCTATTCAGCTTGGAAAATTTAAGAAAAAGGTACTGAATTTATATATAAAATTTTTATTAAATTTACAGTGAAAAAATAAAATTTTCCAAATGCCAATTTATTTTATTTTTAAACAAATTTTTTTATATTTATTACACTTTTTTTTAAATAGCACTGAAATTAAAAACTATTTTCTATATTGAAAAATGTGTATATTAAATTGTGCGGAAATTGTTTGATGTTAATTATTTATTATAATGTATTTATTTTAATTATTTATTATAATTATTTTTTCCAATTATTTTTTACAATCCCGTGTGGAAAAAGCCACGATCTTGCCCTCAAGAGTTCGGGGCCCCCGGCGGGGGCCCATGAGGGCTGATCCATATGGCGAATCCATGAGGGGCACCGTAGGGGCCCCGCATGGATCGCCCTCATGATCGATTAGCAAAATTTTCTAAGTCCAAAAATCAAATATTTTTTTATCACCAAAAAATTAATGTTTATAATGATTCACAACAATGAAAAACGCGTTTTTAATTAAAATATATTTTCACTTTTTTTGAAAATAACACTCACACTTATGGCGAATCCATGAGGGGCACCGTAGGGGCCCCGCATGGATCGCCCTCATGATCGATTAGCAAAATTTTCTAAGTCCAAAATTCAAATATTTTTTTATCACCAAAAAATTAATGTTTATAATGATTCAGAACCACGAAAAACGCGTTTTTAATAAAAATATATTTACACTTTTTTGAAAATAACACTCACACTTATGGCAAAATAGATGAGGGCCACCGTAGGGGCCCGCATGGATCGCCCTCATGATCGATTAGCAAAATTTTCTAAGTCCAAAAATCAAATATTTTTTTATCACCAAAAAATTAATGTTTATAATGATTCACAACAATGAAAAACGCGTTTTTAATTAAAATATATTTTCACTTTTTTTGAAAATAACACTCACACTTATGGCGAATCCATGAGGGGCACCGTAGGGGCCCCGCATGGATCGCCCTCATGATCGATTAGCAAAATTTTCTAAGTCCAAAATTCAAATATTTTTTTATCACCAAAAAATTAATGTTTATAATGATTCAGAACCACGAAAAACGCGTTTTTAATAAAAATATATTTACACTTTTTTGAAAATAACACTCACACTTATGGCGAATCCATGAGGGGCACCGTAGGGGCCCCGCATGGATCGCCCTCATGATCGATTAGCAAAATTTTCTAAGTCCAAAAATCAAATATTTTTTTATCAACAAAAAATGAATGTTTCCAATGATTCAAAACAACGAAAAACGCGTTTTTAATAAAAATATATTTACACTTTTTTGAAAATTCGCCTGAGATGATTCATGATAATAATCATAAAGCATATAATTAATTATATTTTATAAATTGCATTTGATTGGAAAATATAATTTAATATCTTAACTTTAACTAAATGATGTTAAGCACTTTTCTTTGTTAGGTATTTTTCAAGTTTAAATAGCATCAAGAAGTTAGCATTCGTTTTGAAGTAGCGTGCGTAGCGTAGTTGGTAAAGCGTTAGACTCATAGTCCGTAGGTCGTAGGTTCGATTCCCCCCATGCGTTAGATTTATTTATTTCTCAGGTTTGCGTTTAATCATTAATTCTATGTATGAATTAATTGAAAAATGAAAATATCGGTTAATAGTATGCATAAATTACATATTTTTTAATTTTTTAATTAATTAATTTATTATTACTTTTAATTATATCCGACAGTTAATTAATTAGAACGTTAATTAATAAATTCAATTTGAGTAAGAATTTAATTTAAAATTGAATAATTATTAAATAAATATGTTATTTATTCATAACTTAAGCTTATTTATTATCAATTAACTTTTATTATTAATATTATTGATTAAAAAACATTATGGCAAACTTGAGGGCAAGATGAGGGCAAACGTGAGGGCCCATAAGGGCGCCCGTAGGGGCACCCTCATGGATCGCCCATGCGGGCGCCCTCATCGATGAGCATGTCGTTTCCATGAGGGGCCCCTATGGATCATCCATATGCGCCCCTCATGGCATGAGGGCGATCCATAAGGGCCCCCGCTGGGGGCCCACATCACTTTTCCACACGGGATTATTTATTTTAATTATTTAATATAATTATTTTTTATAATTATTAATTGTAATTATTTATTATAATTATTTATATTTCAGTAAAAAAAAAAAAATTTCCTGCTGTAAAAATCGAATTTTTTTTTTCGTTATAAAACACATTTGACGTGTGATCGTGTATTATGAGAAACGTATTTTTATTAGATAATAATTAAAGCAAATAAAATGAAACGAAATTAAAAATAGTTTATTATTCAAGTTCATTTTCCAAAGTATTTTTCGAGTTTTTAGTAAAATAATTTTAAAACAAATTTTTTTTTTTTATTTCTATTAAATAGCAATGAAATTAAAAAAACTATTTTCTATAAAAATGTTGTATTAATGAATGAAAATAAAATATGAATCATAAATGTTACAAATCTACGCGACAGTCTGTTGATAAAAGAACAAACGTATTATATTATATCTCAAGATCACGATCTTGATATCCAATTATTGTTGTTTATCAGTAATCATCAGTATCGTTTCGATCACCTTTTTAACAAGAGTAAAACGTGTATTAGAGAAAAATATTAAAAGTGCATATTAAAATAATTTTTACGTGGATTTAAAAAAAAAAATTATATTTTTTTATTTTGCGAAATAAAAAGTGAAATCCGAATTTTAAATATTATTCTACTTTTAGAGTTAAAAAAAAAATTTTTTTCTATTAAAATATTTTAATTATAAATAAATAAAATTTTTGTTAAAATAAAAATATTTAATAATAATATATTTTGATTATGAAAATTTTAGTTAGATATATAATGATTAATAGTTTATTTTTAATAAACTAGACAAAAAAAGAAAATAATTAAATGTGTCATATAAGTAAAAATAGATATTATATTTATTTTGTGTGTGAAAATGTGCGATACAAAAAGATTAACGTATCCTAAGCTATTTATTTCGGGACCCACCGGAAATGATGATGCTTGTGGTCAACAACATTCTTGGATCACAAGTTTTCTTAGAGTTTTCTGCATAAGATTGCATAAAGAATGGTTTGCGAATAATGATAAGATTCTTGTCAAGGAAACTTCTACTCCATTAGTTTTATCAGGGGTACGTGTAAAAATTTCAAATACATAGAAAAATTTTAAATCTCTTATCCTTGTTTACAACGTCATTATAAATGTGTTACTTCCTTACTTTTCAGTAAAACGTAAAAAAAAAAAATTATCTAAAAATCGTATATATGTTAACAGTTAACGTGACATTGCTTTTTTATCAGTTTGAAAATAAACAGTTTTTTTTTTAATATGTATTAAAATGTTTATTTAAGAATTTATCAATATATTATGTATGTTCTATGTAAATAAATCAGAAATCACAATTTTGAAAATATGATTAAATTTTTGATTCAAAATTTTTAAAAAATTTTTCTATTTTTTTTTACAGAAAGGACCTCAGGATGTTAATCCTAATTGGCTGACTATCAATGTACCTGATACTGTCAGGGTATTAGTTTTATGATCATTTTAATTTTTCTTGTATTTAATTTTGTATTTAATTTTGATTTTTAATTTTTAATTCTGTAACTAATAATTTTATACCAATTTTTTAATTAATTAATTAATACTAATTTACTTTTTTTTTACAGGTTTTATTAGTTTTTGGAAAAGATGATCAACAATTAGAAATTCTTGCTTCGGTAGTTGAGAGATTAAATTGGAATGTTTCAATTGCAAAAAATTTAGAAAATGCAGTTCAAATTTTTCAAAATCGATTTTACGATTTAGTGATCGTTGATCATAGAGGATCACGAGGTCAAGAAGCTGATGAAATATGCAGGTTTAAATTATTTTTAAAAAATTTTAATTTAAAGTATATTTAAAAAAAAATGTTTTTATCTGTAAAAAAAATTTTCGTTATAAAAAAAAAAATAAAAAACAATCCAATCTACCTATATAATTAAATTAAATTTAATTATTTATACTTTTTTTTTCATTTCATTGTAAAATAAAATTATAATTTAGTCTAATAGCTATAATTATAATTATTTTTTTAATTCAGAGCTCTCAGAAATACAAATTATCATCCAAGTTCCGTTATTTTGGCATTGGTAAAAAAATCGTGAGTACAAATAAGTAAAATAAATAATTAAAATAAATAAATGAATATTATATATATTAAAAATTATTAATTAATTCTTTACAGGTTTTTAATGCTAGCTGATGAAGAAGAAATTTCTGTTTTACGTTTATTAGACGCAGGATTTAGTAGAGTATGTTTTTTTTATTTTTATATATTTGTACTCTCAACTAAAATATTTAATCATTTTTTCTTTTGTTTCTTCCATAAATGAAAAAAATTATTTGATTTTATTTATTAATTATTTATTATTTCATTTTTATTTTTTTATTTATTATTAATATTATTATTTATAAAATAAAATTTATAATAAAAATTAATATTCCTAATTTCTTTTTTTTTATTAATAATTTGTTATTGAATAAATGAAATTTTAGGCACTTATGGAATGCTCTCATGACAAGATATTAGTTAATGAACTTTTAGGAATTTATGCAAATGAAATTAGGCCAAAAGCTCAACTTGCAGCTGCACACGCTCTTTATTTGGCAGTTGATAGATGTAAAGATATGGTTTTTGTGACAAATGAACAACATAATGTTCAGGTAATTTATATTATGAAAATTTTGAATTTCATTTAATTTTCAATTTATTATTGAATTTAATTTTTTTTTACAGTTTGCAAATAAAGTTAGTGAAAAATTATTGTCCTATAAAATGGAAGAATTATCGGGCAAAAATATAACCGAAGTTATAACATGTGAAAATTTTACACTAATGGATCAACAATTACAAAGGGGCCGTGAATTTGAGGGCAATATGAATTGTCGAAGAAAAACAAATGACACTATTACTGTTAATTGTAGAATTATTCCATACTGTGCATTTGGACGGTAATAATTTTTTTTTTCAATTGCAAAACAATTTTTAATTTTTTTTTAAATAAATGATTTTTATTTTTTTTTTAATTGTAAATTTCAGAAAACCAACACATTATATTTATATTCATGACACAACATATTTATTGGATAGTTTAGGATTAGTTCAACAACCAAGAGGAAGTTTACAATCAATACGAAGAGGTTCTTTTGATGTCAAATCTCTTGGAAGTGACAGTAAAATTTGTTTTATTTCAAAATTAAATTTTTTTTTTTTTACGAATGATAATACACGAGAATAAAAGTTGTAATTTAATAACAATTTTTTAAAAAAATTAAATCTTTATTTTTTAGAAAAATTATTTATTTTTTTATTGTATATTTTGGAAAATAATATTTTTTATAATTAGAAAAATATTTTTTGCAGAAAAATATGAACTTTTTTTTCGATGTATCTATTCGAAGTTGTTTTAGAATAATTAAGGGATTTAAAAAATTTTTTTTTTCACATTCTATATATTAGTACAGAGGCGAGGGAGTTTGGCAAAATTAAATAATTTACCACTTGAAGCACCTATTACAAAAGTCATGACCCTATTAACAAATGCAATGACAGAGACAACGAATCCAGAAGTCGCTGTACAAATTGATAAAGTATGAAAAAAATTTTAATATTTAAAAATTTAATTTTTTTTCATTTAAAATTAAGTAAATAATTTCTTTTTTTTTAAACTAAATAGGCAATTGAGACACTAAAAAATACAGAATTGTATGCACCTGTTATGCGAGAGGATGTAAAAACAGTTCATGATCCTGTGGCATCGGATTTAATTGGAGCTTTAATATCGGTATTTTTTTTTTTTTTAATTAAAATTATTTAATTAATTTAATAATTACATCTATATAATTCCGAGTGATAAATTAATTTTTTAATTCGTTATTTAATAAAAATAAAAAATAATTTTTTAGGCACCTCTGTACAAAGACTCACGAAGATCATCGAATGATTCCACTTGTCGATTATCAACATTTAAACTTTTTAGCCATAGTGCTATTAAAGCACAGGCAAAAACTCTACGAGCTCCGCGTGAAATTGAAAATTTACTCGATGCAAATTTGGATTGGGAATTTGATATTTTTAAATTGGAAGCTTTGTCAGAAATGAGGTTTTGTTAATTCTCAATTTTTCCAATTAATTTAATAATTAAATTAATATTTTAGAAAAAATTTATTTTTTTTATTTTTTATTAAAAAAAAAAAAATGTTCCAATATGTATTTAAATAAGGAATAAATGAAAATTATATATTTTCAGGCCATTGGTTTTTCTTGGATTAAGTATTATGAATGAATTTCATATTCCAGCTGAATTAAATTGTGATGAAAGAACATTACAAAATTGGTTAACAGTAATTGAGGCAAATTATAGATCAGAAAATAGTTATCATAATTCGTGTCATGCTGCTGATGTTTTACAAGCGACTGCAATTTTTTTAAAATCAAATCGATTAAAACTCATGTTCAATTCAATTGATATAACCGCAGCGCTTATCGCTGCAGCTGCTCATGATATTGATCATCCAGGAAGATCAAGGTAATATTATTTTTTTTTGTTTTTAATTTTAGAAATTTAAAAATTATTCAATATTTTCCAAATATTTTTCAATATTAAATTTATTTAATTTATAATATAAAAAAATATATAATTAACCAAATGCATTATTATAAAATATATAATATAAATTTATTTATATAATTTATTTATTTTTATTAATATTTAATATTGTTTAATATTTTTCAATTATTAAATATTATAAATTTAAAATTGTTTATTATTATTTAATGTTTTTCAATAAAAAATATTATCAAATATAAATAATTAAAATTTTTTTTCACAGTCAGTTTCTTTGCAATTCGAATAATAAATTAGCGATTCTCTATAATGATCTCACTGTTCTTGAATCACATCACGCTTCACTTACATTTAAATTGACATTGAGTGATGAAAATGTTAATATTTTTAAGGTAATTTGGGATTTAATTTAAAAAATTATTTTCTAATTGTCTAACAATAATTTTCTTCCAAAAAAATAATTATTATTTTAATTTTCAATTTTTCTTTTTTTCAGAATTTAGAGAGAGAGGAATACAAAATGTTGAGACAAAATGTCATTGATATGATATTAGCAACTGAAATGACTAAACATTTTGAACATTTGGCTAAATTTGTAAATGTTTGCAGTACCAGAGGAGAAATTCAGTCTGAGGTATTTATTTTATTATATTTAAATAATAATAATAGTATTTTCAATTTTTTTTTCTAGTCTTTTACAGATGTTGTCGATATGTCTATTTTGATGCAACCGGAAAATATAACTTTAGTAAAAAGAATAATGATTAAATGTGCTGATGTATCAAATCCAACGAGACCTCTTAAAAATTGCATTGAATGGAGTAGAAGAATAGCAGAAGAATATTTTTGTCAGGTTATTTTAACAATGAGTTTCTAAAAAATTCACAATTAAAAAAAATGTTTAATTATAAATTATATAATAATAGATTAATTAATTTAATTTATTTTAGACTGACGAGGAGAAAAATTTAAAATTGCCAGTTGTTATGCCAATGTTTGACAGACAAACGTGTTCTATTCCTAAATCACAAATAGGATTTGTTGACTATATTATAACAGATATGATTGAAGCATGGAGTGGTAAAAAAAATTCTATTAAATTTTTTTTTCAAATCAAATTATTTAAAAATATTTATTTATTGAAAATATTAAAATATATTTTTTTAAATATTAAAAAAAAATAATATATAAATATAAAATTTTTTAAATATTTTTATTTTAACAGCTTTCATTGATATGCCCATAATGATTCTTTATATGAGGCAAAATTATGAAAAATGGAAAGAATATCACGTACGTTTCTTATTAATTTTTACATTTTTGAATTTAATAGTTCGTTTTTCAAAAATTAATTATTTTTTTTTCAATTTATTTTAATATTTATTAAATTTTGTAGAAAAATTATATAATTTTAAACTTTTTAATAATTATAAAAAAGAAAAATACAAAAATAATAATTATATGAAATATTTATTGTACTTACAGGAGCAAGGAATATCAACATTACAAGATGTGGAATTATTACAACAATCACCAGAATTGCAAATTTTTAAATTGCCTCATAGTTAATAATAATTAAATCCGTCCTTTTTTGTCAAGATTATTTTATTATACATAAAATTACAATTAAATATTACTTTTAAGTTGAATAAAACTTGCATGTGTAAATTTTTATTTTTTATTAAATAATTAAAAAAATGTCATTTCTTTTTTAATTAAACCTAATAATTATCAAAAATTTTTAATTTGATTTTAATTTTAAGAAAAAATTTTTTTTATTATGAAAATTGTAGATACACATTGTTTTGCAATTCTAATTTAATAAATAAAAAAAAGTAATCTAATATTTTTAAATATATCTATACAGGGAGGTTTGGAAATCATTAATTAATTTTTGCATGTGTAAGAGTTTTCTTTATTATTTTTCACTGATTTTTTTTTTTTTTTTGTTACCAATAATTATTTATAATAATATAATAATCGAAGTTAAATTTCAGATATACATATACAATTGATCAAAAAAAAAGGAAGAAGGGAATTTTTCTGTTTTTTTTTTTGCAAATATGGACAACTTTAATATTATTTCCGATTAAATTATTATTACAATTAAAAGAAGTAATGTCAGAATAACGCTAGTCAAAATCACACTTAATAATAAAAGTACAATTTTTTTTTTTTTTTTTGGAATAATCGTGCGTAATAACGTTTAATAATGATTTATATAACGTTAGCGTAAATACCCTATAATACCTTGTAATATATTTTTGTAGTAAACAGTAATATATCTGGTAATAAGTGTAATAAGTGTAGTAAAGTGTACACATTTTTTTTAACCAGTAAATCCCCCCCCCCATCGATCAAAAGTACAAAGATATATTGTTACTAAGTTACAAATATTCAAAAAATTCTAAATTATCTATTTTTTTGACTACCAGTTATACATTCATATCGAAGGAGTATATAAAGTTAAACGTTTTATCCAGTATTAAGGAAACATGTACGTATACATTATATATATATATATATATATAGATTTAAAGGAATTTATATTTTTTTTTATAAGAAGCAAATTGATTTTAAGCGTAGTGTGTACTTTTTTTTCCTGATGTTATAATAGATGTTATAATAGATATTATTAGATATCAGATGTTATCATAAATGTTAACATAAATTTTATCATAAATATTATTGTAAATTTTATCATAGATGTTATCATAAATTTTATCATAAATTTTATCATAGATTTTTATCATAGATGTTTTTCACAGATGTTATCATGTTATCATAAATGTTATCAATATATATCAAAGAGATATAAATAGACAATTATATCTAATTATGCACTATAACACCCAGTACAATAATTTCAAATGATATTAAATTGTTGTCAAAAATTCATAATTGAAATTCATCAAATTTTCTTAATATATTTAATTTTCCTGTATTATTCTAATTTAATAATATTTTATTTTTACTTTCAGGGTGGTGGTTATGAGCGATTTTAAAAAAAAAACAGAACTTACGTATTAGAAGGATAAGTGACTTAAAATTAATATCCCACAGGCACAAATTAAAATCCCTCTTTTTTTTGGTGGTGTTTAGCCATTTTTTCTTTTAATTTTCTTTCCCCTTTTTTAATTTATTACTCAATCTTTTTTTTTGATTTCTTACTTTTAATCACTCTTATATACTAGTTGCAAAAGAAAATTCTTAGAGAATTATAAATTTAAGTGCGGATAATATTTTGTATGTTTTTAAAAATAGTTAAATATGCAAAAAGGAATGGGGAATATCTAAAAAAAAAGTAAAATTTAACTCCCATTGCTATAAGTTTCACCTTTTTTTTTTTTTTTTTTTTTTTTTGAGTTAAAGGGAAAAAAAAGGTAAAACTTTTTTTTTCAGTAGATTAACTTCGACAAGGAGTTGACATCGGCTATTTATTTAGTGACTACTATTTTAAAGGGAGTTAAAAGTTTGAATTCTTTTTCAAAATTTTAAAAATTAAAAAATTTAATTATTCTTAGAGATGATTTTTTTAAGGAAAAATTTCACTCTAAAACTTCAGTAGCCTTTTAACTCCCCAATTATTTTTTTTTTTTTAAGCACGCTGTAAATATTTTAAAAAGTGCATTATCTTTTAAACAAAATTTTTGTTCTCATTCATGTTATAACAGAGATTCATCTAAATTATATTCACTGAGAAAATGATTTATTTAGAAGTAAAAAAAAAAAAAAAAAAATTAATTTCATCATACAGAAAAAATTATAATAAAATATCAAATTGCGTGAATTAGATCAAATATGAATTAAATTATATTTAAAAATTAAATTCAAAGTAAATTTAATTCAAATAATTGAATTAAAAAAAGGAAAAAAAAATTTTTTTTTTAAATTAAAATTAAATTAAATTTGAATTAAATTAAATTCGAAGTAAATTTAATTTAATAATTTTAATTAAATTAAATTTGCAAATTAAATTATATATGTAAATTAAATTCAAAAGTAAATTTAATTCAACAATTTGAATTAAATTATATATTAATTAAAGCCGTAGTAAATTTAATTTAATAATTTTGAATTAAATTAAATTTAAATTAAATTCGAAGTAAATTTAATTCAAAAAAATATTTCAATACGTTCAAAATAATTTATTAAAAAAAAAGAAAAGAAAATATTTCCACAATATAAAATACTGAATTTAAATCAAAATAAAATTTTTTTCTCATTACTTTGAATGATCAACTTTTGCCAATAATGATAATAATGATAATAATATTAATAATAATAATGATAATAATAGTAATAATTATAATAATTATGATTATAATAATTATGATTATGATAATTATGATTATGATAATTATGATTATAATAATTATAATAATAATAAAAATTAAATTTATTGAGATTATAAGTATATTCTAAACACTATATAAAAGCATGCCAATATTGTCAAATGTCAATCAAATATTACACTATTGTCAAATGTTGCATTAGGCAAATAATATAATTTTAAAAGTAATTTTTCACACTCTCTTTTTTTTGCGATTCTTAAGTACATTCGTCATGAGCTCGAAAAATAAAAAAAAAATTCCCTTCCCTCTACTGGGCAATGCAACCGGCAACGTGTTTAATATTTGACGTGTAAAGATATTTTTGGATAAGTAAGAAGGCGTTTTAACGTCCCCGTTAGCCGATGAATCTATTTAAGCTCTCGCATCATGATATTTCCGTCAGAGTTGAGCTTTTAACCGCGTAAAATTGTAAACTCGGAGTGAAATTCAAGTTTTCATTTTGCATTTTCAAATGTATGTATTATATATTTAAAAAAAAAAAACGATGAGTGTGTATTTTTTCTTTTTTTGGATTTTTTTACCTGACGACAACTTTAAATACAAATTCTTACATATCTAACTTACTAATGAGTCTCTCCTTAATTATATTTTTTTTTTTCATCCCCCACGATATGATAATATTTTCCCATCCCTTTTTTTTGATATTTATTATCCATCCCATTATTTTCCCCCCCTTGTACTTTTTCGACATTCCTTATTTATTAATTATATATTATCCTTCATTTTTTTTGATTTCATTTCTTATTTGGTATTATCTTTCCTTGTGTGACGATATTGTAATAGCACGCGGAGTATTACTTACAATAATACAAATTCACTTTTCTCATTTTTTTTTTTTTTTTAATCAAATTCTAATTTTATGCACGCAATTATCAATAGTTTTTAATAATTATATACTTATTTTTATAACGTTTATTAGAAACGTTATTAAGGTAGGTATTGTTATTATTGTAATTTAATTATTGTTTATGTATTTTAATAATTATTATCATTATTGTAAGTGACGACTTTTCCCTATAACAAACTCTCATTCATAATATTTATAATTATTTCTAACATTTAAAGAAGATAAGAGGAAATCGCGATCTAAAATCAGGCACTAATGATGAAACTACAGGGATTTTTGCACAATTTTACTTTTTTTTGGACTTCACACATTTTTTTTCAGAATTCAAAATTTTTTTTCTGGATTTATTTATTCATCTTGATGTTCTTTTTCGTTACCTTACAGTAATTTTGCAAAAAAATTTTAATATGCGTGAAAAAGAATACAAAAATTTTATGTAAAATAATAATTTAAGATAAATTTTTGTTCAATTTTATGTAAATTTACCAATTTTAATATTTTATGATATTAATTTTAATGAAAAATTAATATTAAATTTTCTTTTGTCAAAAAATGTGCAATTCAAAGCAAAAAGAGGAAAAAAAAATTGTAAAATTAAATTTTATGATTTCTAATTGTGCGAATTTTGGGATGCTGGCTAATTTATAGATATTTTTACTATAATACGAAGCAAGAAACGACAATATATTTTTTGTTAATATTGAGAGACAAAGATCAAGATTAAATATATATATATATATATATATTTTATGATTTAGATTCTGAATAGATGAAAGATTTTTTAAATTTTTGGAAGAACTGTTTTTTTTTTTTTTTTTTTTTTTTTATTAAATCTCTGATATTATTAAAAGATTATCTTAAAAATACGAAGCATATAGAAGCAATCGTCTCATCATTATGACTCCCAATAACAGACATTTATAATTCCTTAAATCATTATTTTTTTTCATTGTCATTTAGATCACTACAAACCTTGGACTATATTTTTTTCTTATTTACTAAATAAATCCTCAAAATAATACGCAACTCATCGTTTTTTTTTTTTACAGATGTCAACCGTTCCTTTGATGTATCGCGATTGGTGGGACGATTTAGATCGACCCAATCGATTGTTGGATCAATATTTTGGTAGCGGACTCAATCGAGATGATCTTTTCTCGTCATTTTCAAATTTGGCTTTAATGAGACCGCGCTCAACTTTTGGAAATAGTTCCTATTATCGACCGTGGAGAAACGTGGTTCGTCAAAGTTCAGGCGGTGCAAGCACCATTCAAACCGATAAAGATAAATTCCAGGTATTCATTACGTTTCTTTTTTTTCGATTTTTGATCTTTTTTTCGATTTCCGATCCTATCGATCTATTTATCGATATTAAAACAGCGGGGACAAAAACTAACTTACATTTAAAAAATGCCCATTTTTTCGATTATTATTCAGGAAATTGTTTTTTTTTTTTTAAATTATTCTCTTGACGATTGTCAAAACCATTATTGATGGTCCACTCGCGTCTTTTTCAAAACATCAAAAAAAAATTTCTATTTTAATTTTTTGAAAAAGACGAAGGCTGACACAATCATTTTTTCTTTTTCACTCAAGAAACCCCTTTTTTTTTGGCAGTTTTTATTTGCCCTCTACCAAAACAAATCTCAAAAAAAAAAATTTTTGCAATTCTTACCAAATTATTTGGTCATGGATAATAAAATCACAGGCTAGATTCTCTGTGAACTACTTCGAAAATTTTCAAGACAACAAACTATTCCATGATTTTCTTTTCTAAAAAAAAAAATCATGGAATAGTTCGTTGTCTGTTTTTTTTCTAAACTATTTAAAACTTTTTTCGAAATAGATAACAGCCAAATGAAAATCGAACAGCCGTAAACTAACTTATTTGGTCAGGAACTTTGTTTTTTTTTTAAAAAGAAAAAAAAGGAAATAAAAATTTTTAAGATAAAAAAAACTTTTTTAATCGAAAAAAAACTAAATTTAGAAAGAATAAATCTAATTCAAATTGAAAAAATTCAAAGGGTAACTATAAAAAAAAAAATAAATAAAAGTCTAATTGAACTTTTAAAAAAAAATACTTAGGACTAGATGTTAGCAAAAAACGCTATTTCTAAACCTTATTAATAAATTACCTTGTTTAGAAAATGTTCTTTAAAACTGGATAAAACGATTTTTAAAACACACACTGAAACGCTCTCTAACAAAATATTCTTTAAAAAAATCACTCTTTTTTTGTAACTCAGTAACTCGATTTTACATATTAATATCTGATTTCTAACAAACTGCAATTTTTATCATACGCAAAAAATCTTGTATAAAATTGTGCTTTTTTTTTTTGTAGGCGAAATTCTATCAGAAAAGAAAATTTTTTAATCTCCTATACACGGGGTCGTATTCGTAAAACGTAATAAAAGTAAAAAAAAAAAAAATAAAAAAAAAAATTAATTTAAATTCGGATTTCTAGAATTTTTTTTTCTTTTTTGCAAAATTACAAAACCAAAAAAAAACTACGCGGCTCGTGATTTAGAAAGCCACGGACAAACCTCCTCACAAACATGACTATTATCTAATTTTTTTTCATTAAATTTTTTTTTTTTCTCAATTTCCCTGTATTATTTGATAAAGTAACGCATTTTTTTTCGGCGACCTTTTACAAATTTCTATTTTCATCTATTTATTTAAAAAAAAATGTTATAGAAAATAAATAAATGAAAAAAATTATTGGGTAAACTCTAGATTGTATCTACAAATCACAGCACGATCTGTTTTTGTTGATTTCCTTTTTGTAAATATGTTATACAGTAAAGGATTATTATTTTGTTTTTTTCTACAAAATTTCAATTCAGTCTTTTTTTATATATATATATATTAAAAAGGGTTCAAAACTGTTAGGTCGACATATTTTTTTTTTCTTGAACCAAATGGAAGGTCTAAAAGCACGCGCCCCTAATAAAAGGGGCGCGTTAAAGTACTTCTATCACTTGGTTGTGGCCAATTTAAAAAAATAAATACTTTTATACAATCTCAACAATAGAATCATATACATATACAATGGTTTATAAATAGATTTTCTTTATATTTATATATACAAAAAATGTCGCTCAATAAAGAAGTTCCAATTATGGATTAATCATTTTTTTTTTTTTTTTTTTGAAAAGTTCTATTTCAGAACAAATTCGAAAAAATTCAAATAAAAAAAAATTGATCACCTACTTGCATGCATCACCGCTTTTTACGAGAAAATATCACACAAGTAGGTATTCTTTCCCACTACATCTTTTCGAATTTTAATTTAAGGAACAGAAAAAAAAAATTTATTTCTTTAATTACATTTAAAAATTGATCAACAGAATTCAATTATCATTTTCAAATTTTTTCGAAAAACACAAAAATTGGTACTTCTCTATTGGCGTAGGATAATTATATTTAAATTAATCGTAAAAAAAATAATTAAATTGTAGAAAAGTAGTTGCGCTTTTTAAATTAATAATAATAATAATAATAATAATTTTATAACAATAGAGATGTTAAAAGATATACCGTTCAAATCCTTGATTTTCTTTTTTTTTCCCCCAGGTGATTTTGGATGTTCAGCAATTTTCACCGGAGGAAATCACGGTGAAGACACGGGATAATTTTGTTATTGTTGAAGCCAAACACGAGGAGAAGCAAGATGAACATGGATTTGTTGCTAGAAGTTTTATCCGAAGATATGTTCTGCCAACAACTCACGATGTGATGCAAGTCACCTCATACCTTTCCTCGGACGGTGTTTTAACAATAACGGCACCCCAAAAGGTAGATGGAATTTTAATTTTTTTCACCCATTTTTTTTTTCTTTTTTTTTTTTTGAAAAAAAAGGGAGTCGATTCGTGATAAATCACGAGTCTGCTGTTTTTTTTCCAATCTGCTTTAGTCTTGTTCTTTTTTCTTTGATCTTTTGCTTTTAAAGTTGATAAATGACGATCATACTTTACACCTCTAAACACCAAAGTGAAAAAAAAATTCTAATTACATGATTTTGATTTATGTATTAAATAATATTACTAATAAATAATATATTCATTTATTTATTTTATAATAATAATATTTTTTTTTTAATATTATTATTATAAATATTATTTTTATAAATAATATAATAATATAATTAATAATATTATCAATAATATTATAAATAAAAAATATAATATAAATATATAAATATTAATGTATTGTGCAGATAATTTTTTTTTTTTTTCCAAATTTAATAATTTTTTAATCAAATTTTCCTTCTTACCTATTGTTGTTGGCCTTTTTCAATTCATTTAAGAAAAGAGTTGCTGCAAATCCAGGTGAGATTCATATGGATTGTCCAAGACCCAGAGGGTGCTCTGTAAAATGAAAATTAAAAAAAATATTAAATATCAAATTAATTAATTATTAAAATTTTAATGTATAAATTCAATGTTAATTATTATAGAACCCGATTTATTAATTTAGCAATTATCAAATTATTAAAACAAAAAAATTTCTTTTCAGACGGTAACACCCAGTGGTGCCGAAAGGCTCATCGATATCGTGAAAACTGGAACACCGGCAGAGAAAAAAGAAGAAAAATCAGAATCAAAGGAAACGAAAATCACAACTGAATTTACATAAATTTGAAAAAGAAATAAAAAAAAAAAAATTTATGTAACAATTTATATAAACCTTTTTTTTTGTATACGTTTTTACACGGTATTAAATGTTATTAAAAATTAGATAATTTTTATGGATAAAAAATAAAATTTGCAATCTTTTTTTTGGTATTAAATTTTAATACGATTAGAATTAAAATTTTCGATTTACAGCAAAAAAAAAAAAATATTTATCTCAGAAATAAATAAATGTTTCAAATTTATTAATTATTAATTCACTATTTATAAATTAATTAATATTTATTTATAAATTAATTGATAATTAATTAATTTTAAATTAATTTTAAATTAATTGATAATTAATTAATTGTAAATTAATTTATAAATATAAATAGTTATTCAGCCTGAGAAAAATATACTTTTATTTAAAAACAAAAAAATAATTTTATTTACATTTTGGAGTAAAAAATGTTTGGAAACTATACGAATTTCAAAGATAGTGAAACATTTTTCCGAATTGACAAAATTAAAATATTTCAAAGTACAAAAGAATTAAAAAATTTTTCGAATTCGAAACGATAAATTTTTTATAAACCAAAAAAATGTTTAATTTTTTTTTTTTTTAACGCTGTACTGCGCACAAATTCAATCACTTAATAAATTGAAAATTTACACAAGACTTTATTTAATTAATATAAACAGTACCTGCGAAACAAAGATTTATCATAACTTAAATAATTTCAGAATTAAATTAAATTTACAAATATAAAAATTGTGCTACCGCTTCGTCAAAAAAAAGAAAAAAAATAATATTTCTAATATTCAGACTACGGATTTTGAAAAAATTAATTTTCTTAATTTTTTTCAACATTTTTATAAACAAAATTAGTATTGATTCTTGATTAGGGAAACACGATTTAAAGTTCAAGGACAAATTAAAGAACATAGACCGTTATATCTAATAATTGTGAAAAAAAAGCAGTATGTACATACGGTTGCACTCCGCACTTGACAGCCTCGCTGTCTACATTTTGTTGTTGTTTAACAGCGTTCAAATTGACACATATGTGTGGGAGGATTTAAAAAAACAAACTTTTTAAAGGTGTTCTCACTTTGAGATCTGAATGTGACGAAGTTGTTTATACGAATACGCCGGGCGCCGGTGAGCCGCACGCTTATATAGCCTTCTACATCGCAGTTTCCAGAACATTCGAGATCGCTTCATTCTCTTACTGCGCATAATTTTCTAGAAACCAATTTCTCATTTTTTTCCCTAATAAAATTGATGAAAAATCATTCATTTATTTTAAATAAATATTATTATTTTTCAGTTTTTTTGCAATAAATTAAAAAAATGTCTTTTATTTTCCATTTTAGGTCTTTTGCAAAAAAAGAAAAAAAGAAACAAGGAAACTTGGCAGTATTGATCGGTTCAAAGAGAGCGGACGGGATTTCTGGCACGTTCGCCAGGTCCCCCATCTCCCATATACCCATACCACAAGAGGAGTGAATCGACTTCCCCACCCGGCAGCCATTGTTGATGTGCTGGAAATTAACGTCCCAGGGACATGAGAAAGAGAGATGAAACTATAAAAATTAAATGTTAGATAGAAAAGGAGAGGACAATAACAGAATATATATTTTGCGCAGTTCAAACTTCCTTTTGGAAGGATTTTGGGGGGATTTCGTTATTCAAGGTCAAACTTGGAGAACTGCGTATTATTGCGTTTTAGGGCTTGTACAATTTATATATATTCGTTTATATAAAAAAAAGACAGTTAAATTTAGAATTGTATAATTTGATGCAGTCATTGAATGCATCTGACCTAACATTAAGTTTAACGGCCTTTTTGTAAACGATAAGAAGATGTATGCAATTTGCATTTATCCCTTATGAAAATTTCTTATAAGAAAATAATGTTAAAGTTGAAATATTTTCAGTATAATGTTTTTTGCATAATATTTTCGCGATTATAGGTAATTTATTATAAGAAATTCATTATAAAATTTTTTTTTCCCAAATAATTATAAAAATATAATTATTAGAGACTTTGTAATGAAATCATTACAATTTTATAATTATGAAAATGTAATTATAGAAAATAAAATTTTTCATGTGCAAAAATTAAAATATTATAAAATTAAAATTATAAAAATTTAATTACAGAAATTAATTAATTTTGTATTTTACTGATAACTATATATAGTTATCAGTAAAATACAAAAAATTAAAAAAAAAAATTAAAACTATATATAGTTATCAGTAAAATACAAAAAATTAATTAATTTCTGTAATTAAATTTTTATAATTTTAATTTTATAATATTTTAATTTTTCGCACGTGAAAAATTTTATTTTCTATAATTACATTTTTATAATTATAAAATTGTAATGATTTCATTACAGAGTCTCTAATAATTATATTTTTATAATTATTTGGGAAAAAAAATTTTATAATGAACTTCTTATAATAAATTACCTATAATCGCGAAAATATTATACAAAAAAAATTATACTGAAAACATTTCATAACATTATTTTCTTATAAGGAATTTTCATAAGGGATATTTGCAAAAAAAAAATTGTTTGCATATTTTTTTGTTATAATTTATATATAATTTAATGTTAAAGTTATTTGTAAAAATATTTTTAAGATGTAATTATATTTCAAAAGCGTAGGAAAAGTTTTACATTTCTTTTTTTAAAGCGATAGTTTCATATAAGAGATGCGTGGCTTAACTCTTTAATTCGGAATTTTGAGCAAAAAATAAATATTAATTATAATCCAAAAAATTTTTTAGATGAAAATTAAATATTTATAGAAAAAAAAACTAAAAAAAATTTATTTAATTAAAAATAAATATTTATTTTAATCAAATATATTTTTTTTGAACTTAAATTAAATAAATTATATTATTTGCTTCAAATATTTGTGTATTTAAAATAAATACAATTTAATTGACTCAAATAATAATTATTTAAAAATATTTATTTGATAATAGTCAAGTTAATCGATTATTTCAATCAAATTTAAATTATTAATATTAATTAATTTTTTAATATGCCAACAAATCTTGTTTGTTGTTGCAAGAATTTTTTTTTTCGTCCAAACAATTTGAAATTATTTAAGTAAAATGTAATGCGTTTATAATAAATGTTTATGTTTATAATTTAATAACATATATATATATATATATTTTACTGTAACAATTGTAATTATATAAAAAAAAAATCATTAAATTTTTCTCCGCTTTACAATTACGCATTATTACGTAATAACATTCTAACAAAAATTAATTGGAAAAAAAAATTTTTTTCATTAAAAAAATTAAAAAAAATAAGTATATAATATTTTAATCATATAAAATATTATAATTGTTGATAAAGTTTTTTTTGTTAATAATAATTATATATAAAATACTGTAAAGTGAAAATAATAAATGTTTATATTATAATAAAAGTTTTTCTTTGAAGTTTTATTTATTAAAAACGTTCCTGTTTTTCAGTTGAATTTTGTACTAAACGATATAGAAAATTCTAGAAGGTTGCACTGGCAGCTGAAACAGGGCAGATGGTAGGTAACATATACGTGTCTATATATGCGTGTATAATCACGTATACATATATAAATTTGCGCATTTAGCATTTTCTATATAAAAAAAAAAATTACTGATTTTTTTTTTTATGAATGAAACTTATTTTTTCTAAAATAAATTCAAGTCAATTTTTGTGAAAATATAGAAATAATTATTTTTTATTTTGATTTAGAAACAAAAAGTTATTAATAAAAATTTTCACTAAGTTGAATATTATAAATAACTTGATTATTCAACAAACGTGAGCGACCTAATTAAATTTTATCGAATTTTAAAAGTAAACCATTAAAATAAATTTATAAATAAATATATAAGAAATTAAATACATAATAAAAATAAATTATAAGAAACTAAAAAACTAATATAAAATACAAAAATATTAAAACAAATTAACATATAATTCGAATGTCTAGTGAAAAACAAATATGAAATCTCTGCATTTATAAGCGTCTTCTACATTGCGTAATATTCAGAAATTCACATATATATATAAGACAAATGAAAACGTTTTTGTGAAGCAATTTTTTTAAAAAAAAGCTAAATAAATAAATTTAGTCAAATATTTACGTAAATTATTATTTACTTTATTATATTATAAATGTACATTTAATAAATTATGTTATAATACATAAATATATAATTTTATATTCATTATAAAGTATATATTATTATTTAAATATATTATATTTACATAAATGAAAAATTTTTTTAATTTAAAAATTTTTGAAACAAATTTTTAAAGTATTTCATCGTGAATTTTTCTATCGATACTCTCTGAAGCGAAAGAATCCTTTTTACATTCTTTCGTTGGAACACCAAATAAAATTTTATATGTATATGTTCCTAGAAGTGCTCCAAAAATTGGCCCAACCCAATACACCTGTTATATAAAAATTATATATATATATATATATATATTAAAAAATATATTTTCAATAATTAAAACAAAAATCATTTCTTTTTTTTCTTTAATTTACCCAATGATTTTCCCATGCATTTTGAAATATAGCTGGGGCAAAAGTTCTCGCAGGATTCATACTGCAACCAGTGTAGGGTGACTGTAATTAAAAAAATTTTAATGGAATATAAAAATAAAATTTTTAAAAACGTTAAATTATTATTTTTTAATTTCAATTTTCGAATTAAATAAATGATTTTTTGAAAAAAAAAAAAAAAAATGCTTACAGCCGCAAAAGAAAGAGCAGCTACTGAAAAACCAAATCTTAATGCTGTTGAATCAGTCGTATGGGCACATCTTGGGTCCCATGTTGCGGATGCACCTAATAAAATGCATCCAGTACAAAGTGTTTCAATTAAAATTGCTTGTGAAATAGAAATTTCTGGATGTACAAGCGTCACACAAAATGGATTATTTTTTCCTAGGCCATCGTCTAATAGCATGTACGGAGTAACAACCTATATTTTAATAATTATTAAATAAATACTAATACTTTTAATCAAAATTTATATATAATAAACGTCAAAAATAAAAAAAAAATTGTAGATGTGATAAATGTCATATCGATAAAATTATTACCTCACGAATGTGTTTATTATCTGATTTTTGAACAAGAAGAATTGCGTCATTTTAAATCAGAATTAAATGCATTTAATTTGCAGTAATTACGATAAAAGTTTATCCGATATATAAATTATAAATACATAAATACTCTCTAAATCTGAAATAGTCATTTTTTACTAATTCAATTGCACCGATTCGTTCATTAAATAAATTAGTAACTGTTTTTACTGATTCTTAGTTGAAAATTACTAAATTTCAGTAGAAAACTATTAATTTTTAGTAGAAAATTACTAATTTTAGTAGAAAAATACTAATTTTTAGTAAAAAACTACTATTTGTTAGTAGAAAAATACTAATTTTTAGTAGAAAACTACTATTTGATAGTAGACAATTACTAATTTATAGTAGAAAATTACTAATCTTTAGTATACAACTACTAATTTTTAGTAGAAAATTACTAATTTTAGTAGGAAAATACAAATTTTAGTAGAAAACTACTAATTGTAGGTAGAAAATTACTAATTTTTTAGCACGAAACTACTATTTGTTAGTAAACAATTACTAATTTATAGTAGAAAATTACTAAGCTTTAGTATAAAACTACTAATTTTTAGTAGAAAATTACTAATTTTAGTAGGAAAATACAAATTTTAGTTTGAAAATACAAATTTTAGTAGAAAAATACAAATTTTAGTAGAAAACTATTAATTGAGTCGCCGGAAAGTATAACCACACATAAAATTCTGACTCCCATTGAATTAACATGGCCGTCAGAATTTTATGTGTGGTTTTACTTTCCGGCGACTCAATTGTAGGTATAAAATTACAAATTTTTTGCACGAAACTACTAATTGTTACTAAAGAGTTATTAATTTATTGTAGAAAATTACTAAGCTTTAGTATAAAACTACTACACTCAGAGAAATGGTATATTTGTCTCCGAGCCTACTATCTCATTTATTTGTTGCAAGTATATTTTATTTCATTGAAATAAAAAATTTATTTGAGCCAAAGAAAAATTTATTTGTGACAAATAAAACTTTTATTTACGCCAAATAAATAAGTTAGTAGGCTCTGAGACAAATATACGTTTATTTAACTCAAATATGTTTTATTTGGTTCAAATAAATCATTTCTCTGGGTGTAATTTTTAGTAGAAAATTACTAATTTTTATAGAAAAATACTAAGTTTTAGTAGAAAACTACTAATTGTTGGTAGAAAATTACTCATTTTTAGCACGAAACTACTAATTGTTAGTAGACAATTACTAATTTATAGTAGAAAATAACTAAGCTGTAGTATAAAACTACTAATTTTTAGTAGAAAATTACTAATTTTAGTAGAAAAATACTAATTTTAGGAGAAAACTACAAATTGTTGGTAGAAAACTACTAATTGTTAGTAGACAATTACTAATTTATAGTAGAAAATTACTAAGCTTTAGTATAAGACTACTAATTTTTTTTAGTAGAGAACTACTAATTTTTAGTAGATAATTACTAATATTAAGGCTAATTAGTAAACATTAATAAATTCATTAGTAGTTTTCTACTAGCAATTAGTCATTTTGGACTAAAAATTAAGACAAAATGTTATTAATAAATTTAATTAACAAATAAGCGCAATTAAATTTAGTAAAAAGTGACTAATTCAAACTTAGAGAGATTTAGTTGTATATATATTTTTTTATTTTATAAATAAATATTAATTACCATTAACATTCCATAACCAATTATTGCTCCAATAAATTGTGCTATAACATATAATATTCCAGTGGGAATGGATTTAATTCCCAAAATAACAGCTCCTATTGTAACAGCCGGATTTAAATGAGCTCCACTTATGTGACCGAGCATCTGGGGGATTTAATTATATAATCAATCAGTAATTATCATGGTAATAATATAAAATTTTATTTTTATAATTATTTTTTTTTTAAATTTTTTATTTATTTATTTATTTATATTAATAATTTATTTAATAATAAATGAACATACCATGATAATGAGATTCACAGTAAGACCAAAAGTAAGGGCACTTTGCATTGGTGGTGGTGGTGATGAACCTAATGTTCCAATAGAACCCATACATCCTATAAATATTAAAATTGCCGTTCCTAAAATTTCGGCAGAACACATTGTTAATGTTCCTTGATTTAGATTCCATAGTGAGACTGTAAGTTTAATAAATTTTTTTTATTGCAAAATTTGACAAAAACAAGGCGAGAAAATTTTTTTTTTATTAAAGAAAAATTATTTTTTTTTTAATTTTACCACTTCTTATGCTGGACATGGTAAATGATGATTATAATCTATTATAATAATTGATTTTTTTTTTGACTTAATTAACCTATTAATAATTTAATTACTAGATACTTTGTTACGTTCTAAAGAAAATAGACTGATTCTCTTTATAAAACCTCTTTTACGTGAAAATCTTCCACTTAGTTTTAATTTTTAAAAAAATCTACTTATCATTAATATAAAGTGCTACCTTACATTATATATATATTATTAAATTACAATTTACTTTGAATTTTTATATTTTACCTTCTTGACATTATCTTCTTTTAATCTGATATTGAACAGATTAAGTAAATATGAGAAATTCACAATTTATTATATTTTCTATATTTTTATATGTTTTAACAAAAAAAAAATAAAATAAAATTATTCGCTTAATATATATCTATTAAGGGATATAATCAAATAAATTATTTTTTTAGGATGATATTAAAATTCATGTATCAATAATAATTTTCGACTTGCACGCAAACATATTTAATATTTCTTTTTTCATATAAAAAAAATAATAATAATAAATAAATGTAACTCTGAATAAAAAATGAAAAAAAGTAGAAAATTTATGATTAAAATATTTATTAATAAATTTATTAATATTTATTTATAAATTTATTAATTAATAAATTTATTAATATTTATTTATAATAAAATATTAAAAAATATATACAAACAAAAAGTAAAATTATGATAATTCACACCTTAATATTTTTTTCATCTCACTGGTAATTTATAATATGCAACTATTGTGTTCTAGAACTTTCTTCAATATTTATTGCTTTCTTATCAAATTTATTAGAAATATGAAATCAATTTATGATAATACACACATTTTCTCACAATTTTATTTTTCAAAAAAATATTCCACTTTTTAAATAAATAAAAAATTTTTTTATATATATATATATTTCGACAGTTCAACTGCGTTTTCTCACCAAAAGTAAAAATAATTAAACAAATTTTAAAAATTTTGAATAATTTTTAATTTTAATTTTTGCATGATTAACCCGCGTGTTTATTTAACTGAAGAAAATAAAAATCACTCGATCAATTTATATATATATTTAACATGAAAAAAAGGTTAATGAACTTTTCAAAAAAAAAAAAAAAAAAAAAAAAAAATATCAATTAATAAGATAATATGTATAATAAAAAAGATATCTGCGAATTGGAATTCATAAATGATAACAAATATTGGAGAGTTTATAATTGGTGGAAAAAAATATTTTATAATTAAAATATTTATTAAAAATAAAAAAAAAAATTAAAAATAAAAATTTTAGAAACAAAATTTTACATGTAAAATATTTTTTTTATTTTCATATTGAACTTTGGAACAATATTAAAGTTAATAGTTGTCACAAAATGATTCAAAATAATTTACTTATGAATGTCAAATTGTTCCTATAAAAATTCAAATGATGATTAAATAATGATCTTTCTTTCTTCCTGGAAACAATTTTCCTACAACTCTTTTATGGATATAATTTAACTAAATGACAAGGGTAATTTTTGTTCCCTAATATAAACTTTTGCGCGCGCATGACTTATACAAAAAAAAAAAAAAATAGGAATGATCAAGTCAGTTATAAACTAAACATCAATTCATCATGGTCAAGAGAAACAAAGAATTTATAAATTCAAATTATTTTCACGATTATAATTATGTGGTTAAAGTTGCTCAAACATTACTCACACCACTTGGAATTTGGCCACGTTATGGAAATGATAATTTTTTTTCAAAATTACAAGTAATTTTACATATTATCATAGTTTTCAGTTTTATGCTATTTTTACTAATACCACATTTGTATTATACATTTTTTGACGCTGAGGATTTAAAGAAATTAATGAAAATAATAGCGGCACAAATATTTAGTACACTTGGTGTTATTAAATTTTGGACAATGATTATTAATAAAAAAAAAATTAAAAATTGCCTCGAGGATATTGAAAAGAATTTTCAAAATGTTAAAACAATTAATGATCGTGATATAATGTTAAAAAATGCAAAAATTGGTCGTTTTTTTACAACTGCTTATTTGGGTTTATCTTATGGTGGTGCATTACCATATCATATTGTAATGCCATTGGTGGCTGAAAGAATTATTAATAATGATAATTCAACGCAAATTCCATTACCCTATTTAACTGATTATATATTTTTTAAAGTTGAAACATCACCATTTTATGAATTTATTTTTATTTTACAAATTTTCATTAGTAGTCTCATTTTGTCGACAAATTGTGGTGTTTACAGTATGTTGGCAGCAATTATAATGCATGCTGTTTGTCTCTTTGAAATTGTTTGCAAGAGACTTGAAAATTTATCAAAAAATGCAAATAATATTCAAGAATTAATTACTGAATTGAGAATTATTATTCAAATGCATAATCGTGCAATTAAGTGAGTTTCATTTTTTAAACATTTTTTAATATTAATTTCATTTTTTTTCAATTTTATTATTTTATATTTGTTTTATTATTTTAATATTTTATTTAATTTTTATTTTTATTTTCTGTGCATTTTCAGAATTAATTATTTGTGCTAAAAATAAGAAATTTTTGAATTAGTTAAAAATTTAATCAAATTCAATAAATAATTTCAGATATGCTGAAAGAATTGAACGTTCATTAAATGTTGTATTTCTCTGTGAAGTTGTTGGTTGTACAATTATTATTTGTTTCTTGGAATATGGAGTGTTGCAGGTAATATTTTTATTAACAATAATAATATTAATATTTTTATAAAAATAAAATTTTTATATTAGTAATAAAAAATTAATAAAAAAATAGTAATAAAATAATTAATAAAAAAATTAGTAATTTTTATAAAATTATTACCACTATTAATAATTATTACTATTTTTTTTTTAAATAATTAAAAACTATTTGTCCAAATGTAATGTCAATTTTTTTTTTTTTTTTTTAATTAAACATTAGGATTGGGAGGAAAATGATCTACTTGGAACAATGACGTATTTCATTTTAATGACATCAATTTTCGTCAATGTTTATATAATTTGTTTTATAGGAGAAAAACTCAAAGAACAGGTAATTTTTTAAAAATTTTTTTTGAAAAAATAAAAAATTGAAAAATTTATTCATAATTTAAAAATTTTTCTTTTTATAAAAAGAGCTCAAATGTTGGTTATTCAACATACTCTATAGATTGGTATAATCTTCCAAAAAATGTAGTGGTAGATTTGACATTTTTAATGATGAGATCTGAACATCCATCTTGTTTAACTGCTGCTAAAATGGCTGATTTGTCACTTCAAGCTTTTACTGGCGTTTGTATAATTTTTAAAAGTTTTGTTAACTATTTTTAATTTTTTTAGATTTAAATTATTTTTTTTTAATTTTAATGTTTTAATAAAATAATTATAGTAATTAATTTTTTAATTTTTCAAATTTTAAATAATAATAAATGTTTTTAATTTTTAGGTAATTAAAACATCGGCGGCATATTTAAATTTTCTCCGAGCACTTGAAATTTCATAACAGCATTTATTAATATTATTTTATAATAATTAAAAAAAAAAATTCTATTAAAAAATTAGAATTTATAAATATGTAGTAGAAAATATATTACAAAATTAATCAGCAAAATTTTTAAAATAGCTGAAAAAAAATTGTTTTGATGCGCCTGAATAATGGCAATCAGTTTCTGACTCGTAAGTTGTGTTTCCTACATAAAGGCGTTAAAAAAATGCTGTACTGTTTTTTTTTAAATAAAAGATTTTTTTTTTCATATTTTGAAACACAAAAAAAATATCTACATTTTTTTTTTTTTTTTTTTTGGTACTAAGAAAAATAAATATTCAAAATTACTGCTATTATGAAAATTGTCAGTATAACTTTTTTTTCCATTAAAGTAATATTGTATAATTATATTTATATTTCAATGACGGCTATTAATCTATAACCCTTTATTTTACAATTAGAAGACAAAAGCGCATGCGTATATTATTTTTTCTATTCCATTTGTTCTTTAGAATAAAAAGAGTAGACTATTCTTTTCTAGTATAAAAAAAAAAAAAAATAATCATGATTGTGAGAAGAGAAAAGAAATTTGAAAATTTATTTAAAAATTCCAATTTAAATGAAGATTTTAATTTTGCTATAAAATTAAATCGACGACTATTAACATTAATTGGCATGTGGCCTATTGATAAAAAATTATTAAAAGAAAAATTAATTGCAAAATTTTTAAATATTTCTTGTATATTTTTTTTATTATTTATCATTATTCCTGGTTGTATTGATATTATTTTAACAAATGATTTTCAAATTGCATTAATAAAAATAGGACCATTAAGTTTTGCCATAATGAATATGTTATATTTTTCATTTTTTTTTATTCATCGTGATGAAATTTATTATTGTTTTGAATTAATTTACAATGATTGGCAAAATGTTAATAATAAAGAAAATCGTGAAATTATGTTAAAAAATGCAATAATAGGGAGAAATTTTATTATTTTATGTTCAAGTTTTATGTTTGCCGGTTCACTATCGTTTACAATTTTTTTCCCCTTATTGGATAATTTTATTTCATCGGGAAATTTAACAGAAAGAAATATTGCATTTCCGGGAAATTTTTTAATATTTAATACTAAAATTCGTCCATATTATGATATTGTATTTTGTCTACAAATATTCAGTTCATTTACATGTTGTTCGATAACAAGTGGAATTTGTAGTATTGCCATTTCATTTGTAATGCATATTACTGGACAACTTGAAATTTTAAATGGTTTTCTTCAATTATTAGTTAATGAAACTTCTGATAAATCAAAAATGATTTCATTTATTGTTCAACGACACATTCGTTCATTAAGGTAATTATTATTATTATTACACTGAAAAAAAAATTTATTTGATTCAAATACTTCAAATTATTTGAAAAATATTTAATTGGTTCAAATACTTTTTATTTGGATCAAAAAAATATGTATTTGATTCAAATAAACTGAATTATTTAATACAAATAATAAATTATTTAATCCTAATACACTATTTCATCAAGACAAATAAAAAAATATTTCAATCGATTAAATATTTATTTGAAACGATCATAATGATTTACTTGAAACAATTAATTTATTTATTTCACTCAAATCTTTTGTTTTATTGAAACAAATAAAAAGTATTTGATATAATAACTTTATTTAATGGATTCATGTAAACTAAATTATTTAATACTAATACACTATTTTATCAAGACAAATAAAAAAATATTTTAATCAATTAAATATTTATTTGAAACGATTATAATGATTTACTTGAAACAATTAATTTATTTATTTCACTCAAATATTTTGTTTTATTGAAACAAATAAAAAGTATTTCATATAATTACATATTTTTTAATTTATTGATTTGAGTAAGAATATTTAATTTAGAAATGGAAGAATTAGTAAATAAATAAGTTATTTATTCAATTCAAATTTTGATTTATTTGAATCAAAAAATTCTTACATTTTATGCAAATAACTTATGTATTTGGATCAAATAAAAATAATAATTGCCGCAATTAAAGAGGTTTTAGTTTCAATTAAAACAATTACTTATGACAAATAATCGAATATTTGATTCAAGAAAATTTTTAGTTGTTTCAAGAAAAATATTTTATTAATGCAAATAAATATTTATTTGAATCAAAAAACATGCAGTATTGAATGAAATAATTTTCATAATTGATTTAAATAATTATTTATTTGCTTTGAATATTCCATTTATTTGATTTGAATATTTTGTATTTGATTCAAATAAATATTTATTTGATACGATAAAATAAAATACTTATGTTTAGTAAATATTTATTTGAATGGAATAATTTTCATAATTGATTTAAATAATTATTTATTTGCTTTGAATATTCCATTTATTTGATTTGAATATTTTGTATTTGATTCAAATAAATATTTATTTGATACGATAAAATAAAATACTTAGGTTTAGTAAATATGTATTTGGTTCAAATACATATTTATTGGATAATAGACAAGTAAATGATGTATTTGAATCAAATACTTTTTATTTGATCCAAATAAATTTTTTTTTCAGTGTATTTATTACTATTTAGTATAGATAAAAAATTTTTTTTGTTTTATAAAACAATATTTGTAATTTATATAGATTTGCAGAACAATTGGAAAATATTATGAAGGAAATTTGTTTAGTTGAATTTTTGAGTTCGACATTTGGTATTTGTTTAATAGGATATTATATCGCATCGGTATATAAAATTTTTGATTCATTTTTGTTTTTATTTTTATATGCAAAATATATTTCGAAATATAATGATATTCAATTATTTTTTTTTTAGGAATTTAAAAACAATGATATAACAAAAACTATTGTTTATTGTATACTATTGATATCATATATCTTTAATATATTTATTTATTGTTTTTTGAGTGAATTACTTTTAACAAAGGTATTAAAATAAAAGTTTCTTTTTCTTCTGTAAAAAATAAAATTATTTTTTTTATTATTTAAATTTTTATAAAAAAAAAATTATTAAATTATTATTATTATTATTATAAAAAAAGTGTGAAGATGTTGGAAAACAAACGTATATGATTAAATGGAATTTATTGCCAAAGAAAAAATCACTTGATTTAATTCCAATTATAATGATATCTTCAAAACCAGCAAAACTTACTGCAGGCAAAATAGTTTCATTTTCAATAGGTTGTTTTTGTAGCGTAAGTTATTTTAATATTTAATATTCAATTATTTAATTAAAATATAATTTTTTTTTGTTATTTTTCAGGTTTTAAAAGTGTCTGCAGCTTATTTAAATTGTCTTCGTTCATTTCTAAACTGATTTAAAGAAAAAACATTTATTTACTAATATTTAGGGTAAATTTTACACAATTTATATGTATCATTGTGCATAATAAAATTTTTTAAAAAAAATTTATTATTTCATTTTTATTAATTTTTAAATTTCGCGCCTATATTTATTGTTTTGTGTTACAAGGTTGGCACTCCTCAATTCGATTCCTAACCTAAAAATTATGTTTTAAATTGTTTTTTTGTACTTATTTGTATAGCAAATTCTCGATCTATAAAATCATGAAAACAAAACTATAAACTATAAACACAGAAAATTAAAAGGCATTAAAATAAGCTGCAACGCTTCTTATTTTAATCCAATTTTGCTTATTTTAATACCAAAATGGATTAAAATAAGCAAAATTGGATTAAAATAATAAGAGTTGCAGCTTATTTTAATGCCTTTTAATTTTCTGTGAATGTTATAAACAATTATATTATTAAAAATCTAAAACTTGCGCTTTACGAAACTTGTTCTTTATTAAATTTTCATGGCAAAAATAAGTTGATAGCCATAAGATAAACACTTTTAAAAACTTTGTAAAAAAAAAACAAAACTATTTTTTATAAACAGTTTTTCTTAAATTCTGAAATTTTTTTTTTTTAATAAAAAATCTATTTTGCTTTTTAATCACAAAAAAAACTGATTGTAATTTAAGAATAAAAAAAAAAGAGTTTAATTTTACGTAGTTTATAGATGTAATTTGTCATCATTGAAGAAATAATAATATCATCTAATAAGCGCAAGCGCAAAGCTTGTTACGTTGAAATGAGTGGCTTTCAACAAAAGTTGGCAGTTGCTAAAGTATCATGATACAATGAACTTTAATAAAAAAAATATGATTGAAAAAAATTTGAAATTTATTTCAAATCCATTTTATAAAAATGATAATAAATATGCAATTAAATTTTTTCGTAAATTTTCCATAATACTTGGCCTATGGCCAATGATAAATTCAAATTTAGAATTTTTTTTTAAATTATCTTTACGATTTTTATATTATTCAACAACAATATTTACATATTCATCTTCTATTCTTCATGGAATATTTATATTAAATGATTTACATTCAAGATTATTAATATCGGGTCCAATTATATTTTGGACAATGTTATTATTTAAATATACATTAATATTGAATCGTAGTGATTATATAAAAAAATGTTTATTATTTATTGAAGAAGATTGGCAAGAAGCTAAAACAAATGAACATCGTTTTATTATGATGAGAAGCGCAAAATTTGGCAATTATTTAATAATTATATGTGCAAATTTTATGTTTAGCGGTGGTATTTTTTATCATTTAATTGCACCATTAACGGCTGATTCAATAATAACGGAAAATAATATAACAATACAACCATTTCCAACGCCAGCTTATGGAAAATTTTTCACCAGTGGCTATACACCAGTTTATCAAATTGTTTTCATTGTACAAGCATTCACGGGAATTTTTAATGATTTATTGAATGTGATGACATTTAGTTTGGCTGCTGTTTTAATTTTACATTCTTGTGGACAATTTGATGTGCTTATTATGTATTTAAATAATCTTGTTTCAGATTATGATGATGATGATGATGATGATAATGATAGTTATGATAAAAATGTTGCTTTGAGTCATAATCGTTTGGTTATTATTGTTCAACGACATTTGCGTGTATTGAGGTGAGATTTATAAATATGATTTTGATTATAAAATTATGATTTTGATTTATGATTTTAATTAAAAAATTACGAATTTAATTATAAAATGACAAATTTTGAATAACTGAAATTTGTCTTCAATACATGAAAAAAAAAAAAAAAAATTAATCAGCGAAAGTTTTCAATAGAATAGTGAAAGATTTTTAATTGAAATCATTAAAACTTTTCCTATTCTAGTGAAACTTTTCGCTGTTCCAAATAAATCTTTTATATTTCGTGTATGCTAATAATAATTAGATAATAATACTAAAAACAAATTAATAATTATTAATATAATAATTATAATAAATTAATAAAAATTTTTTAAAAACAATTTTAGTTTTGTTAATCATTTAGAAAACTTGTTGACTGAAATTTGTCTTATTGAAGTGATGGGTTCGACAATAATAATTTGCTTATTGGGATATTATATTATTGTGGTATAAATATAATTTTTATATTTTAACATTTATTTTTTAAATTTTAAATTGAAAATTTTTTTTTTTTAAATATTTCAATATTATTTTCTTTTATTTGAACTAAATAATTATTCTTTTCTTTTATGTAAAAAATTATAGGCATGCAAAGAAGTTGAAGTCTCAGATATTTTGGCATACATTTTTCTTATTGCTTCATTTATTTTCAACATGTTTAATTACAGTTATTTAGGAGATCTTCTAACATGTCAAGTAAAGAATAATAAAAAATTAAATGTTTTATTTATTTTAATTTTTTTTTTTAAATAATTTTTATTATAATTTTTAAAGGCGGTAAAAGTCGGCGATTTTGTACGCATGATTAAATGGTATAAATTACCAAAACAAACAATTAATGAACTTATTTTATTAATAAAAATGTCACAATTCCCAGTAAAAATTACTGTTGGCAAATTTTCAGCTTTATCATTAAATAGTTTTAGCGCCGTAAGTTACTTTTTAAAAACTATTATATATTTCTTTTGATTAATAAAAAAAAAAAAAAATTTGCATTTCTTCAATAAAATAAATTCTTAAATTTTAGGCACTTAAAACGTCTGCAGCGTATTTCAATTTTGTTTGGAGAATGACGCAGTAAAATTTATTTTTCTTTTTCAATTGCAGGTTTCTTTAATAATTTCCAATTTTTTAAATTTGTAATTTACAATAACGCCCTTATAGACAATTATATAATATTGATATTAATAATAATATTGACGCACAATTTTTGATAAACAAATTGTAAAAAACAAATCCTTTTTTTTTGTAATTTAACAAGTATTTTTATTTTTAAGCACACACTGTTAAATAATAAATAAATTTGTTTTTGACAATATATAAAAATAAAAAAAATTAATTTCTCTAACTTGATGAATCGTAACAAACTGATGGGACAATAATTGCAATAATGAAATTTCTGTCTATGAATTTGTTTTGCGCAAGCGTAAGCCTAACTTCTCGACTTTCGCAAAGAAAAAAAAAGAAGCGTCAGTATAAAATGAGACTGAGAACTTGAAGAAACTTACAAGTTTATAGAATACAAAAAAAAAATGTCTAATAAAAAATTGAATTTAGATTATGAAAGTGATTTAAAATTTACAATAAACATTGCTAAATTATTAGGAATAATTATATGTTTATGGCCAAATAATTCAGAGAAATTTTCATTAAAATTGATAATTAAAATAATTATCAATTTTCTATCAGGTTTTCTAATGACATGTGTTGTAATATCAAATATTCTTTGTACAATATTAAAAGCAAAAAAAATTGAAGAAAAAGTCGATATCATTGGACCAACAACATTTTATATAATGTCATTATTAAAATATTTTCTATTTTTATATCGTAGTGAATCATTTAAAAAATGTTTAAAATATATTGAAAATGATTGGATGCAAGTTAATGTTAATGAAGAAAGAGAAATAATGTTAAAAAATGCAAAATTTGGTAGAACAATTTCAATTTGGTGTACTATATTAATGTTTAGTGGTGGTTCTGGTCATCATTTTTTTAAACCATTATTGTCAGATAGAATATTAACTAAAATGAATATTAGCGTTAAACCATATCCATCACCAGTTTATGGTGATATTTTTAATACTGGTTTAAGTCCATTGCATGAATTAACATTTGGAGGAATAATTATTGCTGATTTTTTTATTCTTTCAATGAGTGTTTATTCATTTAATATATCATCAGTATTTTTAATTCATGCATGTGGACAATTTAAAATTATTAATTTTCATTTAAACGATCTTGTCAATGGATTAAATGGAATGAAAAATACTGTTGAGGAGAGATTTATTGCTATTGTAAAGCAGCACACGAGAGTATTGAGGTATTTCTATTTTAAAAATTTATTTCTCATAAAAAAAGGAAAAAAAACCCCATTTAGGTTTTAGAGTACTTTAATTAAATTTTTATATAGAGACATTGTCTGACTGAAACCGATTTTTATTACTGATTTCCAAGTTGCAAACATTTTTATTGAAAGAAATTATAAGAAAAAAAAATGTATGTCTGACTAAACCAGATTTTTACTACTGATTCCTAAATTACAATTATTTGTATTGAAAATCAAATAATAAATATATGTCTGACTAAAATTGATTTTTACTACTGATTTTTAAATTACAAGCATTTCTATTAACAGAAATTTTAATAAAAAACTATGTCTGACTAAAACTGACCTTTACTACTGATGGAACAACATTGCCTGACTGAAACAGATTTTAACTACTGATACTCAAATTGCAAACATTTTTATTGGAAGAAATTATAATAAAATAATATATGTCTGACTCAACTAGATTTTTACTACTGATTCCTAAATTACAATTATTTTTATTAAAAAGAATCTAATAACTAAAATATGTCTGATTAAAGTGAACTTTGACTACTGATGGCATTGAAAATCTAAAAATAAAAAAATGTCTGACTAAAATTGATTTTTACTACTGATTTTTAAAGTACAAGTATTTATATTTACAGAAATTCTAGTAAAAAAATAAATGTCTGACTACACCTGATTTTTACTACTGATATCTGAATAACAATTATTTTTATTAAAAAAATCTAATAACAAATATATGTCTGACTAAACCGACCCCTTACTACTGAAGGAAAAATATTGTCTGACTAAATGTGATTTTTACTACTAATTTCAAAGTTGTAAATATTTTTTTTGAAAGAAATGGCCGCCGAATGAAATTCTAATAAAAAAAATATGTCTGACTAAAACGGACTTTTACTACTGCAAAAAACATTGTCTGACAAAAACTGGATTTTACTACTGATTTCTGAATTACAGCAATTTTTATTATAAGAAATACTAATAAAATATAATAACAAAAATATGTCTGACTAAAACGAACCATTTCTACTTATGGCAAAAGATTGTCTGACTATAACTGATTTTTACTACTATTTTGTAAATTAAAACAATTTGTATTAAAAAATAATAATAATAATAAAATGTGCCAAAAATATGTCTGATTAAAACTAAATTTTACTACTGAGAAAAAATATACTCTGACTAAAATTGTTTTTTTTTACAACTAATTTCTAAATTACAAATATTTGTATTGAAAGAAATTTTAATTAAAAAAATATGTCTTACCGAAAATGACTTTTACTACTGAGAAACAATATTGTCTAACCAAAACTGATTTTAACTACTCAATTCTAAATTACAAATATTTTTATTGGAAAAAAATACTAATAAAACAATGTGTCTGACTCAAACTGACCTGTTCTACTGATATCTATATTAAAAGTATTTTTATTCCTAAAAAAATCTAATAACAACAATATGTCTGACTAAAACGAACCATTTCTACTTATGACAAAACATTGTCTGACTATAACTGATTTTTACTACTATTTTGTAAATTAAAACAATTTGTATTAAAAAAAATAATAATAATAAAATGTGCCAAAAATATGTCTAATTAAAACTAAATGGTACTACTGAGAAAAAATATAGTCTGACTAAAATTGTTTTTTTCCTACAAATTTCTAAATTACAAATATTTGTATTGAAAGAAATTTTAATTGTAAATAAAAAATCTAATAACAAAAATATGTCTGACTAAAACGAACTATCACTACTGAAGGAAAAACATTGTCTGACTGAAAACTGATTTTCACTATACTAATTCCCATATTGGAATTATATTTTCAAAAAAATTAAATAAAAAAAAAATATGTCCATACTTATAATTTTTATTTACTTTTAGTTATGTTTCTCAATTAGAAATGGTATTTAGTGAAATATTTCTTGTCGAAATATTAGGCTGTGCCATCAATTTGAGTATATTGGGATATTTTGCAATATCGGTAAAAATAATTATTTCTAATTAAAATAATATGAATATTTTTTACTTCATTTAATATTTTTATATATGTTTAAAAAAAACGAATTCATAGAATTGGAAGGAGGGAAACATTGCTAATTTTATAACATATATAATTTTAATAAATGTTTTTATTTTTAATATTTTTATATATTCCTATATTGGAGAAATGCTTACTATTCAGGTAAATATTTTAAATTTGAAATATAATTTTTTAATTAATGTTTTTTAATTTATATTTTTTTTCAAAAATTACACAGAAAATTAAAAGGCATTAAAATAATAAGCGTTGCAGCTTATTTTAATGCCTTTTAATTTTCTGTGTAATGATTCAGGCTAGAAAAGTCGGTGAAACGGGATATCTAATAGATTGGCATCAATTGCCAAAAAATATTTCCCTTGATTTGTCATTTTTCATTCAAATTTGTCAATTTCCAAAAAAAATTACAGCGGGGAAAATTGTTTTTCTTTCTCTTGCTTCATTCACTGCGGTAAAAAAAATTTTTTTTAAACAAAATTATTCATTTAAATATTGTCTAAATTTTTATTATTCTTTTTCAGATAATGAAATCATCTGCTGCTTATTTTAATATTCTTTGGAAAATGCCGTAATTAAAAAAATGGATATTACAAAAAAATATATGAAATTATTTTTGAAATTAAATTTTTTTTTTTGGAGAAATATTAATAAAAATTTTACTGAGAATTTTAAAACTTGTTTTACACAATAAAAGTTTTAGGATTTTTTTTCCGTAAAAACGATTTATATAACTTGTTCTAGTTTCTTTTTATAATTAATAAATTATTTAATTAGTTAATAATTTTTTTTTGAATAAAACTCGGATATAGACAAAAAAATTAGTTTAGATTTCTTTTTTAAATAAATTTTAACAAGTACTTTTTAAGCACACTATGAAAGAAATAAATTCTTTCAAAACAGAAATAATTTGCGAAAATATGTAAATTTCTCTAACTTGATGAATCATAAGAAACTGATGGGGAAAATAATTGCGTTAATAAAATTTATGTCTATGAATCTGTTTCTGCGCAAGCGTAACTCACCGACTTTCTTATAAGGAAAAAAAAAACCCCTTTCAGTATTAAATGAGACGGAGAACTTGAAAGCAACTTCCAAGTTATAAAAAAAAAAATAATAAAAAAAAAAAATGTCTATTAAAAAATTGAATTTAAATTATAAAAGTGATTTGAAATATACATTAGACGTTGCAAAATTATTAGGCAAAATTATATGTTTATGGCCAATAAATTCAGAAAAATTTCCTATTAAAGCAATAATTAAAATAATTATCAATATCATTGCATGTAGTCTAATGACAGGTGTTATAATATCAAATATTCTTTGTACAGCGTATAAAGCAAAAAATTTAGATGAAAAAATTGATATTATTGGACCAACATTTTTTTATACAGTGTGCCTATTAAAATATTGTTTCTTTTTATATCGTAGTGAATCATTTAAAAAATGTTTAAAATTTATTAAAGAAGATTGGATGCAAGTTAATGTTAATGAGGAAAGAGAAATAATGTTAAAAAATGCAAAATTTGGTAGAACAATGTCAATTTGGTGTACTATTTTAATGTATAGTGGTGGATCAGGTCATCATTTTTTTAAACCACTATTATCAGATAGTTTTTTAACTGAAATGAATATAAGCGTTAAACCATATCCATCACCAGTTTATGGTGATATTTTTAATACTGGTTTAAGTCCATTGCATCAATTAACATTTGGAACTGTTTTTTTTACCGATTTTATTATGCTCTCAATGGGCGTTTATTCATTTAATATTTCAACAATTTTTTTAATTCAAGCCTGTGGACAATTTGAAATTATTGTACTTAATTTGCATAATCTCGTTGAGGGATTAAATGAAAATAAAAAAAATACTGTTGAGAAGAGATTTATTGATATTGTTAAAAGGCATACGCGTGTATTGAGGTATTTTTTAATTTATTTATTTACACTGAAAATTAAAAGGCATTAAAATAAGCAGCAACGCTTATTTTAATGCCTTTTAATTTTCTGTGTAGAAAAAAAGTTGTTAATTTTTGATGATTTGAAAAATCTGTTTGGATATGACAAAAAAAAACATTCATTTGGAACAGCAAAAGATTTTATTAGAATAGAAAATGATTTCACTGAGACAATTAAAATTTTCTTTTCTACACAGAAAATTAAAAGGCATCAAAATAAGCTGCAACACTTATTATTTTAATCTAATTTTGCTTATTTTAATCCATTTTGGTATCAAAATAAGCAAAAGTGGATTAAAATAATAAGCATTTAAGCTTATTTTAATTTTTTTAATTTCCAAAATGGATTAAAATAATAACCGTTGCAGCTTATTTTAATTTTTTTAATTTCCAAAATGGATTAAAATAATAAGTGTTGCAGCTTATTTTAATTTTTTTAATTTTTAATTTATAAAATGGATTAAAATTATCAAAATTGGATTAAAATAATAAGCGTTCCAACTTATTTTAATTTTTTTAATTTCCAAAATGGATTAAAATAAGCAAAATTGGATTAAAATAATAAGCGTTGCAGCTTATTTTAATTTTTAATTTCTAAAATGGATTAAAATAAGCAAAAGTGTATTAAAATAAGCAAAAGTGGATTAAAATAAGCAAAATTGGATTAAAATAATAAGCGTTGCAACTTATTTTAATTTTTTTAATTTCTAAAATGGATTAAAATAAGCAAAATTGGATTAAAATAATAAGCGTTGCAGCTTATTTTAATTTTTAATTTCTAAAATGGATTAAAATAAACAAAATTGGATTAAAATAATAAGCGTTGCAGCTTATTTTAATTTTTAAAATGGATTAAAATAAGCAAAAGTGGATTAAAATGAGCAAAATTGGATTAAAATAATAAGCGTTGCAGCTTATTTTAATTTTTAATTTCTAAAATGGATTAAAATAAGCAAAAGTGTATTAAAATAAGCAAAAGTGGATTAAAATAAGCAAAATTGGATTAAAATAATAAGCGTTGCAGCTTATTTTAATTTTTTTAATTTCCAAAATGGATTAAAATAAGCAAAAGTGGATTAAAATAATAAGCGTTGCAGCTTACTTTAATTTTTTTAATTTTTAATTTCCAAAATGAATTAAAATAAGCAAAATTAGATTAAAATAATAAGCGTTGACAGCTTATTTTAATACCTTATAATTTTTAGTGTAGTGAAACCTTTAGCTGTTTCAGGTAAATTTTTTTTTTTCCTAATGAGCCTCAAGTTCTGAATATTCAATAGAATGAAAAATTTATTTAATACTTTTTTTATAGCTGTAAATTTTATTATAAAACATTGCTTTCTGTATTTAAACACAAAAATTAATAATTTCTAATATTTTTTTTTATTTTTCCAAATTTAAAAAAATTATTTTTAACTAAAAAAATGATTTTGTTCATTGGAACTAAATTTTTTTTTATGTATTTTTAGTTATGTTTCTCAAATAGAAAAAATGTTTAGTGAAATATTTCTTGTTGAAATATTGGGTTGTGCTATAAATTTGAGTGTTTTGGGATATTATGCAATATTGGTAACATATAAATTACTATATTATTATTCTCTCTATAAATTTTAATTTTCTATTTAATTTAAAATTCTTTTATTGAAAACATAGAGTTGGAGAGTGGGAAACATTGCTAACGTTGTAAGTTACATAATTCTTCTGAATGTTTATATTTTCAATATCTATATAGATACATACGTTGGAGAACTTCTTACTATTCAAGTAAATTGAAAAAAAAATTATTATTTCAATTTAAATAAAAAAAAAACAATTGCTTATTCATATAATTAATTAAAATTTACATAAAAAATTATATAATTAATTAGTTAATTTAATTAATTTAACTGAACTTGTTATTTTTAATTATTCAGGCTAGAAAAGTTGGTGAAACTGGCTACATGATAGAATGGCATCAATTGCCAAGAAATATTTCCCTAGATTTGTCATTTTTCATTCAAGTTTGTCAATTTCCGATAAAAATTACAGCGGGAAAAGTTGTTTTTTTATCAATGACTACGTTCACTACGGTAAAATTTACTTAATTCGAAAAAGAAATTTGTAACAAAAAAAAAGGAAAATAATTTCTAAATTATTTTTTTCAGATAATGAAATCAACTACAGCTTACTTTAATATTTTTTGGAAAATGACACAATAGAAAACAAAAAGAATTATTAACAAAAAAAAATTCACATCTTTCAATACAGATATAACTCTTCTTTTCCCAGAATAAAAGTTTCCTTCTTTTTTTTTCGTTTTAAAGAAAAACGACTATTTTCTCCCTAGACGCAACTATATAGTCTCTTAATAAAGTTCTAAAACATTAATTCTCTTTGCTTTTAATTTGTTTGAGAACAAACAACAAAAGTTTTTTGTAATTTTCAGCAAGTTGATTTTTTTTTTTTAAAACAAAGAAATTAAATTTTAATTCTAATTGCAAATTATAATAAAAGTGAAGAAATAAATTTTTTTAAATATAAAATTTTTATTCTTCATTTTCGAATTAAAAATTACTATGGGAATTTTTGATTATCAAAAATCTAAATTAAAAATTGAAAAAAATAATTTCCAAATAGTAATTATTAGTTTAAATATGTTAATATTAAAAATATCACGTAATGTAGAAAAAAAAGAAAAAATGTTAACACATTAAACTGAAGAAATTGATAAACAAATAATTGCATTCAATTTCTTTTCAACTATAAACAGCGCAAGCGCCAAAGAAAGAATGAAAGCTTTATATCAGAAATGAAACTTCAGTATAATGTGAATATTCCTTCAAAGAAGAATGTCTCCAGATTTTCAAGATAATAATAATAATACCACTAATAATAACAATAATATTAATAATAATAATAATAATAAAAATAATAAAAATTCCAAAAAAGATATAAAATACACAATAAATCTTTGTCGAATTTTAGCATTAATTTTAGGTTTATGGCCAATAAATTATTATGAATCAATATGGAAAAAAATAATAAAATTTTTTCTAAATTTTAGTGCGTGTTTTCTTATGATTTGTGCAATTTTATCAAATATTTTATCAGCTATTTTTGAAATGAATGAATTACATGAAAAAGTTGAAATTACAGGACCAACAAATTTTTATATTATGAGTTTATCAAAATATTTATTAATTTTATTACGTGGTGAATCGGTGAAAAAATGTTTTAAATATATTGAAAATGATTGGAAATTAAAAAAAATTGAATTACATCGTCAAGTTATGTTAAAAAATGCCCGTTATGGAAGATATTTAATAATAATATGCGCTATTTTTATGTATTTTGGTGGTTTTGGTTATCATTTAGTTAGGCCATTATTATCAGAGAAAATAATAACTGAAATGAATCAAACTGTTTATCCATATCCAGCGCCAATATATGGAAAAATTTTAAATACTGGTCAAAGTCCATATTATGAATTAATATTTATTACATTACTTATTGCTGATTTTGTATTATTTTCTGCAACTGTTGTTTCATTTAGTTTTGCATCTGTATTAACATTACATGCATGTGGACAATTGGAAATTATTACATTATATTTAAATGATCTTGTTAATGATGATTTGGAGGAGACAAAAAATTCACCACACAAAAGATTAATTATTATTGTTAATTCACATTTAACAATTTTGCGGTAAAATTTAATGAAAAAAAGTTAAATTAATAAAAATTTAAAAAAAATTCAAAAATTTTTTAAATTTACAGAAAAAATTTAGTCTAAATTGGTATTTTTTATTTTTAGATTTGTTAATCAATTGGAGTCATTATTGAATGAAATATGTCTCATTGAAGTTGTGGGATGCTCAGTGAATATGTGTTTAGTCGGCTATTATGTAATAGAGGTGTGATTTAAATTTAAAAATTTTAATTGAATATGAATTAAATTAATTAATTATTTAATTATTGAGAATTATTATTAATTAATTTTATTTATTTTTATTATTAATTATTATTCATATTAAGGATAATTAATAATTAATAATTAATAACTAATAATTATTAATTAGTAAATAATTATTAACTAATTAATAACTAATAATTATTAATTAATAAATAGTTAATAACAAATAATTATTAATTAGTAAATAATTATTAACTAATTAATAATTAATAATTATTAACTAATTAATAACTAATAATTATTAATTAATAAATAATTAATAACTAATAATTATTAATTAATAAATAGTTAATAACAAATAATTATTAATTAGTAAATAATTATTAACTAATTAATAACTAATAATTATTAATTAATAAATAATTAATAACTAATAATTATTAATTAGTAAATAATTATTAACTAATTAATAACTAATAATTATTAATTAATAAATAGTTAATAACAAATAATTATTAATTAGTAAATAATTATTAACTAATTAATAATTAATAATTATTAATTAGTAAATAATTATTAACTAATTAATAACTAATAATTATTAATTAATAAATAATTAATAACTAATAATTATTAATTAATAAATAGTTAATAACAAATAATTATTAATTAGTAAATAATTATTAACTAATTAATAACTAATAATTATTAATTAATAAATAATTAATAACTAATAATTATTAATTAGTAAATAATTATTAACTAATTAATAACTAATAATTATTAATTAATAAATAGTTAATAACAAATAATTATTAATTAGTAAATAATTATTAATTAATTAATATTTAATAACTAATAATTATTAATTAATAAATAATTAATAACTAATAATTATTAATTAGTAAATATTTATTAACTAATTAATAACTAATAATTATTAATTAGTAAATATTTATTAACTTATTAATAACTAATAATTATTAATTAATAAATAGTTAATAACAAATAATTATTAATTAGTAAATAATTATTAACTAATTAATAACTAATAATTATTAATTAATAAATATTTAATAAATAATTAATAACTAATAATTATTAATTATTATTATTTATTATCAAATTTTTGATAATCGAAAAAATTAATTTTTTGTTGTGGTCACAAACCAAATTTATAATTTTTTTTTTTTTTTTTTTTTTTTAGAGCTGGAAACGTGAGGAATTAATTGCCTGTTTTTCATATGCAATAATTCTTACGTCATTTACGTTTAATATTTTTATCTATTGCTACCTCGGCGAGCTATTAACGAATCAGGCAACGAAACTTGCGGAGAAAGCATATATGATCGATTGGCATCGATTGCCTAAAACAACATCATTAGATTTGCTATTCTTCATCAGAGTTTGTCAATTTCCAGCAAAAATTTCAGCGGGAAAAATTGTTATACTTTCCATGTCAACATTCAGTACAGTATGATTTTTTTTGTTTTAAATAAAAAAAAATTAAATTCATTAAATTTAAAAAAAAAATTACCTTTCAGGTGATTAGATCCTCGGCAGCATATTTTAATGCCCTCTGGAAGATGTCACAATAAATTTTTCATATTTCCCATCTGTAATAAAAAAAAAAAATTAAATTATTTTCAATATGAATAATAGAAAATTTGTTTCAATAAACAAAATATTTTTTTTTTCATTGCGAAAAATATATAATGTTTTCTTTGGAAAAAAAAATGGAAAATATTTTCATTGAGAAACATAAAAATTATTTTCATTTACTAAAAATAGAGAAGAGAAAAAAAGTGGTGCTTTTAAAGTGAAAAAATAGTTTAGAAACTTCGTCGTGTATTTGTACTTTTTACAAAGAAACTTTATGTAACTATTTTTTATAAAAAACTTGTAATTATAAAACCGAGAAATTAATTTTAGATTTCAAAATCAATTTTTTTTTATTTATTTATTTCCAAAATAATTTCCAAACTATAAAACAATATTTTTATGAAATTAAATGGTAAAATAAATAATTCTGTATAAAAAAAATAGAAACTTGGGACGATATTATTACAGATCGTAGAACTATATAATAACAAATACGCAAGCGCAAAACTTTTATGTTCTATTCTTTGAGAGGAAAAAAAGTTTCAGTATCAATTCAGAAAGAAAAGAAAGAACAATAATAATGTCTCTTAATGAAATAAAAGATTCAAATATTGAAAGTGAAACATTAAAATTAATTTCCCTATTATTAGGATTATGGCCAACATCATTTCTTGATTCAATGTTAAAAAAAATAATTAAACTAATTATAAATTTAATTGCATGTTCACTTATGATATTTGTTATTGTATCAAATATTCTCTATGGTATTTATCAAATTAATAATACAATGGATCAAAAAGTTGAACTTATTGGTGCAACTAATTTTTATATTATGAGTCTTACAAAATATTTATTATTATTATTTCGTGGTAAAAGTATTAGAAAATGTTTAGAATATATTGATGATGATTGGCGATTGGCAAAATTTTCATCTAAAAATCGTGAAATAATGTTAAATTATGCACAATTTGGAAGATATATGACAATTATTTGTGCAATATTTATGTATTTTGGTGGAATTGGTTATCAAGTGTTAAAACCAATATCGTCTGGTAAAATAATAACTGAAATGAATATAACAATAACGCCATTTCCATCGCCAGTTTATGGAAAAAAATTAACAAGTGGATTTAGTCCTATTTATGAAATACTTTATGGAACATTAATTGTCGCTGATTTTTATTTATATTCAGCGACTGTTGTTGCATTTAGTATTGCCGCTGTATTAACAATACATGCTTGTGGACAATTTGAAATTGTTATTTATTATTTAAATGATCTTGTTAATCAAACAAATAATAATAATAATGATCAAGAGAAATTAATTGTTATTGTAAATTCTCATTTGAGAATTTTAAGGTAAATTTTTGAAATTAGTATAATTAATTATTAATTAATTAATTATAAAATTTTTTATTTTTTGTTTCAAATAATCGATTAATTAATCAAATAAATATTTATTTATTAATATTATTTTTATTATTTATATTTTTATTAATATAATTGATTCGAATAATAATTATTTGAATCAATTAAATGATATTTGTTTCAAATACAGAAATTATTTTTTTAAATACAGTTTATTTAATTTAAATAAAAATTGTTTGGTTTAAGTAAATATTTATTTGACAGTCAAGTAACCGATTATTTGAATCAAATAAATTTTTTTTAGTGTACAATTTTTATTTAAACAATTTTTTGTTTATAATTATTATTTGTAATATTATTTATATTTATTATTATTAATTAATTTAAATAATAATTATTTGATATAAAAAAAATATTTATTTGTACGAAATAATTATTATTTGAATCAAATAGTGTTTCTTTGAAATACAGAAATTATTGGTTCAAGTAAATATTTATTTGATAGTCAAGTAACCGATTAATTGAATCAAATAAATTTTTTTTAGTGTACAATTTTGATTAAAACAATTTTTTGTTTATAATTATTATTTGTAATATTATTTATATTTATTATTATTAATTAATTCCAATAATACTTATTTGATATAAAAAAAATATTTATTTGTATGAAATAATTATTATTTGAATCAAATAGTATTTCTTTGAAATAGAGAAATTATTGGTTCCAGTAAATATTTATTTGATAGTCAAGTAGATTTTAGATTAAAATAATTTTTTGATTATAATATTTTTTTACAATATTTAGTTCTTTAATATTTTATTTATAATATTTTATTTATAACATTTTGTTTATAACATTTTGTTTATCACATTTTGTTTATAATATTTTGTTCATATTTTGTTTATAATAATATATTTTGTTTAATTATTTGAAATTTTCAATTTTTTAAAGAATTTATTTATAGCTTTGTTTCTCAGTTGGAAGCTCTGTTAAATGAAATATGTTTCATTGAAGTTTTGGATTGTTCTCTTAATTTATGCCTATTGGGTTATTGTTTAATAACGGTAAATAATTTAATAAAGATAATTTTAAATAATTAATAATTATTAATAAATAATTAAATTTCAAAAAAGTGATTTGTTTTTTTCCTCCTTTTTCCTTTTTTAGAGCTGGAAGCAAGGACAATATACAGCACTAATGTCTTATTCTGTTTTACTTGTTTCTTTCATATTCATCATTTACATTTATTGTTATTTGGGACAATTGCTTACAACTCAGGTTAATTTTTTTGTTTTCCTTGATTTAATTTTTTTTAACAAAAAAAAAAAAAAAAAAAAAAAAAATTATTTTCAGGCTGAAAAAATTGGACAACAAGGATATATGATTGAATGGCATCGACTACCAAAAAGAGTGTTACTAGATCTTTTATTTTTTATCCACGTATGTCAATTTCCAACAACAATATCGGCGGGAAAAATTATTGTTCTTTCAATTGGTACATTTAGTGCAGTAAGAATTTTTAAATTCAAAATTTTTATTCCAATGACAATTTCTACTGGAAATTTTTTTTTTCAGAAGGTTTTAAATTTTTTTTTTAGGTAATAATTTTTTTTTTTAGGTAATGAGAACATCTGCAGCTTATTTTAATGCCCTTTGGAAAATATCACAGTAGGTCTTGGAAAATAGTGTATAAAAAAAATGAAATGTAAATATAAATATAAATAATTAAAACTGAATTTTTCTTAAATTTTATGAAATTTAAATAATTAAAAAGTTTTTCTTGGGAGAAAATAGTTTTAAAAAAAAAGAATAAGTTGACAAAAAAAAGTATGAGAAAGAAAAAACAATTCTTTCTTCGAAAGAAGTAATTTAATAATTTCAAAGTATAATTTAAACTTGTGTTGTTATTAGTTTAAAAATAAATTTCAAACTTTTACGCAAGCGCAAACTTTTCAGAGATTAAGTCCATCAGTGTACAATCATCACTTGTGTAAAGAAGAACAAAATAAATTATGTCGGTTGTTGAAAATTTCAACAAAACATATAAATCCGATATAAGATATGCAATTAATACTTGTCGAAATATTGCATTATTTTTGGGATTATGGCCAAATAATAATAATGTGAAAAAATCATTATTAAAAAAAAGTTTAAAATTAATTATTAATTTTACATCAATTTTACTTATGACATTTGTCATTATATCATGTATATTATTTGGTACATTTGAATTAAAATTAATGTCACAAAGAATAATATTAACGGGACCAACAAGTTTTTATGTTATGGCATTTATGAAATATTCAATAATTTTATTTCGCAGTGATGATTTGGAAAATTGTTTAAAAATTATTGAAAATGATTGGCAATATATTAATTATAAACAACGTCAAATTATGTTAAAACATGCAAAATTTGGAAGAATAATAACAATTTTTTGTGCAATATTTATGTATCTTGGTGGTTTTTGGTTTCATGTTATTAGTCCATTAACTGCCGAGCCAATAGTGACGGAAAAAAATATTTCCATACAACCATTTCCATCGCCAGTTTATGGAAAATTTTTAACAAGTGGTCAAAGTCCAATTTATGAAATAATTTACATTGCTGAATTAATTGTTGGTTTTATAATGTATTCAATTGCAATTACAACATTTAGTTTTGCGGCAATTTTAACAATACATGCGTGCAGTCAATTTGAAATTGTTATTTTAAATTTGGATAATCTTTTTAGTGGAATTGAAAAATATTCCGATTTACATGATAAATTGATTGTTACTGTTAATTCGCATTTAAAGGTTTTAAGGTAAAGGAAAAAAAAAAAAATTTTTTTTTTTTAATTTTCTGAAAAGTGGATAATAATTTCAGTTTTGTTTCACAATTGGAATCTGTTTTTAATGAAATATGCTTTATTGAAATTATGGGATGTACTTTAAATATTTGTTTACTTGGATATTACACAATTATGGTACAATAATTTTTGAAAATTTTAAGAATTTTTAACAGTTAATAATATAAAATATATTTTTAGGGTTGGAAAAAACAGGAATTATCAGCTATTCTCACGTATAGTATTCTTTTAGCTTCGTTTATATTTAATATTTTTATTTATTGTTTAATTGGAGAAATGGTAACTATTCAGGTGAGTAAATTTAATTTTCTCTTTTTTTTTACTTCAATAATTTTTTTTTTACAGGCAACAAAAGTTGGTGAAAAAAGTTATATGATAAATTGGTATTTAATGCCAAAAAAAACGTCCAAAGATTTATTATTTTTCATCAGAATTTCTCAATATCCATCAAAAATTTCGGCGGGAAAAATTTTTGTCCTCTCTCTTGGAACTTTTTGTACGGTAAGTTTTTTTTAGAGAAAATTTTTTTTGAGCATTAAAAAAAAAATGTAATTTTAGGTACTAAAAACATCGGCAGCATATTTCAATGCTTTATGGAAAATGTCACAATAATTTATATATTTTACTAACAAATATATATTGTAATTTAGTAATAATACTTCCAAATATAGAAATATTTTTAAAACAAATGGAAAAAAGTTTTCTTTTTTTTTTGTAAACTTCAATTTAAAGTTGAAAATAAAAATTAAATCAATAAAAGAAAGTTTTAAACTTGCATTTTGAACTAAAGAAAAGAAAATTTATCTCTTTTATTGTTAAGTGAAAAAAGTTTTTAACGCAAGCGCAAATGTATAGTTTTTTTCATCGTTAGATTGTAAAGAACAGTATGAAATCAACTCTTGTCGTAACAAGATGAAAAATTTTAATAACAAATCCGATATAAATTATGCTATTAATAATTGTCGACGTATTGCATTAATATTAGGACTTTGGCCAAATAATAATAGAAATTTTTTTCAAAAAAATTTAATATTTTTTCTCAATTTCACATCATTTATATTTATTTTATTTATCATTGTCTCGTCAATTTTATTTGGAATATTTGAATTAAATGAAATGTCACAAAAAGTCAGTATAACAGGACCAACAAGTTTTTATGTTATGGCATTTATGAAATATACAATTATTTTAATACATAGTCAAGATTTGCAAAATTGTTTTAAACATTTGGAAATTGATTGGAATAATAATCAAACAATTGAACAACGTAATGTAATGTTAAAACATGCAAAATTTGGTAGACTTATAACAAATCTTTGTGCAATTTTTATGTATCTTGGTGGTATTTGGTATTCAATATTAAATCCATTAACGGCTGATTCAATTGTTACATATAAAAATATTTCCTGTCAACCATTTCCGGCGCCAGTTTATGGAAAATATTTAACAAGTGGTCAAAGTCCAATTTATGAAATTGTTTATGCTATTCAATTAATTGCAGTTTTTATTATGTATTCAATAGCTGTTGTGACATTTAGTTTTGCGGCAATTTTAACAATTCATGCATGTGGACAATTTGAAATTATTATTATTTATTTAAATGATCTTGTCAGTGGTGTGGGGAAAAAAAATTATAATCTAAATGATAAATTAATTGTTACTGTTAATTTACATTTACGTGTACTTAGGTAAAAAAAAAGAAAAAAAAGAAAAAAAAATTCAAAAATTTATTACAATTATGTTTTTTTGTGAAAGGTAGATAATAATTTCAGTTTTGTTTCTCAATTGGAATCGGTTTTTAATGAAATATGCTTTATTGAAATTATGGGATGTACTCTTAATATTTGTTTACTTGGATATTACACAATTATGGTACAATAATTTTATAATATTATTTTTAAAAAATTTAATTTTTTTCAGTGGCCGCAAAATTTAATTTTCAACTTGATTTTTACCTAAATAATTTTTCTTCTTCCTTGATTAACAAATTTTTGAATTTTAATACATTATTTAAATTTTTATATTGAAAATTTTGTTAAAAATTTTTATTATAAAATACAAAAAGTTTATAATTAATTTTTTCTGTTTTTTTCAAAATTCTTTTTGACTTTTTCTTTAAATAATTTTTCATCTTTTTAAATTAATAAATTTTTAAATAATTTAAAACCTTGCATTCTTTAAATTTTTATATTACTTTTTCAGTAACAATTTTATTTATAAAAGAAAAAAAAAAATTTTTTTTTTCTAACTTTTTATAAGAAAATACAAAAAACTTGATAATTTAGAAAAAAAAAATTCCCCTACATAATTTTTCTTCTTCCCTAATTTTATTTATAAAAGAAAAAATAGAAAAAATAATCAAAATTTTGTTCATAATTAATTAATTAAAAAATTTTAATTGAATTATTTTAAAAATTAATTAATTACAAAATTTAAAAATTAATTTCAATTAATTAATTACAAAATTTAAAAATTAATTTAAATTAATTAATTACAAAATTTAAAAATTAATTTAAATTAATTAATTAATTAATTTCTTTTTTTTTCAAAATTCCCTGACTTTTGAAGATTTTTTTTTACAAAATTCCTTGATTTTTTCCCTGCGGCCACAATGGAATTTTTTTTCACTTTCTTATGAAATTGATTTTTAATAGAAAAAATTTGTTTATTTTAATTTTAATTTTTATTTTTATTAGGGATGGAAAAATGAAGAAGAATTAGCAGCTATTATGTCATATACCTTTCTTCTTGCTTCCTTTATATTTAATATATTTATCTATTGTTTAATTGGAGAATTGGTGACTGTACAGGTGTGAGAATTTAAAAATTTTTTTTTTTTTTTCGGAAAAATTGGCATAATTTTTTTTTTCCCCCACAGGCTACAAAAGTTGGTGAAAAAGGCTATCAAATCGATTGGTATTTATTGCCAAAAGAAACAATAAAAGATTTATTATTTTTCATAAGAATTTCTCAATTTCCACCAAAAATTTCGGCGGGAAAAATTTTTGTCCTCTCACTTGGAACTTTTAGTACGGTAAGTTTTTTTTTTTTTGAAATAACAATGTTTCGAAAAATAAATTAATTAAATTTTTTTATTTTAGGTACTCAAAACTTCAGCAGCATACTTCAATGCTCTTTGGAAAATTTCACAATAATTTTTCCATAAATGAAAATTTATTTTAATTCACAAAAATTATTTTAGTTTTTCTCCTCTGTGTGGTACAAATTGTTTTTTTGAGAAATAATTGTACACTTCCAAATAAATTTTTAATATAATTATTTTACGAGATTTTTTTAAGTTTTTAAATTTTTATAAATTTTTTTTTATTTCTAAATTAAAAAAAAAACATTTCGGTGATATAACTATTTCAGCAGAAAAAATTTTGAATCAATGAAATCTAAGAAAGAAAGAAAGTTTTCACAATGGAAGGTGAAGAAAAAAAAATTCTGTGGAAATTATATATTTGTTTGGTAAAGAAGAAAAAAAAAAACAAAGTTGATTGTTTATAAATTCATAAGTTTTACGCAAGCGCAAACTTTTAGTTTTCATTGAAACAATAAAGGAAGGCATTTAGTATAAAATCTATTTTTGCTGATGAAAGATATGTCTATGGAAAATTTCAATAAAACATACAAATCAGATATAAGATATGCAATTAATACTTGTCGATGGATTGCATTATTTTTGGGATTATGGCCAAATAATAATGAGAAATTTTTAAAAAAATTATTAAAAATATTTATAAATTTTTTATCAATTACACTAATGATATTTGTTATTGTTTCTTGTATTTTATTTGGTATTTTTGAATTAAATGAAATATCACAAAAAATTAGCTTAACAGGACCAACAAGTTTTTATATTATGGCATTTATGAAATATTCAATAATTTTAATACATAGTCAAAATTTGGAAAATTGTTTTCAATTTATGGAAATTGATTGGCAATATCTTAAAAATAATGAACATCGTAAAGTAATGTTAAAATATGCAAAATTAGGAAGATCCATGACTATTCTTTGTGCAACATTTATGTATACTGGTGGTTTTTGGTTTCATATTTTAAGTCCATTAACAGCTGGAGCAATTGTTACGCATAAAAATATTAGTTGTCAACCATTTCCACTTCCAATTTATGGCAATTATTTAACAACAGGAGAGAGTCCAATTTATGAAATTATTTATTTTACACATATTATTGTTGTTTGTATAATGGAATCAATAGCTGTTGTTACATTTAGTTTTGCGGCAATTTTAACAATTCATGCATGTGGTCAATTTGAAATTGTTATTATTTATTTAAATGATCTTGTCAGTGAATTGGAAAAGGAGAAAATTTTTCATCTCAATGATAAATTAATTATTACTGTGAATTCACATCTTCGAGTATTGAGGTAAATTCTATTAATAAAAAAAAAAAAAAAAAAAAAAAAAACGTAAATAAAGATGCACATTTTATAATTTATAAATTTCAGTTTTGTTTCTCAATTGGAATCTGTTTTTAACGAAATATGTTTTATTGAAATTATGGGCTCAACACTTAATATTTGTTTACTTGGATATTACACAATTAGGGTAAAACTATATTAAATTATCATGTTTTTTTTTGTATAAAAAAAATGTTAATTTGGAAATATTTTTTTGATTTCGTTGGGAAATTTGATAGAAAATATCTTTTCAATTTTAATTATTATGGATCCTTTTTTTTGCAATAGGGATGGAAAAATGATGAAGAACTGGCAACTATAATATCATATACTATTATTCTTGCTTCTTTTATTTTTAATATCTTTATTTATTGTCTAATTGGAGAAATGGTGACTATGCAGGTGTGATACCTATTTTTTTATAAAATTAATTAATTTTCATATTAAATTTATTTATTTATCTATTTATTTTTTTTATTCATTTTTTTATTTAATTATTTTTTACTTTTATTTATTTATTAATTAATTTATTTAGTAATATAATAAAAAATAATTATAAATTTTACAGGCTAGAAAAGTTGGTGAAAAAAGTTACATGATAGAATGGTATTTATTGCCAAGAACAACGTCAAAAGATTTATTATTTTTTATTATAATTTCACAATTTCCACCAAAAATTTCAGTGGGAAAAATTTTTGTATTGTCTTTTGAAACTTTTAGTGCGGTAAAAAAAAAAAATTTTATTTCAATATTTTTTTACAAGTCGATAGACAATTTGTATAATTAATGATATTATTAATTTTTATAGATACTTAAAACATCCGCAGCATATTTAAATGCTCTGTGGAAAATGTCACAGTAACTTTTTGAATAGGAAAAATTTTTTTCAGAGAAATGTAAGAAAAAAAAAAAAATTATTTAAATTCTCAACTATAAATTTTAAAAATAATTTAGTAAATAATATAGAGAGTAATAAATTAATTATATAACTCTATATATATTTAATAAAAAGTTTTAAAAAATAATTAGAAAATATTTTTTATCTCCCCGTGTGGAAAAAGCCACGATCTTGCCCTCAAGAGTTCGGGGCCCCCGGCGGGGGCCCATGAGGGCTGATCCATATGGCGAATCCATGAGGGGCACCGTAGGGGCCCCGCATGGATCGCCCTCATGATCGATTAGCAAAATTTTCTAAGTCCAAAAATCAAATATTTTTTTATCACCAAAAAATTAATGTTTATAATGATTCAGAACCACGAAAAACGCGTTTTTAATAAAAATATATTTACACTTTTTTGAAAATAACACTCACACTTATGGCAAAATAGATGAGGGCCACCGTATGGGGCCCGCATGGATCGCCCTCATGATCGATTAGCAAAATTTTCTAAGTCCAAAAATCAAATATTTTTTTATCAACAAAAAATGAATGTTTCCAATGATTTAAAACAACGAAAAACGCGTTTTTAATAAAAATATATTTACACTTTTTTGAAAATTCGCCTGAGATGATTCATGATAATAATCATAAAGCATATAATTAATTATATTTTATAAATTGCATTTGATTGGAAAATATAATTTAATATCTTAACTTTAACTAAATGATGTTAAGCACTTTTCTTTGTTAGGTATTTTTGAAGTTTAAATAGCATCAAGAAGTTAGCATTCGTTTTGAAGTAGCGTACGTAGCGTAGTTGGTAAAGCGTTAGACTCATAGTCCGTAGGTCGTAGGTTCGATTCCCCCCATGCGTTAGATTTATTTATTTCTCAGGTTTGCGTTTAATCATTAATTCTATGTATGAATTAATTGAAAAATGAAAATATCCGTTAATAGTATGCATAAATTAAATATTTTTTAATTTTTTAATTAATTAATTTATTATTACTTTTAATTATATCCGACAGTTAATTAATTAGAACGTTAATTAATAAATTGAATTTGAGTAAGAATTTAATTTAAAATTGAATAATTATTAAATAAATATGTTATTTATTCATAACTTAAGCTTATTTATTATTAATTAACTTTTATTATTAATATTATTGATTAAAAAACATTATGGCAAACTTGAGGGCAAGATGAGGGCAAACGTGAGGGCCCATAAGGGCGCCCGTAGGGGCACCCTCATGGATCGCCCATGCGGGCGCCCTCATCGATGAGCATGTCGTTTCCATGAGGGGCCCCTATGGATCATCCATATGCGGCCCTCATGGCATGAGGGCGATCCATAAGGGCCCCCGCTGGGGGCCCACATCACTTTTCCACACGGGTCCCGCAAAATATAAAAATTTATAATTAAATATTTCATTAAAATTATTTTTCTCATATATATATATATATAGTAATTTTATTTTATTATTGTACTGAAGAAAAAAATTTATTTGCTCCAAATAAATAATTATTTGATATAAATAAATATTTATTTAATAAAAAGTAACCCGATTATTTGAAAAAAATAAATTTTTTTTAAATAAACATTTTTTAGACCTAAATATTTTTAAATTTAAAAAAAAATTATATTTGCAGAGATTGGGTTAAAAATCAATTTTTTTGCCAAATTTTTTTCCCCTGTGAGAATCACTCAACAAACTCTATTATACAAAGTGCAATCGAAGAACAAATAAAATTGTATTTTAATTACTTCTTACAAACTTTAGACGCAAGCGCGTAAAACTTTTACAACAACCAAGCTTTGATATCTAAAGCTTTTAGTATCATTTTATATTCGAAAGAATAATAATGTCTTCTAAATCAAATGAAGATTCAATAAAATTTTATAATAGTGACTATATCATTGATTCTTGTAGGCCAATAGCAATAGTTGTTGGTTTATGGCCAATTAATTATCAAATATCAAAAAAAAAAAAAATTATTACCATTATTTTAAATTTCATTGCAATTACATTAATGTCACTTCGTCTAATATCAAATATTCTTTATGGAATATTTGAATTAAAAACATTAGCACAAAAAGCACAAATAGCAGGTCCTGCATGTTTTCAAATAGCAAATATTTCTAAATATTTATTAATTTTAATAAAAGGTGAAAAAATTGAAAAATGTTTTCAAATTGTCAAAGAAGATTGGTGTCGTATTGAAAATAATGAGCAACGAGAAGTGATGATGAAACATGCAAAATTTGGACGTTATATAATTATTATTTGTACAATTTTTATTTTTTTTGGTGGATTAGGTTATAATTTAATAACACCATTAACAAGTAATTCAATAATTACACATATGAATATATCAGTTAAACCATTTCCATCACCGATTTATGGAAAATTTTTTACAAGTGGTTTATCACCAATTTATGAAATTGTTTTCTATTCACATATTTTAGTTGCATTTTTTTTATATAGTGTTACACCAGTGGCATTTAGTTTTGTTGCAATGTTAACATTACATGCGTGCGGTCAATTTGAAATTGTTATTCTTTATTTAAAAAAAATTCTTAATAACATTGATGATGACAAAAATTCGATTCATGAGAAATTTGTCATTGTTGTCAATTCACATTTGCGTGTGATAATGTGAGTACAATTAATTTGAGTCAAAAAAAAAAAATAGTTTCGTTTAATGAAAATATTTTTTTTTTTTTAGTTTTGTTGCTAAATTAGAAGCTGTATTCACAGAGATATGTTTAATTGAAATAATGGGTTGTTCAATTGATTTGTGTTTACTGGGATATTATATAATAATGGTATTAATATTTTATAATTTTTTTTTTGTATTTACGAATAATTTTTAAAAACTATTTTTTTTTTAGTGTGCCAAACAATCGAATTATTCACAATTAATAACATTTAGTTTTCTTTTCTCATCGTTTCTTTTTAATATTTTCATTTATTGCTATATTGGAGAGATGCTTACACATCAGGTACAAATTCCGATTTTTTTTTTTTCAACAAGAGTTCAAAATATACAAAAATTTAATTGTGAATTTTTAATTAAAACAGGCTAAAAAAGTTGGAGAAAGTTGTTTTTTGATAAATTGGTATCTTTTACCAAAGAAAACATTGAAGGATTTGATTTTTTTTATTAGATGTGCACAATCGTCAACTAAAATAACAGCTGGAAAAATTATTACATTGTCATTTTCCACATTTGGATCGGTAAGTAAATTTTTTATTGACAAGTGTTTATTTTTTTTGTAATAAAAGAAATATATTTTAAATGTCTTTTCCAATTAAAAATTAACTTTTGTGTTATATTTTGAATTTTGTTGTCTGACTAAAAACTAATTTTACTACTGGAAAAAAACAAATATTTCAAATACTTCGTCTGACAAAAAGTTGATATTACTACTTAAAATAAAATCACAAACGCTTTGTCTGACTAAAATCAATTTTTACTACTTAAAATAAAATTACAAGAACTTCTAAACTCTCTGTTTGACTAAAGTCGAATTTTACTACTGAAAAAAATCTGTGTCCAACTAAAAGCTAACTTTACTGCTTAAAAAAATAACAAACGCTTTGTCTGACTAAAATTGCACTTTACTACTTTAAAAAACCTTCGTCTGACTAAAACCGAATTTTACCACTTACAACAAAATTAAACAAAATTCTGTGCCTGACTAAAATCGAATTTTACCACTTAAAATAAAATTTAAAAAATGCTATGTCTGACTAAAACCGAATTCTACCACTTAAAATGAAATCAAAAAAATTCTTTGCCAAAGTCCAAATTTAACTACTTAAAATGAAATAAAAAAATTCTTTGTCTGACTAAAACCGAATTTTACTACTTAAAATAAAAAAAATGTTTTGTCTAACAAAAGACGGCTTTTACTACTTAAATATGAGAAAAAACATTTAACCACTTACAATAAAATTAAACAAAATTCTGTGTCTGACTAAAATCGAATTTTACCATTTATAATAAAATTTTAAAAATTATTTGACAAAAACCAAATTTTACTACTTAAAATAGAAAAAAAATATGCCTGACTAAAACCGACTTTAACTACTTAAAATATAAGTGAAACGAATTGTCTGCCTAAAACCGAATTTTATCACTTAAAATAAAATTTTAAAATTCTTTGTCTGACTAAAATCGACTTTTAGTACTAAAAATATAACAAAAAAAAGTGATTTGTCTGACTAAAACCGAATTTTACTACTTAAAATAAAATAAAAAATGTCTTGTCTTCCAAAAAACGGCTTTTACTATTTAAATATGAGAAATAACTTTAAACCACTTACAATAAAATTAAACAAAATTCTGTGTCTGACTAAAATCGAATTTTATCACTTAAAATAAAATTTAAAAAATTATTTGACAAAAACCAAATTTTACTACTTAAAATAGAAAAAAAAATTTGCCTGCATGAAACCGTCTTTAACTACTTAAACTATAAGTGAAACGAATTGTCTGACTAAAACCGAATTTTACCACTTAAAATAAACTAAAAAATTCCGTATCTGACCAAAACCGAATTTTACTACTTTAATATATAATAAAAAAAAGTTTAAATCATTTTCTCAATAATTTATAGTTTGTTTTGTAATTTTTCAGGTTATAAAAACAGCAGGTGCATATTGTAATGCGCTTTGGAAAATGACAAAATAAAATCTATTAAATTAAAAAAAAAAAAAAAATTTTATAGAAACAAACATAATGGAAAGTTTATGTAAATATATGTGTATATAGTAGAAATCAATCAAAATGAAAATAAAAAAAATATATTCGCACAATTTTCATAAAAAAAAAAATTTTTTTTTTTTAATAATTATTAAAAATTTAACAAGTATTTTTATGCACTCTTTCAAAAAAAATTTTTACACATTCAAAATTTTTTTTTTACATTTTTTAGATAATAGACAAAATTTTAATTTTCCCTATCAAACAGATTTCACTACTGTCATTAAAGTACATTAAAGTATAATAAATACAGTTGGAATAATTTCGTATCAAGTTTCACGCAAGCGCTTAAAATATTTCTAAAGGAGCATGATGTCTAAAGCTTTAGTATCATCTTGCATGCGAAAGAATAATAATGTCTTCTAAATCAAATCGAGATTCAATAAAATATTATAACAGTGATTATGTTTTGAATTCATGCAAACTAATTGCATTAATTGTTGGTCTTTGGCCAATTAATATTCAAAATTCATCGCAACAAAAAATAATAAAAATTATTTTAAATTTTATTGTACTTTCATTTATGATGTTACGTTTTTTATTTACAATTCTTTTTGTTACATTTGTATTAAAAAATATATCACAAAAATTTCAAATGGTTGGTCCAATATTATTTCAAATAACAAATATTATAAAATATTTATTATTATTAAATCGTGGTAAAAAAATTGAGAATTGTTTTAAAATTATTAAAAACGATTGGTGTCGTATTGAAAATGATCAACAACGACAAATGATGATAAAAAATGCTCAATTTGGAAGAAATTTAATTATTATGAGTACTATTTTTATGTATATTGCTGGTTTGGGTTATAATGTTATATCACCATTGATGAGTAAATCAATAATTACACATAAAAATATTTCTGTTAAACCATTTCCATCACCGCTTTATGGAAAATTTTTTACAAGTGGTGAAAGTCCTATTTATGAAATTATTTTTAGTTTACAACTTATGACGGGTTTTTTCTTATATAGTGTTACACCTGTGGCATTTAGTTTTGTTGCAATGTTTACATTACATGCGTGTAGTCAATTTGAAATTGTTATTTTTTATTTAAATAAACTTCTCAATAAAGTTGACAATGAAAAATGTACAATTCATGAAAAATTTGTTATTATTGTCAACTCACATCATCGTGTTATAAGGTAAAATTATTTTTAAATAAAATTTTATTTTATAATTTTTAAAATTTTCAACTAAATTTTTAAGCCAAAAGAATATATATATATATATATTACACTGTATAATAAATATTTTTACACATACAGAAAAATATTTCTATGATGAAGGGTCAAAGAAAAATTTTTTTTTTATAAAGGAAAATTCTTTTTCAAAGAAATTTTTTTTATTTTAAGAAATACTTTTTAATTTCAAAATTTTTTTTAGAATAAAAAAATTTTCTTTAAATCAAATAAATATTTTTTTAAATAAACAAAACATTTCTTTGACTCTATATAAAAAAAATACTTTTTTAATTAAAAAAAATATTTTTTTGGATATGCTAAACATTTTTTTTTTAATTCTAATTAATGTGACGAAAATTGTATTTTTTAGTTTTGTTGCTAAATTAGAGGCTGCATTCACGGAAATATGTTTAATAGAAATATCGATTTGTACAGTCGCCTTGTGTTTGATAGGTTATTATATGATAATGGTATAAATTTAATAATGACGTTCTTCAATTAATTTTTTTAATTTCTTCATTCTTTTTTTTTAAATTAAAATTTTTTTTTTTAGTCTGTGAAACAATCAAATTACTCCAATTCAATAACATTCCCATTTCTTTTTACATCTTATTTATTCAATCTTTTTATTTACTGTTATGTTGGAGAGTTGCTTGTACATAAGGTAACTCTAATTTGTAAATATTTTTTTCAAAAATATTAAAATTTAATAGTGAATTTTTAAAAATATTTATTATAGGTTAATAAAGTGGGAGAAAATTGTTATTTAATTGATTGGCATCTTTTATCAGCGAGAACATTAAAAGATTTAATTTTCTTTCTTCGATGTACACAATCATCAACTAAAATTACAGCTGGAAAAGTTATTCCACTCTCCTTATCAACGTTTGGTTCAGTAAGACAATTTTTAAGTTTTGATAAAAAATAATGAAAATAAAATAATTAAATATAATTTAGAAAAAAAATAATTTTTTAAACATTTTTTAAATTATTTTCAATTTTAATTATTAGAAATTTAAAATCATTCGTCTGACTACAAACTGATTTTACTACTTAACGTAAAATAACAAGAATTTTAACATTTTTATGTCTGATTAAAATTTGCTGCACTACTTAAAATAAAATAACAAACTATTTGTCTGACCAAAACCTACTTTTACTACTTATATAACAACAAACGCTTTGTCTGACTAAAATCTACTTTTACTACTTAAAATATAAAAAAAATTATTTTTCTGACTAAAACCGAATTTTATCACATAAAATAAAAAATTCATTGTCTGACCAAAACCTACTTTTACTACTTAAAATAAAATTACAAGAACTTCTAACCTCTCTGTTTGACTAAAGTCGAATTTTACTACTTAAAAAATTCTGTGTCCGACTAAAACGCTAATTTTACTGCTGAAAAAAATAACAAACGGTTTGCCTGACTAAAATCGCACTTTACTACTTTAAAAAACCTTAGTCTGACTAAAGCCGAATTTGACTACTTAATGTAAAATCAAAAATGCCTTGTCTGACAAAAATCACCTTTTACTACTTAAAATATAAGAAAACCCGCTTTGTCTGACTAAAACCGAATTTTCTACCACTTAAAATGAAAAAAAAAATTTTTTTGACAAAAAACAAATTTTACTACTTGAAATGAAATAAAAATATTCTTTGTCTAAATAAAACCGAATTTTACTACTTAAAATAAAATAAAAAATGTTTTGTCTAACAAAAAACGGCTTTTACTACTTAAATATGAGAAAAAACTTTTGACCACTTACAATAAAGTTAAACAAAATTCTGTGTCTGACTAAAATCAAATTTTACCATTTAAAATAAAATTTAAAAAATTATTTGACAAAAACCAAATTTTACTACTTAAAATAGAAAAAAAATTTGCCTCACTAAAACCGACTTTAGCTACTTAAAATATAAGTGAAACGAATTGACTGACTAAAGCCGAATTTTACCATTTAAAATAAAATTTTAAAATTCTTTGTCTGACTAAAATCGACTTTTAGTACTAAAAATATAGCAAAAAAGTGATTTGTCTGACTAAAACCGACCATTACTACTTAAAATATAAGAAAAACCGCTTTGTCTGACTAAAATCGAATTTTCTACCACTTAAAATGAAATAAAAAAAATTCTTTGACAAAAACTAAATTTTACTACTCAAAATGAAATAAAAAAATTCTTTGTCTAAATAAAACCGAATTTTACTATTTAAAATAAAATAAAAAATATTTAGTCTAACAAAAAACGGCTTTTACTACTTAAATATGAGAAAAAACTTTTAACCACTTACAATAAAGTGAAACAAAATTCTGTGTCTGACTAAAATCGAATTTTACCATTTAAAATAAAATTTAAAAAATTATTTGACAAAAACCAAATTTTACTACTTAAAATAGAAAAAAAAATTTGCCACACTAAAACCGACTTTAACTACTTCAAATATAAGTGAAACAAATTGTCTGACTAAAACCGAATTTTTCCACTCAAAATAAAATTTAAAAATTCTTTGTCTGACTAAAATCGACTTTTAGTACCAGAAATATAGCAAAAGAAGTGATTTGTCTGGCTAAAACCGACCATTACTACTTAAAATGTAAGAAAAAATGTTTTTTGTCTGGCTAAAGCCGAATTTTACTACTTAAAATAAAATAAAAAATGTTTTGTCTAACAAAAAACGAATTTACTATTTAAATATGAGAAAAAACTTTTAACCACTTACAATAAAATTAAACAAAATTCTGTGTCTGACTAAAATCTACTTTTACTACTTAAAATATTAAAAAAAAATATGTTTCTGACTAAAACCGAATTTTATCACTAAAATAAAAAAAATTCTTGTCCGACCAAAACCTACTTTTACTACTTATAAAATAACAAACGATTTGTCTGACTAAAATCTACTTTTACTACTTAAAATATAAATAAAATTTTAAAAATATTTTTGTAAATAATTAAAAATAATTACTGTATTTTTTTTTGATAATTTTTCAGGTCATAAAAACAGCAGGTGCATACTGTAATGCATTGTGGAATATGAGCAAATAAAATTGAGAAATTATAAAAACACGAATAATGAAAAAATACCAATTTTTATTTTTCATGTGCATGTGTATTGTATTTGTAAAAAAATTAATTAAAATTATAATAAAGAATCTATTTTGTGACAATTTAAGAGAAGTATATTTTTTATGTAAAAAAAAAATTATTTTAATATATTAAAAAAAAATCTAAATTACGTAAATTGATAACTTTTATTTCACTATAGAAAAATATTTTTTTTTCTTTCTTTTCATATACTTAAAATAAAAATAATATATAAAACATTCACCCTATTTCAATTGCACATGCTCTGTGGAGTAATTAATTTTCACGCACGCGTAGGTTTCAGAATTTTCAAACAAAAAAAAAAAAAAAAAAAAAAAAACTTTCAGTTTGAATACAGACAGAGAAGTCAAAAGAGAAAATTTGTACATAAAAAAATAACAAAAAATGTCTATTAAAAAATTGAATTTCAATTATAAAAATGATTTGAATTATACGCTAAACGTTGCAAAATTATTAGGTAACATTTTATGTTTATGGCCAAATGATTGTGGACAATTTTCAATAAAATCATTTATTAAAATAATTGTCAATTGTATCTCAAGTTTTCTCATGATCAGTGTTTTAATATCAACTATTCTTTCTGCATTATATATAGCGAAAAATAATAATGAAAAAGTTGATATGATTGGTCCGGCATTTTTTTACACAGTGTCAATAACAAAATTTTTTTTCTTCTTCTATCATAGTGAATTATTTAAAAAATGTTTAAATTATATTAAAGAAGATTGGATGCTAGTTAATAGCAATGAAGAAAGAGAAATAATGTTAAAAAATGCAAAATTTGGAAGAAAACTTTCAATTTTTTGTACTATTTTTTGGTACAGTGGTTGTTTTGGACATCATTTTTTAAAACCTCTAATGTCTGATAGTTTTTTAACTGTAATGAATATTAGTATTAAACCATATCCATCACCTGTTTATGGTGATATTTTTAATACTGGTTTAAGTCCACTTTATGAATTAACATTTGGTGCAATTGTTATTGCAAATTTTTTTCTAACTTCAATGGCTGTTTTTTCATTTAATTTGTCAGCAATTTTTTTAATTCACGCATGTGGACAATTTGATATTATTATTTTAAAATTAAACAATTTTGTCAATGGATTAAGAAAAAAGGAGAAATTTAATGATATTGTCAAACAACATGCGAGAATTTTAAGGTATTTTTTTTTCCTTTTATTTATTTGCAAAAAATTATTATTATTTTTTGGAAAATTAGTAATTTTTAATTTTTTTTTCCAGCTATATTTCGCAATTAGAGAAAATGTTGAGTGAAATATTTCTTGCTGAAATATTGGGTTGTGCTGCTAATTTAAGTGTTTTGGGTTATTTTGCAATATTGGTAATGTACAAATAATTAATATTTTTGTAACAATTGTTTTATATAATTTAATATATTCGAATTAATATTTTAATATTATTTATTTAAATTGAAATTAAATAATTATTGTTTGTAATTTTATTTATTAATATTTTATTAGTCAAGAAATTTATGTGAAAAACAGTTTTTGTTTAATATATATATATATATATTTTTTTTTAAAGAAAACTGGTTATTTTTATGCTTCTATGAAATTAATATTAATAATAAATAACAGGAAGAGTAATAAATATAATGAAAATGTGTTTGTTTTATAACTTTCTTTGAAAGGGGCTCCAAAACATTACGCTCCACTAATTCGAATATATTAAGAATTACAAAAAGGTTAATGAAACTTTACTAACACTTGATTCAATATTTTTATTTACCGATAAAACAAAACGTCAACGATCAATAGAATTGGAAGGAGAACAATTTTGCTAATGTTGTAACATATATAATTCTTCTAAATGTTTATATTTTCAACATTTTTATATATTCATACATTGGAGAACTGCTTACTACTCAGGTAAATTGAATTAAACAATAATTATTATTATTAATTATAATTATTATACTTATTATAATTATAATTATTTAATTAAATTATTTTTTAAATTATTTTTTAAATTATTTTTTAAATTATTTTTTAAATTATTTATTTAGATTATTTTTTTATTATAATACTTAAAATTATTATAATTATAATAATAAATGAGATTTTACACATATTAATTGAAATTCTATTGTTTTTTAATTAGGCCAGAAAAGTTGGTGAAACATGTTATATGATAGACTGGCATCAATTGCCAAAAAATATTTCGCAAGATTTGTCATTTTTAATTCAAATTGGTCAATTACCAAAGCAAATTAAAGCTGGAGGATTTATTTTTTTATCTATGACAACATTTGCAGCAGTATATGATTTTTCTTTAATTATTATAAAAACTATAATAAAGTACTTCTTTTTCTCTATATTTCTAAATTTGTATTATTCTTTTTCAGATAATAAAATCGTCTACAGCTTATTTTAATATTCTTTGGAATATGCTTTAATAAATTAAAACAAAATTTGTAAATTTAAATAAATAAATAAAAATACTAAAACCTACATTTACTACTTATAAAATAACAAACGCTTTGTCTGACTAAAATAAATTTTTACTACTTAAAACAAAAATTACAAGAACTTCTAAACTCTCTGTTTGACTAAAGTCGAATTTTACTGCTTAAAAAATTCTGTGTCCGACTAAAACCTATTTTTACTGCTTTAAAAAAAATAACAAACGCTTTGCCTGACTAAAATCGCACTTTACTACTTTAAAAAACCTTAGTCTGACTAATACCGAATTTGACTTCTTAAAGTAAAATCAAAAATGCCTTGTCTGACAAAACCGCCTTTTACTACTTAAAATATAAGAAAAATCGCTTTGACTAACTAAAACCGAGTTTTACCACTTAAAATAAAATTTAAAAAATGCTATGTCTGACTAAAACCGAATACGATCACTTAAAATGAAATAAAAAAAATTCTTTGACAAAAACCAAATTTTACTACTTGAATTGAAATAAAAAAATTCTTTGTCTAAATAAAACCGAATTTATTAATTTATTTTTTTAAAATAAAATAAAAAATGTTTTGTCTAACAAAAAACGACTTTAACTACCTACTTAAATATGAGAAAAAATATTTGACAACTTACAATAAAGTGAAACAAAATTCTGTGTCTGACTAAAATCGAATTTTACCATTTAAAATAAAATTTAAAAAATTGTTTGACAAAAACCAAATTTTACTACTTAAAATAGAAAAAAAAATTTGCCTCACTAAAACCAACTTTAACTACTTAAAATATAAGTGAAACGAATTGTCTGACTAAAACCGAATTTTACCACTTAAAATAAAATTCCTTGTCTGACTAAAATAGACTTTTAGTACTAAAAATATAGCAACAAAAGTGATTTGTCTGACTAAAACCGACCATTACTACTTAAAATGTAAGAAAAAATGTTTTTTGTCTGGCTAAAGCCGAATTTTACTACTTAAAATAAAATAAAAAATTTTTTGTCTAATAAAAAACGGCTTTTACTACTTAAATATGAAAAAAAACTTTTAACCACTTACAATAAAATTAAACAAAATTCTGTGCCTGACTAAAATCGAATTTTATCACTTAAAATAAAATTGAAAAAATTATTTGACAAAAACCAAAAAGTGAAAAGTAATTTGAAATAAGCCAAATTTAATTAAAAATAATATGCAATTTTTCTTAAATTATTATTACTCTCTAAATCTGAATTAGTAAAAATGTTTACTAATTTGAATTAGTGACTCACTTTTTGCTTAAGAATTAGTTAAATTTTACCAATTGTTAGTAAAAGTTACTAATAATTAGTAAAATTTTACTAATTCTGAAGCAAAAAAGTGAGTCACTAATTCAAATTAGTAAAAATTTTTACTAATTCAGATTTAGAGAGTATTTAAAAATAATTTTTTATTAATATCATTGCAATTTTAATTAAATAATTTCAAATTTATCGTCCTCGTAAAAATAATCAACAAACTTGAAAAATAACCACCAAGGAAACATGGGAAAATATCTCGATTTATCGAAGTATATTTGAAGAACAAGAAAATGCATTTGAATAATTTCATGTCAAGTTTTACGCAAGCGCGGCAAATAGTTTACAAGGGTTCTTATAATGTCTAAAGCTTTAGTATCATTTTGTATGCGAAAGAATAATAATGTCTTCTAAAACAAAACGAAATTCAATAAAATTCAATAATAGTGACTATGTTATTAATTCATGTAAACCATTGGCATTATGTGTTGGTCTTTGGCCAATTAATTATAAACATTCACAAATAAGAAAAATAATTAGTATTATTTTAAATATTATTGCAATTTTATTAATACTACAACGATTTTTATTTACAGTTATTTTTTCAACTTTTGTACTAAAAAGTATAACTCTAAGAATAGCAATTTCAGCACCCGCATGTTATCATATTTGTAATCTCATTAAATATATAGTAATTTTATTTCGAATTGAAAAAATTGAAAAATGTTTAAAAATTATGAAAGAAGATTGGCGTTATATTGAAAATAATGAGCAACATGAAGTGATGATAAATAATGCTAAAACTGGACGTTATATAATTTTTATTTGTACTTCCATTATTTTTCTTAGTGGATTGGGATATAATATTCTAGCACCATTATTGAGCCATTCAATTGTAACACATAGAAATATTACAGTTAAACCATTTCCATCGCCAGTATATGGAAAATTTTTTACAAGTGGTCAAAGTCCTATTTATGAAATTATTTTTGCTGTACAACTTGTGACGGCTTTTTTCTTATATAGTGTTACAGCTGTTGCAATTAGTTATATTGCAATTTTAACAATGCACGCATGCAGTCAATTTGACATTGTTATGATTTATTTAAATAAACTTATTGACATTCAAGATAAAGAAAAAACAGTTCATAAAAAATTTGTTATTATTGTCAATACACATCATCGCGTTGTGAGGTAAAATATTTTTCATAATTTTTTTTTTATTCCACATACAAATAAATAAATTTTTATTTTTAAATAAAATTTTAATTGCGCTAAATAATATTTTATTTTTGTGTTAAATAAATATGTATTTGTTTGCGATAAATAAAATTTTATTTTTATACATCCAGAGAAATAATGTTTTATTTGAAAGAAATATAATATATTTTAGTTAAATAAACGTATATTTGTCTCATAGCCTACTTATTTGGTGTAAAAAAAATTCTTTATTTAAATCAAACAAAAAATTTATTTAAATAAAAAAAAAAAATTTATTTGAATTAAATAAATATTTATAAGGCTCTGAGACAAGTATATCATTTCTCTGGGTGTACTAAATGTTTGTAAAATTGTTTTTTTTTTTTTTAGTTTTGTTGCTAAATTAGAAGATGCATTCACAGAAATATGTTTTATTGATATGGCATTGTGTTCAATCGGTTTGTGTTTGTTGGGATATGTAATAATTTTGGTATATAATTTTGTTTTTTTTTAAATTATTTTAAGATTAAACTTTTTACTATTTTTTTTTTACAATACATTTTCGTTATACACCCAAAGAAGTGATACATATATTTCTCTCAGAGGCAAGAAAATAATTAGTTGATTCAAATCAACTTTATTTGATTTAAATAAATTTCATTTTGGTTTAAATAAAAATTTTTTATTTGTGCTAAATAAAAATTTTTATTCATAACAAAAAGTCATTAAGCCCTGAGACAATTATATTTTTATTTGATTCAAATAAAAAAAATTTCTGAGTGTATATTTTTAAGATTGTAAAATTTTTTTTAGTTTGCAAAACAGTCTAATTATGTAACCGCAATGTCGTTTGTTATTCATTTTACATCGCTTCTATTCAACATTTTTATTTACTGTTATATCGGAGAAATGCTTCTTCATAAGGTAATTGAAATTATTTTCCCCGTTTAAAAAAATATTAAAATTAGTGAAAATAATTTAAAAATTAATTAATTATTAATTAATTTTAATTTAATTAATTTTAATTATTTGAAAAAATTAGGCCACAAAAGTTAGAGAAACTTGTTGTACGATTAGTTGGCATCTTTTGCCACATGAAACATCAAAAAATTTTATATTTTTCCTCCAAAGTACACAAACATCTACTCATATTACAGCTGGGAAAGTTATTACTTTGTCTTTTACAACATTTAGTTCTGTAAGTCAAAAATTATTTCGTATATTATTTTATTTGTTATTTTAATATTTTTTTTTATAAAATTTATAAGAATTGAAAAATTTTTTTCTGACTAAAGCAAATTTTACTATACTTCAAATAAAATAAGAAAAATTTAATACGTTTTGTTCGACTAAAACATGGTTTCACTACTTGAAAATAAAATAACAGGAATAGAATTGAAACCAAAATGAAATTTACCTGAAACAAATATATATTTATTTAGCTTTGAGACAAATATATAATTTCACTGTATGTAAAAAAAATTTACAAAAAAAAAAAAAAAACGAAAACAAATACAAGCAAAAACTATGTAAAAAATTATAATAATTATTACAACTATTGTTCTTGTATATTTATTTATTCAAATATACGCACAAAGTACAAAATACCGATAAATACAAAAATTATGAATACAAAATACAAAAAACGTATATTGTTTTTTTTTTTTTTTTTTTTTATTAATGTTTGTATTTTTTTGTATTTAGAAAAATTTTTTTTTTTTGTATTTTTTGCAGGTCATCAGATCAGCAGGTGCATATTGCAACGCGCTTTGGAATATGAACAAATAGAACAAATTTAAAATTCAAAAACTATGACGAAGGAAATGAATGAAAATTATTTATATAAATATTATATAAATATTTATTTATCATGTGTGTTAAAAAAAAAAAATTAGTAAAAATTGTGATGTTCTATAAAAAATGATAAAGTAAATATATTATATTTTATGTAAAAAATGGTTTAATGGAAAATAATATGTATCCTTGTAAAAAGAAATTAATTTAAAAAAAAAAAAAAAAATTTTCTAATTTTATTTATATGGAAAAAAAATTTACCTTTACGATATTTGAAAAAGAAATTGTAAAAATCTACATTTATTTTAAGGAACTTGACAAACATTTGGTAAAAACTTTAAAAATTTTTTTTTAATTTAATCGAAAATAATTTTATTAAGCACAATTGAAATTTTTATTTAATTGTAATAAAAATTATTTGAAACAAATGAATATTTATTTGGCTCTGAGAAAATTATATCTCAACTGTAAAAAGTAATTTGTAATGAGTCAAATTTACTTTTAAAGTATGATGCAATTTTCCTTAAATTATTATTATTATTATTATTATTTAAAAACAATTTTTTATTAATATCATTGCAATTTTATTACATTCGAATAACTTCATGCCACTGAGAAAAAAAAATTTAGTGTTTGCAATAAAATTGTTTGGTTAGGCAATTTTGTTTCTTGTAACGAAATTTTAGTTGGCTGAAACAAAGTCGTAGAGTTATCTCAACCAAACATTTGGTTAGGCCAACAAAATTATTTGGTAGAAAATTTTTAAATTCCAACCAAAATTTGGTTACGACAATAAAATAATTTGTTTAACACATTTTTGTTGACCTAACAAAAAAAAATTTGGTTGAACTAACCAAACATTTTTGTTATGCCAACAAAAAACACTTAACCAAATTTTTTGGTTGACTCAAACAAATAGTTTGGTTGCTTAAATACCAACAAAAATTTTTTTTTTGGTCCTCTTTTATTTGTGCTAAATAATATTTTATTTGTGTTAAATATTATTAGGTAGAAAAAAAAATTTATTTGCTCTAAATAAAAATTTTTAAATTATTTTTATAAAATTAGAAGAATTGAAAAAATTTTTTGTCTGACTAAAACCTGGTTTCACTACTTACAATAAAATAGCAGGAAATAGAATATGGCTTAAAAAAAATTTCTGGATATTATTATCGTTTTGAGGGAACTTTTTTTTTAAAAAACACCTTAAAAGTACTCTAAACATAAAATGTAATTAATGTTAAAAAAAATAAAAACATTTAGTTAATATTAAATGCAATTATTATTAATAGAAAATAAAAAAATATTTCGCTAACCTTATTATATGTATTGTAGTTTTGAGACGATGAGATCTTCTATGAACACACGCGATTTAAAAGAATTTCGAACACTCCCGAAATGACCTGTAAAAAAAAAGATACTTTTACTATAAATAATTTAAGCGATCGCGGTTTTAAAAATTTCGAACACTCCCGGAAAAAATATACTGAAAAAAAAGTTTAAAAAAAAATACATTATTATATTTAACACTAATTTTAAAATTATAAAATTTATACTAACTTTGGCAACGTCTGAACAGGTCAAGACACGAATTTCAACTGATTTAATTATCTTTGGATTTTTATGACCTTCGACTTCAAATTAACCTTTCGATTTCAATATAAACATAAAGCTCGAAATTCAGGTATATAAAGATAATCAAAATAATAATATTCCAATATCGGTGAGATGGATTTAAAATATTTCGAAATATTTGTAATAAATAATATATTTAATATTTATAAATATAAATATTAAATATTTTTTTAATACAAAATATAACATTTTTTTTTTTACATAAACCATTTTAAATTTCAAAAAATTCTCTCTTTTAAAAAAATTAATTACATTTTATTTATTATAACTATTTATTTTTTATTTTATTTTACTTTTAATTTTAGAGTACTTTTAAGACAAATTAAAATTTATTTAAGTAAAATAAAAATATATTTTTCTCAGAGCCTAAGGTCTTATTTATTTATTTAGAATAAAATTGTTTATTATTTGTTTGAAATAAAAAAAAATTAATTTAGCGCACTAAATAAAATATTGTTACCTAAACAAAATCAAATTTATTTGAAACAAATATATATATTTTCACTGGTTGTAAAAAATATACAAAAAATAAAATAGAAAAAAGAATTAAAAAATAAAAACAAAAAAAAATTTATAAAAATTATAATTATTATTATAAATATTGTATAATAATACAATAATAATAATAATAACAATAATGTGTATTTACATAATACAAAAATTACGAATACAAAATACAAAAAATGTATATTGTTTTTTTTTATATTTGTATTTTTTGCATATTCTTTTTTTTTTAATTTCAGATTATCAGATCAGCAGGTGCATATTGTAACACACTTTGGAAAATGACCGAATAAGAATGAATTTAAAATTCAAAAACTATGACGACAGGAATAATGAAAATATTTATATTTATTTATGTGTGTATTTGTATAACAAAAATTAATAAAAATTGTGATGTAGTATTTATTCTGTAAAAATGATAAAATAAATCTAATAATTTTATTTTATGTCAAAAATCGTTTTAAAAAAAATTTATTTATTCTATAAAAATAATAAACAAAATTTTCCTGTAGTGGACAATTTCAGGCTCTCTAAATCTAAATAAAAAATATTCAAAAATAAATAAAAATTAAAATAAAAAAAATAACATGAATCCTTGTAAAAAGAAAAATATTTTTTTAAAAAAGTTTTTTTTTTAATTTTATTTGTATATCTGAAGAAAATTTACCTTCTTTTATGATATGACAAAAATGAAAAAATCTACTTTTGATTTTAAGGATTTTTAAAAACTGTTATTTTAGCAAACTGTATATCAAATGCACAATAACTGTATTTTCTATTATTCTTCATGTATCTATTGCCAAAGGGAACATTGAAAGATTTGATATTTTTTCTTCGATGTAACAACTAATACTAAGCATTACATGCAAAAAATTACCAACGATTTCACAATCATTGGTAACAACTAAAACTAATAACTACCAAAGAAAAAAAATTACGTACCAAAAATTTCACAACCATGCAACCCTAGGTTTTAGCGCGAGTGTAAATTCGGTTAAATTAAGAATTCATTTGAACAAAAAAAATTTAGTGACAAAGAAATTTCGCGAAATAAAAATTCTACCAAATTAGTTAAAAATTTTGATAATTAAAAATAAATTCCATTAACTGTTAATTCGAAAACTGAAAATACGTTTAAAAAAATAATTACATTAGTATACACTAAAAAAAAAACCAGTAGGTTTTACTACTTTTTAACTACTCTGAGTAATATAATAGGTACTCAACTGAATTTAAACGGTTCTATTAACTATATAAAAATAGTTAAACCAATTAAAAATGTAATTGGTAGAATGACATTTTGTGATTGTATTAACCCTTTGAAGCATACATTTTTCTTTAACAGGAATTGAATCTTTGAAGTGCATTATAGGAGGTTTAAAAGGGTCGCTGATTACGAATCCGAAGCCAGATTTAAAAAATTTTCAAAATTCAAAATGGCAGATCCAATATGGCGGACAATTTTTTTTAAATTGATCATATCCGCTCGAAACTGGTTACTCAGGGGTTTTTGGGGTCGCTGATTACGAATCCGATGTCAGTTTTATAAAATTCAAAATGGCGGACCCAATATGGCGGACAATTTTTTTACAAATTGTTCAAATTTGCTCGAAACTGGTTACTCAGGGGTTTTCGGGGTCGCTGATTACGAATCCGATGTCAGTTTTATAAAATTCAAAATGGCGGACCCAATATGGCGGACAATTTTTTTTACAAATTGTTCAAATTTGCTCGAAACTGGTTACTCAGGGGTTTTCGGGGTTGCTGATTACGAATCCGATGTCAGTTTTTCAAAATTCAAAATGGCGTATCCAATATAGCGGACAATTTTGTTAAAATTGATCAAATTGATCATAGAAACACACACACACAAAAGCGCCATTTTGAATTATAAAAATCCAAAGTCATATTCATAAAAATTTTGATAATTAAAAATAAATTCCATTAATTGTTAATTCAAAAACTGAAAATACGTTTAAAAAAATAATTATATTAGTAAAATTTTTTGAATTGAAATTCTTCTTTTTTTAAACCCTCGATAATTTTTCAATTTCAAAATTTTTGAAAAAAAAAAAAAATTATAAATTTTTTATCGACTTTTTTAACATTGAATAAACGGTCCGTGAATGTTCCGCGAGATAGCGCCTCGCGGTAGATAAGATACCCCGCTGTGCGTTTAGTAAGCGGTGAAGCTGGAGGCATGCGCCCATTTGCCAGTCTGTGCATGGCGGTCCGAGACTATTGAGGTAAATTTTTTTTTTTGTAGATGTCGGTGAGTGTAGTTACATTCAAATCGTTTAATTGACGTGTGATCCTTTAAAATATAACATTTCACTACTTTTTCATTATTCTTTCTTTTGTGGATTATTGATTATATCCATTGGAATACACAACGAGTAAGTAAATTTTACTATATACATGCATATATACGCCCGACCTTCTCTTTTCTTCAATTCTTAAACACATATATGTATATACATACATATATACTTTTACAACCTTCAAAAATCCAGTTTACTTCCCATAAATCTTCTGATCCTTATTGCATCCTCAATACAGTAGTCAGGATAATAATTTTTAAAAAAATATAAATTGCATCTTTTTTTTCTAACAAAAATGCATTAATGGTATATGATGAGAAAACAAGTGATTTCAATGTATGATAAACAATAATAGCGTTTTAAAATTGGCACCAACATATCAGGACAAAATGTCGGATAAGAGAATATTTATCCTTGCGATTAATAAAAAAAAAAAAAAATTTTTAATAAAAATAATAATTTTTTTTTTAATTTCTTCATTAGCACCCAAAGAAAAGATATATTTGTCGCAGAATTAAATAAATTTTGGTTTGTTTTAAATAAATATTTGTTGCAAATAAAATATTTATTTGTTGCAAATAAAATTTATTTGTTACAAATAAATATTTATTTGCTGCAACTAAATTTCATTTGAGTTAAATAAAAATTTTATTTATGACAAGTAAAATTTTTATTTACGCCAAATAAAAAAGTTATTAGGACTCTAAAACAGTTTATTTAACGCAAATATATTATATTTGTTTCAAATAAAACATTTCTTTGGGTGTAGCTCGCAGTACAAAAG